TTAATTTTATACCGTATGGTTTAAGCATCCACTAAGGAAGGATTTTTGAAAATTCCACACCTAAAGGATAATTGACACAGGGTTTTGGTATTTTTAGAACAAAAATGAAATTTTATTTATTGATTTATAGGTTATTTTGGTGACATAGATGATATTTTAATTGTCACGGGCAAGAAAACTATTATTATTATGGAAACGGAGAAATCGCGGGAAAGCACATTTAAAATAAAATAAATGTTTTCGTTTAATACTAACACGGGTCACGGGCTAAGCCGTACGGGACATGTTTCACAACAATGAGCGAGGTAAAGGGGTTCATGTTCCCGGGGAGGTCATAATGCTTCCTAACGGCGTGACAAGGGAAGTAAAAGAAGCAAATTTAGAATCAGTTTTATAATCTTCTTTCAGTTTTGAATTTGAGGGAATGCAAAGTGATGGTCAACTTCGTTCCTTGGATATTTTTTTTAAAAAATATGTAAGTATATCCAAGGTCGTATTTTATTGGAAGAAACAATTAATTACCAAACCACTAAACGTTTTTGAAATAACAACAATAGAAGTTGACGGAAAAATGCGAAAAGAAACTTTGGATTGACAATCGCATTTGCATTAATTAAAGCAAAACAAGTACTTATGTGATGTTTGGGAAAAAAAATACATAAGGCTATATTCAGAAAAATATACGACCAGTCAATTCGATTTTTTCAAACTATTGCCTTGTTCAGTGTTACAATCAGACCTTATAAAAAACCTAAGGATATTCGTGTAAGTACCTATAATCTGATCGAAATATAAACACTCCCGACGAAGGATATTTTTAGCGTTTTTCATCTTTAAAAATCGTATGAACATGATTTAATAAAATCTCTACAGCAGTGGCCCACCCGTGGTGCGAAGTTAGTCCGTCCGTTTTTTTCCTCTAAAGTGTATCTTAACATCGGTCATTTACTTACAAGATAAATTGTTTCGTTAACTCCGTATGTCTTATGTAAACAAAATTCAGAATAAACGAAAAAACGCATGTATTTTAAATGACAAACTTTAACTTGTTACAGGGAGACTAAGAATTGTTCTACAAAGCTCACATATATGGGGTTAATATTTATTTTTATTTTTTTTAGAATAAAGTTGGGGCGTGTTAAAACTAAATTTCTGCCATCACCCAAGTGTTTATAACAATAATTTATTTATAACGAAAACACATTCTGAGTGAAATTATTTTGCATAACACTACATGGTATAGTGTTTACAATTTAAAACTTTAAATAAAATATTTTCATATTGCAGAATTGGTTATGGTAGCCATTAACCGTAAATGGTTAGTTGGAACCTGCCGAAAACCTCTCAACGTATTTAACAGTCTTATAATAAATAAACATGGCTGTTGGAAATTCTTAAGAAGAACAAGCTTATCAAAAAAATCTATAATACACAAATATTTAATATAAAAACAATGTACTTAATATTAAAAAGAACCTGACAACAGAGATTTATTGTTTTGTTTATTATTTTATATTTTGAGCGAAGCGATGAATGTATTGGTTTTAAATTCTGAGCGTAGTAGGAAGTATAATATTGGTTTTAATGTTTTACTTTATGATGTGTTTTTTTTTTTATCTGTGAACAACTTTTCTACCAAAAATCATGTTCTAATCAAAAATTAACAAGAAGTCTCTTTCGTTGCATTTAAGATGGTTAGTACGAAGCTGATGTTTTTATTTCCAACCAGTTTTTGGAAATAATGGTTTCATTATTCTCAATTTTGGTTTTTTGTTGTTATTCGGTCATTAATTATAATACATATTGAATATATACAATCAATAATTCTGTTAAAAATAAATTTAAAAACCTGAAATTTCACAGAACTATTAGCCTTTTCTAGACATTGTTAAAGTTTTTATAGGTAAGTATTTTACATTAACTAGTTTTATTTTTTTTAAATTTTTTTTGTTAAGTTTATTTAAATAGAAACCTGCTATGAAGTAACACACACACACCATTAACCAGTCCTGAGTGTATTTGTTTCCTTTAGAGCTCTTATTTTTACCAGGGCGAATTTTTAACAGATGATATGAATTAACGAGTTTCTTATCAGTGATTATCTATCTATTTAAAAATAAACGTTTCGAGGTTAACTATTTAAGTTCAATAATGTATCGGTGTAGGGGTAAAATTGTATATAACGAATGTTGTCACATAGCCAAACAGCAATGTGTGGTATCGTTTATTATTATGTTTATTCATATTTCTATATATTTATGTCCTACGTTGACATTTTAAATTTGTATTTGTGTTAAATTGATAGGGTGGGAGTACTAATGCAATAATTTGGTATATTTCAATCGTGGTGTCTTTAAGTTTCCATTCTGGTTTATACAACCTCTGGTTATGGCTTGTAAAGTTATAACTAATATATTAATCACACAAATAGTATATACAGATATTTAAATAATAACCATTAACCCTTTAAAGCATGGTGGTTTAAAAATACACCGATTTTTTAAAAAAAATCTCCCACTCTTGCATGGTAATACATGTATACCTTAATGCATATTTATTACCAGATGTATTAACGCAGACAAAATGTTTTGTCATACAGAAAATTATGAAGATTACAGAATAATTAGATAGGTATTCTCAGATAAGAAACTCGCCTACTCTTCTCGTCGGATAAAAATTAATTTTTTCGTATTGTCTGATAAACTTTTCAAAATTAGTCTAGAACTATACCTTGGTTTTTTTTTCGCTCTTGTTGAGAGTAGGTTTTCTTTATTAATTATCATTGTTATCAAATAATTAAATATATGATTTAATTTAACCAGTAACCATGGGTATAAATTAAATTGCTTTATGTATCCTAACCTCCCATCAACAGCAGTGGCTGCACTCGTCCCCAGTATCAATTTTTTTATTATTATATATATATACTTATAAATAATGGAAATTAGATAGGTATCAAAAGCCGTGACATTATCATTGTTTTGTATTAGTTTTTCAAAATGTTCGGTAAATATTTAATGACCACACTGTCATGCTGGCCAACTTTAGGATGTCAATTTTAATTTCATGTACCTATCTACAGCGGCCAAAAAATAAGGTTAAGGAACTTACTATGCTCATAATTTATCTTAAACACCTTCAGTATTTAAATGTATTTAATAACAATATTATATACGTATATTATACGTAAGTACATTATGGTATTAATTTATTATTGATTATCCAATATTTGAGTGAATAATCTGCATGGACATTTTTTTTTACCTAACTGCCTACACCTAGTCCGGCCTCTACTATCAACATGAATATAACAAGACCTTGTTAGATGGCTTGTAGATATGGCTGTAAATGCCACAAATCCGGTGAGATATTTTTTTGGTGCGGTATTGTTTCATTCATTTATTTCGATATCAATATTCGATTTATTTGCTATCGTTTTACGGTTTTTTCTTGCATTTTTTTACGTTTAATACCAATTTTTGGTAGAATGATTGTTTAATTGTGTATTGAAGGGAAATTTCAATAACTGATATCAAATGATGAAATTAGAAATTATTTTCAAGTCAAAATTCTTGGTTTATCACATACATGTTAAACGTAATATATGCCTATGGCTTATCATAATATGGTTAAGTATTTATATGAATTTTTTTATTTAAAAACTATGAAAATTACTAATTTGGCGAAAAACAATTTATTTCTTATCAATAATTTTTATTGACGCGTAGTTATCACCGCGAACTAAGATTATACAGGACTGGAAACGAAGATTAAATCAGTGAAGCTAAAATGTTTTCAAAAAGTACAACCTGTGTACTTAGCGCTATCTATGTACAAAATCAAAAATCAGTTACTTTATAAGCCTAAATTTAATTTTTTTTTTTTCATGTTTTTACGTATTATAAATATTAATATAATAGGTACTTAGCTATACTTAATGTTGAATCCAGGTATACTCCAGGGGGGAGGGGAGGGGGGGTATGAATAACTGTCAACAAAATGTAATTATTAAATGTTCAGTACTCCTTACTCTTTCCAATTTACATCGAAATGACCAATGAAAAAAAAGTAAGCCCTCCCCAGAGATATTTTCTAAATTCAACACTGTGGCTACACTTAAAATCAATAATAAAACAAAATTACTTATATAAGTATGTTCCATGTTCATCGATTGCTGACAATTTTGATAGACTTGTTTCATTTCACTTCAAAACAAGAAACTTTAAGTACAGAAAATATTGTAATTATGGACATAAAAAAGGTTTGTGATATGAATATAGACCAGGAAAAAGATAGTAGGGATTTACTAAAACTTACTACTTTATACTAGTATAATTAGTACTAATTTTATTGTCTATAACAAATATAAAATATTTGGTTATGTATGTAACAACACATAAATTGTAGGACATAATTAATTATGATTTATTATTATGTATTGCATATACTAATTTAGCTAACTTTTTTTCATTGCATTGAGTTTAATTTAATTTTTATTTGTTATTAATGAATACTGTTGCATTAGTATGGTAATAAAATTTGAAATAATTTGTTTAGGAAAATTGATTCCCTAATTGTTATATGTTAAATAATACAGTACCTATACGTCAATAGTTAATACAAATAAACATAATAATAAATAAAATATACCAGTTTTTTACAATTAGTTTTACATTAAAAGTTATTTTTTTAAATAAAATCTTGGTTTTCTGTAAAAAAAATTAATTTTTCAAAGATTTGATCTACTAAGTAAATGTACAAAATCAGTAAATAAAAATAAACTCTCAACAAGAACATACAAATATCAGCTTGTATTATATTTTATAAATAGTTTTTTTTAAAGATGGGTAATTATTTAAACAATGCAATTTAATGTAGGAAGGACTCCTATCTAAGTAGTGGATTCATAAACAATATTTTATTAGAACGAACAATTTGTAATTTTGTATCAATTGAGTAGTACTCATATATCACCACCAGGTAGCAGTTACAACCATGGTTGTACCGAACAAAAACATTTAGTAGTCATTTCTCTACGCCTCCCCCCCAGACTGTCATTACCAGTCATATCTTTGTTTGTGGTTATCACTTATTATCGACGTAGATATCAAATGAATAGAATAACGAATAAATGCATAAAATAGCACCGCACCAGTAAAAAATCCACCGGATATATGGCATTTACAGTTATGTGACTTGTTGTAATTATCAGTTTGTTATGTTTACGTTTTAGTTCAAAATTATTTATTTGTAAAACTTCTATTTTTTGAAAGTTGAAGGACTTTTGTTTTTGAATCTAATATAAAATATGTCAATAGTTTAATAATTACCTACCTCGTTCATAGAATGTTATTGTTATTAGTAAGTTTATTTATGTAATAATAAATTGACTGATCTAATATTTCACTTTGTAATTTAATTAGTCAGCATTGAAAATGAATACAGTTAGTGACGCGACTTTATGCAGTAAGATTTTTACTATAAATTTGCTAACAAAATTATAATTTTTAAAATATTTTAGGTTGATCATTAATTAATAGTTTATGTCACACATGCTCCTTGGCATTTCAAACAAAAAAACATCTGTTAGAAGATAGCAGTTGAATGGATTACGAATTCAAAATTAAGACTGGTAATGAAAGAGCTAAAGTGGAAGAGCTTTTTGACTATGAAGGATGTAAAGTTGGAAGAGGCACTTATGGACATGTTTATAAAGCGAGAAGAAAAGATGGGTTTGTAATTGTTATATATTTTAAATAAACTGTAATAGTTAATAATTATTAATAATATAATTTCATCAGAATGAATTAGGTTTTTTGTCTAAAATAGACAGATATTCTCTAAGCCATATGAGTTTGTTTAAATAAAAAACAGTTTCATGTATATGTTGCTATCATCAGTGAGTGTTGTTTACTATCATGGTAACAACAGCGCTTACTGTCGGCAGCAAATGCAGATGCATTTTTGATTTTTTGAAATTTGGAATAGAGTCTATTACCATAAGCATCTACTAATAAAAAACTATGGTATGAACTATTATCTAATCTATAATAATTAGAGTTTAAAGTGGTTAATTTTTTGGTAGGTATTTTTATAAGTTATTGAATACACTATTTTCTAGGGATAACAGTAAAGATTTTGCATTAAAGCAAATTGAAGGCACTGGATTGTCGATGTCCGCATGTCGTGAAATTGCTGTAAGTAATACAAATTTCATTAATTATTAATTGGAACCGAAATGATTTAATCAAAGATAAATTAAATTTTATATTGTAGTTACTACGAGAGTTGAAGCATCCAAATGTGATAAATTTGATTAGAGTATTTTTATCTCATAATGATAGAAAAGTGTGGCTACTTTTTGATTATGCAGAGCATGATCTTTGGGTAAGAAAAAAAGTTGTGTTAAAATATGTTTTTAATTAATATTTAATAATTATGTTTAAATAAAATACTTAATAAATAGATAAATATACATATAAGTTATATATGTATACATTACTTAATAATTAAAGATCTATATAAAAACTACTGTTATGATCAAAAAATGTGTTAGATAATAACCCAACATTAAACTTCTATATCTAGCTTATTAATAAATTATTTATACAATATTAGGTATTAATAAACCAGTTAAAAAAATAATAATAATAATAATAATAAATTGTATGTATTTTGCATACATTTATATTTATTGCAAACTTACATTTTGTAACATTGTAATTTGTGGGAGACTTATTTGCCTTTTTTGTTTTTAAATGAAATGCAATACTAATGTTCACAATGGTTTGTTTTCTTTTGTGTAATACATTTGTATAGCACATTCGCTCAAAAAAAAAGTTTTTATATAATTGTATAAATACTAAAGTCAGTTATAAACTTTTTAATTTGATCTTAAAAATTTCAAATATTTGAAAACAAGTATAAACCCAAGTAGGGTATTCAATTTAAATTTTGAATTCTGCTTGAATTGTACTACATTGTTTTTTTGAATTTGACAGTAACTACTGCATTAAGTTAAACATTTTAATATATTAAAATTTTACTGACTGAATGGCAACAATTACTCATTGTTTTTATATTTAGTAGGTTTATAAGTTAAGATAAACCAATATTGATTATTGAATACATTTAATTTGTTCAAAATTAAACAATTAGATATGTTTATAAATAATTATTTTCTGTTTTAGCATATAATTAAGTTTCATAGAGCAGCAAAAGCAAATAAAAAACCTGTAATGGTTCCCAAAGGAATGGTTAAGTCATTATTGTTTCAAATTCTTGATGGAATACACTATTTACATTCTAATTGGGTCTTACATAGAGATTTGGTGAATATTTTAGCTGTTTTTTTAGAATGTATAATAATTGTTTACTTTTTTATATTTAGAAACCAGCCAATATATTAGTAATGGGCGAAGGTCCTGAAAGAGGACGTGTTAAAATAGCTGATATGGGATTTGCTCGACTTTTTAATGCACCATTAAAGCCGCTTGCTGATCTTGACCCAGTCGTAGTCACTTTTTGGTATCGTGCTCCTGAACTTTTATTAGGGGCTAGACATTACACCAAAGCTATTGGTAAAGAAAGTTAATAATTATTATTCTAATAACAAACAATTTTTTTATTTAAAAATATAAAATGTATATTATTAATTTAAAATATGGGAAAATTAATAAAAAATACTACCTCATTTTTTTAGAATTTATTATAGTTCTGCACATTAATTTTGATTTGTGTGAAAATCAATTGTGTAGCTATAGGTATTGTTATAGTTAATAATGATCATCTTAGTTTCAATTTCAATTTGATAATATTAGGTTTCAGTCAGATCTGGGATGAATAATATGACTTTCTCATTAAACTGAGAGCATTGCCCAGAGAAAGTTTATTTGTGTTTATATTTTCTAATACAATATTTTAATTCCTATCATTTAATTATCCTTTTTTTGAAGTAAATATTTTACTATTAAATATTAATACAAAATTATTGTCACTATTACAAACATTAATGTGACATTAAAACTGTTTCATAATAATCATTCACATACATATTTAAATATATAAATGTGAAAATGAAAACTTTCGAGTCCTATGTTCTCGGAAACTATGATTTTTTTTTAAAATTGAAAGGCTTATTGCGGTGAAGATTTATGGCGTTTGATAGATTCTCGAACTTTATAAACAAAAGAGAAATGTCTGTCTGTTTGTATGTCCTTTATAGACTCAAAAACTACTAGACATATTTTAACGACATTTTTTGTAAAATGTTAGCTATTAAAATTTCTAAACTTCAATCCCTAAAGGATAGCTGACAGAGATTTTGGTATTTTGTAGCATAATTATTTTTGATTGGGTTACCTTGGTAACAAAGTAAATATTATTATTTTTATTGATTATGTGGAATCTATGATATATACTGAATAAAAAATAAATAAAACGGTTGCCAATGATAACCTTATTTTTAATCTTTCAATCTTTTTTAACCTAAAGAACCAAGTTTTCCTTATTATCGAATATTAATGAGAATTTCAAAAAACCACTTCTCTAAAGTATCACACAGAGAACATTCCCTAGCTAGTATATAATATATTCTTGTAATCTTTATTTTAAATGTTTAGATATTTATTTTATTTTAACATATCTCATTTGAGTACATTTTATTTAATAATAGTTAAATCTTAGTTTGAAAGTATGTACTTATATTTGTATATAATATAGTTTTAAAGGAATTATTAAATTGTTTGAATTTTTTGATTCAATTATTTCTGTACCTATGCATAGTCACTAATCGCATGTATTAATTATTTGTTTAAATTTTTCGTACAGAAATGTCAATGTTTTATAATAGATTTTGTAAATATTACTAATTTTACTTACATTATTTTATTAAAAGCTTGGCTTATAGTATTGTATATATCTTTTCAATATTAATTAATATATTATTTATGATTTTATGTATATTACCTTTGCCTGAGATTTATTATATTTTAATTTGGTTTAATTACAAATTGGTATTACATAGAAATATATACTCTTCAGGAGGAACAGCGTATTACTAATTATAATTATGTAAAATATTATTTAGATATTTGGGCAATTGGTTGTATATTTGCTGAATTATTAACATCAGAACCTATTTTTCATTGTCGCCAAGAAGATATTAAAACTAGTAATCCATACCACCACGATCAGTTAGATAGGTATGTAAAAATTAATTTATAATTTGTGCATATAACAATTTAAAAATGATAGAATTTTGTCTCAAAATTTATATTATTTAATTTAGTTAATGTGTTTGATTAGTATTAATTATTTCTGATTTCAATAATTCAAATAACTCATCTAATAGCTCAATTAACCTAATTAATTTTTAATGATTTTTTGTATTCATTATATTATTAGGCCTAAACAATGATAATTTTCAAATCATTATAGGTAATAATTGTAAAAGTATAACCTCCAACTTAACAATAAATATAATGTATAATTTATACATGTTTACATGTACATATAGATTAATATATTATTTAATTATATTACAGAATTTTTAATGTGATGGGGTTTCCTCAAGAGAAAGATTGGGAAGATATAAAAAAGATGCCAGAACATCAAACTTTAATGAAAGATTTTAAACGTTCTAAGTATATTGAATTGTTATATTAAAGTTAATATTTAATTGAGACCACATCCAGGCTACTCATTCAGAATTATTTAAAAAAAATTATACTTATATATGCATTGCATAGAAGAAAATTATAGATCCCTTACTTCCTAAATAATCCTTAATATGAAATTGTCTTGAATAAAATATTAAATTAATTGTTATCTAACCATATTTTTTTATTTTCAAACATTTCAGTTATTCAAATTGTTCTTTGGTAAAATATATGGACAGACATAAAATAAAACCAGACAGCAAAGCATTCCATTTGGTATAAAATAAAAGCTTTTCTACAATTATGATTACAAATAATTAAACTGTTGACTGTTTTAGTTACAAAAATTATTATTAATGGATCCAAACAAAAGGATTACATCGGAACAAGCCAAACAAGATTCATATTTTCAAGAAGATCCTACTCCCACCTCAGAGTAATATTTTTTATATAATTACCAATATTATGTTCTAAGTTTTCAAATTTATTTTCAAGTGTTTTTGCGGGGTGTCCAATTCCCTATCCTAAAAGAGAATTTTTAACTGATGATGATCAAGATGACAAAGACAAACGTCAACAAGCCACAAATGTAAGTTTTATTTATATTTTATTATTTTTAGTACGCAATAGTAACTTAGGTGTTTATTTGGTTCTGTAATATTTCTAAGAGACATTATGTATATAAAAACATTATTTAAATTTATTTTAACTATATTGTATTTTTTGTATGTTCCAAAAATAATACAATATATATTATTAAGAAATTTAAATATTTAAATTTATCTTTAAAATGCTATATCCATAAATATTTACCAGTGGCGGCTCGTGATTGTACGATGTGGTAGTACGATAAAATTTATTTTTTAGGGCAGTCACCCTACCTATAGTAAATAGATACTAAATATGTGATTTCATGCATCTACTAGTGGAATATATGTGTATAATTATGTAGATACATGTATATTGTATACATTAAAATGTCCACTTCTAAGAAAAATATCAACTGATTAGACAGAATTTTAACGGAAACCAGAAAATATTAGTGAAATACTGATTTATAAACAGGTTTACCATTTTAATCACTTTTCATACACTGTGAACACAATAATTCAGGTCGCTGTCAAAAATGTGTGACGAGAATTATATAGCATATAATCCCTTCATCGCTGCCACGCTAGATGTAGTATACTATACATTCATTGGAAATGGGGGGGAGGTTTGTGCATCACGAAATAGATTATTATTATCATGTTCAAATTGCCGAATTAAGATGACATTTTTCAAATATTATCATTTTTTAATACAATTTTGAATTATTTAACTTACTTTGAAAGAAATATAAACTATAATTATTATTATTCACTATAACAAGTATAAATGCAAATTTCATTTCACTTTAAAATTTATGTAAAAATTGCAATCACACCATAGCACCTTAGCATGAGTCGCCACTGATATTTACAGTTTATATAACAATTTATTTATCACTATAGACCGGATTTATATTCTCTTATATTCCACAAAATGATGTTTAAAAACACCATTTTGAAATTACTTTTTATTCATCATTTTTTTGGTGTTAGAAAATTGTATTTATAAATTAAATCCATTAGACAGGGGAACTATTAAACCCTTCTATTATTTTTGCGTTTTCATATATTTGATATTTAATTTTTTTTCAAGGCTTTTTGACGTTTTTAAATGCTCTTTTTTGTAGATTTTAAGAACACATAATTTCCGGCCTCTATTTATCACTAATCTGTCTTAAGAAATTTGATAATCTGCTAAACTAGCTTTTACTAGTATACTATATAGAAAAGTAAATATATATATATATTTTTTTATTTTGCTATCAATAAATTAAGTACATACATTTGGTAATATATTAACTATGTAAATAATAGTTGAATTATTCAACTATAAAAAATAAATTGAGATACCTAGAAAAAAAAAAAACATAAAATAGTTTAAATATAATTAATATAAAAGAAATTATTATCATTATTATTGGCCGCCCCAAATAGTTGGGAAGGTAAAAGAAAAGAAGATTATAATTAAAGTTAATTAAAGATTCCAGTTTCAATATAAATATTATTAATTATGTTTTTTTTATAAATAATTTTATATTAAATTAACCGAGTGCCAAACTTAGTTAGTTATAGAATTGTATTATGTACCTTTGATAGATTGTTTTTGATATTACGGCATTTAAAGTTCTGTTGAATGGTCTTTGAGTTTTTATTACCCACTTAACAAAATATTATACTTGTTATATAAAAAAAATAAATAAAAAAGAATGTATGTTAATAATCATAATAATATGAATTATTAACATATTATAAACTTATATACTCTGCAAAAAATATATATGACTTGAATATTATTTTGTTAGATATTTGCATATGATCGTGGACGTTACTTAATCGATAGTTCTAACACGCGCATTTATAATAAGAACAATATTATCACACCTAGATTTGACAATAATGCCCAGGACCATCGTAATAGCTTAATCAACAATGCTTATGTTAATAGTTTGCACAATTGGCATGACTTAAATCACACTACTCTAGAGGTAACATATATTCAGATTTTAGCTTTTAATAATGATGGGTTTTGAAAATGCTTCATTTAAATAGTAATTTAGACATTTATTCATCATAAACATAGTTTGAATTCAAGCAATATATTATAAGCTTTCTATTATTATTCTTTAAAACTCTTAATGGAATGATTTCATTTTATAGAAAAATAATAAATATAGTTCAGATTGTTTTTACATTTTTAGATAAATTAACTATTATACTAGATTTTGTTATTGAGTTTTATAATAAATTATTGACACTCAAATAAATAAATATTATTAGTTTTAAACTTTGCATGTGTAATACAAGGTGATCAGTTTTGCATGTTCTTGAAAAGTATTTACTTTTTTCACATTGTTCTTTTTAAGACCTAATCTTACAATATGTGCCTTAAATTTTTTTTTTTTTTTAAATGCTGTGGGGCTTTATTATTTAAACGACCTGATGGTCTTTATAAATATGTTTAACAGGATATATCTTACATACTAGATGATAATATATATACATTACACATTGATGAAGTCACACTTCCAATGAAGTGGCTCCTGTACTTAATTTAAACACTNCTCCTCTCGTGTTTACGAGCAAACTTTTGGATTTCTTCTGCTATTGTAGGCAGCATCATATCGCGGTGAATGGCATCGTTTCTTTCAAACCGGTAGGCTGCAGTGATAGTCCGAAGAGCAATGTTTTGGCAACATTGTATTATATCAATGTTAGACTTACTAGCACAACCCCACAGTTGAATGCCATAGGTCCAAATTGGTTTTATAATAGCTACATATAATAGACGTTTGTTTTCTATAGTTAACTCAGAGTGGGGTCCAACTAACTAATAGAGCTTTCTTTAATCTGTATTTTTTTCTGACGGACATGATGTTTCCAGTTTGAACGAGAGTCAAGATGCATTCCAAGATATTTTGCTGAATCTTTTTGTGGGATTAAAGTTTGATTCAGTAAAATTGGAATGTTTTCAGTTTTACGTAACGTATATGTGCCCTAAATGTGTTCGCTTAAAAATTCTAATTTGGTTTTTCAATGACAACCTATAGTAAAAAATACATAATCTGATTAAAATTTATTTTAAATTCATGTTGGTACTGAAATATTAATTTTCACTAACCTTTCATGAAACACACAACACTTAGGTTTGCATTTTTGGATAGACTTTTAGATAGTTTCTTTCTTTTTCGAAGTTCTCATATACATTTGTTATCAAACTCAATAATAAGAATTGATAATTAGTATAATTAGGTATCAATTATTAAGATAATTTATTGATATGATTAATGATAATATCCAGATGGTTCCACCAAATTAAACAATAAAAAAAATACTTCCTTTATGTTAGAGAACCGATCATTGTAATTTAATTCTTAAAATGGTAATACTTTAAAAAGGAAAAAATAATGCGAAAATTTGATCACCTTCTGTTTAATTATACTACAGTTAACACATTTATGATCAACCAGGTGATCAATTTAAGTGGGTGCACTCATTATCTCAGAAAGAAGTAAATTTTTTCATAATTTGTTTTCTGGCACACTTATAAAACAAGCAGCTCTTCAATTTTATATAAATGTTATTTTTTGTGACCCTTATTTTTGGGGTTAAAACTACTACCTACTTTTGATTTTCAAATGGCAACCTATATTAAAAATTCTATAAATATATGGAGTATTAGATAAAATAAATTTAAGTGTTGACATTTTTAATTTCCGTCAATCCATTGACGAGATATGAGATATTCCACTTTTAAGTGTAGGTTAGAGGAGAGTAGAAGAACATCATTTGTGTGGCGGCACAGCACGTGACATTTTAATAATACACCGCTACTAGACACCGGCCAAAACTTAAAAGTGGAATATGTTGTTAAAAGACTGAAATCAAAATTTTCAGCATCAAAATTTATTTTAACTAAGATTCCATCTATTTATGGAATTTTTAATACAGGTTGCCATTTGAAAATCAAAAGTAGGTTAAGTGGATTTACCCCCAAAAATAAGGATGACAAAATATAGAATAATTAAATAATTTATATTATAATACGTTTTTTATACAACCGGTTTCAAATTAAAAATTCATCATCAGGTAAATCACTAAGTCAAAAAGTAATTGTAATAAAATAATTATTTATTTATTTATTTTTACTTATAAATTATTTATTCATATATTTTTTTGCGAGCAATAACCATTTAATAATTTTGTTTTACTTAATTATTTTATTATTAATATAAATTTGTAAAGCAGCTTGTTTTATTCAATGTTCTAGAAAACCAATTCTGGAAAAAGTTAATACTTTCCATGATAATGAATGTACCCACTTAAATGGATCACCTGGTACTATTCTTTAAGAATTAATATTTGTTATATTTTTGTACAATTTAAAAAAGAAATATATATTATTTCAACAAATTTGATATGTTACCTAAATACTTATTTTTTTATTAATGAACTTTTAATTCTATAAAATATTTTCTTAAAATTATTTTTTATTCGTAGATACTTTTCTTTTTTATACAGTCAAAATTAAATAATTTAAATAGTCGGTAATTTCTTACATTTGATGTAATAACATTAAGATCGTTCAAGGTCTATTAAAACACTTTTACCTATTCATGTATTTGAACAGTTTTAATTATTATTTTTTTTTAAACCAATTTTTATCATTATATCTGAAACTTTATGAATGATACCTATTATATACATAAGTAATGTCTATTTATATTATGTTTATATACATCTGTTAAGCTTTTGTTTCAATAGTTTATTATAAGTTTAACAAATTTGTCTAACTACTAAATCTTAATTGGACAAAATATAAATTATTAATCATATAATATAAATAGACATTACTTGTGTACATAATAGTAACATTAAAAAAGTTTGAGATATAATGATGAAAATTGGTGAAAAAAAAAAAGATTAAAACAGTTCAATTGCTGGGTATTAGAAATTAGTAATTGTTGTGAATATTAGTATAGAACTCAAACATACAGACATAATTAATGTTGTATTACTTATATAATTTTTTAAAACTTGTTTCAATAAAATATCAACACACAATTTTGAGTATTTAATTATGTTTTATCAAATTAAGTAAATAAAACTTTTAAACTCTATTGACATATATATTATATAGACTTTTATCATAATATTATGAAGTCCTGTGAAGTATAATTAATAAATATAAAAAAATAAAACAAAGAAGTTAATAATTTGTTTGTAATCTATATTCATAAATAAATATGATATTTAAAAATAAGTATGTATACTTAAAAGAATAATGTAGAACCAGAGTATTGAGTTGTGTGTATTGACCAGTTTCAAGTTTAAAAATGCCTTTTTCTATATTATTTATTTAAAATATTTTGATAAATTTAACATTTATTATTTTATAGTACAGCTGAATATTCATTATTTTTAACTACACGGATTGACAAAAAAAATTTCTTATAAATGTTTCAAATATTTAATAAAGTATTAATACATTTTCAAATATAATGAGCGTATAAGAAATATCAATTGTGTAATAAATTGTAATATTTTTTAAATTATTTAAGTTTCTGAGTTACTTATCTACTTTACAAAAAAAATGATATATATATATATTTTTTTTTTTGTATCGGTTAGGGTGCACATTCTGATCAGGCGGGTAGCCATCATAGCCATCAACAACAACATGCTGCAAATCAAAAACGTATGCGTATGAATGGACTTGGCCAACATCCGAGTGTCAACCCTGGAACAGTCATGCCGCCAACTGTTCAACAACAACAACAACAACAACAGCAGCAGCAGCAGCAGCAACAAGTTCAACAACAACAACAACAACAGCAGCAGCAGCAGCAACAACAACAGCAGCAGCAGCAACAACAAGTTCAACAACAACAGCAGCAGCAACAAGTACAGCAACAGCAAGTTCAACAACAACAGCAGCAGCAACAACCACAACAGCAACACCAACAAGACTTTCATCATGTACCACAACACCAGCAACAAATGATGTACTCACAAGGCAATCCAAATGGACCGGGTCCAAGTTATTCTCAACGATTTTAATTTTATTTTTCGTCTTGTTTGACTAGAAAATTTACCCTCATATTTTATAAACTTATAAAAGATAAGTTAATTATGATATGTTGATACCTATATATTTTACGACTGAAAAATTTATTTAAAATACACAAAGTTCAATTTTAGATTATTTTCTTAATATACCAACTGTATAATGTACATCTCCATAACCTTTTTTTACCTAAAATGCAATTATAAATTAACTATTATCAATGTTTACACTATTAAAATCATTATGTAAAATATTATTGTTATAAATAGGGTTGGACAAAATGGGTAAGTCATAACATTAAATATATAAAATGCAAAATAAGTAAGTATTTTTTAGGCATTATATATTTTCTTTAATAATATGTGTTCTACAATATACATTCTATGGATTTTCCCAGATTATCACATTTTCTAAGAAAACTTGGAAAAATCGAAAAACAACTTCCCTAAAGTACCTTTTCCCAGTCACATTTACTTGTAAAAACTTGTAAATCGAAGAAAAATCGATGATAGAAAAGTTGTACGCAAAAAAAAAAACCATAATATTTTTTTACTGGTACCTACATTTCGTACATTTTCGATTTTATCAAGTTTTTTTCACATTTATTATGAAAACCACTTGAAAAATCAAAAAAATGACCGTAAATTACTATGAAGATAAAATTTGCTTTCAGAAAATAAACTACATTAGATAAATCGGAGCAAGATTTCTGGTAGAAAAGTTTGCACAACAAATCGAGGGGTAATAGCTAGGTCTCTAGGTACACTTAGAATGCATTTGTTTTTCTTTATTTAGGTAAAAGGGAAAAAATTGCATACAATTTTGTTTAAAACCAGGGTTTGAACTCAGACCCCCTAGGATGATAATAGGCATGTATAACCATTAGATCACGACAAATATTCTTTAAGAAATATAATGTAGAGTTATTTAACATAACATATAATATTCGCATAATAACAGAACTTCAAAAAGCTATAATTTTCGAAATTTAGTCAGTCCACTCATTAATTTTGACTTCTGAATTCTTGAATCGGCAATACACATGTGTTCCAAAAAAAAAATTGAAAAATTTGATTTATTCCACTTAGTTTTATACTCAAACGACTTCCGTCAAAATTTGATATTTAAATTCCCTTATAAAAAAAAAAAATTACTACATTTAAACTAATTTTTTTTTTTTTTTTACCACAAAGTAAGAATGAACCACCTGTTCATTTTTCAAGCATTTCTGTTAAGTTTAACAAATTTACCATAGAGTACCTACCGAATAGAAATTACGAGGAAATTAAGAATTACGTAATTCAGTTTGAAATATTCGTTAAAACTTGAAATTTTGATAGAAAATGTATATTTGCTTTTTTTCGACATGGTAAAATTTTTAAAACATTTGAATCATTTTTGAGTTATTTATAGACATTTAAATTTCGCGAGTTTTTTATGTAATTTTTATTTGGTAGGTAGGTACTCTATAGATAAAATGTATAGATAAACAGGAATACTTGAAAATTTGAAAAGAGGCTCATTATAAGTCATAGTTAGTGGTCAAAAAAAAAATTGGGTGTGATTTAGTATCTTTTTTTCCATAAGAATTAATATCAAATTTTGATGAATGTCTTAATATTACGGCCTTTCAAAACATATTGTGTAACCAAACTTCGCTCCGAATCTTTTTTCGTTAGCAATAGTTTATCATTGGTTACAGATATAAATTAAATAACTTCCTTCAAACTACACACCTAAACAGTGGCCATACCTGTCCCCAGTATCAGATTTTTTATTTTCTTATTGTATAGAAAATTATATTATACTTGTATTACAAAAATATATAACTAAAAATAGATTAATAATAACAATGCTATCGTGTACATGTTTTTACTCTGTACAGATATAACTTGCGTATAATTAATATATTATTTCTTAAAGTTATAGAAACTAAAACTATAAAATGAATAAATAAATGATGAACATTTGTTCTACTTAAGGGAGATTTCGTCCAAATCAAAAAAGGAAAGATTTTTTATCTGGGGAGATTATGTCCTAGATCCCGATAAATATAATGTTTAAAATGATAATGATCGAAAAATATCTTTCATATATATGAGGGGGGGGAGCTTTGAGAACGCCCGTGTTCCTGGTGATGATGTATTTGCCTTAAAGGCAGCTAAAACCCATGACAAATAGCAGAAAATTTTCAACTATTAATTAAGCCAGTCTCTGCAGAAAAGTTCAGATCTCCATAGAAGACGGTTTAGCATCCTCCAAAATCGCTGTGTTTGAACAACGGAGGTTGTCCACTAAATACTAATACTTAACCCCTACCAAAGACTAATAAAAGTGCATAAAAATTAATTAGAAATGATTGTTGTGGATTTCCTTTGTTACGTGTGAATAAATTTGTACATTGTTTTATTCAAGGTGTATCACTAGGTTGACTTAGAAATGTAGGATAATCAACAGTAGCACGCCAAACGCAGACACCAAGTATACACGCGTATACTGACTCCTACTTAAGTATACCTACCGCGTTTGGATAACTTGGATTACTTTAGCGCGTAATAAATACATTTGTTTACAATTGTATTTAAAACGCAATCGTTTTGTTTTTTTCCATTTTGATATCGAAAACGGTTCTGGTGAGTAGTCAGTATGTTATTGTGCTTGCCGTTTGCACCGTTTTCGGGGCCGTGGATGGTCGTACTATTCTTACTGGGATTATTCGGATCGGCGTCGTCTACAGACGAAGATCGAGATCGTAAAGGACCCACGGCAGACATTCCAGAAAATTCAGACGCGGTTTTCCCGGAACCATGGATTTCCGATTTGTTTTACAGAGCTTTGGCCGACTTTAACGTACGGGACATCGGTAGTGACGCTTGCCGAGAACAGACTAGGACGTACGACGTACATTTACGAAACCATACTTATTGGGCGGTCAGAAGTAAGTAAAAATGATAACAATATTTGTACAGTCGTACAATATATGTGATAATTTTTATTTTATTAATTTCTATTAATAGTGGTACTTCACTCAAAACATTTTTTGAAAATGTAGACAGTTTTTCTAAAAAACTAATAAAAAAAAATGTAAGTACGTTTTATTTTTGATGATTTCTGAGTTAACTTGTCTACGAAGCAAGAAAACACCTATAACCTAGCCGGTTTACCGAACTCCGCTCGGAATCGTTTTATGATTTGATACATGTTATATGTAAAAACAATAATAATGTCTGATTAGAAAAATAAAATAATCAATTTTTAGTGTTCAATGAAATTTTAGATTAAACTGTCAAATAGGTTTGTAAACCAAAAATAAAAAGGTTATTACCTATTTTATTCGAATGAAGATAGGGAAATTTCAATTTTCTAAACAATTTTTTAGCTGATACGAAAAATTTCAAAAAATTTAACTACTTTTTTTGATTATTAGAAATATTAAACCACCCCCTCCCCACCCTAAATTTCTATTTACTATAATATTATTACCTAATTATAATTATAATCCTTGAGAAACTATTAATAGTTAGTACCTACCTGGTACTACTTACTAATAATTATTGTAGAAATAAAATACAAATATGTAAAAGTGGAAATCGGCTATGTAAGCTTATTATAATGAAAAAAAAAAAAAAAAAACATTTCCCCGAATGATTTAATCTGCGTTAGAAAATTATTATACCTGTGCGCAGCCAAGGTTCAACTATAAAATAAATAACAATGCCTTACTTAATACGTTAATTGATTGAGGTTATAATAATAGTTAAACGAGAGAATATTGTATTATTGAATGAAATATGTTACGTGGCTACGGACTATTGTAGGTATACGTGTGAAACAACTGTGTGAACCCGTATTAAATGGGTTGAATTGTGTGCGCACCGGATTATTCACAAAGGGGATCTACACCCAAAACCGGGAGCTAAGATTTCTAAGGTCAGGTTAGGTCTAATAAAATTAATAACATCAACAACAATTAATAAAATATAATAAATTAAAGTGTATCCTTGTAACACCAAAATTGAATGGTGAACATACAATAAAAAATAGCAAAGCGCGTGAGACCAGTGACTGATGGTTAGATAATTCATTTCCAGGAATAAAAAAAAAAAACGTGAGTAACGAAATAATGTAGATAACCGTACTATGAACAACGACGTGCCTCCCCTCTTCCGCACGAGCATATATAACGCCGCCCGAATCACCGTCTAACCCAGTGGTTCCCAACTCAACAATAGGCACGGACCACTTTTATAAATTTTTCACCGTCACGGACCACTCCCTGATTTCAACTCCCCCCCCCTCTTTATATCACTTATTTTTTTTATAGTTTTATATATAGTTTATAATTTCTAGGTACAAAATAAAATCAGAAATACAGTTTATGTCGTGGAAAAATATTTTAACTTATTTATTTAAAAATTTAATTTAATTAAAAAAGCTGATACAAATTTAAATTTTACATTTTACGAACTTATATTAATTAACTTATTCAACGAGAAAAAAATACAACAAATTTATATTATATAAATAAGTATAAATAAATATAACACGATTAAAATAATAATAGATAAAATACTAATTAAGATAAAATACGAAACGAGTAGGTAATACCTACGTGATAATATTATCGACAGATTATGAGACATAACTAGTAATAGTTACCGTAATATAATAGTATAGTGGAAAAACGCAGATAAATATTTATCACAATTCAGCTATACCCGCATGACCGAATGTTATTTATATCCGTACATAAATTGTCATCGGTCGCGATAGTGTGTTATCTGGCTGTTAGGCGCTAAGCCGTTAATAATAAAAAATATCAAGTATAATTTCGCTCATTTTTTTAAATGTAAATTTTTTTATTCGCGGACCACTTAAGATGAGTCCACGGACCACCAGTTGGGAACCACTGGTCTAACCGGACGGTTCCACCACGATCAAATGCGAGCTACTTCGCGTCATTCTATTTTATGAATCTTTTTGGACTTATTGAAACGACTACCTACTTTTGATTTTCAAACGGCAACCTATGAATTTAAACATCAAAATTTATTTTAACTACTACTCCATCTATTTATGAAATTTTTAATACAGGTTGCCATTTGAAAATCAAAAGTAGATATAGTACTTTCCCCCCCAAAGATTATGGTGACAAAAATAACATAAATGAAGTGGATCGTATTTTGCGCATTCAAAATTTCTCTGTATTTATTGAAATTCGTCTACAGGAGAACACAACCACTTTAACCGGACACAAAAATACTGACTATAAAAAAATAAAATGCTTTTAGACTTAATATTGCACTTATTATTTTCCAGTGGCAGAATCGTGGAGTCGATATCCTCACGGTATACTGGCTGGCAATAAATATCACTTAGGAGTTTACGACGAATGTGTCGATGTACATTATCCGATTATAGGCCAGTACTGTTTATCCGAAATAAAATTAATCTCGCTGCAGACTGCAGGGAAACTGTACGAAAATAATAGAACCCAAGATCCTAAATCCTTTGATCACGCCTGGCGTACAGTATTGAAAGTAAATAGTTATACCTACATTAACATTGGATTAATTTTAGTTACTAACCAATGATATTTATATTATGGAAAATTTGTAACAACTTACTATAAATTATTACGGATTTACTAGTATACTGTTTAACAATTACACGTAACTATATCCGAATAAGGAAGAATAGTAATTAAACGCGAACAACTATAACTATTACAATGACCAATATAATATTGTTATGATTTCAATCATTATGATGATACACATCTACAAATGATTTTCAAAAGTTAGGACGTGTCTTAAACTCCATATTATAGTCTATAATTTGATATGAAACCATTTGACGAGGAGACTGTAGGAGCTAATTGTATTATTTCAGTGGGTCGATTACCCGGATCGAATTCAACGGAATATTATTAGTCTTGGAATATGCATACCGTATTCGTGTACAGCATCAGACCTACAGACATCGTTACAAGAACAATTGGACGAAGTGTTCTTACCGGAACGGATCAACGCCTCCGTAAAAGTGGATCCGATAATGTGTACCATCAGCGAAGATAAGTACCCTTATAATGCGGCGTACTATGTAACCAGGTACTTATATAATCATGTAAATATAATCATTGACACATCGATGAACATGACTGCTATACCACTCACCATCTAAATACTCCTTTTTGGATCAGTTTGACTTATTATGTTCTATGAGTCCGAAAATTCGAATGTTATAGTAGTCATGCCGAACGTAAAACTTTAAAACCATGAATACCATAGCATGGTACTGTCCATCAACATGTTAATGGTTTATTTTTGTATTGTGCGTCTGTTATACCTATATCTTGTCCCGGTACATTTGGACTCTTAACGGCTCCTTTAGGATCAAATGAGTTCAAACTCAAAAATTAGAGTTTGATACCTAATCATTACCGGAAGATTATCCGCTACTTTATACAATCGAAAAAGGAAAGGGGTAGTAGACCGTGAAATAGAGCAAGAGGTGGGCATAGATGTGGTAATTGGACATTTAGTAAATGCAAATCATGTACATACAGAGGCATAGCAAGAAATATTTTTCTAGGTAGGCTAGATAAAATGATATAGGGGTTTGAATGAGAGAGACTACTAATATATATTTTTGAAAATTGTGTTAATTTTTGGAGAAAAATGGGTTGGTCCAGGCCTAACAGGCGTGCCTGCTTGCTACGCCACCGTGTACATAAATACAAATTAAATTAAATTAAATGTATAAATGTTTAATATCAGTGAGCAACTTTGCACAACTATTTTAATTATCGATTTTAAAAAAATGAAACATTGTAAGAGTAATAAGTCGACTGGAGAAAAATGCAGTTTATTTATTTATAATATTATAATTTATAAGAGTAAGAGTTAAATCTTGATGGGTTTTCTCTAAAATTGAGATGAAACGGTTGACATTGTAACGATTTTTTTTTTTTTTTTTAGAACGTTCTTCCAAATTCTCATTTTAATCTGTTGTAGTGCAACTATATATCATTTAATGATATTATGGTACCAAGAAAATAAAATCGAATCCGGAAAGTATAATTTTGAGAAACTTGCATGGACTTGCATTATTTATGATAAATAATTGTGTGTTTGTTTTTTCATGTTTTACAGATTCATTTGTCCGTTGGTTTTCGTTCATCGATTCGAGTAAAAATCTATTAGAATACGATAAAAACAATGAATTGAATGTATTCAATGGTTTAAAATCTTTTATCATGTTATTGATTTTATTAGGTCATAGATTTATGTTTATAGCGGGAAACCCGATGAGTTATCCCGAACTCATAGAGAGAGTAAGTCAATTAGTTATATTTTACAATATTGGTTTTCCCGGTTTACTTACTTATTTCTTTGGAAGTTTCACCTATATTTTGTATTATTATGGTATTAAATAATAATATATAAAAACAGGTGTATCAGAACGGACCTGTAATTTTATTAACGAGTTTGAACATAGTCGATTCATTTTTCAACATGAGCGGATTTTTCACGTACATAATTGTTTATCCGATATTTTTGAAATCAGGATCAATTTGGATAAAAATAATATCCCCGATTGTCTATCGGATAATAAGGTAAACCACGTAGCTTTTTAAGTAGAAAATCACATATATTTTAACAAGTTTCGAAATCAAAAGTGAATTCAAATTTGAAATAATTATAAGTTTTAGGTATCCGAATATATTCGGCTCTATATCAACCAGATTATTATCAATTCAACATAGTTTTTTTTTATCTATTTTTAAATTTTTTATTTATGTGATTTTTCTTACAGTGTATGCACGTTTCGACGTAAAACACTTGTGTTCATATAAATATTCGCGTTTTTCGAGCAATATTACTATATAGAATTAACACGCTCCAATACCAACGTTTTCCCCGATATTTACACCTAAATTATTTTAGAATATTACCGGCATATTGTGCAATGATGGCGATCACTGCTCATATCGTGCCGCATTTCGGAGATGGGCCATTATGGCCTCAAAAAACGTGGATTGAAGCAGAAAACTGTAAAAGTTATTGGTGGACGAATGTTTTGTTCATAAACAATTTACTCGATGTGAAACACGAAGTTAGTGTTAACCGGGTCCTCAAATCAAAAACAAACTAAAAGAAATCCAAATTCACTCTGCTGGTTGCATTATTTATTTTTATTTGGTATTTTTACTACAGTGCCTTCTGATGAGCTGGTACGTGGCATGTGACGTTCAATTATTCGCCATCGGAGTCATTATCGTTTTCGTATACGCGAAAAACAAGAAATACGGAATCGGATTACTCGGTATTATGATGTGCGTATCGTTATCCGTGCCGTTCGTCATCACATATGTGACAAAAACGGACGCAATAGTTCGAGTACATTTACCGTAAGTAAAATCGGTGTTGACGACATCAAATACATCCGATTTATTATGATTATGTTAAAAATCAAAAAGGAATTAATTTAGATAGAATTAAGACAAATATTTAGTACTTACTCGTTTTGTTTTCGATCTCAGGCCATTTAATCGATGACAATTGTTAACTGTAGGACGTATTGATTTCGTCCCTTGTCATTTGTGATAGCAAGAGAGTAGTTTGAATTGTTAGCGATAATCTATTGAATGAATTTTTTATTGTTATTTTCCACGTTTTTCGAAATTTGTCTAAATTTGTAATGTTTACGATTTTTAATTGTAAGTAAAACAAGTTGTGTATCCGCTCAATTTTTATTTTTATTTGAAATAATATTTTATGGCAATCATGTATGAAAATGTCCGCCACTTTGTTTTACTTAGTAGCACTTATTCTGAAAGTCCAATTTTCAATGACTTTTCCGCATAAATCTGGCCTTACATACTGTATGGCGTTGGTTATGTTTTTAAATAATTTGTCAGGATGCATTTAATGCTGGTGTATCTCAAGTAGATTGTTAACATCCCAAATCCGATAATTCGTCGAAAAATGAACTTTGTCGTTAAAAATTATTCGTTTGCCCATTATACACAATGCGGTATACAATACACAGTGGTCACGGAGTATGGACAGGCAAATACAATTTTTGCACCAGTCGCACATGCGTTTTTGACCATTTCGGTCCCACTACTGACACAACCACCGTTTGACTTAATGTGGTGTGTAATGGTGGTGTGTTGGTGCACAAACGAATATTGCACCGCTGCTGACGGTGACTGAGAATATTATGTATTGGGAACTGATTATTTATTTTGAATAATATTAAATAACATTAAACACCAGTGGCTGGTGTTATCTCCAAAAATACCTGCTCTATAAAAAGTACTGACCGACCCGGTTTACATTCAATTCCTAAATAATATTATTTGATACAACAAAAACAAACATAATTCCCTAATATATTGTAGTTTTCTATCTAAGAACCTCCAATATAAACAAAGACAATTATATTTTTATTTCAATAAAATATTTGTTTTAGTTTCTGTTTTCTGAATTTACTTAACTTATTGTGTACAATTTTAGTGGCCGCGAGCCGCCACTAGATAAGTACGTAAAATAGTATTAATTAATACCGCAATGAGTATGTACAATAATGATGACGAAATAATAATTGATTTTAGATTTCTAGAAAATCCGAGGAGTTCTTTAACACACAATATATCGTACAGACCGGGTTACATGCGAGTCACGCCTTATTTATTGGGTTTGGTCGAAGCTATGATAGTGGAAAAAATGAAGGAAAAAAATTTTAAATTTTCAAAGGTAAGAACATCTGCAATAAAAGTATTGTATACCTAATAATAGGTATTGTTTTGAATCTACAAAATGACGTTTTGAGTGCCTTTACTGGCGTATAGAATAGTTTGATTTCCTAATATATCTCAAATTCAAGTATAATACTCGTATATAATAATTATATTTAGATTACTGTTTTCGTTGGTTCGATATTTATACCTGTGATTGTATTATGGATTCAATTTTACGGAGCCATATTTTATGTGAGAGACAGACCTTATTATCCATTAGAACAAGCGTTTTATTCTACCGTAAATCATTGCACGTGGTCTCTATATGGTATGTGGATGTGCGTTTGCAATTTCACGACTGGTTACGGTTAGTCGACCACATAACTATTTAATGCAATTATTATTCAAACTGGAAAAATACTGCAATACATCATAAGTTATTACACCCATTTTATCATTATATTATAATATACGACATTAATGTTTTTGATAGGTATTATTACAAAATGGAACAACAATAGATTAGTTGTGCCGTTAGGGAGACTCTCGTATTCTGTATTTTTAGTAAACCTCACGGTAATGATGATGTCTCAGAGTTCACAAAGATCGCCCACGTATCCATCGACGAAATCTTTGGTAAGACCAATAAATATTAATACGACTTGAAAAATCTCGATCGACTTGTTAAAAATTTAAACTTGTATAGATAATTTCCACCAGTTTTCGGTGGATGCAAATGTAGTGTTCTAATGGAATTGGAAATAATTTAAAATTAAAATGTGTTTTTAGCTAGATGCGTGGATATACGATACGTTCAAAACTTATCTGATGGGTTTGGCGTTATATTTGGTCGTCGAAGCTCCGTTCGGGAAATTGACTAGAAAACTGTTCGGACGAGGGTAAATACTTCGTGTTAATCATATTGTATAATACGTTTCCATATCTTGGTATTTTAGTTCCTTTAATGGGTACTTTGAAAGTACAAAGCTCGGTTTGGAAATTATTAGGACACAATTATTTATTTATAGAAACAATTACGATCATATTTATCTGGATTTCGATTGGGTTCGTTTTAATGGGTTCATGTGGCTCGATATAGGTTTACTGTAAATTACGATTCAATCGAATTGAAAATAAATTGATACATTTTTCAATCGTTTTAAATTCTGAGCGGAGCGAGGAATGTGTTGATTTTACAATATTTATTTTTTTTCCGTGTAAAACTTTTCTACCAGCAATTTGTCCACGATTATCACGAGTATAGCACTTTTTCTGAAAAGAAATCTGACTTGAATGGTACTTAGGGAAATCATTTTTTTGATTTTCCCAATTCTTTTCATAATAAATTGGAAAAACACGGGAAAACGAGAAAATTTAAAAAACGTAATATATATTTAATTTTTTTGTTTTATATTGATTCAGTTAAAAATATTTGTAGACTTGAAGTTCGGACAGAAAACTTATATTTGCCTTTTCTAGATGTAGTCGATTTTCAAAACATTGTAGTCATTCTTAAGCTATTTATGGACATTTTAATTTTACGGGGCTTAATATAAGTGGCGTACTTTTTGGTCAGAAAACAAAAACTGAGTGCGATACAGAATTTTTTTTACAATAATCTTGATACCAAAGTTTGATAAAATCGATTTAGTCAAAAAATATATGTATTTATTTTGTGATGTATGACTATTGAAAAGTATAGTTAATTAAATTATTTTCGACAATATGATATATTATATATTGTTAAAAAATCACTATTTACCAAATTCCGCTCAGAATCATTTTTCGTGAGCAATGGTTTATTGTTATGTATAGATATATAATACATTAAATTTCCTCTCTACCGTTCCAACAGTAGCCCATTCATCGTGCGAAGTATGTCCGTCCATTTTCCATTCGTATTTTATTCTAGAAAGAACATAAACACGTCAAACACAGCGGAACTAGCTGTCAGCGGCAAAGACATTGAGTTACCACAATCGGAACAAACAACAATACCGAAAATCGAACATGATTCGAATACTCGTATTTCGTAGAGCATCACAGTGATACAAACGTATAATTGACTAAAATGTTTTTCCTTTTTGCATATTTATTATTAGATTATGCCTTTTGAGAATATAATTTATTTGTTCATTTAATTGTTTTATATTCCAACGTCAAACATAAAATAATGAAATCAATAATCGTTTATTCGGTTATAATAGTGATAGTACAAATGATGTACTGATAATATTTGTCATCTCCTATCTAGGAAATTATTATATCCGCACTCCCTGGAAAAAATCCCGCGTGCGCTACTGGATATCGCTAACTAAGTTAGTTTTAGGTGTAACTATCAATAAATATAGGTAATTCGTACGGGTATTTGTACAGTAAGTATATTAATTTTCGAAAGGCATATTATTATAGTTTTAGTGGGGGAGGGGGAACACGATTCAGACACCGCGTGAACACTTTGTTTTTCAATAATATTTCTTCGAGCAAAAGTTCGTATGATTTATGCGTTCCTATCCAGTACTATTCTATTCTGTATGCGTAATGGCGTTGCGTCACATTTGACACGGTAATTGCGTCGTGCGTCAAATGAACGTGAGTACGGGTCATTTGGACGCGAGACAATATTNACCTGACGCGACATTTGGGCTTGCGATATTACGACAGAACTACAATTTCGACTTTTTTTCATCTTTTGCAGGTTTTCAATAATTATCATTATTATTATTGATACGGCTTAATGCAGTGACGTATCTAGGGGGGCGTACTACCCTCCCCTCCTCCAAAACGTCTTCGAAAAAAAAAACAATACTAATAGTTTGAAAAAAGAATAAAGTGTTATTACACTTAATAGTCTACACAAATAATACAAATTAACGATATTCAAGTCCAGTTCAGTGTAATGTGTATATTATAATAATAGGTAGCTCTATGGTTTTCGGTTATCCAAAAAGACAAAGTATTTTGCAATTGTCAATAGAAGATGTATATCCACAAATTAATCGTTTTAAACTAAAAAATCTATGTGCAACTCGATCGGTCGATCGCCATGACGCAGTTATATAATTTGAAGAACTTCAACCAGTCATTTTACACGCACTAGATAAAATTGTCCTTTGCACAGATTCTGACACTTCTAGTTCTGCAAGTCATCTTCCTACTGCGATAAAACAGTTAAAATTTCAAACAGTTTTATCTATTTTAGTGAAAAATACTTTCCATACGTTTTTCACTTAGCCGATATTTTCAAACTGTAAGTCTTGATTCAAAAACTGCATTAGAGGCTGCTAATGTTCAAAATAATATTCAGGATATTAGAGAAGATTGTTATGTAGAGTTTCAACAATTATTTTTATCCGTAATTACTGTCTGTGGAAAATTTGATATTATTGTTGGTTTGCTACGTCAATCTAAATCAGATGATCCAGAATATTTTTTTAAGTATTCATGTCTTTTATAGATAATTGTTTAGACCAATTGAACGAAAGATTTATATCGCACATGATTGTTTTGAATAATTTTGATTGTATTTTACCGAAGATAGAAATGAAAATATCTGAACATATTAAAGCTAAATTCAAACAATTAGTAGATACATATCAAGATATAATTGATGAGTGTAACGATTCAAATTTAAATAATCATATATTAAACGGAGAATAAGATTTGTGGTACGCTAAATATTCAAATTTAACATCTTCTGAACTCAAGAACAAAAATACTTCTAAACTAGTCCAGATGTTTATTTAGTAAAATATAAACTTCTTCAAATATTTATAACACTTTCAGTGTCTACTACCACGAGAGAACGATCGTTTTCAACACTCCGACATTTGAAAACATACCTATTTCGAGAAATTCTTCGGGACAAATACGTTTAAGTGGTATAGCCTTACTAAAATATAAAAAAATAAAAAAAAAATTAATATCATCATGTGTGTTTTTAATTGTATAATTAAATTGTTTGTATACAAGCAATCAAATTATTACTGATAACAGTCTGATAAGAAGTACATGACATAAGAAGTAATAGTGCGTATACACCAATATCTAAACCTCTTCGTTAACATTTTAACATTTTTAATGTTTTACCGATTTCATTGCGTTTTAATTTATTAATGTTCAATGTTAATATTAATGCCCAATGCGGAAAAATTCATTGATACATAATATAAAAAGTCAGCGAAATCAGTGAACGATAATCTTGTTCTCAATGGATTTGTGTAGGTATACAAAAGTTGCGGTTTAATAAAAACTATGAAACGCATAATAAAGAAGAAATACCAATCATTATATAACACACAATTATTATGTATTTTTGTTAACCTGATTTCGAAGTTCGACAGTCCTAAACTCAAATAATAATATCGATCATCCAATATTTATATTTTATATCCCTATATAAAATACTTTGCCTTGGATAATAATACGAAAGTATCCATTAAAAAGTTAATATAAGAATTTATTTTTAAAAGACGTTCCAGGATAATGGGGACGGATCACGAGTGCAGCCACTGTTATAGATAATATAATGTATACCCGTAAGCCATTATAAACCGTTGTACCTCCCTAGTGAAATTTCTTTTTTAGAAACATTGCCATCAAAATATGTAGAAGCAAAATTGCTGGTTAAAAGTTGTGCACTAGAAAAAAAAAAAACATAATATTTTAGTAACATATTTCGTATATTTTCTCCTCGTTTTTCCTCAGTTAATTTTTTCAAATTTTATGAAAAAATTGAAAAATGACCTTTCTAAAGTATTTAATGTATATATTTGCTTAAAAATTAACAATTGTTAATGAAAAATGATTCTGAGCAGAGTTCGGTTAATATTGTTGTTATGTCAACAATATATATGTCGTATTATGTAAAATATTACATAAAGTATGAATTATATATTTCTTTAAAAGATTATTTGTTAATTAGTGTACACTTATTTTCCCGTTAAAAAAAAAATGATAATCAGTAAAAAACTATTTATTATTATAAACAAATTGGGTATTAATTTTTTTAAATGAGGGTTTTTGTTATTATATTATTTAATAATAAATTCAATTATATAAAATGTAAATTATATTTAGGCAGACAGAATGAGTTGGTTTTGGATAATGATAAAACAACACGGTATCTTAAATGAATGTATAATAATTAATTTAAATAATAGGGACGAGATAAAAATTATGTTGTAATTAAAAAAATGTATGTGTGAATTATTGGCCCTGATAAGGGCCGCTTTAATATGTAATTTCGTGGTATTTTACAATTCTCGACTTAACCGCCGAAACCATAAAGAGTACGGCCTTGGCGTTTCAGAGCGTAAACAACATCCATGGCCGTGACAGTCTTCCTTTTAGCGTGTTCGGTGTAAGTGACAGCATCACGAATAACGTTTTCTAAAAACACTTTCAACACGCCACGGGTTTCTTCGTAAATGAGTCCGGAAATACGCTTCACACCGCCTCGGCGTGCTAACCGACGGATTGCCGGTTTGGTAATTCCTTGGATATTATCTCGGAGCACTTTACGATGCCGTTTCGCTCCTCCTTTTCCAAGACCCTTGCCTCCTTTACCGCGTCCAGTCATGGTTTTGTGGTTTGTCTGTCGGGTTGTAAAACTTGATCGGAAAGCCGCTAGTACTGCTGTGTGACGGTCGAACTGAACGTCGGCCGTTTTTAAGCACTTCAGTCGACGAGTGAACCAATCGGAACGCAAGCCGAACTACCCCCTCCTATAATGCCAGACACACTCCCTGACCAATGAGAGCGACATAAACTGTTCTCGTTTTTGTATATATATATCGGTAGTGTTTTTTACTGCAACACACTCGTGAAATACTCCCGTTCGCCAGTTTAACAACTCCGATACAGATCTACTCGTTCGCCATGGCACGTACCAAGCAGACCGCCCGTAAATCGACCGGAGGTAAGGCCCCGAGGAAACAACTGGCCACCAAAGCCGCCCGAAAGAGCGCTCCCGCAACCGGCGGAGTGAAGAAACCCCATCGTTATCGTCCAGGAACGGTCGCTCTTCGTGAAATTCGTCGGTACCAGAAGAGCACAGAGTTATTGATCCGTAAACTGCCTTTCCAACGGTTGGTACGTGAAATTGCCCAGGACTTTAAGACCGACTTGCGTTTCCAGAGTTCCGCCGTAATGGCGTTGCAAGAAGCCAGTGAGGCTTACTTGGTTGGTCTGTTCGAGGATACCAACTTGTGCGCGATCCACGCCAAGCGAGTCACCATTATGCCTAAAGATATCCAATTGGCCCGTCGCATCCGCGGAGAACGTGCTTAATTCAAAAATGTAACTCTCTCATTTCACCCTTTGAAACGGCCCTTTTCAGGGCCACCAGATTTTAACGGTGAATTGTTATATTATTGTGCGCCTTGATTTCTGGTTTGAATCATGTGTTGGATCTTGTAAGCAACGCATTCATCGTAAATATCATNTAATAATTAAGAGGGAATACCTACTCCCTCTCATTCATTTAACATCATATTATTATTACTTTTTTTTTTTTACACGTTGCACAAGTCTTTTTAACCGATATTAAGCCGAATAAAAAGTTCCAAGATGCCTTCGGTAGACATATATTTACTTTGCAATAGATATTTGAATATTAAAAATCTGATTGATATGTGACCGGGTCTAAACACTACTCTCTACGGCTGCATTCGAATTGGGTCCGAAAATAATAGTAGTTTTCAATTTTCTATGAATTGAGTCCGTGTATAATGTCATATTCACTGTATCATCGTAATAATATCAAGTACGGATATAATATGAATTACGTACTTTCCGGCAATGAAATAGTATGCGTTTAAATACACTTATTAGGTATACAACTAAGTTTATTTATTTTATCGTAGTAATATAACATGGAATGCGTACGTTTTGGCGATAAACATTTTAATTATGTATTTCATAATATTCGACGAACTACTACTCTGATAATACCACTAATGTGTTGCGTTCACATTCCATACATAATAGACAAGTCTCGTAATATTATGTTTAGTGAAAAATACAAGCGTATCATGTTTTTGATGGTTTGAAATGTTCATTTCATAAATGTCCAAAAAATGATATCGGACGATGGCTATGTGAAAAAAGAACATTCAAATCTTTTTATAAATGTGAAAATGGAATCACGAAATCACGAACCTGACGAAGTAAATATTTTAACCGGGCAGACAGTGAGAAACTCTTAAAAAATAAAAGCACGAGAAAATCCTTTCAGGGCCACCAAATTTTACAATTGCCTTCACGGTGAATTATTACATTAATGTCCTTGTTAAATAGTTATCCTGATTATAATATCAAGTGTTATCTACGTGGTATTTTTATTATCGTTTCATTGATTTACTGCTAAAACTGATCAAGAGTAATGCTTCAGATATTTAATTAATTTAGTTTAGTTTTCAGAATGTCTTACAGCATTTTAAACGGTTAAAACAAAGATTTAATATTATATTATATGCCATTATTTTTATTTAAGAATTTGTATTGCGCGACTGTGTACAGTCTTAAAACCTTTAACACAGGTAATTACCAATTTTATCAATAGTGATGTTACGCTGTGAGTCATAATATACCTGCGCGTGCGCACAGCTATGATGATTGGGCTATCATATTATTATTAGTAATATAAAGCCCTGCCTAAGGATATTTTTTTTACGTGAGTAATAACTTAGATGCCTTTAAAGCTATAAATAAAATTAGGTGCAGTAATTCATGTACATATCAATTTAAATAATTGCATTTTCTACCATTGATCGTTTACCGAAATAAAATATCTTCCAATTACCAAACTCTTGGCTAAATTTTGGTTTATGTCGAATGATAAAAACCTTTCAAATGAAATTATCAGATATATGACGGTACGGCAATATTGTCAATAAGAAATCGTTGATTTTTCAAACCTTTGAACAAGATTCTTCTCGCTGTACAATAATATAATTTTAAAAAAATATATGCTTAATAAAGTTATAATAATAATCATTAGTGATGGAAATAATCGAGAGAAAATAATCGAATAACAATATTATTTGAATGAATGTATTGAGTAATTACTAATTAGTAGTTACTATTTTTATATTTACTAGTTTAGTGATATAGTAGTTGGTGATTACTCGAAACAGTATCAGTAATCATTCTTATTTCTTTCTACTATTTTATTGACTACTAATAACTAATATTACTTATATTACTATTTTCTTATCGCGGATGGTGTATCAAAACATTCAAAACAGCGGCATGCCTGCAGAATGACGTTTTTATCTCGCGCAAAGTATAAAATATACAATATGGATCAAAATAAAATAACCCACAGTTTACTATTATGCGCAAATGCTAAGTAGATCATTCTAATCATGTATAGATGATTCTAGAATCATAAATGAAATAGGTAGTTGCTAATTTGCTATTGTTCCTATTCTAATTTCGATCACACACTTACCATATAATATTTAACTATTATATACCCTTATTTAAGTACATTTTATTGTATCGTTTGTTTCATTTATTAATACGGTTCGCGTGTCGTAAAACATCGTATACAAAATTAACGTGTATCGTAAAAAATTCAAAATAAATTTTTAAATTTGAAAATACGACCAGACAGTTAAAAACGTTTTGTAGTGTGGGAGCATTAAAAAAAAAAAATGCCGATAAAAGTGTAGTTAATTGTCAAATCTGTAAAAAAGAATTGAAAGTTTTACGGAAATACAATTTCCGAAATTAGTAATTTAAAAGGTAAGAATGTTGTGTAGATTTAATGAATATAATGAGTGTTACTGCTCGGAATCTAAATTAGTATGAATTTGCACGGTATAATGAGTGTTTCTTATCTACTTGTTTAGTATATCGAATAAATAATTCGATTATGAAAATCAAAATGTTTTTCGATTATTTTAATCGAATGAATCTCACTCGATTATTCCCATCGCTAGTAATCATAAAAAAAGGCATTATTTGACATTAATTTGTTGGGCCCTGATAAGGGCCGTTTTAATCGTTCAAAATACTGCAATTCGTAAATTTACTTAGAACTGGTGTACTTAGTTACGGCCTTGGTACCTTCACTAACGGCGTGCTTTGCCAGTTCACCGGGCAATAATAAACGGACAGCAGTCTGTATTTCCCGACTGGTGATCGTAGAACGCTTATTGTAATGGGCGAGACGGCTAGACTCGGCAGCAATACGTTCGAAAATATCGTTGACAAAACTGTTCATGATGCTCATTGCTTTGGAAGACACACCGGTATCGGGATGCACTTGTTTCAACACTTTGTAAATATAAATACCGTAAGATTCTTTCCTCTTAGGTTTGCGTTTTTTGTCGGATTTAGTGATGTTCTTCTGCGCCTTGCCGGACTTCTTCATCGCTTTGCCTGACGATTTTGGAGTTGGAGCCATTTCGAGTTAAACGGAAAGACAAACTTCACGAAAAGCTAACGAAATACCTGTGTATTAAAGCGCGAAAATTTTTACTTATATATGTACTAAAAACGTAGACATTTCGTAAGTTTTTATTCTCTTAATTATTATTTTTGTGAGTATAAAAAACATTATATTATTTACGGTATTTGTTGTGAAATAATGTCGTTTTATCTCGTCGTAATATTAAAGTCTGTCCCAATACGAATGTTCATTATTCTTTATTTTCTCTATATAATCACCCAATACACGTCCGAAATCTATCGAGCATATTTTACTACTACACTGTACTTATTAACGCAAAACTAAAATGAGTGGACGCGGTAAAGCCGGCGGCAAATCGAAAGGAGGAAAGTCAAAGACCAGGTCGTCCCGTGCCGGATTGCAATTTCCAGTCGGTCGTATTCATCGTTTACTGAAAAAAGGAAACTACGCAGAACGAGTCGGGGCCGGCGCACCCGTTTATTTAGCGGCCGTCATGGAATATTTGGCCGCTGAAGTATTGGAATTGGCCGGTAACGCTGCCCGTGACAACAAAAAGAGTCGTATCATACCCAGACATTTGCAATTGGCCATAAGGAACGACGAAGAACTGAACAAATTGTTGAATGGCGTTACGATCGCTCAAGGTGGTGTTTTGCCCAATATTCAGGCAGTTCTATTACCTAAGAAAACCGAAAAACCAAAGACCTCGTAAACTCCTCTTAGTTTGTTAACAATCTATACTAAAACGGCCCTTTTCAGGGCCATCAATTTTGAATTGTACACAATTAAGGTTGTGTGGTGTATCTTATCTTAGCTTCTTCCAATAAGTTCTGCGTGCTACTGACATTTAATGATACTTAGTACTTTTCAACAAAACAAAACATAATGACGAATAAAAAATGTACCCTCCAATCAGACACAAGACACAGACAGGAGAATTTTTTCTTCATCCAATACGATACAACCTATAAGACCACGGTACATTGTTACATTGTTTTTGAAAGATTTTAAACTAATGAGTTTTTCTGAGATAATGATCTCAAAAAGTAGTAACTTTTTTGTAATTTGTATTCCATAAAATTTAAGAAAGAAACAACAGCTAACAGCTCTACAATTATATACGAAGTTTAGACGAAAAATATCCGTTATTTACATTAATTGTGTATGAATAATATACGTAGTATACACTAAATATATTCTACACTTACAAAAGAAATATCCACTTTGTATACTCTAAATATATATACATAAAATTTACATAAATGATATCCATATACTTACGTAGATTACTTATTAATTAAATATGAATAACTAACGGATATTAAACGTTTGATAACCTTTAAAAAACGATTTGTCGACCCTAAATTACACCATGATATTAAACTGTTCATCCACTGAATGTCTATGTATATTATACTTATGGTTCGTATATGATAAACATATGTTAACATTTGTAATATACGTACACAATAGTGTTGACTGGATATGAATGTAACGCACATAATTAATATTTTTAATAAATATGTACCGTATTAAAGCAGCAACTCTGTTTAAGAGATATATGTGATGGGGTTAGTAATTGTGCAATGTAACATTGATCGTTTATTTTACAAATATTAAATATTCAATACAGTAGTTTGATAAATATATAGGTATTTACAGCTAGCAATGGTTTTACTGAAGAGAGTTGACTTTTAAGTTTTAATACCAAAATGATTTATAAGTAAAGTTAACTATACACAATTTTAAATACCTAATATTGCTGTTTGGGTTTAAATTTAAATTTGATTTGAAATGTGCTACTCATCATCAATGATCATACTATTTATCACGCTTATGTCTAATGACCAAAATTCGTACACTATATAATTCCGGAAATAAAAACGCACAAACTGTATGTTGCGGACGGTAAATTTCTGGATTCCAAATTTTAAGTGACACTAACGCCGTTATATAGTGTAACGTATAGTTACAATTATAAAATACGGTAAAACTTTTTAAGGGATTTTTAAAAAGTAACCAAATGTTATTTGCAACTGTAAATGTGTTTACATTTTAAAAGGAGCAAGACGATGACAGTTTTTAAGTGGTTATAATTTCTACAAATTCCAGTTGTCCGTCAGAAGTAAATATTCGTACTATAAATGATTGGCGATTCATTATTCGTAAAAGATTATTAATTATCCCTATAAGTTATATTTGTATAATTAATTTTGTTTTTCAGTGGCTGGGATGTTATTGTTTTACTACGAGATATTTAGATGATATTTACGATGAATGCGTTGCTTACAAGATCCAACACATGATTCAAACCAGAAATCAAGGCGCACAATAATATAACAATTCACCGTTAAAATCTGGTGGCCCTGAAAAGGGCCGTTTCAAAGGGTGAAATGAGAGAGTTACATTTTTGAATTAAGCACGTTCTCCGCGGATGCGACGGGCCAATTGGATATCTTTAGGCATAATGGTGACTCGCTTGGCGTGGATCGCGCACAAGTTGGTATCCTCGAACAGACCAACCAAGTAAGCCTCACTGGCTTCTTGCAACGCCATTACGGCGGAACTCTGGAAACGCAAGTCGGTCTTAAAGTCCTGGGCAATTTCACGTACCAACCGTTGGAAAGGCAGTTTACGGATCAATAACTCTGTGCTCTTCTGGTACCGACGAATTTCACGAAGAGCGACCGTTCCTGGACGATAACGATGGGGTTTCTTCACTCCGCCGGTTGCGGGAGCGCTCTTTCGGGCGGCTTTGGTGGCCAGTTGTTTCCTCGGGGCCTTACCTCCGGTCGATTTACGGGCGGTCTGCTTGGTACGTGCCATGGCGAACGAGTAGATCTGTATCGGAGTTGTTAAACTGGCGAACGGGAGTATTTCACGAGTGTGTTGCAGTAAAAAACACTACCGATATATATATACAAAAACGAGAACAGTTTATGTCGCTCTCATTGGTCAGGGAGTGTGTCTGGCATTATAGGAGGGGGTAGTTCGGCTTGCGTTCCGATTGGTTCACTCGTCGACTGAAGTGCTTAAAAACGGCCGACGTTCAGTTCGACCGTCACACAGCAGTACTAGCGGCTTTCCGATCAAGTTTTACAACCCGACAGACAAACCACAAAACCATGACTGGACGCGGTAAAGGAGGCAAGGGTCTTGGAAAAGGAGGAGCGAAACGGCATCGTAAAGTGCTCCGAGATAATATCCAAGGAATTACCAAACCGGCAATCCGTCGGTTAGCACGCCGAGGCGGTGTGAAGCGTATTTCCGGACTCATTTACGAAGAAACCCGTGGCGTGTTGAAAGTGTTTTTAGAAAACGTTATTCGTGATGCTGTCACTTACACCGAACACGCTAAAAGGAAGACTGTCACGGCCATGGATGTTGTTTACGCTCTGAAACGCCAAGGCCGTACTCTTTATGGTTTCGGCGGTTAAGTCGAGAATTGTAAAATACCACGAAATTACATATTAAAGCGGCCCTTATCAGGGCCAATAATTCACACATACATTTTTTTAATTACAACATAATTTTTATCTCGTCCCTATTATTTAAATTAATTATTATACATTCATTTAAGATACCGTGTTGTTTTATCATTATCCAAAACCAACTCATTCTGTCTGCCTAAATATAATTTACATTTTATATTCGTATAACTTCGCATANTTATGTAATATTTTACATAATACGACATATATATTGTTGACATAACAACAATATTAACCGAACTCTGCTCAGAATCATTTTTCATTAACAATTGTTAATTTTTAAGCAAATATATACATTAAATACTTTAGAAAGGTCATTTTTCAATTTTTTCATAAAATTTGAAAAAATTAACTGAGGAAAAACGAGGAGAAAATATACGAAATATGTTACTAAAATATTATGTTTTTTTTTTTTCTAGTGCACAACTTTTAACCAGCAATTTTGCTTCTACATATTTTGATGGCAATGTTTCTAAAAAAGAAATTTCACTAGGGAGGTACAACGGTTTATAATGGCTTACGGGTATACATTATATTATCTATAACAGTGGCTGCACTCGTGATCCGTCCCCATTATCCTGGAACGTCTTTTAAAAATAAATTCTTATATTAACTTTTTAATGGATACTTTCGTATTATTATCCAAGGCAAAGTATTTTATATAGGGATATAAAATATAAATATTGGATGATCGATATTATTATTTGAGTTTAGGACTGTCGAACTTCGAAATCAGGTTAACAAAAATACATAATAATTGTGTGTTATATAATGATTGGTATTTCTTCTTTATTATGCGTTTCATAGTTTTTATTAAACCGCAACTTTTGTATACCTACACAAATCCATTGAGAACAAGATTATCGTTCACTGATTTCGCTGACTTTTTATATTATGTATCAATGAATTTTTCCGCATTGGGCATTAATATTAACATTGAACATTAATAAATTAAAACGCAATGAAATCGGTAAAACATTAAAAATGTTAAAATGTTAACGAAGAGGTTTAGATATTGGTGTATACGCACTATTACTTCTTATGTCATGTACTTCTTATCAGACTGTTATCAGTAATAATTTGATTGCTTGTATACAAACAATTTAATTATACAATTAAAAACACACATGATGATATTTATTTTTTTTTTTTTTTTTATATTTTAGTAAGGCTATACCACTTAAACGTATTTGTCCCGAAGAATTTCTCGAAATAGGTATGTTTTCAAATGTCGGAGTGTTGAAAACGATCGTTCTCTCGTGGTAGTAGACACTGAAAGTGTTATAAATATTTGAAGAAGTTTATATTTTACTAAATAAACATCTGGACTAGTTTAGAAGTATTTTTGTTCTTGAGTTCAGAAGATGTTAAATTTGAATATTTAGCGTACCACAAATCTTATTCTCCGTTTAATATATGATTATTTAAATTTGAATCGTTACACTCATCAATTATATCTTGATATGTATCTACTAATTGTTTGAATTTAGCTTTAATATGTTCAGATATTTTCATTTCTATCTTCGGTAAAATACAATCAAAATTATTCAAAACAATCATGTGCGATATAAATCTTTCGTTCAATTGGTCTAAACAATTATCTATAAAAGACATGAATACTTAAAAAAATATTCTGGATCATCTGATTTAGATTGACGTAGCAAACCAACAATAATATCAAATTTTCCACAGACAGTAATTACGGATAAAAATAATTGTTGAAATTCTACATAACAATCTTCTCTAATATCCTGAATATTATTTTGAACATTAGCAGCCTTTAATGCATTTTTTGAATCAAGACTTACAGTTTGAAAATATCGGCTAAGTGAAAAACGTATGGAAAGTATTTTCACTAAAATAGATAAAACACGACGCAATTACCGTGTCAAATGTGACGCAACACCATTACGCATACAGAATAGAATAGTACTGGATAGGAACGCATAAATCATACGAACTTTTGCTCGAAGAAATATTATTGAAAAACAAAGTGTTCACGCGGTGTCTGAATCGTGTTCCCCCTCCCCCACTAAAACTATAATAATATGCCTTTCGAAAATTAATATACTTACTGTACAAATACCCGTACGAATTACCTATATTTATTGATAGTTACACCTAAAACTAACTTAGTTAGCGATATCCAGTAACGCACGCGGGATTTTTTCCAGGGAGTGCGGATATAATAATTTCCTAGATAGGAGATGACAAATATTATCAGTACATCATTTGTACTATCACTATTATAACCGAATAAACGATTATTGATTTCATTATTTTACAATGTGGTATATAAGATAATTATGTTGCTAATTGTAAAACTCGATTTACAACAAATTTTTGACGGCGGGTTTTGAATTTCGGGGCGTTGGTTCTAATTCCACCTCTGTGTGTGCTACTGGTGACATCCGGTGAAATCAGGTTGAAATTTAACACCGCGTGAATTAGCGTCGTTATCGTCTTCATCTCTGGTGGTGTCGAATGGAGCACCAAGTACTGGCAAGTGCGTGCTGTACGACGACCGGTGATCACGACAGTCATCATCTTCGATCGAAGAACCTAAATCCGTGGTCGCAATAGTTTCGACAGCGATCTCGGTTGCGGTTCTAGTCGAGTTAGCGACGGTTGAACGGGCTGAGATTTCGGTGGTGCGGGCATCCGGGTCATATCGGCAACGAATCGGAAGACGGACGTCGCGTAACGTTGAGAGTAAACGCAGCCTGCGATTTATCTTCAACCAATTACGCGCGATTACGTTCAGTGCAGTACCCCGGCAAGGTGGACGACTGTCTTCGAAACCGTCGTCGTACGTACAGTTTTCGTACGTTTTGGCGGATGCGACTTTGGTGACGGGCTGTGGACGTTCGACGGTATCGGAACGAAGGCTACGGTTAACGCGGTACCGTTGCTCGTACAGCAGTACAACGGAACGGCCCAACAACCTTTGTAGGCCGTGCCATGTTTTCCGGACGGTCTCTACAGCGGAGACGAAATCCAGCGCCGGAGTCAGACCGCACACGCCGATCAAGAACGTGGTCAACGCTGCCGCCACGGACGCCGGGAAGTGACGCGTTTCGGCCAGAGCGATGGCGGTGGCGCACATGCCGTGCAACAGCACTGATCTCTCGGCCCTCCGCTTTCGTTCGCTGGCTACGAGAGCGTTCCACGCGCGTGCTACCAAGGCGGTCGGCCATCGACGACGGACCTTCGCGGACGGTGACAGCGATCTGCGGCCGTCTTTCGTGTCGCACTCTTCGCCGTCCACCGGTGCCGTGAACGCAAATGTCTGTTCTGAACCGGGCATTTCGACGGTATCGAAAACGTGTGTCGATACACGACCGCGCGGTGTACGACTATACCGTAGCCGTATGCCGGATTTGTTTTTCACGGGCACGCGTCCGTCCGTGCGTTCGAATAAAAACACAACACGTTTCACGGTAATTCGCTTATAAATGATAATATGATTATTGTATTCATACGGGCGTACGTTGGAGAAGATTGTGCCACATCCAACAACGCTCTGAACTTTATGCAAAACAACCCTGCATTATTTCAAATGTCAATATGTAGACTTTAATTGGTTATAGTTTAAAGTCTATTATGGATGAATACCATTCAACAGTTCATTATTAAATCGTTTGTTTGTATTGAGTTATCGGTCATCACTTATATACGTATTATAGTATAAATTATATATTACATACTATGGGCAATTAGTTGATCAGTCGTCGGTTACAAGTCCAGTTAATAAATCTCAGATTATAACTAACAGTAGACAAACTGATGATTTTATCTATGTCTGGCTAACTGAAGATTGGATGAACGATAAACCCGTATTCAATTATTATCCGCTCTTTATATAGCATGACGTAGAGACTGGTTTGCCAGTAACCGCTTGATCTGCTCAAGGCGTTTATAATACTATTAATAAGCGCCTTGGATCCGCTTGTCTGCCATAAAATGAACTCAACAAGTATACGCACTCAAACTAAAATCAACAATATATAATTCACCCTTTCAATGTCTCCAAAATAAAACAAATAGAACCATCACTTCACCTCTCCGAGTTTCAGAAACAGATCGATAAAAATTTAAACAAGTTCCATCAAATACCTAGTAGGTATTAATATAGATAAAATATTATGACTTATGACTAGGGACCGGATTTATATGCAAATGCATATATGTATTGGAATAAGCTTTTTGAAATCTGATGAGCATTGTCCCCGATTTAGATTATTCTTATTAAAATAACACTCATTTTATTTTGCATATTTCAACGTTTTTCTCTATTAAATGCATATTGAATGCATATTTGTAGTTTTATAGTGCATATTATTATTTATAACACATATATTCGTTTTTCGTCGTATTTTCACGTGGCTGTAACCATATAATACCGATAAAATCTCAAAAGACCAATTTAAAATAGATTCAATAAATAAAATTATAATAAAAATTTCAACCCGTCGTTATTTCCAAAGATAAGATTACATACTCATATAGTATCTCATATAGTCTTCTGATCATCCAATGCAATAAGGAAAAATATGAATTCAATTTTTGAAGACGAAGATGACAAAATACTTTCAAAGCTTTTTTATACTTTTTTTAATACCGTATTAATTAATACTTTTTTTTACATAATTTTACATATTTTTACAAAATTTTAAGTGCATAATTAAGTACATATTTAAAAATAAATACATATTCAATAGCATATTACAGCATTTTTAGAAGCATATTTGAGGATTTTTCGTGCATATAAATCCGGTCGCTACTTATGATACTCACGTCCAAACGGTAAGTACGTCACCATTGCACTCCATAAGAACTTGATGATTTTGAATAATTTATTATACATACAATTTATAGAACGTAAAAACTTAAAAAAAACTTTGTACAAAATGTTTACAATTTTTGCAATTTGCTTTGGGCATTATCATTGCTTAACGTAATTTGTTACTGTTAATTAATATACAACCCGTTCTCTTACCCAACAAATCAGAGAGAACAAAAACTGCTCCAGTGGCTCAACGGTAATATGCACATAAATTTAAATATATAAACGTGCTTTTCAAAGCCTTTAATTAAATCTTCTACGTAATGAATATTATTATAGTCAATAATGTCACATTATAATATATGTTTATTAGTGATGTGCCGAAATGAATAATCTTTACTATCGAATACTTAGGTAACTTATTAGTTGGTGTATCCTATTATTAATATCTGTTACTGATAAATAGACGTGTTCTGTACCAAAAACAATATTGATCTGATACCAAAACATGTGAATATGTATACGTAAATGTGTCTTTTTCAATTTAAAATAACAACAATTGCAAACTTAATACGAAGATATAAATCTACTTACTTTTCTTTTTACAGTTCATAGTTTAAATATTCTAATATTAGACATGTTTATTTTATAGGATAATGTGTCAAAAAGATACTTGAGAAACCAGACTGGTTTACATTCCAAAAAGGAAGATATTATTTATTAATTATTGATAATTTTAATTAAAATTATTTAATCATTATTCATTATATTAAGTATATTAAAAATATGTACCTAATATAATGAAACATATTTCGAACTTATAGTTGGTTTTTAAATACTTAAAACAATATTAGTAGAACTACAAATAAAAAAATAATAATATTACTATTTTTTTATTAAATAACATTATATCAACATCATAAATTAGTTTGACAATTTATGTTTTCATTGAGCATTAATATTATCCAATTCACTGAACTTCAATTGTTGAATTTGGGTATTATTTAAAGACAGCCCAAATCCACGTTCAATTGTCTGTTTTATATCTACTCCCATCAAGGAATCTATTCCTAAATCAGCTAACGTAGATGTAGGTTTAACTGAAGATGGATCCTGTATTCCTGAAAGAAAAAAGTATAAATTCAATACCATTTACTTATTAGTTATCATAAACAATAATAAAATGTTGGTTTTTTTTTGTACGAATATTTTGATCTCTTATAAAGTTTTAAGTTGGTATTAATAGGAGGCATGCCTATTAGTAGGTAATAATTCTATGTTAGGTTAATTTTTTACTCATCAATGTATAATTAAGTTCAATATGACTCTCCTATACATAATTCTAATATATAAAATTATTACGATTTTAAGAATAGATATACAATATACAGGGTGATTTTTTTTATCATGGACCAGTATTTATCTCTGAGGATTTGAAGTGATTTTGATTTCTGTTTTTTCTAGTCATTATAGAATCATTTAAGCTTTATTTTTAAAACCATTTTAAATTTGTACCTTTATTTCATATACCTTAAATAAGTACATACTTTTGATTTTCAAATAAGAACCCCCCCCCCTTTTTGAACACAGATTTGAATAGAGAATATTTTTCTAGAAATGTTGATGTACATAACACTAATATCAAATTTACTATTTATGAATTATAATAGTTTAAAGTTTAGACCGGAAGAGTAGAAAAAAGTTATAGATAGGCAAGATATTTATTGATACAACAATAGTGACATGCAAAATTATATAACATTAAAATTGCTATTTAAAAATAATAAAATACTGGTACATTTAATTATAATAGTATGGTACAAATTAGAGAAAAATAAAAGAAAAAAATGTAAGATAACAAAAGCAAAAACAAAAAAACAACTTCCCGTATCGTTGATAATTGTGTTTCTCAGACATAAAATATTTTTTTGTTTAAATTTTAAACAGTTTCTTGAATTTTTTTAGGTAATTCATTGAATATTCATATAGGTAGATTTTATTAGCCTCTTATAAGCAGTAATGTTAACTCTAGTACACTGAGACAACCTTCACTTCTTCCTTCAGAATTAATAATTAAAAATCTATTACCTCGAATATATATATATACATCAAAATGTAATTGGATTACAGAGAAATACTCAAAAAGTTAATTTAAATTAAATATGTGAAGAATGTCTAATAGCTGTATTTTTTTAACATAATTTGTATAACTATTCAGTGTGTAGTGTTTAACGACTCAATAGTAAATCGGTATATCAATCCCCATAAAACAATTCATAATAATAATACAACAAATCTTATGCCAAAGATATAATTGACTATACTAACGCAAAATAAATAAGATAAGATTTAATTATTTACACATATAAAACATTTTTCTAAATCTTTTTATACTTAGATCAATATGCATTTTCCATTAAATATTAGTATTGAAGTGTACATCAAGATATTAAACATTACATACACAAACCAATTTGAAACACTCAAAATTACATATCCCTTTTTTCAAGCATGTAAATGAATGATTTTCCAAGATTATTTGAAACATTAAATTTTTGAATAAGACAAACATCATATATGCATATTGATTTTGTGTAATTATTTCTGATGAAAATGAACTACTTAAAATTACAAACCCATAATTCCAGCTATGATTTTTGATAGAGATTGCGATTTTGAATTGTCAGTTTGATTTCTTTTGTTTGGTATCACATGTGAAGTGACAACGGCCAAACTTTGTGTTAAAAGCACATCTAATACAGATAAACAAGATGATATATTTTGAGGTAGCGTGCCATTGATTTCTTTTTTATTGTTTCCATGAATTAATTTATATGCCATTCCAACATCACCAATTCCTCCCCACTGGATTGATTGCTGATGAATAAATGAAGAATTGTTTAATATTATGACTATGTTTTAAACACAATATTTTAAAAACAAAACCAAATGATTTATGAAAGTTGCCCTTACAGCAGGTAATCCTTGTCTCTGCCTTTGCTCTGTAATTCTTTCCATAATGGAGTTTGCATAACCATAATTAGTTTGACCTTTGTTACCTCTACCACATGAAATAGATGAGAAAGTAACGAAATATTGTAAATTATTGTTTAAACCTCTAGATGCTTCATCCAAATATTTAGTAGTCAACACTTTACTGTTATATACATTTTGAAAATCGCTTATCGATTGATTTTTAAATAACCCATCTTTTAAAATCTAAATTATTAAAATGTGTGTAAATTATATAAAATTAGTCAAAAATATTCATTCAATTTTCTATAGATCATACCCCAGCTAGGTTAAAAATTCCTCCAACTGGTCCTAGACTCGAGGCTAATTTTACAGTGTCATTAGCTCCTGCCAATGTAGTCAAATCATACGTGCTAATTTCAACATTGACACCTTGACTTTTCCAAATATTTAATCTATAGTTCTGATAACCAGATTGAATTCCACTTCGAGAACATAGAACAATATTTTTTGCTCCACGTTCTACTGCCCAGTTCGTAAGCTCCATTCCAAATCCACCGAGACCGCCTAGGAATATAAAGTACTTAATAGTTAAATTTATAATCTATATGTTGTATAACTCAGAGCGGTAGACAGAAAAATAGAACAGAGAATGAATAAGTAGATGGATGGAATGACAGGAGAAGACAGGATAAGGAATAAGTTCATAAGAGGTAACATAAATGTGACTTTGATATTAAACAATATAGTTTGAGCATGTCATGCAGAGAGAAGAATAAGAAGCAGTAAGAATGGCAATGTAAATAAACGTAGGAGGAACGGAATATGAGGACAGCTAATGTAAACCATGATGATGTGGGAGATGGGGTAAATTCAAAGTTTGAAATAAGGATGGCTGACACTAAATTTTTGGGACAAAGGAGAAGAAATATATTTATATATTTCAAAAGACTAACCTGAAAATATATAACTTTTATACTGGTCAAAGTAAACCTGTTTGTAAGCTTCCAAGTTTAATTTTGAAACCTCTCCATTAACTTCAACAATGATCTTATTATGGGCAGCAGTATTATTAACATATGCCCTATAGACAAGAAGTTAAATTTTAATTTTGTTAAAGCAACCATATATAACATAATAATATGTACGTAGTTAAAATAATTTGTTACCAAACCAAATGATATCCATATTAATTCTCATTTACCTGAATGCTGACTGAACATCGGTATACGGAAATACAGAATATGATAGAGGTTTTATAAGATTACATTTAACTTTTGATTTGACAAATGAATAAATATTATTAACAAATTTACTATTCAAAATAGGAATATCTTCAAACTTAGCTGAGATAACTTCAAATCTATTCAGTGAGTCTAAAAACAATCAATATAATTTGGTAAAATATCTTATTAAAAAAAGTAACTAAGCATTTAGTTAATGTTAAAAGGATATAAAAACAAAAATTAATTTTACTTGGTAAAATAGAAATGTCTATATTTTCAGTGACAACCACTTTAGCTTCATTTGCAAATATTTCTGGCAAACGGTTAGGAACATTTTTTGATAAAATAATGTAATCAATTCCACGAGTTTGAGTAGTTTTTGAAACTATATTTATAAATTTTGAATCCAGCATTGTTGTTGAAAATGGAATTATCTTTATAAAGCATAAAAACAATAAGTCTTAAATAGTTAAAATTTAATTCATAATCAATATTTTGTTTACTCACTTCTGAGTGATTTGTTTTAACAACTTTCAGTTGTTCTTCAGTTTCAGCTATTACAAATACTTTACATTTGAGGGACAAAGCAACAGAAATAATTGCGTAGTTAATGCTATTATTACTAAGACATACTAGCACATTTTTGGCTTTTGGTAATTTTCCGTTATGCATTAAAGCATAAGTGGCCTAAATTATAATTTATGATAAATTTAATAAATTATATTAAACTAATATTATTAGATAAATTACCATAAAGAATGAATACGGAAAAGTGGCGGCTTGTTTTAAAGTCCAACTTTGCGGTACATTCCATAGAAGAGCATTATTATGATTAATAGTTGAAGATAAAGCACCACTTTTAACCAATCCCATTACTTTTTTACCATTTGCTTTGACACCCGAAAATTCAACACCAAATTCAGTTTTCTAAAATATGTTATACATTTGTTTTAGATACTTACACAGTTTTATAATAAATTATATGATTTTATAAGTTATAACCTAATAAATTTAAAAAAAAAATTATTAGTAATAATAATTACTTAATTACCATTGAAGAAACTGCAGTTATATCCACACCATTAATGCCTATGTATGATATTTTAATTAAATTGTCACTAGAATTGGCATATCTGTAAATTATTAATTACAATTTGAAATAAACATAGAAATAAACCTTTTTATACTAAATATATATATATATATAATTTGTACTTGGGTGACTCAATCCATTGGAGTGTTGTTAGATCACCTTTTGCCAGAACTGATACTTTAGCATGAGCTGTGAGAACATTTGAACAAGTTTTTATATTTATCGGTAAGTGTCTATATGATCCCCAAACACCATCTCTTTCCACATTAAATAATAAATCAGTTTCTAATAGTGATTCAAAATCCTTGAATGTATATTTTTTATCAGAATCAACCAATATACATCTAAACATTACATAAATATTTGGTATAATTTAATTACTAAACTTTAATTTTATTGTTATAAACTAGGTATCACCTAACAGGATTTTCTTCACCAGAGAATTCTTCAACTAAACATTTAGATAGGCCAAGAACACCATTAATATTTTGATCACTATATAATATAACTTTTTTGTTTGGATTTGTATTAATATTAGCTAGTTCCTTTTTTAATTTTTCGATCCAAGAAAACTGTCCATCTTCAATTTTTAAAGTTATGTACTCATATTTAGGGGATAACTAATAAAATAAGAAAAAAATAACTATATAACTTACAACAAATATTATAAATTATAATTTATTTAATAAAATTACCTTTTTAAGTAAAAAATATTTGTTATTATTATTTTCAGCAATAGCAACTATTTGAAGATTTGATGACTTTAACATTGATGAGGGTACAACAGTAATATTTTCGACCAAAAGAAGAAATCCTCTTGGCATTAAAGCTGTAGAAAATGTACTCAACAAAGTACTATCAAATTGAGAATCCTCAGCAACTAACAAATGATATTTGTCTGTTAAAATTGCATTTTTAATATCAAAGTTAATAATTTTAATATCTAAAGCTGATAATTTGCTTTTTTCTACATTAACAGGCTTATTTGACAAAACAGAGTAGTTGACCTATAAAAAAAAAAAAATTTGGTAATATTTAGTTTAACTGTGTCATAGAATAATACTTATAGGTACTACCTACATAAAACTTAGCTTCTGTTTCTATTATTTGAACAATGTCAAGAGCCTGTAAATTATTTTTATAAAATTCTGCTGCTTTTAAATTATGTACTCCAATATTTTCCATGAACAAGCCAACCAAAGTATAAAGGACGTCATATGTAGACAATTCTTTAGTCTGATAAAATATAAAATATTACTTTAATTTTAGTACGTAATTGAACAGTTTGAATATTTACTTTATACATATAAGGTATAAATGAGTAATATTCCAAAATTGCTGGTTGTTGCATAGTTTTTCTCAATGGCAATGGTGTTACTTTTAATTTTGACACCACAACTCCACCAGACTGTGTTGATTTTGCATGACCATAATGATTTACTTCAACTTTTAGAAATAAATTTGCTTCAGTAAAATATAAAATAATATCATTATTTTTAATACCTTTAGAATTTAATGATCCCTCAGTAACTTTTTTATGGTATATGGGGTCAATAATAACTTCTTTAATGTATGTCGGTAAATAAAGGTCTCTTGATTTAATAGATATAAGTTCAAACTGTAAGAGAGTATCAATATAAGATACCCAATTTCCAGTCCAAGTGATTTTACCTTTAGAACCTGATAAATAAAAATCATGCTTTATTTCTTATACTTAAGTAATTCATTTGAAAAATGTACCTTCGATATTTGATTCAACAAAGCCTAAAAATGCATCTTTATATTGGTAACCACGAAGTCTTAATTCCTTGTAAAAATCATCAGAATTTAACACCATCTTTTCAGAAATTATTATTGGATGTTCAATTTGATATTCTGTAATATTCTTGGTAAATAAACTAATAATACCAGAAACTGTTACAGATTCTTCTACTAATAGCTCAAACTCTCCTGATCCCTTCAAAATGTTAATGTTAAATTTAACAATATCTATAAGGGATAAAATGCAGTTAATTCAAAAGAATTTTTTTTATGTTTGTGTTATTTACTTTCAGTATTAAGTAAAGTGGGTCTGAGAAATCTTATATTTTGAAAAACAACTGGGACATCTTCAAACCATTTGCCATGAAGTTTTGCAAACGCCTTCCATATTAATGTCTGTAATTAAATTAAATGTACTAATAATTTGATCAAATTTTATAAATTGTTACTAAATAACTGATACATTTTATACAAATATTTTTTTATTAATAAAAAATGTACATGAACAATGTGTTATATTAAACATGTTAGAGATATTCAAACTTTTCTACCCTAAATGTTAAAAAAGATATTTAGGTGGCTTTTAAATTATTAATGATTAAAAATGATTTTTCTTTTTGATTAAACATTTTAATACAGATATATTAATAAATTTAATTGTTAATTTTTTATTTTGTTGATTTTTGTATTTGCATACACTTTTTCAGCCGGTTATTTTTATTTTACATTCCAATATGGTTTTAAACTGAAATGAACCGAGTTTTGAACTAAACAATTAATTAAATTATTTTCTGACTTTTTTACATGATTTATCTAAACTTTAATAATTGCATTAATAGTTTTGGAAGTATTTGACTTTATTATATGAAATTAACAATTGGCGTTTACAGGTATTAAAAATACTCCAACATGAAAACATTAAAAATATAATAGTTCATTGAAAATTGTTTATAAGTTTTATACTTACTATATATCCTGCAGCTGGATACAATATATGTCCATCAATTGTATGTCCAATTAAAAATTTATCTTCATCATTTTTTAAATTAACTTCAACTGTATTGCCATTTGAATCATAACTCTAAAAAATTTAAAAATTATTAAAATAATTTCAATACTTTAAAACATTTAACATTAAATAATAAACTTGATTAAACACATACTTGTTCTGAAAAATTTGGCACTAAATAGTCATTTGAATGATCCCATTTCAACATTGGTGATATCATTGGTGTTCCTTTGACTACGGGATACTCGACTTTACCATATATATTTTTCAACTGTGGCTCTGCTCCAGCAATATACAATCTTTAATAAGTATTATAACATTTTTTATAATATTTAAAAATATGTTTATAGAAATTAAAACCTTACTTTCCAATAGCTTCTAATAGGTAATTTATGTGACTTGTAGTAACTTTTTTTGTTAAACTAACATTTGTTACAGTAGGAGGTAGTGATCTTTTTAAAATTGCTTGCAATAAACAATGAGGGGCAATTTCAATTGTTATAGCGTTTTCAGGTACAAATTGAAGGGCACTATGAAAGTAAACTGGAGAACTTATGTTATTTAAATGGTAATCCATTGATGAATATTGGCCTTCTGGTGTATTCCATTGATCTTCAGGTAATGATGTACTCTTCCATCGATTAGATTTTGGTTTAGGATTCTTCATAATCTATTATAAAAAAAAAAAAAAAATGATATATTTATACATAAAATACAGAATATCCAATGAAGATAACTTTTCTGTAAAATCTATACTTAACTATTTAATTTTTATACATAACACTATTGATTATAAAATAAATGATACTAAGGAGTTTAAAAATTATTTAGATTGTACTTCATTAATTTAGAATACCTCTGCATAATATGGTTTCAAGGCAGGTATAAGTTTTTGTAAGTATGGTGAATGGAAAGCATATCCCAATGAATCTACAGGTTTTGTGAATACGCCTTCTTGTTTTAAAGTTTCAGTAAATTTCAAAGTTATTTCTTTAGGTCCAGAAATAGTGACACTATCAGAACTATTGTGACAAGCTGCTACAACTCCTTCAGGTAGTCTTTTTTGGGTTTCCTCCCATGATAATCCTACTGCAACCATAGCCCCAACAACTACTTCTATTTCAGTTAAAATTTTAGATCTCCAGAATATTGTCAATAATGATTCTTCCAAATTGAAACATCCATCTGCATATGCACAAGCAATTTCACCAACCGAGTGACCAATAATCCCATCTGGTGTAATTCCAAAGGAATGTAAAATATCAACAAGACCAATCTAAAAATATGATGATTTATTAATAATAGTTTTGAATTATACTTATTATTATTTTTATTACTTGAACAATAATAATTGTGATTGTAACATTAACTATATTCTTAAACGTGTTATCATTGGATTTGTAAAATAAGTCATAAACACTGAATCCAAGAGGGATTAAAATTGTATGTGCTTTATCTACAACTCCTCTAAATACATCAAATTTCATTAAATCTTTGACTAGATCTATTGATTGACTTCCCATACCAGGAAATATGAAGTAGACTGGCCTCTTTTCCCCAGAAACATTACCTGGCTATTATATTAAATATTAATATTCATACAAGTTAAATTTTGTGTTTATTATTAGATTAACATTAAACTTACAGCTATTTCAACAGTTTGAGGATTTTCCCTAAGAATTGAATATCCAGAATATCTGTGACCAGAAATTGGCGATTTGTAAATATCATCAATCAAAGTTAAAAAATCATAATTATCTGCATAACTTTCAATCTAAAACAAAATTGTAATTTACAATAAATATAATAGGTACATAAAAAATTATACAGTCGTTATGAGTATTATTCTTATTGGAACTTTAAATAATTCAAATTAATAAATAACATTTCTAATGTTAAGGTTTATATAATCAAAATATTTAGAAAACTATTTTCTTTTAAAGTTAAACGTGCAAAAACAAAAATTTACTAATTATTAGTTATTTACAGAAGGAAATATGAAACTGTTTACATTAGAAATTATTGACATATATGACTAACAATTTCAAATTGTTCATTCAATGTTTCTCTTGTTCTTCCTGATAAAAATACTAGTCTAGGAATATTGAGCTTTGGTAACGACTCAGTCTGCACTTTTTTGCTATTGGCTTTAAGAACAACATGAACGTTTGTACCTCCAATGCCAAATGAGTTAACAGAAACCATATCTCCTGGTAATGGCATTTGCTTATCAACAACCTGTATTAAATCCCATAAATTGAAAAACACTATGAAATTATTAGTAAATTTATAAGTACCTCACCTTTAATTCTCCAGTTACAAGTTTAGGAATATTATGGTTCAATCTTTCAAAATTAATAGTAGCTGGAATAATCCCTGTTTCCAACGCATAAAGCACTTTGATTATTGATACCAAACCTGACACTGGTTCTGTGTGACCCGCATTTGATTTAACTGAACCAACAAGTAGAGGACTTTTACGGCCAATACAAAAAACATCTGAAATTGCATTTAACTCTTGTTTGTCTCCCACCTATATAACATGATTTCAAAAATGCAAATAAAAAAAAAAAAAAAAATACTAGAGGCAGGTATACTACTATTGTAAGTGGACAGTTGAGAAAGTACATAAATTTATTTAATTTATATCTGAAATCAGTGATAAACTGTTGCTAAGAAAAATCATTTTGAACAAAGTTCAGTTATTAAAAATGTTTTTTAAATGCTTTAATTTTTGTTGAAAATTGATCTTAAAATGCTTTTAAAAAAAACTCTTTTTTTTATCACTAAGTAAATTTGTAATGAACCTTATATTAAATTTTCATATATTTCTTTTTGGCTACACAATTGTATCAATTAAAAATTAGAAAATGTCAAATATCTATAAATAACTCAAAAACCACCAGAATTTTATTTTACCATGACTAGGGAAAGTTAATATTAGTACTCTGTGAAATTTTTAGGTCTTTGCAATGTTTAACCCAATTACAAAAAAAAAATAATAATAATGAAACAATTATTTCTGTAAACCTATTAGTTTTTCCAATTATAAAAACAACTACAAAGAAAATCAAAAAATAACTTTCTTATGCACCAAATATATAAAATTGAAACTAAACTTTAAAATAATGAAACTGTTAATGTCGAGGTGCACTGTATATTTTTGATTAGGTTTTTATAGGTTTTTTCCCAATTATTAGAAAAAACCACTTGGAAATGCAATAAATCACCTTCCAATGCACAAACACATAATAGGTCTTTTGTAATTTTTTAATTGGAGTAATATTTATAGCAGAAAAAATCAAAAAAATGATATTATAATTATAGTAAAAATAATTCATTCTTCGCTCAGAATCTAAAATATATTTATTTAACATACACCCGTTGCTGTCCCATGAGCTTCAACATAATGGACATCTATGGGTTTTATATTGCTGCGAGCATACGTATCTCTAATCAATTGACTTTGCACTGCTTGTGAAGGATATGTAGCGCCTTCAGTTTTGAATCCATCAGTGTTGGTTGATGTCCCAACTACAGTAGCATAAACTCGTTTGGCATCAGTTGATTTCCTGATATAAATAGCAACAATCGCTTCACTTCTTACATAACCATTAGCTATAATAAATATTAGTACATTTAATTTGACCTATAGTTTCATAAAGTTTAGTATTTACTAACCACCAATGTCAAAGGGCCTACTAGTTCCAGTTGGACTAAGCATATTAAATTTATGGTAAATAACTGAAATAGCTGGTTTTAAGAGTAAATTAGATCCTGCTATTATAGCAGCGTCACATTGGCCTGTTTTTATTGCTGTAATAGCATCATGCAAACAAAATAATGAACTTGAACATGCAGTATCAATTGTAACACTTGGACCTGTTTTATAATAGTAAATTATAGTAATATATAAAAATGATAACATTTAATGTCTAACCTTTAAGATCAAATTGGAAAGAAATTCTATTAGCTAGCATTGATCTAATTGCACCAATTGTTTCATATCCAGTTAATGTTTCTGGGGTACGTTCAAAGTAATCTGAAGTGTCAGTAGTCATCATACCAACATAAACTCCTGTTTTGGTTCCACATATTTCCTGTGGGTTTACACCTGTAAAAAATTAATAATGTTGAAATTCAGTAAAGTGATTATTAAATATAAAATACCTGCATCAACAATAGCTTCATGTACAACCTCAAGGAGAATCCTAAGCTGAACATCCATAGAGTTTGCTAATTTTGAATGTATTCCAAAAAATTCTGCATCAAACTTACTAATATCCTTCAATTTTCCTGTTCTTGCTGGAATTCCGTAAATGCCTACATAAAGAAATTACACACTCATAATATTGAGTAAAATCAAATAGTCAAAAAATTAAACATAGTATAAAGAAATAAAATTATTTGTTCTTTAAATCCTTAATTAACCCCCTTTTTAGATGTTGGTTAAAATGGTTAATTTTTTTTTTTATTAATAGTTTAGTAGTTAATGTAGGTGCACAATTATAGTAAATGTAATTAATAATAAAATTAGTTTACCTGGAGTCCATCTTCTATCATCTACAGTTAACAGGTCAGCATTACTGTATAATTTCTGTTTAAATTCTTCAGTTGAATCACATTCTGGGAATCTTCCAGCAATACCAGATATTACTATTTCAATTGATCCTGGCATGCCTGGAATGGAATTTTTTAAATATTAAATATCAATTGTCCGCTTCAATAAAATAAAACTGTTTTTCGTATCTGTTCAATAGCATATGTATATAATTATTTAGTTTTTTAGTCGGGTCTAAGTTGACATAGGTATACCATACCTTGAAATAGCCTTCCTAAGTAACATCCATTGTTTTACTGCTAGGTAACATTACAGATTCAATGATTTTCGGATCAAATTTATTGTGCATAAAGGAACGTCTATAGCAATGTGTTTTTTCCATTTTTAATAAAATCCTAACTGTCTAGAATTACGCAGTAAAAAAATGAAATAAAATAATACAATAAGGAACCTATACAAAAATCATCAACGAAATACAGTTTTTTCTTTTTCAGGCAATAAACCGATTTTTTTAATCTTGAAATGATAACCAATTGCAGGATATTCGAACACGTGCTAATATCAGTGTAACCACCTGTACAATTTGATGTTTTACCATAGACATTATACTGTAGACATATTAATATTATATCTGGCAAATATAACATTTTAGAAACAAGGTGCTCCAAAATGTTATTTTTGTGGGTAAAACAACTACCCATTTATGATTTTCAAGTCGCAACCTATATTGAAAAGTCCATGAATAGATTGAGTAGTAGGTAAAATAAATTTAAGTGTTGACATTTTTGATTTCTGTCAAGCCGTTGACGAGATATACCACTTTTAATTTTAGGTTGAAAGAGAGTAGCGGTGCTCCTCTACCACTCTCCTCCAACCCATATTGAAAAGTAGAATATCTCGTTAACGGATCGACGGAAATCAAAAATGTCAACACAAAAATGTATTTTAACTAACACTTAATAACACTATTTATGCACTTTTTAATATAGGTTGCTATTTGAAAATCAAAAGTAGGTAGTTTTTTGTGTGTTTTACACACAAAAATAACATAAATATAACATTTTGGAACAGCTTGTTTTTAAAATGTTCTAGAAAACATATATAAAATATTATTATTATTTATTTATTTAAGCACCGGAAAACCTCAAGTACAATACGTTTAAACACAGGTTTTAATTTAATTTAATTATATTTTTTATATTATAACATTTTTATGTGTGATTAATTTAATTGTGAAAAATTTTAAAATTCGTTTAACCGTTTTATTTTAATTGTATAAAATATAAAACAGTTAGGCTCAGACACGTTTATTGTTAGGTTTTTTTTACTTTTTTACTTCAGACTGGATAGACTGGATTTCTCAATGGAATTTTCAAAATTTGTCCTTATAATAGCGGTAATTTTTCCGTATGACTACAACGATGTTTTTAGCATAGGGTGACCATACGTCCTGTTTTATACAGGTTATCCTTTATTTCGGCTTTGTGTCCTGTTGTCCTAACAAACTTCTCTCAGGACGCTTTTTGTCCTATAATTTCAAATCTGTCCCATAGTAATCTCGTTTTTAGTCTTACTGNTACCATTATTATTGTTGCATCACATTGTTGTCGGCGAAGTAAACCAGATCGTTATCAAATGTGAGCGTATTGTAAAATAAAAATATATTAATAATAACCTAATAATAGCCCCATGTCGTGGACAAGCATTATGTCATCGGCAATCAAACATATTTTGAAATGTTTTTATTTCATTAGTAATGTTCCAACAATCGTTGACTCTTGAGTGTCGTCGACTTGTTTTTAATCGTACGTTTTTAAACATCCCAAATTGTTAAACTTAATTAGTTCTTCAGAAAAATATGAAACATCAATTAGTGAAGAAATGTCAGAACAATCGCCATCAAAATGAATTAACAAGTTTTTTTTAAAAAGTAAAGTATACAATATACATGAATAAAGGATTTGAAGAAATTTTAAAAAATATTAATTTAATTTAATTATATATTATTATATGTTTTTCAAAATAATGTTTTTATGTGTTTAATTTTAATCTTTAATAGTTTAAACAACAACAAAAAAAAATAATACATACTTATTAATTTAAAAATATTATGGATAATATTTTTGTCCTGTATTTTATTTTTTTTAATATGGTCACCCTATTTTAGCATCATTGAAGTCCCGATTACAATGGACTCAACGATTTCGACTTTCTCAACAAAACCGAAACTTGTCATGGTGTCAACGTATCTTTTACCCAGTACCATTCCTGTATTTATCGTCGTGATCGTTCACTTGCCATTGTGCTTGGGCAGTATACGTAAAACGTAACAGGAAAAACATTGCGTCTGTTTTTGATTGTTTTAAATTGTATTTGTTTGTGTTTCCTGTCTACATACAACTTCGCGCTTATCCCGTCTCCGACTAAAAGCTCACCGCAATGAGCACACCGCGGATATGAGATTTATACCGTAACTCTTTCCGCTGAACATCGATTCGGCCCCAAAACACATTATGGTCTAGTCCATTCCATAAGAGAACGGTAACGGCCGCAGGTTGCGCGTGTCCCACAACATCGAACGTTTACCACAACGGACCTTTGCGACCATTAAGGTACGGTTTCCAAGGCGCGACAGTCGCCGTCCGACTGTTGGTATGTAATTCCTATTGACTGGACCTATTGAACTTTATCGTTGTTTGTTTATACATTATGCGTGATATAAAAAACATCAACATTGTCGTTTTTATTCTGACGTTTTACATGAATAATTTTTTTTTCATTTCTTTATTTAAAACTTAATTTTATAAAAATAATAGTAATATTAATTTATATTATACTATTTATAATTAAATTGATCGAGTATGGATGACCAATTTCAGTAAAATGTATCGTCCAAAGCACAATAATTATTAATAATTTTAGCATAGGCGAGCGCATGGAGTATACGGGGTATGCAACTGCATACCCTGAACACCAGTTCCGGATTAAGGGGGGAGAATAGGGGTCTACTTCCCCGAGGTTTCACAAAAACCATGTAATAAGTTTAATCAAATTTTTTTTACACTATATGTACGTTTTATGTTGTAATTCAATTTGAATTTTAAGTAAAAATTACATTTTTAACTAAACAGTTGACTGGACATTTCAATATTTATGTATATTTTTTCATCAGAGTTTTACGAACTTAACTTTTAGGGGCGCTAGTAGTGGCCTTTTGCATTACCTGAAAAAGAGATCTACGTACACCTATGAATTCTAGCACGTTGTATAACTCGTCGTAAACCTCAGCGGTTAATTGGAGGAAATTTAACGGCGTAACGGGTGTTCACTGTTCATTCGACATGCGCGAAACGTTACCTTTATCTCGTGGAATGAACTATATCATTGACGAACATTAAAATATCATTAACTAACTTAGGAATTAAAAACAAACGGTAAATCATTTATAAAAAAATTGAATAATAAGGTCTTAAGAACAAGCCTTTTGCCTTTTGGCACAGGTACCAAAACTTAAAGGAAACACTTTAGATAAGGAACATATAGTTTAACTGATTTACTTCTATCTGTTACATATGAAGTATTCAAGTACTAATTACTTAGGTCTGATCCTGAAAACTATGTCATAAAACTGTTAAATATAAAACACAAATACGATAATGGCATGAAAATGTACAAACAATTTTTACGAATCACTATGTTTCATAGAATATCGGTTGTGACATACAAAATTGCAACGTCATTACTCCGACGCCAAGCTGACGTTGCCGAAGATTTAATAATGGAAATACTTTTGAGATTGAACGCGAACGGGACAAGAAAACCCTATATAAATTATTTTCAACTATTAAAAATTAAGATGATATAAATAGTATAATTTAAATCTAGATTAGTTAAGCTTATAATGTGTACGAGAAGTGTTTAAAATCTCGACAGTTATTATCCTGCAGATAGTTATAATCTTGACAGTTACAACCCCAACAGTTAACACTATAATAGTGTAGAGATGTAGAGTATATATTTTATAAATAGAAAAAATACAAATATTACAAAGATAGCCCTTTCAACGCTATGTACCTGTCGGTATTTCGATCAATTTAAGATTTTAACCGATGGTATTTCGACCAATTTGGGGTTTTCACTGTCGGGATTTTGACCCGGACCCAATGTACACCGATTTTTGTACCCTTCCACCGTGTTTGAACTGGGCTTTAAGCACGGTTCTTCAACATCAAATCTACATTAAAAATTTACAACTCAAGTTCAAAAGTACAGTTAACAAATGATATATGAATCGTTTAAAATTCATGGTTATAAGAAATTGACCTTGAACGTTGAAAATGCTACTGGAAAAAGATTATGAAAGCGGAAATAATTGGCCTAAATGGCTTAGAGTAAGTTATAAAAAAAAATGTTATTACATTATTTAATGGAATGTAAAAAGCTTGTCCATAAAATGTACAAATAAAATATATTATGGGCCTGTAGTGTACAGAGAAATTGAGATCTCATGTAGTTAACAAAAGTATACTTAACCAATTTATTTTAATTTTAAAAAAAAAAATCTGGATGCACTCGATAGGTTAGGTGTGTTCGAAGGATTTGGAATGTGTAGAAACTACGGTAAAATAATTGAATTTGTTCGACTACTATGAATTAAATAACTAGAAACCACAATCTTATATTATCCCTCCAAAAAATTGGCTATCCGTTCTTTGACAAAAATACAAAATTTAATATCTACAACAATAATAGGTACCTGATGTTACAAAATAACGATACATACAAAATATAACACCAATAATTATTAGTAAATAGATAGATTATAATCTATTTATGTTATATAATATGATATATGTTTTTAGGAATTTGAATCATCAGTACTGCACTAAGTTTACTATGCCTTAATAGAATCACTGATATCTGACGGCATAATTGACTGGGGGAGGGGGCATTTAACAATTCAATATCCACAATGAAAATTTTTTAATTTTCAAATTTTTTTTTTAAATAAAATAAGAATATTATAAATTACCCAATAAAACAATAAATTTAAAAAAAATGTCATTTAAAGAGTATTTTTAGCTTTTTTTAGATCATTTTTCGATGATTTTTAGTGTTTTTAAATCCGGGCCCTAGTTATTACTAATATTATATTATTATTATAATTTATTTAAATATAATTTTTATAAAAAAACAATAAACATCAGACATTTCTTTCCAAAAAAAAATAAATTTATATATACCTAAGATATACAAACCTTTGATTTATGGTAGACAATCTATTTAGTGATAACTTAGAAGTATCAAAAACACAAACACCAGTCGACAGATAGGTAAGTATATTGAAAAAAAAAATTGTTTTTGATTAAAATCACTAAAAATGACTTAATAAAATCGAACTTATGTCGAACGATTGGCAGTCGTACACTGAATGTATAATATTGCGATTTGATTGAAAAATATATAGCAATACTATCGTAAAATACAGACAAAAAAGTCTAAGTACCTACCTACTTAGTTTTCCTACCTAATAATTCTTATTCAATGTCATATATATATAATATATTATGTGATTATCTTACATCATCAGACATTGAGACTGGTTTCACAGACAATAAGCGCAAAATCGTTTTAAAAGTAATGCGCAAAATTTATTCTATCGTACAATTAAAGGCTACCAAATAAAAATCTCATACATGTATTATAAATTGGACTTTTCTGATTTAGATTTTTCAAAACCATCTAAAATTATAAAATGTAATCAATTTCATTTAAAATAGGTATCAATTTGTCGATGTATGTTTAGGAAACATAAATTCAATAACAAATTATTATCTGACATCCTTGAGCGAAGCCACATTTTTCTCTTTTAAGGATTGTAATAATTATTTAACATAAAGGAGACCCTCAGGCCTGGACTGTCAGTTGTACCAGTAATTCAGAAAAAAATACGGCCGTTGAATAAGTAGCTGGGGGGGCACAGTCACCCCCTGAAGCCGCGCTTGTACAGTTAATAGATATACCGGTAGATAGTTAAAGTCGACGTTTAAATTGTGTTGGGACGGAGTACTTCTTATTTTCTAAAAATATTTTTTGAGTATTCCTCCTAATATTTTAATAGGCTTAACCGATGCGACGTTTACAAAAATCGATTAAGAGGAGTTCTGAGAGATTAAAAACTTGCTGACTTCATATACCGAATTTACTAATTTAAAAAAATGTGTTAACCCATTTTAGATTCTGAACGGAATGTATTAGTTTATAATGATATTTATATTTTTTTTTTTTTTTAACAAATTTTCTACCAGAATTTTTCTACAATTTTCAAATATAGCACTTTTTCCGAAAGGAAATTTAATTGAGGGGTATTTTAAAAGGTCATTTTTAAATTTTCCTATCTTTTTTCATAACAATTCGCTAAAACCCGGAAAAACTGTAGGAAAAACGGGATAATAAGTACAATATTAAACAAATATTATTAAAGAAAATATGTAACTATTTTACCATAATATAACATATAAATATTGTTGATAAAGCAATACTATTAATCAAACTCCGTTCAGAATCGTTTTTGGTTAGCAATGGTTAATTGTTGCGTACACATATACATTAAATTACCTATAACAGTGGTTGTACCCATCCCCATTATCCTAGGACAGTATTTTTAATTACCTATCTTTGCTCTACCTTCCCAACTTCTCACCTACAACAGTGACCCACCCACGTGTGAAGAATGTCCGTTTGTTTTTGTTTGAAAATTATTTCATTGGTAATAAATTTACTGATATAGTAATATAACGGTAGTCACGTATTCATGTTATAAAATACCCTAAAAATACTAAGAAATTAATTGTTTTGTCTAATTTAAAATTAAATTATCTTTGTATTGTTGACTCAGTTTTTAAATTTTCAAGTGTGGGTCTAGGGTATCACTCTTTCCAAGTACCCTCCTACGCCCCGAACTGAATGAATATTATGAACATACATGTATATTTTTTATAAAGACATTTCAATTTTTGATGGTCCCATTTTTTTGTACACTTTTGCATCCTCCTTCTAATCAGTCTGATCTCCTTAAACATAGAGCGGAGCGGTAGTTTGGCGGGGCGCACCTTGGACGATTAGTGACCTATAAGCCCATAGATCGCTGACCCCCAATACCATACCTTTTAAAACTTCTGCGGTTTCCAGAATGTGGTCCGAAATTTCTTTAACATCTCTGGCTGCAACAACATCTAACACGAGAGCGAGACGCCTGTACCATTGTTAACTGTAGCCTGGCACCAATGGCCACATCTCGATGTTCTCGATGATGCCAAAACTCGCCTCGAAGAGTTCGAGCTGTCACGGATTCGTTGATTTACTTGGAGATGCCTCCAGACCACCCGTCCTCATTTAATTATCCTCCTTGCTTCCTTCTTCCTATTCGCATAAGCTGACAGCCTCTTGAAGCATCTGAACCTAATGTCCAAAGGCATTAGATTCACTGTAGCTCAAAGTGAGCTCTTTTGCCACTAATTTCGCTGTCCGAATTAGACGTTGGAAGACTCCAGCTAGTCTGTCTTCAATTTCCTTTTTCCAACCGGCGACTTCTTACTCAACCGTGGGGTCAAATGAAAGTTCACCGTCATCAGCTGTATCCATTGTAGAAGTGAACCACCACACCCTGCACGACCTTCAGGGTTCACTCTCGATTGCCAACAGCTGGGTATCCGACCGTCCCCGCTATGATAACAATGCTTCTGATGTTGTCGTCCATATAGAGTTTTGGAAATTATAGCTTTCCATTACATTTTTTTCCTACAGCCAGGTGATTTTCGTTCAGGTTTTCTTCCTGGACGGTTGCTGGTCAAGGTTAGAGATTCCGCCCTACCGTAATTTGTGTACTGTCTCTGACTGCTTATTCGCCCAGATCCGTACTGGCTTATATCGCAGCTAATTTTCATACCTGAGGGCCGTTCCGCTATCCACAACCTGAAGACGCGCCCAATAGCCTGACATGTCGTTCACGAATTTCTTCCCGAGACATTCATTCAGTATGGCACCGGCTGCCGTTTCGCCGAGTAGCCACGAAACCGACTATGTGGGGTCCGAGAGCCTAATTACTTAATAATGCCAAAAAATGAATTAACTATATGAAGAAAGAAATATAATTTATATCTTTAATCTTCAATAAACTCGTATATTGTTAGGTATAATCTAAGTACGTATTAATATTTTATAATATCGTTGATACAATATTTAATTAGATGTTTAGTTAATAGTTATTAATGGACTAATACATATGGTTTTATGGATTCATTGTTTATTAGTAGTTATATAATATTCATACATTTATTTATGACGCTAAAGTGGGTAGGTATTTTATATAATATTATAATTATTTTTAAATTAATGAGAGACCTCATATTATTATTTTTGAAAATGTATTATAATTATATAATTTTGATAATTTAATAAGTTCTTTGCAAGAAAAATTTATAGATATACGTGAAATGCACAGTAGTTACGACTAGCTGCAGTTGGACAATTGCAGGGAATAATTAAATTATACAATTTTTCCTAGAATACTAGCTATAGAAATAATAATATTATATTTTATAAAATATGTCAATAGTACTACAAACTATTAATGACAATTAAGCTTGTTATTGCAAATACCTACTATACCTACTTAAATAACAACCGCATTATGCAAGTCAGCTGTATAATTATTAAATAAGTAGCATTTAATATTATACCAAATCAAAATACTTACCATATGTGTTCGACTGTAGAAACAAGTATATATGTAGTACCTAGGCATTGCAGTATAAATAATTAAAAATATATATATACATTTTTTTTTTTTAATAACCATCAACAATTTACAAGATACCTAATATAATAGTGTACATTGTAGTACCGTTTTTAGCAATATACTGTATGCATTATTATACTCAACGTTTATAATAATATTTTGATTATACTTACGCTATATTATAAGTTACATAAGTTATAATTATACTGAATATGACAAAATGTATTAAATATTTCTAGGTGGAATATTAAACGCAAAAATGTATGAGTTATAGTGACCGGTTTTTGGATAAGATAAATTTCATGAATTGATGTTAGAAAAGAGTTTTCCATAGAAACAGCACGTTTTAAAAATTTGGTCGCATGGTATTACCTATGTAAAAATCAAGTTGTATACAGTTATATACCTTGGTAAAAAAATATATTTTTTTTTTGGTAACTTTTTTAATTATTCTCAAACACGTACAAGAATTAACTAATTAAATTCCAAGTTACAAAAACACTAAAATTCACTTACAAGTTATAAAGTTACTAGTTTTTGTTTGTAACTTTTTTGCATCTTTGTAATTAGTTATTACCCAGTTTTGGGAAAAAATCACAAAATCGGATGACCAAAAAGAAAATATAGGATGTAGAGTAATTTTATTTATATCTGTATACGCAAAGATAAAAAATTGCTAAAAGAAAACTATTTTGAGTGAAGTTTGGTTACATTTATTTTGAAATTTTGTATGGGATTGGATATATTGTTATAAAATAAATACTAAAAATTTTAAATTTGGTAATTTCGTATATCTTTTAATTTCCACGGCTATCAAATACAAGCAATAGATTGCGATATTGCCTATACGTGTAAAGTAATAATCTAAGTACCTAGTACCTACTTAAATAATTTGAGTTTTGTTGATGAATTCATTATTTTCACATTTTCATAGTAGGTATTATGTAATATAATATTGAACTGTTTTACAAAAATTAGGTATTACATTACTTCAAAGATTCTCAACCGTTTTTGACTCATGTCATTGTAAAATATTTTCTAAAAATCCGACGGCACTCTATAGTATTATAATAATGTATCGTGCATGTTTATATTTTATAACTTCGGTTTTCTTAGATAGATATAACTAAACATATTATACAAACACAAGAGTGGATTTAGAATATAAATATGGAAAGGGGCTAAAAAAAAAATTAATTTTCAAATGCTTTAAAAATGTATTTTTAATAATAATAATCGTTTATTGTTGTCAACCATACATTATATACTGAATAATGATATATATAGAATAATATTAAATATATATGATTTCCAGCTCCCCTTTCAAAAGCATAATGCTTGTGCTGAAGGGAATAGTTCAATTTAAGTGTAATTATATAATAATAATGTTATGATAAGATACAAATTATTGAAGGATAATATTAAGAAGAAACATATGAGTAATAAACAACACAAATTAGGTAACTATATAAAATTATATCAAAATTATGTGTAATATTAGATAACAATATATTCAAATTTTAGTTTAAATACAAATGTTTTAAATAAGAAAAATTAGAATAGGAATAAAGGTTAATATTTAATTTTTTTACATAATTTGGTTCATTTATTAACATGACAAGGCTTTTGCTTTTATAATAATTAAGGTTAGTAGACATTTTATTTCTTGTTAGATAGTTACCTTGATTTACAAAAGAAATGTTTATATTTATATATACAAATTAGAAGTTTTTTTTAGTATAATTTGTTAATGGCAAATACATTGAACTCAAATATAGAGCTTGCGAAGGGTAAAGTCTTGGCTTGTGTACGATTAATTTTATAAAGCTATTTAAAGTGGTAATTACATGGTTCATAAGTCTGGGGTAGGTGCCATCCTAGAATGTAATGGCATATAAGATAATTGATTGGATTGTTGCCAAATAAACTGTTCTAAGTGAATTTATATTGATGCAATTTATTAACAGTTTAAATGTATAAAATAATTTTCTGATAATTTGAGCCAGATATAAAATATGATGATTCCATACTTCATCCGTTTGGTTATAATAGGACAATTACAGGGTTGAAAACTTATCTTACAATTATTTAAATGGGCACAGTTTTTTTTTGTCATTTGCTGTTAAAGTACTCTTAATGTTGAATTTAATACAGTTAGTTTAAGTTTAAACTAAATAAATTACCTACTGTTTTACCATGTTTTAACTATATCTAGCAATTTAAATTTAATATTAGAAATTTAAACAACGTAACCAATATACCAAACTTCAAGTAAACGTTGAGAGATTAATTGTGATTAATCGCAATTGATTGCGCTGATCATTGTGGATTTTAACAGCCATAACACTACTTGTGGATATGCCGAAACCGACGAGCTAGTCAAGAACTCCAAAATTAGATTTCCTCATTTGGTTTACACTTGCTACAAGATTTGGGAAATTACAGACGGGAGTTTAATGTATATCTATAAGCAACGATAAAACATTGCTTACGAAAAATAGATTCTGAGCGGAGTTCAGTTGATAGTGATGCTTTTTCAACAATATATATGTCATTTTGTAGTAAAATAATTAAAGAGGCTTTATATTTTACTTTAATAGTACCCCTTTTAATAAGTACCTCTCTAAAAAAATTTCGTTTTAAAAACATTGCTATCATTATAATTTAGAGCAAAATTGCTGGTTGAAAAGTTGTGTGCAGTGAAAAAGAAGGTCGTCATATATTTTAATTAATACATACATGTCTTATATTTTTTTTTTTTTTTTTTTTTTTATGAGAAAATCAAAGAATTACCTCTTTAAAGTACCTCCCCACGCCAATTTCCTTTCAGAAAAAGTACTAGACATAGAAATCTGAGCAAGTCTTCTGGTAGAAAAGTTGCGCGCAGTTAAAAAAATAAAAATAAAATATCTTTGTAAAACTATAAGCTTCTCGCTCCATTCAGAATCTAAAATTAAAAACAATTAAAACAGTAAAACTGTGGCGCATCGTAAATATTTATCTATTTATAATTTACTTTCAGGTTTTTCTCAATTATTATTTATAACCCCTTAGAAAATCAAAAAAAATGACTTCCTTAATGCATCTACTAGAGAAAATTACCTTTCAAAAAAGGTGCTATACTTTATAAATCAAAGCAAGATTTCTTGTAAAAAAGTTGTTCACAGACAGACAAATAAAACAAAAACACAGATTATAGTAAAATCAATAAATCCCTTTCTATGCTCTGAATCTAAAATAATGAAACTATTATTTCCGTCGACTTTCCTGTCATTTGAACGTTTTTTCCGGTTTTGCTTAATTAATAAAAGAACTACACAGAAAATCATAAATCCACTTTCTTACTTTACTAGATCCAAAATTTAAAATAAAGTCGGTTGTTCTTCGATCGGAGCAAAGTTTTTATTTGAAAAGTTGTTTACAGACAGAAAATACCACATTGCTGCAGCTTCGCTCCAAATTTAAAATTAAGTTCTTTTACAAAACTTAAATATATCCAAACAAATCTTTTCACGACAAATTTAACCTTTTTTGGAACGCACAGTAGTTACGACCTACTGCAGTATGATGATTGCTGGGAATAAAATATTTTTAAATTACTTAATTAAATTATTAAACTTTTCCCAGAATATTATCTACAGGAATAATAATATTCTATAATATAAAACACGATAATAGTATCGTTAGCCAATCGATGGTTTTAAGCTTGTTATTGTAAACTGAAATACAACCGCATTACGCACGTTTGTTGCTAAACAAGAAATAATCTTACTAAGCTACTCGAAATTCCTACCATATAAGCTTGACTACGGAAACGAGTATGTATGACTTATATATTATTGTAGTATGAATAAATAATATAATATGTAACAGTGGTTTTTATTTAATAACAATCAACAAATACTACCTAATATTACGTTCTACTTAAAATGTTGTTACTATATTTATGTACTCTTTTTAGTCGTTTAATTCAATATACTTAAGCTATACACAATACAGATTCAAGGCTGTTTTCAGATTTTTCCAGGCAGGAGGTTTGGTTCATCCACCCCTCCAAAACGGGTCATTTTTTTTCAGCATTTTTCAGTCATTTTGTTATTTTAGATTCTGAGTGGAACGAAGAAGCTTATGGTTTTACAAAAATAATTATTTTTTTCATCTGTTAACAACTTTTCTACCAGAAGACTAGCTCGGATTTCTAAATGTAGCATCTTTTCTGAAAGAAAATTGGTATAGGGAGGTACATTAAGGAAGTCATTTTTAAATTTTCTCAAAAGTTTTCCCAGTAAATGTGAAAAACCGAGATAAAACATGTGAAAACCGGGAAAGTCGGTACAACATGAAACAAATATTATTAAAGAAAATATAAAGCCTATTTAATTAGTTTACTATAAAATGACACATATATATATATATATTTGAGACAAAGCATCACTATCAACTGAACTCCGCTCAGAATTGTTTTTTCATTAGCTATGGTTTATCGTTGCTTACAGATAAACCTACATTAAATTTCTCTTTTACCACCTTCTCAACTTCTTAGATATAACAGTAGCTGCATCTAGTGGCATGCCAAGAAATTATCAATGGGAGGAGATGTAGCAAATAAGAATCATGAATAAAGCATAAATTCGTCTTCTCTACCCATAATTGACTGTGGGAATTGGTAAATTAAAAGCTGGATAAAAAAGGCCAATTTCTAATCAATATATCAAATTTTACCTCGTGACTTGGCTGAAATATATGATTTTCAACATTAGATTACTCATATTTTTTGTATTTTAAGCCAGTAGAGGGGGGATATAGCCGCCAAGCTCCCCTGTGCGCACACCACTGGATGCATTCATCCCCATATCCAATTATCCTAGGACAGTTTTTTATAATTCGTTTTTCTTAGATTTTATCACACTCCAAACCTTTTTTAAACAATATATCGTATGCCTTTGAAAGTTTAGAAAATAGTTTGATAATACCTTTTTATTTTATTTTTTTTAATGAATTTAAAGTTATATGAATTATTAATGTAATTTATGAATAGGCCTGGTGGACAAAGGCATATTATATTATAATAATATTTTAATTTACATAAATTATTATTGTCAATGTCAATTTGGCATCGATAGTGGTCGCCGTAAGACGACTATCAACACGCGTTGTGTTAATCAGCTTAACTAGGTAATATACACAGTTATATGCGAATACCTATCTTTCCTATAATATATTGCGTTTCGCCTCCACATGGTTATTTAAAAACGAATGTCAACTAAATTTTAAAATAACTATCTAAGGTATTTAGGTAAAACGGAAAAAGTTCAGTTTGGATGAAATAAGTTTCAGTCCATTATACCTAACGTATATTTATATTACTATTATACATACCTATTCAATATATGTGAGTATAATACAAATAAAACAACTTGATATACAAAGACTTGTTTGTTATAGCCCCACCGCAAATTTTACACGATACTGATATACCCACTATATGAGGTAACCTTGGCTTGCCAAATGAAGTGCAAACTCATGTTGGACTTTTAATTGGAAAAAAATTCCGATTTGTGAGTAAAACCATATCGGGGCGGATATATTTATTTCGGTGGTGGAGCTATAACACACAAGCATTCAAAGACCTTAATGTGGTAATGGAAGATGAAAAAAGTAGAGTAAAAAAAACTAGTACCTACCAAAGGTATAATAGTTCTAATACTCACTAGTAGTTTGCTAAATACTTAGGTATTTACAGCTAGCAACGGTTTTACTAAATAAGTAGACATTTAAGTTTTGGTATCATTATGATTTATAAGTAAAATTAACAAAACACAATTTTAAATACCCAATTTGCTGTTTGGGTTTAAATTAAAATTTGATTTGAAATGTACTACTCATCATCAGTGATCATACTATTATGCACGCTTATGTCGGTTGAGTCTAATGACCAAAATTATCACAAGACGGTAGTTTCCACAAGAACTCAAAATAATGTGAATCCTAATCTATGGATCTCAGATTTGTTTTATCAAGCGTTAAAAAATTTTACAGTTCGAGATGGGAGCACCGCTTGTCAGAAAGACACCAAGATATACGAAATAAATTTAAAAAATTACACCAGTTGGGCCGTCAGAAGTAAGTACCCGTATACTATTAAAGTGATTAGTAATTCATTATTCGTATAGAATATTGCTTACACTTATATGACATAGGTTATATTTGTATTATTATTGTTACTATAATTTAATTTTGTTTTTCAGTGGCAGAGTCCTGGGACCACTATCCAATTGGTATACTAGGAGGCAATAGATATCACTTAGGTATTTACGATGAATGCGTTGATTTGCACCATCCAATAAGAGGACAATATTGTCTATCCGAAATAAAATTAACCACCATGACTGAAAAAGATTATAGTTTCAATAGAACTGATGACTTAAATAACTTTGGCAACAATAATACCTGGAATATAATACTTGGGGTATGTACAAAATATTGAGAATCGGCGAATAAAAAATACCAGTACAAAAATAAAAACGAAAACAATAGGACTAGGTAAATATTGAGTATGTTTAGTTAGGTAGGTATGATAATATGAACTCATATAAGTATTATAATATATAAAAACTATATTTTGAAATTTTTTAACAAGATGAACTACTTTTAACTTTTAAAATCTATACATTGGTTACCTCTCAATAGTAAAACATTTAATCACCAATAAAAAAAACTGATACTGTTGATGGCTGCGTCATTTGTGTAAGTGAGTAGTTAAGAAAGTAGGATATTTAAAGTTATTTAGTTTATATCTGTGGGCAATGATAAACTGTTGCTAACGAAAAACGATTCTGAGTGAATTTTATTTATATATGATTTAGACGGCTGTAATTTTTACAATTATAATCAAAATTTGATCTAAAGCCACAATAAAAAAAAAATTACTACATTAAACTCTTTTTTTTTTTTTTTTTTTATGACCAGTATGTACATATATACATATATGTATAATGAACCTCTTGTTGAATTTTCAAGCGTTTTTATCTGGTCAAAAAAAAAAAAAAAAAATATTTGATTAAATCCACGAATTCATTTTTTATTCTGACTTTTTAATCCTTCACAAATTAAGTAAAAAATCAATAAATTGAAAAGTATTCAAAATGATCGGTATTGGCGGGAATCAAATGTGTCTCATCTGGTTTCTAGTTGATTGGGTTACCAAAATAAATAATATATAATAATATATAATTATATATTATCTATGATTTCTACTGAGATTAAAACATGCCTCATCATGTATCTCAGATAGATAACGTTATTAACACGCCGTAAGCAGTGCAGTACTTTAATATACCTGATGTTTGGTAGGACATATTTGAATTCGCGCCAAGATTGATCTTTTTAAACTAGGTAAATTTTTAATAAGTCCTACAATAATGAAAAGAAAAAAATTATTTTTTAATCAGATTAAAACTATAGAATTAGGGAAAATGCATTTGAAAAACATTGACAATCCCCATAATATTTTTATAGTCTATAGTCTATACGAAATTAAAACTATGTAAAAATTGGCAAACATAAATGATTAAATAATGTCTCAAATGTTTTTAAAATTTTGCTGCGCCTAAAAAAAGCAAATATAAGTTTTTGAGTTAAGATTGGTTTTCTTTACGAATATTTTTACCTGAAAAAACATAACAAATAAATAACAAAAAAAAAAATAATAATAATAATTAATCATTTTTCATTTCAGTGGGTTAATTACCCCGATCAAGTTCAACGGAATATTGTGAATATAGGAATATGTATACCGTATTCTTGTTCGGCATTAGATCTACAAATATCATTACAAAAGGAATTAGATAGAGTATTTTTTCAAGAACAAATCAAAGCTGCAGTCAAAGTGGATCCGATTATGTGTACCGTCAGTGGAGATATGTATTCTCATAACACAGCATATTATATTACTTGGTAATCTAAAAATTTAATATTATTAATATTTTTGGAGATATTTAAATATTCAATCTAAATATTATTTTAAACAATATTTTAATAAAGAAAGGATAGCGTAAAATTGTAAAGTAGTTATAGGTTTTTCTAAAAATACTTTCCTGCTTAACATTTCAAATAAAAATAAAAATATTTAATTTAAAAAAATATAATAATTAAACTTTAATAATGAATAAACCATGTAGATATATAGTGTATACTTTCGTTAGTAGTTAGATAGTAATTAGGTGAATCACTGTAAATGTATGGAAATAATGAAAACTGTGGAAAAAAAGTTCTTTTGATTTTTATAATGTAAATGTAATATCAGTGTCTTACAGGGGCATCGCGTAACAATATTGAATATTTACTTATCTAAAAATAAATTTAAAACTGAAATGACAATAAAAACGGTGAGGCCAACATATTCAAAAAGGAGGGTTCTTATTTGGGAAACAAAAGGTTTAGTTTACTTAGTTAAGGTATATGTAGTAGGGGTTATAAATTAAAAATGGTTTTAAACTAAAGCTTAACCGATTTCATAATGATTAAAAATAAAACAGAAATCAAATTCACTTAAATTTCTCCCCGAAAATAATTGGTTCATGAGAAAAAAATCAACCCGTTTATAATTTGATTTTATTATTTGTTTAGCTCATTTTTAGTACTACTAGTTATAATTTGCTGTACAGCAACAGCATTACAATATATAAATCCATCATATTATCAAAACAATAAAACCTTCAGTAAGTAATAAATGGATGGGTGCATATTAAAAATTTTACGATCGTATTTATTCGGATCTGTACATATTATTCAATTACAGGTGAAATTTCTAATGTATTTTCATTCATGGAAACGAGCAAAGAATTGTTAAAATTTGATAAAAACCACGAGTTAAATATTATAAATGGTTTTAAAGTAGTATTAATGTTTATTATACTAATTGGTCACAGATTAATGTTTGTAATGGCGACTCCTATGAGTTATTCAAAAACTATTGAAAATGTAAGTATAAAAATAAATGCTTAAAAAAATATTTCTATACCTATTAAACATAACTGTATAATCATATGAATATTAATTATTTTTATATACGTGTAAAAATCCATCTATTTATACATTTAGGGAAAAAACAACATCAGAAGAGTATAAATATTTCAAACAATTTTTCTAATAGTAATACGTCTTAAATTCAAAGATTTGTATTATTATACTAATATATAAGAGTATCAGTAATAATAGCTGAATCAAATATGATTCCGAGAAAAAGATTTAGGTCGAAATTTGCACAGTATAACAAATTAACCAGAGGAAAATATGGTTAAATACAAAAATGGCCAAAAGACAATATGACTGTCGAAAAATTAGACTTTTACACAAATAAATTAAATTAAAATTTTGTTATATGATATTTTTTTGTATTAAACTATATTTTTCTTTGTCATTTTACCCATTTTTTTTCTATGACAATTTTAGATTTGCCCATTATTACCGACATCCACTTTATGTAGGCATATCAAAATTTTATTTTTTTTTGAAATATAATAACCAAACAAATTATAATTACAGATTTACTTGGATGGACCAATGATTGTATTGACTAGTATGAATGTAGTTGACTCATTTTTTTATATAAGTGGATATCTTACGTACCGGTCAGTAACTCCAATATTTTTAAAAGCTGGGTCAGGGTGGTCCGATATAGCATTACAAATTATTCGTCGAATAGCTAGGTAATCATTTTTTGAACAATTGAATAATTTTCAAATCGAACTTTTTTATTTTATCATTATAATAATGTCTTAAAGTTCAGTTCGTCGCAATCGTTTCACTTAGTTCATTTCGCCGTCATTAATTTTGTCACTATTCATTTGGTCTTCTTCTTTCGCTACGAGAACATTTTCGTTTGAAATTATATTCGTCAATTTACTTATTTCTTTTTTTTTATGTCATTCTTTATTTTCTAATTAAGTATTTTACTGAAATTCATAAGACAGTAGGTACATTTCTTGGGGAGTTAATCCCCCTGTAAATTGTTTTTAATATTAAAATTACTAATTGTGTTTATCAAACAAAAAAAAATAATAGAGTTATGAATTGACCTCTCAACCCAAATTTCAGGAAAATAAATAAAAAGTATAAAAAATAACGTATAACATTACAGGTACTGTTATACCTAACTTTCTGGTACCTGTAGTACCAGCAAGTCAAAGTGAGTAAGTAAAATGGCTTATTTACGAGGGGGGGAGATCCCTAGAGGCACACAACTTCTTAAATGATATAATTGAGATATGATAAGGCTTGATATGATTTAGATTTTAGGTGGACCAAGTTAGACAGAAAGTATTAATCCATCTTTTCCCAATAAAAAGGCGATCGGGTGAATTTCAGGCGAATTCCTCTGGAAGGAATTTAATGGGTATCAAAATATGGAGAGGACTTGTGTGAGATGCCAAGCCAAATTTGTTGGTATTAAAATCGCACTCCTTTCCCCGTAAATACGTCACTATATCTACCTACTATTATGGTTTTACTTTATCTACTTTTGGAACAAATTTCCAAGAAGGGGGGGCATTAACTTCCCCAGGCATGGCCTTGTATTAAGAAATATAGAAGATATAAAAAAAGAAATAAGAATATTGGCAAATAGGTTTCAAACAGAAAAAAGGTCTCGCAATAGTCTCAAATAATTAGCGGTGAAATGAATAGCAACGAAATGTGTAGCCATGAAACATTGACGACGAAATGTTGTTAAAATGTTTGTGGTGAAAATGTTTGGTGTATTATAAACTTTGGAGTTATTAAAAAAAATAAATTGTCTAAACAATTTTAGGTTATTACCGGCTTATTATGTGATAATAGCGATAACTGCTTACATCTTACCCGAACTTGGAGATGGCCCGTTATGGCTACAAAAAACATGGATTGATGCCGAAAAATGCAAAAATTATTGGTGGGCAAATGTATTATTCATCAGCAATTTTATTGATAGCCGACATGAAGTAAGTCTTTAGGAAGTTTAGGATGTACAAATAATAATTATATAAATTAAAATTTAGAGCCCAAGCTACAGCCATGTCAATAATGCAATACGCCATAATATTATATAAATTATTCAAATATAATAATAGCATAGAGTATAGATAATAATATCTATACAATATAACAATACATTTATATCTAACAATTTCATAATTCATATTGCAGTGTCTAATAAACAGTTGGTATGTATCGTGTGATATTCATTTTTACATAACCGGAGTTATTATTCTTTACGTATATTCAAAGAACATTAAATATGGTATCGGATTATTTAGTGTTGTACTTGGTATATCGTTATTGACAACATTTACCATTACGTTTTTAATGAAACTCGATGGATTGTTTTTAATGCATATCGCGTAAGTTACTATATATATATAAGAATTTTAAAAAATAATTAATTTATATCGTTTAAGCTTTATTTTAAAAGCATTTTAAATTTTTTACTTTCACTCCGTAAACTTTAAATAAGTGTATACTTTTGTTTTTTAATTAGGAATCAAGGGCATTATTTCAAATTTTTGAAAGGTAACAACTAGGGAGACCAAAATGATGAAATCTTGATAAATTTAAGGTATGCAGAAGCATACCTTGGCACTCTGCAATACTTCAAATGACGCACTTGATAGGAATCTTACTTTTTAAATACAGATCCAAATAGAGAATATTTAAATAATAGAAGAGTTATCAATTTATCACTTCAAAATAGACATACAATTTATAAACCAGTCTAAACTTTAAACAGTTATAACGCCTAAAGTTAAAAAAAAAACAAAAGCATATGTATATTTAAGGTTAATGGAGAAGAGGTAAAACATAGAAATTATTTTAAAATAAAATCCAAACGATTCCATGAAGTTTAAAAAAAAAAAAAAACGAAATACAAATTCACCAAAAATTCTCCGAGAAAATTGCTGGTTTATGATAAAAAAAATCATCCTGTATAATATTATTATATTTAATTTTTTACATTATAGTGTTATTTTTATACACTTTAGGAGGTGAAACGAAATAAATAACGATATAAATCATAACGAAATACTCATTATACCAGAAAATATTAATTTTCTTCAAAATTAGCTTTTTAGAGTGATGGAACAATATTCAATGTGTTGTATATAATTGTATTTATATATAATTACCGCAATAATGATTTAAAAACTATCAACAGTGTATATCTGCAAGTTTATTAATTAGTCTCTCACATTTGTCAATGTATTTCGTTGCAATTAAAATCTAGTTTAAGCTCAAATAAATGATAGTAGACTTTTGAGAACTATGATCGTATTGTATATAATTGACATACGAGGTCTGGCTATTAAATAACGAGACTGTTTATGAAAAATGGTTTTATTTTAAAAATTATNACACACCGTTTCATTCGTTTCTTCCATTGCTCGAGGCAGTGCTGGAAGTCTGTTTTCGTAAGACCATTCAGGAGTTCCGCCGATTTTTGTTTCACCTCTTCCATCGACTCAAACCGGATTCCTTTTAAGGCAGACTTTATCTTCGGAAACAAGTAAAAGTCGCAGGGTGCCAAGTCTGGTGAGTAAGACGCGTGTTCGAGTACTGGAGTGCCTTAAGCGGCCAAAAAACGCTTCACAGACAGCGCGTTATGGGCAGGTGTGTTATCCTGGTGCAAGATCCACGACTTATTTTTCCACAATATCGACCGTTTCTTACGAACTCATTCGCGCAATGTTGCCAAAACTGTCAAATAGTAATGTTGGTTCACAGTTTGACCCTCTGGAACCCATTCAGTCATCACGATGCCGTTGATATCGAAGAAAACGATCAGCATGGTTTTGAATTTGGATTACGACTGAATTGGATTCCGGTGCACTCTCGACCTTCAGAAAATAATTTATGCCACTCAAAAACACGCGCCCGAGATAGGAAATCCTCACTATAGGCCTCTTTTAACAACTTATAGCACTCAGTTGGAGTTTTTTTTAGTTTAATGAGAAAATTTTACGTTTATCCGTTGCTCATGTTTTTCGTCACACATCATTTTCGGCAAGAGAAAAAAACATGTTCGTTTCTAAACGCTACAGAAAAAATACTAAAGCACCAACCAAAACCCAATTTTGTACTGACATAATAGACACTTCCAGCTAACCAGCGCTGTATTCGGTTTTCCCCTAACCTTTTTGGGACGCTCTCTGCGCGCGCAGTCTCGTTATTTAATAGCCAAACCTCGTATTTAAATCTATGTCATTATTTGTATTTTTGAACTATTTATACTATATGAAGTGTGATGAAAATTCGCATGATGAACTGGTATCGTGGCTACATACACTAAAATAAGTGTGATAAAAAAAAGATTTATGTAACATTTTAAAGCTACTAATTTCTTAAAAGGAAATGGTTATGTTGATCACCTTATATAGTAAACCCGCATGAAACTTTCTAATATTGAAAAAAATATAGGCATTTCATTATAAAAATAAAATAACATAATATGTATGTAAGATAACAAATAAAAGTTTTAACAACATAGATTTTTAATTTAACATGATTGCTTAACGCATGCGTTAACGTCAACTGAGTTTGCTATTTTAGAAGTCGATAAAATAATCCTATACACTAATTGCCACGGGCTTTGAATTAATTCAGAAATCAGAACAATTAATTTCTGTTGACAACAAATTATATAATCTGTTATTTACTTAAAAGTTTTAATTTCTACCAAGTTATAATATTATTAAACACAAATCTTATAATTCATGTTAAACATAAAACTGATTTTAGAATTTTCGAAAACCCTCAAAATTCTATCACATTTAATGAATCATACAGACCAAGTTACATGCGAGCTATTCCTTTTCTCACAGGTTTGGGAGTAGGATTAATCGTTGAAAAGTTGAGAAAAAAAAAAGTTAAATTTACACAGGTAATATTTACTATCTCATATATGCATGCACCAATGCAAATTTTGTTTAAAATTAAGACTAGATTTATTTTTAATTTTGTAGCTAACTGTCTACGGTGGAACATTCATTATTACCTCGATTTGTTTGGCAGCTCAATTGTATGGATTTTTGTTTTATAAAAGAGATAGACCTTATAATCCTTTAGAAAACTCTTTTTATGCAATTATCAATCATTGTACGTGGGCAGTAATAAGTATGTGCATTACCATTTTTCACCTCACATCTGGTTATGGTAAGCTGAATTTAATAACTAATGAATTAACTTAATTTTAATATTTAATAATTTGTTATATATTTTAACATTTTTAAATTTAAAAAACATTTAATGATTTACATTGCTTACAGGTATATTAACAAAAGTGTTGAGTAATAGATTTCTGATGCCCTTGGGAAGAATCTCGTATTCTGTTTTTTTAGTTAATATACCTATAATGACAATGTCTCAAAGTGCAGAAAGATTACCTACTTATCCCTCGTATGAAACTTTGGTAAGATCAATGTTTAGTTTGATAATAATATTCAAATTATTTGTCTGCCTAAATTTATTATTGAAACTGCTACAAAGTACGTAAAATGAAACAATCAATTTATTTTACAGTTTTTTTTTTCAGGTTAATTTATTTATACAAGATACAACAAAAAGTTATATTCTGGCTGTATTGTTATATTTGGTAGTCGAAGCACCGTTTGGAAACTTAGCAAATAAATTGTTAAGACGAGGGTAAGTTAAGGACGTATTATGATACGAACGACGTACGTATAATAGATTATACGTATTATAAGTAGCAGTATAGTAATTAGTAGGCAAACATTTAGACAACATTAACCAGAAAAAAATTAAATTATACATTTTTCTTTTGATTGTTATAGTTTGAACTATAATTAGTAAAATACTATTTAAATTAAGTAAATATAATAGCATATACTACATTGTTTAACAAATATTTAGTAGTTTATTATGAAGATTTACTATCTTTTAAAACAATTTCATCTTAACAAAATCTACTATCTATCAATTGTGTAGTATGTAGTCAAATATAAAATTATATAATAATATTTACTACATCACTATATACTATAATATAGTATCTATCTAATATTTGATTAAACAATCTGGTAATTTTTGCATTTTTAGGTCAATGAAGTCGTTGTCAAATTCAAATAAAAAAAAAATTGACGACACCATCTATTATGTTGAACAAGAGATAAGTCATTTGTAAAAAACTCTATAAAATTGGAATGTAAAAAAATTGTATAATATATTAATTACCTAGTTCCAATATTATAAGGAAAATCCAGGATAAAATTTAAGAAAAACGGAAAAATTTACGAAAATATTGCTTTTATTATTATCAATTTTGTTTTTGTTGTAATTCAGTTGAAAATATTCCTAAAGAATTGAAATTTGGACAAAAAACTTTTATTTTCCTTTTCTTGATGTGGTAAAATTTTTGATCAATTTATAGACATTTTAATTTTACGAGTTTTGTACGTAACTTGTATTCGGTAGGTACTCTGTTGATAAAATTGTTATACCAAACAGAAATACTTGAGAATTTAACACGAGAGTCATTACAAGTCGTACTTTATGGTAAAAACAAAATTTTAAGTAGAAGCTAACTTATTACTTTTAAATATTCATTGAAATTAAAACATAAATATATAAAATATTATTGATCAAATCCTCTTGCAAAACGCTGCTTAAAATTAAAGTATTTTGGATTTGGCCATCTAACTTTTACTAATTATTATTATTATTATTTTTGTTATTCATATTATCATTATTTTATTAGTGTGAAAAAAATAAATTTAACTTTTAAATTGTACTGTTTTACAGAATTTGTATAATATATCTGTAGTCTTTTAAGCTAATATAAGTTGAAATTACGACAGTAGGTGAATTGCGTCCTTTTTTTAGAAAATTAGGTGAATTGGGTCCTTGTTGTAATTTAATACTTGATGTATTGCTTAATGAGTTTGTTTATTTTTAATTTTCAAATTGTATAATTTGTATAGTACACGTTGTATATCATTTGTTAGATGTTTTAGGAATCGAAATTTAAAACCATCAATTATCACTATTTTTTTATTTTTTTTACTTATTGAGATCTCCATTTTCAACGAAAAATTAAACACAAACACGACTGTGGATTGGTAAACAAAATTATATTTCACTGCTCAGTCGTAATATAATCGGTTTTACAAATTATTGTCTGTTACTTAGGTATTCCGAGGAAGCATTTTATTTCATTGCTGCTGTATTCCTTTGAACGATATTTTTCATGTAGTATTTCAAACTATTATAAATATCGGGAACGCAATTCACCTAGGTGCGGATTAAGATTTTATTTTTGGGACGAAATTCACAATATTGTTCCCCCCCCTCATAGAATAGACCCCAAGACACCGCTGAGCAATACTATTAACCAAGCTCTGCTTAGAATCGTTTTTTTTGACAATGCTTAAATTTGCTTAGGTACAGATATACATTTAATTTCCTTCAATATCCTACCTTCCTAACTTCTCTTCTATAACATCGGTCCACTCATCATGGGAAGTATAGACTAAGTGAGCTGATTGATTACATAGATAGTAAATTAGCTTATCGAGCATACGTTAACAAATTCAACATACCATGCCACGATTATGTAATCTTAATTAAACCAATAAAAGTTTTTATACTTTTATTCCACCAAATATCCCTCAAAAACAATATAACTAATTACCTGACACAATGTTACGTTTTCGTCACTTCCATCGTGGCAGTTATTAAAGCCGTTGCACATAAATTCCGGATCTTTGCATCTACCACTATTACACAGGAACTGGCCTATTTCACAATTTTGCTGATCTAATAAAATTGTACAAATCTAATAATTTACAATAAAATATAATCATAGGTAAGTAAAAGTAATAAAATCTGCCACTGATTTTAAATACATGTACTAATAAAAGATAAAGGTCCCAAATTTAATAATAATAAAACTAAAAGAATAGGTCCTTTATTTAACTGACTTATTAAAATTAAAGGCCTAAACTATTTTATTGCTTAAAAATTTTATATCTTAGACACTTACTGTATAGTGTTACATAATTATCCAAACTTACTGTATTTATTGTATCTATATAGGTATTAAAGTATTTTTATGTTTGTGTTTTTTTAAGTTTTTTTATGACTTATAATATGTATGTATAATATTTACCAAGATATATAGTACAATTTGATAATGTAGAAATATTGGACTCCATATAAATGTCATGCAGCCATTTAATATGGCAGTTAACATCTAAATACACTGCGACCGAATCTTTACTTTTTGATTCTTTTAAAGTAAATACTCCAGATAAAAAATAAGTAAAAACGTTAAACCTGCACCATAACCTACACTGAAATCGCCATCTGAAATATTTAAATTTATAATAATTCATATGAAATGATGTAAATAATTATGAAATAAAATCAGTTTAATCCAGAGGATCCAAAACTTTTTATGGTACGACCCATTTTGGAAATATTTTAATATTTCCACAATAATATCAATGAACCTTTTTTCAGTTTATTTTTCATTTCTGGATGATTCATGAAGTTTGTTCAATCACTTACTCTCATTTGCAAGTATAAATCCAATTTACTGGTAGAAAAAAAAAGGCCGTAATATTTTTTAATACCTACATTTCGTACATGAAAACCGATTGAAAAATCATAAAAATAACCTCCTTAAACCATGGAGATAAAATTTCCCTTCAAAAGATAAGCTGCACATGATACATGGAAGCAATATTTCTGAAAGAAAAGTTTCATTTTATGTCTTTTTCCAGGTTTCCCTATTATTATGAAAACCGCTCAAAAAATCAAAAAAATGATTTTCTTTGTTACCAACAAGATCTGAAATTCGATAAAATAGGTCTCTTATCATTTTTTAATGAGAAGAAATTACCTAAAAGAAACTGTGTACATAGTATAAAAAAAAAAAAAAAAGAAAAATTCTTCGCTCAGAATCCAAAAAGTTAGGTAAAATTATTACGGGAAAAGTACTTATTAATCTATAGTTGAACGACTATCTTTCAAATAAAAAATATTTGTCAGGGATTTGTAATAAGGATGTAATTTTTGCATTTTTAATGCACTAAGTACCTACTTATACTTCTTAGGAAATATAGTAAAATTTATTAAATATTTCATCCAGAATTAAATAATATAATCATTCTTAATAATTTAATACTAGATTGTACCACCTGATTTAGAACCAGCACAAAATGTATCCGTAGTTAAGTTATTTTTAAATACATTTTCATACATTTGTAAACATGTTTGACGGTCAATGTATGGTAATGATAAAACAGAACTTTCAGCCATATTATTCATATCACCCCAGCTTGCGAGCTATAAAACCCAATTTCCGTTAGATAAGTTTAAGAATATTTGCAATGTTCAGAATATACCTACTTATTATTGTGTTGTTAATATTCTTACTTAAAAATATACAAAAATTAAAACCCTATAAATTTACCTTTCCAACTAATCCATTTTGGACTGTAAATTTTATAATCCAATCGATAAAAACAGGCATAACATTGTTGCTCATTCTAACATCAGATTTTAATTCAATAACAACTAAATTATAAATATTACTTCTGGTTAACCCATCATCTTTATCCATATGAATAAATTTGACCTATGATTATAAATACAGTGATTTTTTGGTCATTAAACACTCATTATTTCGTAAAGTATAAACTTTTTTCGAAAACAAATATTTTTAAAATTTAAGAAACAAGCAGATCTAAAATGTTAAATCACCATTATTTTTCATCACTTTTGTTTTTGGGGTTAAAACGACTAGGTACCAACTTTTGATTTTCAAATTATAACCTACATTAAAAGAAAAAAAATCCACAGATGAATAGAGTAGTAGTTTAAATACATATTGATTTAAAATATTTGATTTCTATAAGCCGTTCACGAAATATTTCACTTTTAAGTTTAGTTAGGGAGAGAGTAGTAACTGATATTCTATTTATACATATGTAGTACTTTTGACATAGGTTTCTATTTGAAAATAAAAAGTTTGATATTCGTTTCACCCCCAAAAATAAGGGTGATAAAAAATATTGTTGATGTAACATATTATATAAGCTTGTTTCTTAAAATGTTAAAACATTTTTTTTTCGAAAAAAATTCTATAATTTGGGAAATAATGAGTGTTAAAGGATAAATGAATCACTCTGTTCATATTTTTTTTTTCAGGTAAATACCTATACAATAGTTAATTAATAATATAATGATTTAGTCTAAATAAAGAACTTACATCAATAATTTAAGTGAATAAATTATTCATGATTGAAATAATTGTTTGTATATTTACCAACAGCAATTATATACTGACCATTGAATTGTAAAACATCATCATTTGATATACCTTCTTCCCAAAAACATTGAAAAAAAAAAAAAAATATAAACAAAGTGTTTTTAAAAATGTTTAAATACATTTTTCAATATACTTACAAGAAACAACTAATTTCGAAGCAATTAATGTGCCTCCACATATCATGTTATAATTATTATTATCATATTTGTATATATAGCAACATTCCATGACATGAATTTGGAACGCGCAATGTTTCCGTTTAACATTAAAAGTCTAGTATTAGTATTAGACTTACCACAAACTGGAACGATATTAAATACCAACTATACCAGGGACCACGTGTCATTCTATGTTACTTTCGATTCAACTGCTTATAACAGAAATCATCTGCACCGTATACTCCACAATTTTAATCCATCATAGTTTGCTTAGTTCTATACCCAATGTTTGTTTTATTATGTTGTTATATTAAAATAATTGTATTGTAGACGTCTAATGTTATTTTGTACAAATTGCCGTAATTAATAATAATAAAAAAAAAATAAAAATACCTATCATTCTTTATAAATATCCATTTTAACAACGGATTTGTATTCATAACACCTAAACTATTATTTTTTAGAACTCTTATGGTTTTTTGGTACTATATACTAAAAATTTGATTTGCTGCGTAAAATAACTTTTAATCACCTACATAAGATTAAAAGTTTTTATACGCAGTAAATGAATTTTTTAAATAAGATAAATTAAAATGCATATTATATTTAATTCAAAAGTAGAGAAACGTTTATCTTTTGGAGGACGAAACTGGACATACTATATTGCATTTAATCTAAACAATAAATTGTGAAGTACACTTACCATTATCTGTGATAGGCAGTGTGCTTGTTGTAAATATTATTAAAGATATAAACCACAATAATTGTGTTAAATACATAGTGGTTTGTTCAACAAATTTTGCGAACAAAACTAAAGATAAAAATTCGATTATGTATTTTTAATATTTATAACGAAGGCTAAATATACATGTGATCAAATTTTATTCACCTCATTTATTATCCAATTTAAAAAAAAATAAAACGATTAATAACGTATATTACCTGAAAAATGATTAAGTTCAAAAAATATCTTAATAATAATTCAAACAATACCATCAACAAATATAAAACATGAACAACATTCGAAAAATACTTTTCCTGTATCAGCAATACCCCTCTCCTTAAACTCTACTGATCATAGTGATTAGCACCCAACAATGACCTACGGGCTACAGTGTTCGATGGAAAAACCTTCTTCCAAACTCAGATGTAGGTACTTGTAAAACCGGTACCTACTCGTCGCAATAATTACGATGCGGCTGCATTGTACGTCTGCTCTGCTTGTTTATCATTTTATAATCAATGCTTGTACTTATCAATTGTTCCCTAAGAATAAAATTCGGTATTCTTATTTAAGTCATTTTCTTAATTTTTACTTACTTTTGGTGTTTTATGGTTCAGAAAAGTAAATGAATAATGTTTTTATTCAAACAAAAACAGTAGGTATACCTACCTATATTTTGTTAAAACAATTTATCTTTACACTCGTATGTTTGGACTTTGTTAAACCATAGTATAATTAATCTTGTATGTCAATAAAAATACTACCGTATTTTATCTGTATTGCTATTTATAAATATGATTTGCCTATTATATATGTAAACATAGGAAAATAAAAAAAAATAATACGATCGTTTTATTATGGTAAGTACATATATAGGTAATTTCATAGGAATATTAATTGTTTTCTAATAAAATAATTGAATATCAATTTAATACCTGTTTGTTTTCATAAGGTAATAGCTATTGGTTAATGGTTCATTCGATAGATAGGTGAGTTATGTGTTCCTAACTGAGATGATTTGAACCCCCATTTTTTAAAGAACCAGAAACCACTTTTACAGTTGTAAAGAGGCACAAGTCAAATTTTGACTTTTTTTTATACGATAATTTTGTGTGAAATTTTACGCCCGATCGAATGATAGCACTATCGTGGTCACACGATGATTTTTTATCGCAGTATTTTAAAATACGATAAGACACAAGTCAAAATTAATGATTTTTTTTTCTGTGCAATATGGCACAAATCATTGGTTAATTTATGTTTTAATTTAATTTGGACGGTTTTTATGTAAAGGGAGGGGGTACATGTCATTCTTTGTTGAATAACATTTAAATGTAGTAACCTCGACAGCTATTTATTTTTATTATGATTTATATAATGATATATTTTAATTAATGTTTATTATTTTTAATCAGCCCCTAGCTACTAAAGAATGTATGCAATATTATTATTACAAAGTTTGTTATGATTATTATTTTAATAATACAATTATACTTCATCAATTTTACCTTTGTCTTTATTTTCTTTTATCAACTTATGAGAGTATTAATTTATATTAATCTGTCAGCAATATCATACTATTAATATTTTATATGAATTATATAAAAAAGGACCCAAGCCAAAATCTTTTTTTATTAAAATGTGCAGTAGGACACAAATTAGTACATAAGAAAGGTCGCAAGTCATTAATAACTGAATAAAAATGTAATTTCTTTAACAAAAGTAGGTTGAAAAAGTGTTAATATTTTATAAATAAAAAACAATTTAGATTTAGTGGAAAATACAAATTTTAGAAGGTTTTTGTGCCTTCCAGTTTCTACAGACCCCTAAAAGACTATGATAAATTATTATAAATAATAACAACAATATTTTTTTTTTTTTTTTATTATTGAGCTGTGATAATAAAAGAAAGGGTTTGATAAGAATCATCGACAACTGGGACTGTGATAACGACAAACAGCTGTTCCGGAATCCCGATAGTTTATCTTGTTACGGGCTTGCAAGACTACATATTGTTTCATAAATACTTCTTCCGATTATCGTGGAAGAAATGTTTTGTGGAACAAAAATTCATTGGAACAAATGCTCCACCTATTGGACGCAAGTTTGCTGAACAAACGATGACACATGTACCTACATTTATTATTTTATTTTAAATTTTCTTGTCCAAAATCCGTTCAAAATTGACATTGGTACATAATATAACTACGAAAACAATTATTTTATTATAATGTTATAGTTTTTAACGTAGCTACCGAATTCGGTTGTTTTTTAATGTGTTTAACATGGTCAACCTGTACCCGTCTTTTATCCCCTCTCTCCTAAGACAACGTTCCATTTTTTTTCCTAGCTCCTGGCCTCTCGTCTCGTTCACCGTCGCACTGACGCAGCGTTTTTGTTCTCGTCGTATTTTCCCACTGTACGTTTGTTTGTTTCGTTCTTCTTAGTGCCCTCTCATAATTTTTTTTTCTCTGTTTTTGCCGTTGTCGGTTGACGATTTCCTGAACCGTCAGTAAAGTGTAGAAGGTACCGCCCGTAGTTGTTGGGTAATTGCATTTTTACCGCGACACGAACACCGTGCAAACAGTCTTATTTGACATTGTTGATTGTTCCCCGTTGCAAACGGCGCAGTTCCTATGTCGTCGTAACATGGTACTGACGAAAACCGCCATAGCCATCGGAGGAACGGTCGTCAAGTTGTCATAATCTGCAGGTAATAGTATAACTTTGTTTGCAGTAACGTGTGTCAAACAGGGTGTGATATACCTATACCTGGCGGCTGTCCCTACCTCCCCGTCCTTGACAATAAAAATAGAGTTGAGTGACTAAAAAAGGGATAAAAATGGTTTTTCTATTTTAATTCCAACTGGTACATTCAAGTATATGTAGGCAAGTAGGTTGTTGGATATTGTTAAACAACATTTATTTTTAATAGTAACAATTTTGACAATAAGTTCCTGGATAAGTAAAAATGTAAAACGATTCCTACAAATATTATTATGTCATACCTTCAAAAACCAAGAGTAGATGATGTAAAATCAATTGTTAGTAAATTTGTGTAGGTAGAGGTGATCGTTGTGTATAGGTACAAATGTTGTACTTTATCGACTGACCAAATTTTACGTTTCTAAGTTTGTGAGGCACATTCTCAAAAATCTTTGAGACATTAGCCTCTGGATATTTTTTTCTAGAAAATTGGTTATTTGGTAAATTTTACCTAAGTATGGAAATGTGTAATTAACTAGATGGATGTTATTTTCCTTAACTTATTGTCACTTGAATTAATACTTCAATGATCCTGATATTCAATTAATACTTCCTAATTTGTTTGTTTCTAAATTAACTTTATTTTAAATTTCCAGATAATAGTTATTTATTGATTCCATAACAACTAAAATTTGATTGTCTTATATAATATTATTAGATTTGTTTTTATCATTAGTGATATTTGTTTACTTATAAATCTCGTAACTGCTGTTTTAAAGTACAATTCTCTTTCATAAACCACACATATTAAAATCCATTAGTATTCAGTATTAGTGGTGTTAAACTATTGAAAGTACTATCTACTACGTGTTACTTTATGAAATAAATATAAAACACTTATAAATACTAGTAAACAAGTTTGCTAGTCCTATTTTATTTAGCTTCCTAAAAAGCAAGTATATATTGTATAATATGGTGGCTGTTAATTTTCAAATGTCCAAAGGACCTACTAACAATTTTTACTTTTTAAATATAAACAACATTTACTCCGACTTTTACTCTAGTCTCAAGGTATTGATAATGTAGTCTATGTGGTATAGTTTTATCTAGTTGTGTAGTTTTCTAAAAGAATATTATATTAAAATTTTATTTTAATGAATTAATTTCCTAACCAAAGTAATTGTTAAACTATATTGGTAAGTTGGTTTTTGTTCAAAAATATTAAGTACTGAACTAGGTAGATACCTAGTTCAGTACTTAATATTTTTAGATACCTACTACAAAATATTTTAAATCAATATTTATATTTGTTTTTATGTTTATAACATTTGTAAATGTCATATCCAACTATTGAATTAAGAATTGATCTATTCCCTATCATCAGCCATTTCCACTTTATTATATCTATTAGTGTAGTTCCTTTTTCTTTTATTGTGCATATGTTTTTCTTTCAATTTTTCCCAAGAGTAGGACTTATTCTTTGTGCCTTCCTACAACATATCCATTTTTCTTTATTTATTGCCCAAGTCTCACTTTTATACAAAGTCATACTTCAGATATAATTTAAAATTACCTAGTGTTTTTTTTGGTGATTATGATTACATTTTTAACATTAGTAAATCCACCTTCTCAAGAAAAATTGTCTTCACTTAAATTAAAATAGCAGTAAAAAAAAAAAAAAATAGTGTACTGTGGTATTTAAAATCTACATTTTACGTAATAACTGATTAATATAAAAAAAATTTAAAAAAATAATCATCTTAACGTAGTAATTTTTGGTTACTTGCCATGCCCTTGATAAACAAGTCCATGATATTTTCTTTAAATCCAAATCTGTATACATTGTTTAGATTTAGAACGCAGAAAGCGATCTATTGGTTTACCTCAAGTTTTACTATGATGTGTGGTTATTTTTTTCTGTCTGTAAACTTTTCAAAAAGAAATATTACTCCAATGTATAGTGTGATACCTTTTCTAAAAGGGAATTTTTTCTAGTTGGGGTATAAAGAGATCATTTTTTAAATTTTTTCATTGGGTTTTCAAAAAATTAAGAAAAACCAGAAAAAAAATTATTAGTGAAAAAACAAATATTTACAGTGTGATGTGACGCCACCAATTTCATTATTTTTAATTTTTATAAATTGTGTTTCTACCACAAATATTGTTCTAATTGAAAAATGACAAGAAATCAATTTTATCCTATTTAATATTCAGCCACTAATAGAGAGTAATTTTGTCGAAAATCTTGAAAAGATCTCTTACTGAAAGTCATATTGTTTTGTTAGCAATGGTTTATCATTACGTACAAATATAAATTAAATAACTTTATGTATCTTATATTTTACTTTTTTTTTAATGATAGTACTGTGGCTTGCTTGAATAATTACACTTTTATATTCTGTTTAAAATGTTTGCAGAGTTAATATCAGTTAATATTAAAAATGGCTGACGTCGATCCAGACACCCTTCTGGAATGGCTTAATATGGGCCAGGGTGATGAAAGAGATATGCAGCTTATTGCACTGGAACAGTTATGCATGTTACTATTAATGTCTGATAATGTAGACAGATGTTTTGAAGTGTAAGATATTATTTATTTTTTCTTAAATAAGATATCTTTTTTCAAATTTTTTTTATGTTGATTAGATGTCCACCTCGCTCATTTTTACCAGCTCTTTGTCGCATATTTCTTGATGAAAGTGCTACAGATAGTGTGCTTGAAGTAACTGCTCGAGCAATCACATATTATTTGGATGTTTCTGCTGAATGTACAAGACGTATAGTTGCAATTGATGGTGCATTAAAAGCAATTTGTGATAGATTAGAAATAACAGATATACTTTCTCGCACTAATAAAGATTTAGCTGAACAATGTTGTAAAGTATGTTGAGTTTCTTAATTATTGAATTTTAATTAATGTTTTAAAAATAATTTAGGTGTTAGAGCTCATATGTACTCGTGAAGCAGGAGCTGTTTTTGAAGCTGGTGGTTTAAGTTCCGTTTTATTGTTTATTAAAGATGTTGGATCTTGTGTCCATAAAGACACATTACATTCTGCAATGACTGTAGTTTCTAGACTATGTACTAAAATGGAGCCAAATGAAGCATCATTACCTACTTGTGTCGAAGCTTTATCTACAATGCTTAAACATGACGACACTCATGTTTCCGATGGCGCCTTAAGATGTTTTGCCTCACTATCTGATCGATTTACTCGCCGTGGAATTGACCCGGCTCCTTTAACACAACATGGGCTTTTAAATGAATTGATACTTAGACTTTCTTCAGCAGCAGGCCCTACTGTAACAAATATTGGAACACCTGGTACAGTATTATTATTATAATCATCATGCTTAATTTCATTTTATATAAATACAAATTTTACAGTTAATTTATTATACAATATGTATTTATTGGGTTTAGGTTTAAACTCAAGTGCTTCAACAACTGAAGTTAAATCATCACAGTCTATATCTACCGTAATAAGTTTACTGACTACTCTTTGCCGTGGATCTAAATCAGTTTCACATGTATGTTTATTTTATTCAAATATATAATTCCAATATACCAAACATATTCACACTATAGTACAGTCATTTAACATTAGAAGTGTACATAAATAATCAGAAATTAAGAATTTATCTTATTACTTTTTGATTTTTACTAGATGTTAATAATGGATAAGGGATAAAGCAATTTAATTAAAAACTTAATCATAATTTTAGTACTGAAGATATTTTAGTATTATTACTTTTACAATATATCAAAAGTTTTAAAGGTACAGTAGACTCGGTAATTCAGCTATTTTTCGTTATAATAATTATACAATTATTAACGTAAACAATAAAATTAACTAATTAATTCTAAATAAATTGAATATTTTATATGTATTCAGCTAATGTTGACGTGTTTATTGTGTTATATTAGTGTAATTCAGTATGTATGTTTTAATAAAATTAATTGAGGTTTTTCAATAAGAATAAAAATTCATTTTTATGCGGACTTCCATTAATCCGGTAGTTTTTAGTTTGATATCTGCTGGATTGTTGAGAGTCTACTGTAGTTATATATTAAATCCGTTACATTACAAATTAACCCCAAACTCAAAATAAAAAATAAATCATAAAAGTAATATTTTATTTATTTTTGTCCAGGATTTATTCAGGTCTGATTTACCTGATGCAATAGAAAAAGCTTTAAAAGGTGATGAAAGGTATGTATTTAAATGTTAATTTTATTCAAAGTACTAAAAACAATATATTGTGTTTTATACCATAGGTGTTGTTTGGATACAATGCGTTTAATTGATTTACTATTGGTGTTACTACTTGAAGGACGTGACGCAGTATCATGGAGTACAGTAGCATGTGCAAGCAATTCTTTATTACCAAAACTTCGGCGTTTAGATTCAAGTGCTGAAAAATCACAACGCCATTTAATTGATTGTATTAGAAGTAAAGACACTGAAGCATTAATGGAAGCTGTCAATTCTGGTGGTGTGTAAAATTATATTATTTTTCATAATTCAAAAAGTAAAACTTACATTTTTATTTTATTACTGTAGCGATTGATGTGAATTTTGTGGATGAAGTTGGCCAGACTTTACTAAATTGGGCTTCTGCATTTGGTACTCAAGAGATGGTTGAATATCTGTGTTCAAAAGGAGCTGATGTTAATAAAGGACTCAGATCATCATCACTACATTATGCTGCATGTTTTGGTCGACCATCTATAGCTAAAATACTTTTGAAAAATGGTGCTAATCCAGAACTACGGGATGAAGAAGGTAAAACACCACTGGATAAAGCTCGAGAAAGAATGGATGAAGGTCATCGTGAAGTAGCAGCCATATTAGAATCTCCTGGTTAGCTTGATATTTATTTTCAATTTTATTCTTATATTCTTCTTTTCCTTTCTTACTCTTCAAGGACTTTTGTGACTATTTCAAAATGCTTCTATAATACTCCAGTTTGGGTTTACTCTTTCTAATTTGCTATATTTAATTGCATCTAATAATCTTTTACTTTATCCTTCCAACCTTACTTAGGTTCTTTGACCTTTTGGTTCTCAGGTAATTGTTTTTATTTTTTCTTCACATTGCTGTACCGTTTAATTTTCTAACATTTTATAGAGTTAGTAATCCATGCCACTCCAGTTTTCTCTCTTGTATTGTATTTTTGTGTGTGTTTTTTTCACCTTCTGTATCCTATTAATATCTATGTTCCAGTCTCCTCTTAAATACACTCAAAAGTGTTTACTTTTTCAAAGTAATAGAATTTTGTTTTAAACTGTACAACTTATTTTTATAGAGTGGTTAATGTCTTCCAAAAATGAAATAGTTCAGTCAAATGAATCTAAAGAACCAAAAGGAGATCCTGAGATGGCAGCGATTTATCTCAAACGATTAATGCCAGTTTTCTGTCATACATTTCAATCAACAATGCTTCCATCAATCAGGTTTTTTTTTTAATGATGCTAGTTTAAATAATATATAATATTATAATCTTATTTAATACAAAAATTAATTGTAGGAGAACATCTCTGTCTTTAATTAAGAAAATGGTTCACTATATTAAACCGAATTGGCTAGAGGATATATGCAAACCTGATAGTCCAAATAACCTTGCTCCTTTATTGGTTGAAGTACTTGCTACAGTTCTCGATAATGAAGTAATATTTGAAAACAATTTGAATTTTATATTAATTAAATGATTTTATATATTAATTTTGTAAGAAAAAAAATATACTCCACATCTAGAATCGCATTTAGATTATAAAACTAAAACAATAAAACAAATTTTAACTATTTGGGCAACTATAATGCTTTTATTTTGCCAATTAACTTTATTCCAGGATAAGACTTGGCTGTTTTACTGTGATAAGAGTGGTGAGGGACAGAAATATTTGCCTCGCAAGCTCTACAAGATGTTAATTATTAAAAAAAATTATAAAACCTGGATGGTAAAAAAATAATCAAATTTTTTGCACGCCTCCTAGCGAATATTAGGATTTTATGCATATATTTAATAATACATAAAATTGATTGATTGATTTTTCATAAATACTATGTAGGTCTTTAGCTACTAAAAAATATGTTGTATACAAATATAGTACTTCATACTAATCTACAATATAATTATTAACTAAAAAAAATAGTTTTTTCCCACAATATTCACTATTTAATACAAGTTATTAACTAGTTAAGTACAATAAATAATACAATTTACCTTTCCCCCCCCCCTTGTCGCCCATATCGAAATTAAAATTTAAACATTTGATTTAGAGATATTGTCAAACTCTTATCCACTTAAAATTTCAGATCTTTGCATATCATAAATCTTGGTCAGAGATATTTTGTCATTTATTGTCAATTATCCCTATTAAAAATACAATGTAATAATAAAAAAAATTAAAGAAAATTGGTTAATTTTAATGTAAATTTTTGTATTTCATCTAATATATTTGTAGAAATGGTATACAAAAACAAATTATGTAGAAAATCATTGTATTCCTTGAGAATTTTAAAATAAAAATTATAATTGATGAATTTTCAGTTGTACAAAATATTTAATAATACTATATGATTAAACTAAGAACATGTTAAGATAAGGGATAAATATGTAATATTTTTAGGTGTAATTCTACCATAAAATAAATTCAAATCAAATATTCTCCTATCAATAAAAGACTTATGATATTTTGATTATTTTTGATGAGTATAGTATTATATATATATATATGACATTAAATAAAGTAAATAATAATATTTTTCAATAAATATAATTGTATGTAATACTTCCCTGCATGGTTTTCATTAAAATATAATATCACCGACTATAAATATTTAAAAAATGAAAAAGTACAAAATATTTATAATATAATAATAAAATTATTCATTTGCAAAATTTATATTTCCATCTATTAATTTTTGCCTAATGATAAAAAAGATTAAATACAATTTTAAATTTTTTTTATTATATAGTTTATTTATCAACACAATTATATTAATGATTAATTTATAATATTTTTACTAAAACAAATTATTTATATTCTTATTGTTATAATTGCAAATGTTTTTAACCAAGTATTAATCATTGCATTTTTAGCTTCAATAAATTGTTTTTTTTTTCATTATTATTATTGTTATTCCTAAATCTGATTGATATGTTTAATATAATATTTCATAAATTAAAAATTTACCTTACAGGAGGATGATGATGGACATGTTATTGCTTTACAAACTATTTTTGATCTTTTGAATAAATGCCAAGATACATTTTTGGACCATTTTGCACGTTTAGGTGTATTTTGTAAAGTTCAACAGCTGATTGGTCCTGATAATAATCCCGAAAAAGATAGTGTTCAACAGACAAGTGATTCAAGACAAGTATTTATATTTAATTCATTTTTATCTTGAACGAATTTGTATCATAATATATTATTTTTATTGTGTTTTTTAATTCACTTAGAAATATACAATACCTTATTATTGCATTATGAATATTGAATATTGCATTTTTCACTAAAAATTTTAAGTATATATATATTTTATATATTTTAAAAAATAAACAGGTTAAAATTAAAATGTGTTCAACTTTTTAAATAAAATAAATTACTATACATTTATTATAAAACTATCAAATAGATTTATTTCCTAATTATCAATGAAATAAACTATGTAAATTTGTTTTTTTTTTTTTTTTTTTGTGAATAATAAATGATTGTTACCAGTTTATTGTCAACTAATAAACTATGTAATATAGTTAATATATTTTCACAATCATTAATGTTTTACTTTAAATTAATTTTTTTTTTTTTGAAATCTATCTTATTAAGCTGCTTTTTTGAATTTGGAAAATTCACTATAACATTTTAAATTATATCAATTTGAAACACAGTATAACAAATTAAAAATCATCAAATTTTAGTTTGAAAATTCTCGAGTATTTTATCATATCACCATAATAATGCTCGCACAAATATGTATATTAATTAATTTTTTATTATTTTCTTAGTATCTGACTGAAGATGCTAAAGAAATATTGCCAGGGCTTGCATACCATTGGAAAGATTGGTTTTTCTGTCGTGGCCGAGATTGTCTTTATGCTTGGAGTGATTATGTTGTCTTAGAATTGTCAAATGGTAGTAATGGCTGGTTTAGATTTATGATTAATGATAAATTATCTACAATGTATTCAAGTGGAAGCCCTGAAGGACAACCTGATACAAGTAAAATTAAATATAGATTTATTTAGTGTAATAAAAGTAATATTATACAAATTCAATTAAATTAACTTAATTTTAAATTTGGCATAGATAAAACAAGAGTTATGGACCATCCATCTTGTGATGGTAAATATTCATTTAAATTATTAATTACATTTTATTTATTAAAATGTGAAATTTTTTAATATGGAATATTTCATTTCTAAAGTTGATTAACTATTTTTAATTATATTAATATACATATTTTAAATTTTGTTTTGTTGGAATACTGATTTATTGGATTATTGTGTTGCATTAACAATTTCATCTTTTATTATGCTCTGGCTTATTGTTATTCCCTAATTAAAATTAACATTTTAATATTACTTTATTAAATGAGTAACGATTGTCCAATATTCAGTCTTTATTTTACTCTTATTTTTAAAAATTTGATAAAAGATTAATTAGCTCTAATATTTATCTACAAGTTTGGAATATAATTGAGTTTAATTTGTCTGTATCTTGTATATGACAATAAGGTAACAAACCAGTGTACCTTGCCATCTCACAATTAATTTAAATTTTTATTATTTATAGAAAACAAAACTGAGTTTATTGAAAAGTATTTAAAAGCTAAAGTGTTTGTTAAATTGAACACATTAAGTCAACCAATTTTAAGCACTCCGGGATTGAATAGAATAGCAGTTGGGAATTGGATTCTTATTTCAAAGAAAGAAAGCGAGTTGAGCATACAGAATTCTGATGGTTTACAGGTAAATAATTAATTTTTTCTTTTTCCCCTTTGCCTTCATTCCAACTATTTAATGTAGCCACTGTTGTTTTAACCTTCTACTTCACCTGATCACCCTCAAATAATGTATCTTATTTTAATTTATTGTCTCATTTTTTCACTATTGATGTCACACCTAAGGTACCACTTATGTATTAATTTCTTATATTATCTTCTCTTGTTACTCTACTATACTCATTCTCTGTCCTATTTTTCAGTCTACTATCCAACACTTCAGACCTTACAACATGGCTGGTCTCACCACACTCTTGTACATCTTACTTTTAAGTCTCATTGAAATTCTTTTATCACATAAACCACTTCATGCTTCTCTCCACTTTATCCAAACAATCTAAATTCTATGTTTTACATTTTCGTCAAAGCCACCATTCTTTTGTAGACAAAATCTTAGATACTTAAATTTCTCAACCTCATCTAATGGTCACCGCTTATTGTCATTAGCTATCTTTTCTTGTTCCTCCAAACTCATACTCTATATACTCTTGTTTTACTTTTACTTATTCTTAGTCCTTTTTCTTAATGTACTACTATCTATTCCTCAAGCCTATTGTTAATTTTCTTCTATCAAAACTATGTCATCTGCAAACATGTACTATAGTACCTCACCTTGTATTTCCTTTGTAACTTCATTAATTAATTTTTTTATTATTTTACAGCAAATTACGACACTAACATATGGCACAAATGGATTCTCATTCCAATCAAATCGAGGTAATCAACATATGTTCACTGCATTAATAGCACTTAAAAGTGATTTTACCTCAGGTTGGGAAACAGTAAAAAAGGCAAACTTGGTACCTACAAAATCTGAAACTGTTGGACAAAAGGTAAATTTAATTAAATAATATTGGTTGATTTTTATATCATATTTTTTACTATTTATAAATAATGTGTTAGATTCGAAAACAAGCACAAGAAATATATGAAAAATTCTTTAAGGCTGCTCAAGCTCAACCAAGAGGTGTAGTTGCAAGATTAAGCAAAATTGTTACAGCTATCGAATTTGCTATACAAAGTGAAGTATGTATATTATTTTATTTTAGATTCTTTAATAAACAATAACTATACAAAGTCTAAGTATGTTGTATACATGTAAATACTATTAAAGTATAAAGCATTTTAGAAAAACTAATTTATTAACTATTGTTAATTTTGGTAATTTAATTACTATTTCAGACTTCTGTTATCAAAGATGGATATAATAAAGAGGATTGGGCTTCAACTATTTGCAATGCTATTTCAGAATTAAAACAGTTGTTGATGGAAGATGAAGGTAGTGTCTCAGCTTATGAAATTTATAGCAGCGGCCTAGTTGAAGTTCTATTAAAACTTTTAACTATTAGCTGCCAAGAATGTGGTGATGAAGTTTCAGAACTACAGAAACGTCGAATTGATATTTTCGTTAAATGTTTTAAGGTAAATATACTATTTAAGATTCGGACCAGCACAAAAAAAAAAATTAAATGTATTTTGGTTTGAATTTGTTTTGTTATTATTCATTCAATAGGAAAAGAAGAATGAAAAAAATGTAGAAACATGTGCTTCTGTTTTGGTCCATAAACTAATATCTGTTTTAGAATCAATTGAAAGATTACCTGTGTACTTGTATGAATCTCCAGGGGCTTTTCATGGATTACAAGTAAAATCATTATTACTTCATAAAAATTAATGTTAGTTAAAATTAATTGATCTGTAATTTAATTTATAGATATTATCGAGGCGTGTGAGATTTCGTTTAGAAAAAGCAGCAAAAGAAACTACCCTTGTAGATCGTACTGGTAGAGGATTAAGAATGGAACCATTAACTACTGTGCATCATCTTGAAAAACATCTGTTAAAAATGGTTGCCAAACAGTGGTATGACCATGAACGTTTTACTTATAATTTTGTTAAAAAACTGAAAGACAAAAATAATTTACCAATGAAATTCAAACATTATTATGATTTTGATAAAAATGGTGTCTTATATTGGATTGGAACAAATGGAAAAACTTCAGTAGACTGGGTTAACCCAGGACAATATGGTTTGATGTTGGTCCAGTCTTCAGATGGTCGTAATTTACCATATGGTCAAGTTGAGGATATTTTAAGCAGAGATTCTGTTGCAATTAACTGTCATACAAATGATGATTCTAAGGCATGGTTTTCCATTGACTTAGGACTATGGATAATACCAACAGATTATACACTTAGACATGCTAGAGGATATGGTCGTTCTGCTCTTCGAAATTGGTTATTTCAAGTAAGAAAACAATTAGATTTTTTGATTAGTTTTTAATTAAATACATCATGTTTATAATTTTAACAGATGTCTAAAGATGGTACTAATTGGACTACATTATACATGCATATTGATGATACAGCATTAAATGAACCGGGAAACACTGCTACTTGGTCAATAGAAATAAATGATAAAGAAGAAACTCAAGGTTGGCGACATGTAAGAATTCAACAGAATGGTAAAAATGCTTCAGGCCAAACTCACTATCTTTCATTATCTGGATTTGAGATTTATGGAAATGTCACAAGTGTTTGTGAAGACTTGGGTTAGATAATATCATTTTTATTTATTAAAATAATTTTATAATATTAAATACAAATGTATTATTTTATAGGTAAAGCAGCGAAAGAAGCAGAAGCTAGTTATAAACGTCAACGACGTTTGTTTAAAGCTCAAATGTATAAACAAATGGTGAGCGGTGCTAGAGTTATGCGTGGTATTGATTGGAAATGGAGAGATCAAGATGGAAATCCACCATGTGTGGGAACAGTTACTGGAGACTTGCATAATGGTAAGTAATACCCAAAACCTATTTATTTTAATTATGCAAATTTAAAGTCTTAATATGAAGACTATTGGGGTCAGGTTGGATAGATGTTGTATGGGATCATGGCGTGACAAACTCATATCGAATGGGTGCTGAAGGGAAATATGATCTACGGCTAGTCAATGAATCCCAAACTACATGTGCCTGTATGTTATGATTGAGATAGTTGTTTATAACCTTGGAAACTATCATATTAGTGTTCTAATTTGTAGCATGCAAATCCCTCTGTTCACAGTTACAATTTTTTTATTCGAATTTAGACTACTGTAGGCAGTATTAATTTAAAATATGATTATAGCTTGCACAATTTTTAATCAGTGCTCAACTTGGGAATAAGAAATTTAAAATACTGATACTGAAAATTCATTTTACATGCTACATTACATTAATTCGTAATCTATAAAAATAAATTAACAATAAAACCTTTATTTAATACTGTTTAACATATGGTTTAATTTTGTACAAATAAAAATGACGGCCCACCCAAATCGAGCACTTCATTTAATTTTAATTTATCAAACAATTATAAATACTATTTTTTATGTCAATAGATAAATGCATGTTAATAATTCGTAACCAGTTATAAATAAAGATATTTTAATTAATTTACAATTATACCTGTTTATTGCTATAGCCAAGTTTAAAGGCAGTTCAAATTCAACTTTGTCCAACATTATGACAAGAATGTCAAGTTCAACTCCTAGCTTACCTGAAGCATCTAATGATACTACAATTGCTAATGTGTCTGTATCTAGTATAGATCAAGCTGTATCTGCAGATAATTTGGCAGCTAAAGTATAGTTTAAAATCCATAAAAAATAAATATAATAAAATAATTATTTTAAATAAACCTATTACAGCAAGCTGCTCAACAATTGACTGATAGTATTATGTCAGTCATGAGGATAGATTCTTCAGTCACTCCAGTTACAGCAAATTCATTAGATAATTCACTTCGAATAGTAGTTCATCCAAATCCCTCTGTTGATCTTGCTACAATTGTTGAGTCAACTTCAAATGGTTAGAAATATAATGTTGCAAACATTTTTATTTTAGTATTATGTGTTATTTTAATATTATGTGTTATTTTAATATTATATATTATTGTATAATTTGGATAATTTAAATATTTAGATGAAACTCAACAAAATATTGAAAATAATAAGAAAAATAGTAACTGTTATGAAGAGGAATTTTTACCAGCATTAGGAAGGGTGAAACCAACATATAGACGTAGTTCAGTTACTAGTTTAGTTCATACTTTGCAATCTATTCAAATTGAAACACCACCTAACAATAAAGTAATATATCATGTTATTGCCATTATATAATGAATTGAATAGTTAGAATATGTTTTATTTGCTGTATAATTTATATTTAAGGCAAACTCAAAAGATAAACCAATTATTATAATGCATCATAATACATCAGACACTTCTAACTCTCAAAATCAAGATCTGTCTACTGATACTTTAATAAATAATGCTAATAATTCTGCTTTTAATACAGAAATGTGCAACCGAAATAATTTAGGTATGAACATTAAAACATTTTTTCTAACTTGATATGTACAGATAATTTCATGTTTCATATTTAAATTTATGTACTGGTTTAGAAAAAGAAAATAAAACAGAAGACAACATAAATAATTCTTCATATCATATGAGTGTTAGTGTGCCAAACTTAACATCTAACGCACCGCCAAGATCACAAGGAGATATTCCAATGCAAAAACCTTTGGTTGAAACATATGCTCCTTATCAAAAGCATAGGAATTTTGATAGAAATAATGGTCATAATAATCAAAGTCAACTTACTAATCACATATCTCAAAGAGTACCAACTTCAGTATCCAGTCTTGTACGTTTAGCTCTGTCTTCTAATTTTCCAAGTATGTAATTACAATTTTGAAATTTATTGTTTATTCTAAATTTTAAATTTATATCAGAGTTATTATTATTCTTATTACATCATTATTATTTAAATTATTTTTAAAATGTTAAGTGAGAAAGGTTGATTTTTCACATATTAAAAATATCATACAAGATGTAGTGTAGCATTAAAAATAATTTTTAGTGCCCACATAATTTTTGCTCTTTAAAATTAAAAAATTCTTATAAAAAAAAAATAATAATAATAAGTATATATTATATGATTAACAAAATCTGTTTTCAATAAATAAATTGTTACATTTATTGTTACTCCATAATATAAGTTTGAAATTGTAAATTTCCAATTAAGAAATAAATACATTACCAAAAATTAATTTCCAGCTGGTTTACTTCAAACTGCACAAAGTTATCCTAGCTTGTCAGCTAATAATTCAACTAATAATTCATGTTCTATAACAACTATTGCAAATAGAACTTTTTGTGTTGGAGAAGCTTTAACTATGAGTCTGGCATCTACATCAAGTGAAAGTGAACAAGTCAGTTTAGAAGTTAGTGTCTATGTTATATTATGTTTTACTTCATTTACCAACAATTTATCTTTTATAGGATTTTTTGGACAGTGTTCGTGCTCCAGCCTTATTTGCAGAACTTGAAGATGACGAAGAAATTGTTGAAGATGATGATATTCCAGATGATGATGAAAATGAGGATGAACAAGATTATGAAGAGGTAATGGTCACCAGAAATCTATTAAATATGGTAAGAAGTAATTAAACTGATTAGTTTTAAAAGTTTTTATTAATTTCTTATAAGTACATTTTAAAATGTTCATGAGAAAATAAACATAAATATTTTAACATTTTCTTCTTAGGAAGAAGAATCATATGATGCACAGCATGCAACCATTGCTAGTATTGTGGGTACAGATAGGTGTGGTAATCCATATAAAAGGCGCTCGTGGGATGATGATTATGTACTTAGAAGGGAATTTACCGCATTAATACCGGCCTTTGATCCTCGGCCAGGGCGTACTAATGTCAATCAAACATCTGACTTGGAAATTATTGCTCCCCCAAAGGATGAACAGGATGAAGGTCCCGAACTTTATATTGGAGACTCATTTCCTGACAATCAATCATCGTTACCACGACTCAAGTTGACTTTGAAAGGTCCAAATTTGCCGGGTGTACGTTATTGAAGATGTTTTGAATTTATAAATATTAACAAGTATTACATTTTATAGATTAAAGATGTAGAAGTTGAACTCAAAGATTCAAGTTGGACTATTTTTCATGCTGTTCAAAAATTAGCACAATTGGCAGATCTTGGAAGTCGATTGGAAAGATCAAGACGAATTTGGGAACCTACTTATACGTAAGTAAAATTTGATCTTCGCTTTATTCATAAAAATTATTCAATTAATACATTTTAAAATGTTTTTCAAGAATTATATATGAAGAATTAACCAATAAAGATCAAAAACTTAGTCAATGTCCTGATAATCAATGGGATTCCGATTTACCTATATTTTCAACCAGAACTCAATTAAGTAATACTGGTTGCACTGTTGATCATGTACTTCAACTTTTACGCCAACTTCATAATCTTTCCATTAATCCATCAATTTCTTTGCTTAAACCTTATAATGATGATTTCTTTGAAAGTAAGTTACTAAACAAATATAAATATTGATTTTTATAAATTCATAATGTAAATGAACTTGCAGTACATAAAAAAGATGATGGAGAGTTGATCAACAGCGAAATATTTAATAGCAAAAAAATGACTAATAAACTTCTTCAGCAAATTCAAGATCCTCTGGTTTTAAGTTCTGGTGCACTTCCATCTTGGTGTGAACATATAAATCTTTCTTATTCATTTTTATTTCCATTTGAAACAAGATATTTGTATTTCAATTGTACTGCATTTGGACCATCTAGGTAATATTATGTTCAACTGAATTATTTATGTAATAAATATTACTGAATTTTTATGATTTTTATTCTAGATCTATTGTATGGTTACAATCTCAACGAGAAAATGTAGAACGTCACCGCACTGGTTCGAGTTTACCCCTTAGACGTGAAGAAGAGTATAGAGTAGGTCGTTTAAAACATGATCGTGTGCGTATACCACGAGGTGAAAACATACTTGCTTGGGGTAGACAACTTATGCGTGCTCATATTGAACGACAAACAGTGTTGGAAGTTGAGTTCATAGGTGAAGAAGGTACTGGATTAGGTCCCACCTTGGAATTTTATTCATTAATAGCTGCAGAGTTTCAACGAAAAAATCTTTGTATGTATTATATTAAATATATTTACTGTTTGCTAATACTTTATTTGAGATATTTTATACAGCTTTTTTTTAAATTATTGTGTAGGTATGTGGATGTGTAATGATGAATTACCAAAAGAAACTGGTCAATGTAGTTGGCTCGAAGAGGGTTCTAAACCACCTGGTTATTATGTTAGACAGTCTAGTGGGCTTTATCCGGCACCATTACCTCAAAATACAGCGTGTTGTGATAGAGCTGTAAAACATTTTTGGTTCCTTGGCATGTTCCTAGCAAAAGTTCTTCAAGACAACCGTTTAATTGATCTTCCATTATCTTTACCATTCCTAAAACTTTTAACCAATGCTAAGAATAATAAGTAGGTTTTATAAATAAATTGTTTAAAATAAATAAAGATTAATAACTGAAATGTATTTAATTAGATCAGCAAGAGTACTGAACGAGTCTGACTTATTTGATATAGATGAAGAACAGGCAGTATTTATAAAAGATTTAAGACAGTTAATTTTATCAAAAGAAAAAATATTATTGGATCAATCTTTGAGTGATAAAGAAAAGTCTCAAAAAATTAACAACTTATTATTTCAATGTGGTGGAACTGAAAAAGTGTCCCTAGATGATCTAAGCTTGAGCATGATTTATTTACCATCATCTTACTGTTTTCCATTTACATATGTAAATTTAGTCGAAAATGGACTTAGTGAAGATGTCAATATGGATAATGTAGAGCTATATGTGAATTTATTGACTGATTTCATATTAGATAAGGGCATTAAAAGACAAATGGAAGCACTCAAGAGTGGCTTTTGTAGAGTATTTTCTATTGAAAAATTAAATGCATTTACTCCTCTTGAACTTAGACGAATGTTATGTGGACAGCAAAATCCAGAATGGACAAGAGACGATTTATTAAATTACACTGAACCCAAATTGGGATACAATAAAGAAAGGTACAAAAATTTGAAAATTGTTATTACACTTAATTTTATTTTTATATAGTCAAACTGTCCCACGAAAATATACCCCTTGAATATCTCTGAAATAATAAAGAATATCAAATTCTGTATTTTGTTTTATACTACTCACAGAAATGAGGACTACAAATATTTATATTTTAATTAATTTGTTTTTTTTTTTTTTATCATAAAAATTTTAAAAAAATTATTTTATTTTATTATTTTTGGAAAATTTTAAGATGGCCATTTGATAGAATTAATTTTTCTAAAAATTGTAATGTATCACACATTTTTATCCGATAAATAGTTTCTAAGTAATAACAGTTTTAAATCCTAATCCTGTTAAAACTGATGTTACTTAGAAACTATTCATCAGATAGAAATATGTGATACATTCTACAGAATGGCTATTTTAAAATTTTCCAAAAATAATAAAATAAAAAGTTATTTTTTTAATTTCTATGATATAAAAAAATTAATTAAAATATAAATATTTCTAGCCTCATCCCTGTGGGTAATATAAAGAAAGAAAAAAACAATTTGATTATATAATAAAATTAAATTCCAAACTAAAATAAATATATTTTTAATTACGAGTACCTACCTATTAATCATTTTTTAACATCGTTTCAGCCCTGGGTTCTTACGTTTAGTAAATGTTCTTGAACAAATGAATTCTGAAGAACGTAAATCATTTTTACAATTTACTACGGGTTGTTCTTCTTTACCACCAGGAGGTCTTGCAAACTTATATCCCAGACTAACTGTGGTACGTAAAGTCGATGCAGGTGCAGGTAGTTTTCCATCAGTAAACACTTGTGTCCATTATTTGAAATTGCCTGAATATCCTGACGAACAAACATTAAGAGAACGTCTACTAGCTGCAACACTAGAAAAAGGTTTCCATCTCAACTAAATCATACTTTATTCAATGATTAGTATGTAATTTATACTGTTAACTAATCAATAATATGTTTCTCGCATTATAGTGTTTTTAAAATTATTATATTTTATGTTGTGCACCATTCTTTGTAACATTTCTGTGACTACAAACCACACTGTAGTGGTTTTAATGTCTTGGAAATTCTCTGATACTAGTGATAATATGTTTTTGTTTCCGTATAATTTATCTGTCTAATATCTATTAATATTGATATTAAAATTGCATATATTTTTTTTTTTTTTAGTTTTAAGTGTTTTGTCATAATAATAGGTTTTAAGGTCTTAAATATTAAACTGATGACTTAGTATTTCTCATAAATATTAGTAGAATTATTAAATATAAATAAAAATCATAATGTACATTATGATTTAATTTAAAATTATTATCAGACCTTTGTATCGCCACAATTATTATTCTATTTCATATTATTATTTATTAATGTTTGAATAAATATTTTCTAAACAGCCTGATTGAATTGTTTGGGAATTAATAGATTAAAATTCTATAAGTTGAGAATGCCACACATTTGAAGCAATATATTGAAAAACTTGATACCCTAGACCTAATACTGATAATACTGATAATACTGTATTATATACATCTAAACAGTTATAGGAAGTATAATCAGTTTTGAATAAATCAAGGAAGATAGACTGAGTGATGCCAAGAGGCAAATTTCAAATACTCAGGTGTAATGTGGTTTAACTCCTCCCATTATCTTTAATAATTATGAAAAATATTCAAATTTTGGTAGTTTCAATTCTAAAAAGGCAAAAGGCTTTACTTAGTGCAGAACTTCGCCCAAATTCTAAACAAGAAAATATACGGACATACTTCACACAATTGGTGGGTCACTGTTGTAGGTGAGAAGTTGGAAAGGTAGGTTATAGAGGGGAATTTAATGTATTTGTACGCAACAATTAATCATTGCTAACAAAAGAATCATTTGAGCAGAGCTCGGTTAATAGTATTAATTTTTTAGCAATATATTTATGATATTATATTGATATAATTGTATACTTTTCAATATTCATATATCAATTAGAGAATACAATCATGTTGAGATACTGGCCTTTTTTAATCTGAAGTCTTGGAATCGACAAATAAATAATCCCAAGATTTCAGGATTAATTAATGTAGTAATATACACAAAAAAATATATATTTATAATGATTAATAATAAATATAAACAATAAACATATTATATGAAATAGAATATTTTGTGAGTACTAGTGAATATATGGTTTTACCATAAACCAAGAGATAAGTCTGTATGAGAATGGAGAAAATCACAGACATCAGTTAGAATTAGCAATTAAATATCTAATGTCTATTCCTCTCACTAGCATAGAACCTGAACATACGTTTTCAGCATCTGCATACATAAGAAATAAATTAAGAAGCTGACTCGAAGACGAGGCATTAGATAATCTAATAGCTTCACCTATTTCTCCAATCTAAATTTCAAAATATTTCTTTTCAATAAAACGTTTTTCAATTTTTAATTTGTTATATTTATTATTAATTTTTTCCCCTATAATACATAATATTAAATAGTTGAATTTTTTTTATTTAAAAAATATATACTTAAAATAAATAAAAATTAATCTTCTAAATGTATGTACCATCTTTTTTCAATTTGAAATATAATCCAGGGATCCTGAGATAAGGTCAAAAAAATCCCGGAATTATATTCTTTAATCATATAACACATAATTTTTTACTAAAACAATTTTCATTTAAAATTGATATTATTAATACTTATTGTATGTTAAATTTAAATGGTTCAATGCAAATTAATGGAATTCCAAAAAATTGTTCAAACTGAGTAGTTTTAATTAACTAGTTAGTCAGTAGTAATCTTTGGATCTATATTTATTTTACCTACATATATATTATCTATTTAACTTTGTTATAAATTAGAATTTTAGAATTCAGTTTTCTCTAATCTGATATCTGTGACTGTATAGGTACTTAATATCATGATTAACTATGCTTAATATGTTTATATTTGAGGTAGGTTTTGGTTTTAGAAGATTTGTAGTAAAATTATGGTTATTAAAGAATGGATGTGCCATTATTTAATTTTGTGCCATAAATTAAGAATTATACTTTTACTACTTCTTCTTCTACCACTACTACTACTACTTTTTAGTTTTAATTTCAGAAAAAATAAAACCCAATGATGTATCAATATCAAATACCTATATTCCATCTCACGACAGAAGGTAGTAGGTACATGCATCGGCGAGAGCACGGAGGTCAAATTTCTACCACTCCTTACCGCGTAAAATCGTAACCGAACTGGTAAAAATGGCAAAATTCAATGACGGAAAAAAAAACTTATACTTTCTGTCGTGGGACAGAGTATAGTAAAAATCGACTATAAATAACATAAATAATCTCGCTATTTAAAAATATAATGTATCTTATAATCCGTCTTATTGCTGAAAAAAGATAATACATATTTATATATAAATAATATAAATAATAAAAAGAGATAATTAAGACTGAAAGTATGCATGTAAACTATATAAGCTTATTTTTGAACTATACATTAGTAGATGCTGATAAATTTATTGTAAGTTTAGATTGTATTTTAGATAAAAAAAAAAATAATTTCTTACTACCTAGGTAGTGTACATAACTTATGTCTTTTACAGTTTAGACACATAAAAATGTATGGATACCATGGCCAACATTTAAGTTTCTTTTAAATGAAAAAGGATGTTTAAAATATTAGTATGAAAAAAATAGGTATGTATAATATATATATATATATACATTGTAATTTGTACTTTACTACCTATCTACTCCTAAAATTTATTTAGGTACCAATAAGCACAATTTGTAAATTTGTGTACCTATATTACCAAAACAAAATACAGTTCATTCCCCCTCCCAAAGGAGAAAACTGAGCACAACACTGTAGGTGTTTAATGTAACTATTCACTCACCTCATCAGTGACTGTAGATTGGACTTACTATTAACTATGAAAAAATAAATTGAAATAACAACTGTATACTTATCTAAAAATATGAAGATGGGCTGTAAGAATTAAAAAGGTACCTAATAAATACAAAAAAAATTTTATCAGAATATTCAAAATAAATAATTTAGGTGAAAAACTGTCAAAAAATTCCTAAATGTAAAAAAAAAAACAACCAGTGATTTTTTCATTATAAACCAGAAATTTTCTATTTTTTTTTTTTAATAATCATGGAATCTTTTAAGCTTTATTTTTTAATTTTTATCTTTACTCCATACCTCTACCTTAATTAAGTTTATAGACACTTTTTTTTTTCAAATATAAACTTTAATTTTTAAACAAAAATTTGAATAGAGAATATTTTTCTAGAAACTTAGACACGTAAAACACTAATATCAGATATAACGTTTTTGAGTAAGTTATAACCGGGGTTATGAGTTTATACCGGAGGGTATAAGTAGGGAAGGGTAATAAATTTAATTTCCAATTTAAAATAATAAATTGATACTCCCCCTACTCTCTACTTCCTATTCCCTACTACTCCAAACTTTAAAATCAGAAATAATGTAGTTTTTTACTGGTGAAAGAATTTTCAAAATCGATTCAGTAATTCCAGAGATTACTACCTACAAACAAACTTATAAAATTTACCTCTTTATAATATTAGTGTAGATAGTTAATTTTATAGGTAGAAATTACCTATATATTTTCAAAAATATATTCTGTATGTAGATACTTATTATTTACTTCATTTTAGAGAGCTATCAAATATTTCTGAGTCTAAACAATGCACAATTGCAGAAAACTCTTCAACTAAAAGATATTGGTTTATTTTATAATTCTGAAGAACTCCTATTGCTAAATTATAATTTCTTGTATAAATATTTAGTAAATTTGGTTTTGTTTTTACAATCACATACCTACTTATAAAAGATCATAAGAATCATATTGTTGTATTTTTCCAAGGCCTTTTTTTCAGATTTTTACTCTACTTAAATTTATTTAAATCTATAATTATCCAAATAGGTTAATTGTATTTTGATTTCTGTTCATTTTTAATGTAAATTGTAAGCAGAAGTCTCCATTTAAAGAACAGCAGTTTAGACACTATGTTTTGAATCTTCTATTAATACTTAATAGCTTTATAGAAACAGGTTCAAACTTACAAATTCTTACTACATGTAATACAGAATGTATTTGATCTGATTCTATAAAGCCTTTGGTATATTATCATACATACGTATTATAATTATTTTATTTTATGCTAAATTGGAAAAATTCTATAGACTATGAAATATGATATTTATTCTTTACAGATTACCATTACTTAAAGGCGAGGATACTTTTAAGGATAAGGATTCTACTGATATATTTATAGATTATTTTGAGAAACCATTGGCCAGTAATTTACATTTATTCTGTAAATTTTATTCATTTCAGCCATTCGATACTATGAGGTTCAATCCGACAAAAGCATATTTTCGAAAAGAAACAAAATTAACATTCAAGTGAAAATGGCTTACCTATTCAAAATATAAAAATACTTTTTTTTTGTGCATTTTGTCTAGTTTTAGTAGTGATGATGACCAATTCACTTCAATATTAAAACTTGAATCAATCAATAATCCATATACAAGAATTAAAATACACGAACAAAAAAGTCAGACCATGTAAATAACTGTAAAGCTTTTTTACATTAAACAAATATTACAGATATTAAATCTAGATTTAAAAGTTGTAAACAGTATGAGATAAAACGAAAAAGGGTTGTTTTTCATCGACTCATAAATATAATAAAATTAATATACAAACGTGGGTAAGTTGGGGAACAAAAAATACAGAAGCCATTTAGCATTTATACATTGAACAATTCTGCACATCAAGACATCAATAAATTACTTCTAAAATAGGATACTTTTACCTACCCTAAGAGCCTGCCGTCTGTCAGTTGGTTTCTTATCGTACATTTATGATTATTTAATGCCTATCTAACACCCTAATAGTCATTTTTTCATTTTTGGGTTCTCTTATCATTCGTAGCAATAAATATTAAATGTTATATTCTGTGATACTATAGGCATAGATTCTATATTATCGATGACTATAGGGAATAGCTGGTACCTCCTTATTATGGTCTTTTACATTGCGAGTATATGATTATTGTGAGGTTTTTGTTCTCCCTATCAATTATGGAAGAATCTAATTCCAAAATAAAATGCCTTCCAGCCATCAATTTTGTGCAAAAAATCGGAATTTATGAATCTAAAAATGTAATTTTATACTTAATACTTAACTTTTGTACATTTACAGTTCATTATTTTTTAATAATCAAAATTATTTGTAGAGATATTTTGTTGTTGGTTCCAATAATGCTCGTACCAAGTATCGAATTCTTAAAATTGATAGAACAGAAGGCCATGAATTGACTATTATAGATGATCAAGTTGAATATACGGAACAAGATATGATACAATGTTTGAGTCTCGGATTACACAGAAATACCGGTTTGAATAAAATAGCATCAGCATTTGGCATTGTTGGTAAAACCAGAAGATTCTCTACATTTTAAATCTCAAAATTATGTTATTTGTATGTGTTTCATAATTTATATTATTATTTTTGTTAAGGATTTGTAAGATTACTTGAAGGATATTACATGATTTTAATAACAAAACGACGCCGTGTTGCAGTTATAGGATGTGAAATTATTTATAAAATAGAAGATACGTTGATGATATATTTACCTAATGATGCATATCGAATTCCAAATGCTAATGAACCACGTTACTTAAAAATTTTTCAAAGTGTAGATTTATCAAGTAATTTTTACTTTAGGTAAATTAAATTTACATCATTAAATCTTAATCTCATCTGTTGAACATATAATTATTTCTAATTTGTATTAATATTATTTTTAGTTACAGTTATGATGTTACTCATACTCTACAGGTTAATATGTCTATTTCACAAAATATTCCAAATGGTTAGTTCTACTTAGTTCGTATATTATTTTATTGTTTAAAAAATACAAGTTTTGTTTTGATTTTACCATTATTAATATTGCTATAAATGTTTTATTAACTTCCTGTTATACTAAAAGTCTCAGTAAATATTTCAAGTTTATGGGGCACCCTAAATTTTGAGCTTCTTTATTTAAACATTTAAACACTGAAAACAATAGTGCAAACAAAAAAATTAGTATAAACCTTGGTTCAAACATTTTCGAATTCTATGTCTTAAAACACATATTGAAAAAAAAAAACAACTTGCATCAAAAATTAAAAATGTTTCAAGTATTTTGTATTATATGTTTATTATAATAAAAACAGAATAATAATTTGAATACGTAGTTAAAATCTAAATTATTTGTATTGTCAACTTTAGAATTTATAATACCTATTGGTATTATTAAGACTTAAGAGGACGTTATACCCGCATCTACGGTCTCAGTTCAATTACTGGGTAACATGCAAAAACAATGTTTGCGCAGAATAAGTAAAACTAGCTTGATTTTAATTTAAGTGTAAAAGTACCTATTATGAAATTTATAGAGACCAATATTTTGGATGGAATGTCATAGGGATTTTATATTATTCAAAATATACAGCTCAATATAAAGATAAAAACTCTTTTTTATTTCTTTTTCAAATAACTAACTTTTTTTAACAATTCATATTTTAAAAATCGTCTGTAACATTCCATCCAATATATTGTTCTCTAAAAATTTCATAATAGATACTTTTATTCTAAAATCAAAATTAAGCTAATTTAACTTATTTTGCAAAAGCATTGTTTTTGCATGTTACTTGGTAGTTAGACTGAGATGGTAGATGCAGGTTTAACATTTTCTTAATAACTAAAATTTTTTTTTTTTTTTTCAAGAAGTTAAACATTTTAGCAATATTTAATTTTTTAATTTTTATCATGAAAACAAAGTAAAGTATTTAATTATAATTTCTAATATTAATATTTTTAGATTTTTCTAATCGAGAACATGTATTAGTGACTCGAAGTTGCCCTAACAAACTATTTATTTGGAATCACTATTTGCTTAAAGATGTGCGTAGTAAATTACATCCAGACTGGATTTTAAATATAATGCATGGCTTTATTAGTCAATCAAATGTTTCCATATTTGGACGTCCCATTTATATTACACTGATTGCTCGAAGATCAAATAGATATGCTGGTACAAGATTTTTGAAAAGAGGAGCTAATAAAAATGTAAATAACTACTTTCAATACTTATTCACTACTACAGTAGTACACCCTTATGATTATTACTGAATAAGTTGAATCTTAAGTTTAATTAACCACGTTTTTTGTTATTCATTTTTATGCATATTGACTTTTAAAACTAATATCTCACAAAAGGTTACTTGCTTTTACATTTATTTTAACACTGTATTTATTTTTGCTTTTTAAATATAACCATAGAAATCATATTTAATATTGAACTATTAGAAAATATATATATTTTGGAAATTTTATTTAGGAAACAATTGTTAATATTTAAAATAACAATTAATAAGTTCTTAAACTATACAACTTATATAGTTAGTTTAAAATAAATAATATAAATTTTTCTATTTCTATTGTATATGTTTTTAAAAATTTCAATTAAAAACAATTAGTAGTTGATTTATCTACATCAACATTTTTAAGACATCTGTTTGAAAATGTAATTAAAATGTTTTATTTTTAAATTAGAAGTCAATATTTGTAAGAGAGTGATCAAATTTTATTTTAAAAACTTTAATAAAATGTATTTATAATTGTTGAACATATAGTGTTTTTTGTTCAATAATAATTGTGATTGTAATCACATTTAGCATAATACTGTGGACACCTTTATAAGACCCGAGGATATAAGGTTCAAGTTGCTTATAAATTATAATACTCAAAATCTCTTGAAACAGCCTGAATATACTCAAAAATAAAAATAATCAGCTATAAAACTCAAATTTTGTAAAAAAAATAGTAGTAATTGTACATTTCGAAATTTTGAAATAAATTAGATTTGAAGTTATTTATGTTGTAATGGTTTCAATTCATATCTTGTCACACTTCATGTTTATCACAATTACAATTATTGTTATTGTAATATAAGATATAAATACACTTCTAATTAATTGGCCCGGTTATTACATTTCACATTTACGTAATTTATATTGTTGTAGTTGTAGTAAAATTAGTCGACCTTCAATACCACATCATCATTTTAACAAATAACAATTTATTTTATTAATAGTATATATTTATAATATATAATATGCAAAACTATAATATGTGAAATGAAATTAACAGAATAAATTTATTTCGCCACTATGCCTATAAGTTTAGGATACGTTATGAGACTCACTGGTCCCAAGTGAATCTTATACACCCACTTTAATAATAAATAATAATATATATATATTTTCTTAGGGTGAGGTTGGAAATGAAGTTGAAACTGAACAAATTGTTCAAGATCTTGGAGCAAGTTGTCAAAATTATATGTATATAAGTTCATTTCTTCAAATGAGAGGTTCAGTTCCGGGATTATGGAGTCAAGATATGAGTAAAATGGTGCCCAAACCCACAATATCATTTGAATTACCTGATCCATTTCATGAAATATCTGGTTAGTGGCTTTCAATAATTGAGACATATTTTTTCAGGTCTAATTATGATGTATTATGTAAACAATTTTTTCAAGGTGCTCATTTTAATAACTTATATAAAAGATATGGGTCACCAACAGTTATAATAAATTTAGTGAAAAAACGTGAAAGAAAGGTACATGAATCACAATTAAGTGATCATTTAGCATCAGCTGTAAAATATTTGAATAAGTTTCTACCACCTTGTCATCACATTCAATACATACACTTTGATATGGCTAGAATGAATAAAAGGTTTATTTTTATTAAAGGTTTATTTTTAGTTTTTATTTTTTCTAAGAATTTTTCCATTTTATTAGTAAGAATGTAAATGTTATGAGACGTCTTGATGAAATTGCTCGTATGGCAATTTTTAAAACAGGCATGTATATTGATTGTCCGCGCATTGTTCAAAGACCGACTTTTGGGCAATTTAAAAATGGTATCATACATCAAAATGGTATTATCCGAGTAAATTGTGTTGATTGCTTAGATCGTACTAATACTGCTCAATTCGCTATTGGAAAATGTGCATTAGCTTATCAAGTATGAATTTATTTTATATATAGGTACAACTCTTCTTAGAAGAGTTAACTTATAAATTATTTATCTATATTACTTGTTTTACAGCTATATTATTTAGGTTTATTAAACACACCATCTTTAGAATATGATACTGACTGTGTTCGATTATTGGAAGTATCTTATGAAGACCACGGGGATACTTTAGCTTTGCAATATGGAGGATCTCAATTAATTCACCGTATAAAAACTTACCGGAAAACTGCCCCTTGGACGTCACAAGGCAATGATATTATGCAAACATTGAGTCGTTATTACAGCAACACATTTTCAGGTTAACAACATTGCCAAATATTATAACTGTACTAAAAAAGTAGTGCTACTATTTTGATTTTATGTAGATACTGAAAAACAAAATGCCATAAATTTGTTTTTGGGTCTATTTGTTCCAAATGAAAATGAGCCTGCCATTTGGGAGCAAAACTTTGATTACTATTTGCATCATTTGGAAGCAACTACTTTTCTTTCTAATAACCAGTTAGTAGAAAACAAATTGTTATAATTTTCTGAACATTATAATACATTTTGGACATTTATATTAATTTCATTAATAAAATTGATTAATTAATTGAATTTTTTTTTAGAATTTCATTGACAAAGTGGTGGGATGATTGTGTTATGGAGTGTTTACCTTTATCTTATATGGAATGCAAAAAGGAATATTTAGAAATATATCCAGCCAGTAAATTACATAGTGATAGCTATGATAGTTTTTCTAATTTTTATAAAGTAGATGAGTTCAGTGTAATGTCTGAAACTTATCCTTTTGAAATTAGTCATTCTGTAAAGTATGTTCTTCAATAGTTGTAATTACATATTTATATAAAGTGAATTTGTTTTTATTGTAATAAAGTAACTAATAATTATTATATTTTTGTTAGAGATTTTATGCCAAACTGTGTAACAGATTTTAGTCCATTTGCTATGCGCATTAGACCTGGTAAAAAAAGGGAAGAAATATCTGGTAAAACCAGAAACCCATCCATGACAGGCCATAGCTCAACAAATTCAATTAATTCAAGTAGCAGGTACCAGTTGTATCAATTATGATTTATAAATTACAATTTTCTGTTTTTAATGTTAGAAATAAATACATTTCTGAATAATAATTTTGAAATGTTTTTAATGTATACAAGATGATTCTTTTATTATTAAACATTTATTATTTCTCAAAAGTATAGACTTAAATTGGGGTAAAAAAATGTTTTGATAATTCAAGAAACAAGCAGATCTAAAATTTTCCACCACCATTATTTATTTTCACCTTTATTTTTGGGGATGAAACGACTGCCAATTTTTAATTTTCAAATAGTAATCTATATTAAAAGTTCCATTTATGGATAGAGTTTAACAAATTAGTTTAAATACATTTTGGTGTTTAAAACTTATAATTATGTAGCAGGCTATAATCATATTCTTTATTTGCTCATTATTATTACAATTACAATTGACTATACACTTCTTTTCATTGAATTTTAAAAAATTATTAAAATTCAAAAATTTAATAAAAATAAAAAGTTGGTACATAAAAATTTTCAGAAGAAAAACTATAAAATGGCTATCTTTAAATTTTTCAAAAATAATAAAATAAAAAATTATTTGTTTAAGTCTTACCAAAACATAAAAAATCAATTAATATATATATATATATATATATACATATTTATAGTCCTTATCACTGAATAATATAGAACAAAAAACGTCCTGTGATGATGGGAATGGGTGCAGCCACTCTTATTATAGTAATTTACGACTCATTGTACCCAAACTCGACCTTTCTCATTTAGCCTCAATATATTTTAGGCATTTTAAAATTTAATTGGCAATAATTTTTAATAATATAATATATACATTTATTATGTTTTAGTCTGTATGTTATTGCCATATTTTTATTTGCTTACTTTTTATAATTGTAGACATAATTTAAAAAAAAAAAAATTTTAATGGTGATAGAGAGTATCAAAATTCACTCAATAAAAAAGTTAAAAATTAAATTTATTTCTTTTCAGTGATTAGGGTTAAATTAATTTTTTTTCTCCATTTGTGTTCTGACAAAACAATAAAAAAAAAATGATTATTGACCGAATTATTAGCATATGTATAACACTGTAGGACATTCTGTTTAGTAATATTTTATTAAAATATAATAATTGATGCAATAAAAAAATGAAATCATATTTTATTTAGTAGTTGCAGTGGTGAAAGTGATGATGATATTTCCTTTTCAAAACGTATTGAATCTATGAGTATTACTTCAAAAGAAAATTCGATCAACTTTGATCACATACAAACCGAACAAAATTACTATGGAATTAATATGGCAGTTACAAAATCAGCAGATATTGCTATTTACAAAAAGTAAATTTGTATTATATTACATTATTAAGCATCAGTATAAGTTATAATTTTTATTCATTTTTTTATTCTAACTTTTCAGCCGTGATTTTTGTTTTACTTTTAATATTTACACTTACATTAACAGATTAATAGTAGTCTACCTGCTACTGTTTACTTATTAATATAATTTCTCAAATTTTTATTTTAATTCTCTAATCATTTTATTATAACCTAAAAATAAAAAACAAGAGTAGAGGGAGCGAGGAGAAACACACACTGCACTATTATAATATTATACAATTAAAAATATACACATACTAAGAGTTTTAAAAAAAACGACTGACATATTTCAAACTATGGGTAAAATATCCTATTAATATATATATATAACCCTAATAATATAAATAAGTTAAGAAAAATCATTCTGAGTGAAGTTCGATTTTGATAAACTTAAATTGAAAATTCTACTATTTTATTACTATTAAATAAATTACAATTGTTTGTGTTTTTTCATTTCAAATTATTGACCTTTTGGATGAAACCAAAAAGGTTCTGTCCACATAAACCTGAAAATAGTACATTTTTACAATTTTAATCACAATTTAAACTTTAAATGTTTATAATAAAAAAAACATTATGACAACTGATTTTTGATATTTTTTTAGTGTCATAAATCTTATATCATATTTTCAAATATTTTTGAAAACCAAAAAAATATAATCTACATAAAATTAAATGGCTATAAGTAATTAAAAAATGGTCTGCTAAAATAACCATTTGGTGAAAATTTCAGTTATATCCATCCAAACTTTATATCCAAACCCTATATATTTTTAAAGTAATTTTTGTGTGTATATGTGACAATATGATGATAAGAGATGAGTTATCTAAACTTGAAGACTTCTTTTATGTGTACAAATAATTTAGGTTTCTAAGTAAGTCATATGATGGTTAAGGGCCAATGTAGCTTAAATAAATAGAAGAAATGACAAGGTAGAAATAGAAAATAAGATAAATATTTGATTTTGTTTTGTGCTCTTAGAATTGATAAATATAAAATACAAATAGGTAATATATAATATAAATGGCGATAATTATACTTTATTATTATAACTTTGCAGATATATACTTATGGCAATCAACCCATCAAGTGTTTTAGTAGTGACACCAAATTCACAATCTAAATACAACAGCTCATTTAGTGTACCTGTACCAGAAGTTAATTCAACAAGTATAACTTTATATGAATCATACATAGAGAAAGGGTTAATAGGTGAATCTATTTGCAATAACAACATGATTGACCAATATGAAAATTATGTTCAATGTAGTTAAAAATCACTATATAAACAGTATTTATGTATGGTTTTAGTAATCAAATAATTATTTGATTATTTGATTTAGCTGACAGTCGTCAGATAATATGGCACAACTGCAGCGATGTTTTTCAGTTATTGTATCTTTGTATCCCAAACTCATTTAACAGTTCAATCGTTGCTAGAATGGCAAAGTGCGCGATTTGGACTAATCAGGATATTAATAAATTATTTTGCTACACATATTGCAATAAATAGATATATTTATATACTTTTTGTTTTTATTGAGGTAAATAATTGTAAATCAAATCAAATACAGAGAACCATTGGTTTTGCTTGGACTCTGTTATTGTACTAAGTTATTTGACAATGGCTGTGCCTAATATTAATATTTGCTATTTAGTTTTATTAAAAATTGTACCTATTTTGTTATTTGTGATTAATATGTACAAAGATTATATTTTATGAAATAAAATATATATTATTTATGTATTATGATTATTATTTATTAATGTATTATACTTATAAATATTGATTTTAAATTTGAGAACGACTTAAATGTAAAGATTATACTTAAAATGATTAAGGTTCTTATAGTGTTTTTTTCTGCGTAAACAATTTTTTGAACAAGTGCAATACCTCCTAAAAGGAATTTGTATCTAGTTGATATATTAAACAAGTCATTTTTTTTAATTTTTCAATAAGAATTAGGAAAAACCGAAAAAGGCATAAACTGAAAACAAACAAATTTATGTAGTACAATTTCATTAATTTAATTTTAGATTCTGAGTGAAACGAGGAATTTATTTCTTTTATAATGTTAGTTTTTGAAAACAATTTTTTTATGCTGTTACAAAATTTCTTCTAGAAATCTTACTTCAATTAAAACATTATAAGAGACCTATTTTGTTATATTTTGGCTCTAGTTGGTACTTCAGAAAGATAATTTTAAAATTCTCATTAATATTTAAGATAACAAAGAAAAGCTGGTTACTTAAAGAACATCTAAAACTAATTTTTTTTTTTGGTGTCAAATAATATAATGATTAACATCTATTATATATAATTCTGGACCAATGACTATGACAAATATATGTAAATCTGTAAAATAACAATTAATCTTTGTTAACGAATAACAATTCTGAGCCGAGTTTAGTTACATATGTTTAAAATGCATAATATTTAAGATTCTTATCAAAATTTAATATTAAAATTCTTTGAAAAAAAAAATATTTTTATATTTATTATTAATTGACTTATTGTTTCCAATGTTCATGTTTAGGCCTCGCAAATCGTAATGCCGGCGCTGGGTATTTATCTTGTATGTCTTACTACTTAGGTGTCTACTACATATAGTGAAGTAGGTGGGTAAGTATATTGAGCTTTTCATCAAAACATAATTTTTTAAACTGACCTGCAGCAACCATTATTGTTGTTATTATTATTTTTTTTTCATACTGTGTACAGAATTCTATCAAAAATCTTACTCCGAAGTAATAAGTATAGCACCTTTTCTGAGGTGGCACTTTAAAGAGGTCATATTTATGATTTTCCCAGACGTTTTCCTAATAAATTTAAAAAAAAAAAAATAGGGAAAATTTACGAAAATAATATTTTTATTATTTTCAATTTTGTTTTTGTGTTTTAATTCATTGGAAAATATTCATAGAGACATGCAATTTTCACAGAAAAGTTATATTTGACTTTTATAGATATGGTACAATTTTCAAGGTATTTGAGGCATTTTAAGCTATTAGACATTTTAATTTTACATAATTATTATTCGGTAAGCACTCTATGAATAACCTAACCAAATTCAAAAGAAATGTTTGACAATTTAACAGGAGATTTCCAATAAATTATACTTAATGGCCAACAAGAAAAAAATCAGTTTAATGTAATATTTTTTTGTTTTAAAAAGAATTTTAATATCAAATTTTGATGAAAATATTACGGCATTTTATCATGTGCAACTGAACTTTGCTCAGAATCGTTATTCGTTAACAAAGATTAATCTTTACGTAAAGATATACATTAAATTCTCCTCTCAACTTCACTCTCATCTACAACAGTGGCTCACCCATTGCGCGAAATCATTAATTCCAAAATTCAATAACATTAGTACAATTTGCTTATAAATCCCAAATAATAATAAATGTTTTTATTGATGATACTTTGCATTTATTTGCTACATATTTCTCCTCTGTTTTTGTTGATACTAATTTGAACACTGACTCTTTTGACTTTAAATTTTCTAATGATTGTAATTTAAATATTGGCACTTGAAATTTATCTGAAAACGAAATCTTAGGTATGCTTGATTCTTTAAATGAGCACTCAAGTGTAGGGCCAGATTGTATACATATCACCTTTATTTTTGAAAGTTTGTTTGCATTCTCTTGTTAAATATTTACACTTATTATTCAATCATTGACTTTATCATGGTATTTTTCCACAATTATGGAAAAAATCTTTTGTTACTCCTATTTAAAAATTTGGTAGTAGAAATGATGTTCGAAATTATAGACCAATAACTAAATTGTCATTAATATCAAAAATCTTCAAAGCTATTATAACTAAGAAGTTAACAATGCTACTTTCAAATTATATTTGTGAATCTCAACCTAGATTTTTTCCTAAACACTCAATCTCAACTAACCTCCTAATATATCAATCTAACCTTTTAAAACCTTTTGAAAATGGTCAACAAATAGATACTATCCATACCGAATTCCAAAAAGCCTTCAACAAAATAAATCATCCACTATATTTTATACAAACTAAAATTCTTTTGAATTTCTGGCTCGTTTTGCAGGTAGATAGCTTCGTATTTGCACAATCAAAGTCAAATTATAAAATTATCTTTTTAAACATCAAATGAGTTTCAAGCATTATCAGGTATACCGCAAGGATCTCATTTAGGACTAATACTTTTTTTATTATTTATAAATGATTTGCCTCATATTTTTGATAATAGCGTTAAAGTTCTTCATTTTGTGGATGATGTAAAGTTTTATGCTCAAATTAATTCAATTTCCGACTTTGTCAACTTACAAAAAACCTAGATTTTTGGAAGAATTTGGAGTAAGAGAAATTTGCTTCTGTTAAATATTCATAAATGCAAAATTGTTTCCTTCACTCGTAGTAAAAATCCTGTTACTTATAATTGTCCTTTAAATAATATAGCTTTAAATAGAGTTAATTCGATAGTTGATCTCCGCGTTCATTTCAACTATGATTTATCATTTATAATAAATCATGATTATATGCTTAGCAATGCTTTCAAAATTTTAGGTTTTATACATAGAAATACCCTGCTATTTTGAAAATACTTTATTGCTCCCTAGTGTGATCTGTATTAAAATTTGCCTCAGTAATTTTTTCTCAATCATTATCCACTTATAATTACGATCTTGATAATATTTAGTTTAAACGTTTAAAATTAATTGCTTATGTGATTAACCTATCCATCTCGAAAGACTGTTCTTCCAGTTCAAAATATAGTAAATTCGGACTCTCTCTTTCTTCAAGACGTCAATTTATCGATAATTTGTACGTGTATGATTTATTAAATTATGATATTTTATGTCCTGAGCTCCTAACTCAATTGAATTTTCGAATTTCTTCCTTTTTTTATCAAAATCACAATCTTTTAGCTATCCCTTATTTTAAATCTAAAACCGCTAATGACTCCTTTTTCGTTAGAGCTCTGATTCTCTAATTTGAGTCTCTACTGCATTAGATTTCTTTAATCGTGGTACTTTTAGATTTAAGTTTACCATATTTTTAAAAAATGATTATAATTTGAATTAGTTCCGTTGTCAATTAGTATTTTTTTTTTAACATTTTATATATGTAAACTAGTTATAACTTATTTTTCTTCTTGTGTATTTAATTTATACAGGGTGTATCAGAAAAGACTGGCCAACTCTACGGATTGTGACTCTATATGTGGCTATAAGAATGGTTTATTAATTTATTAATAATTAATGGTTTATTTTTATTTTGTATGGGTATTTTACAAATAAAACGGGTAAAACCAAAGTTTTGATAAGAAAACAAAAATTCCAAAAAACCAATTCTTATAGCCACATATAAAGTCACAATCCGTAAATAAGCCAGTCTTTTCTGATACACTCTGTATAGTGTTGTACATGTTCACTCTTTATATTTATTATCGTGTGTTACATTCTAATAATTTATTTTACTCTTGCATACTACACTTTATATTGTAAAAGGGCTGAGTCCCGTTGAATTATTATAAAATAAAATACAATAATACTAACCACATTGGTTGGTAGGTACCTTGGTATGTAATATATTGTTTGTTTTTTTTTTAATAGTATTATATTGATGCAACGGTTTTGTAGTCGCTAAGATACCCAATTAAATATTGTTAAACACTAAATGGTAGTATCAATAGGTAGTGTTTTATAGTTGGCTAGTGTATAAAGTGTATTTACTCATCTTGCAATTATTTCATACTTGGTATATAGCATGTAATAATTATTTAATTGAAGTATAAATTAAGGTTATTATGACCAACTGCAGTGTATGTTACAATCTTTATAATCATTTTATTTTGTAAAATATAAACATGAAAAAAATTAAAAATAAACAAATAAGTGGAAACTGTAAGGGTTTAAGTGAGATTTCGCCTGATGGAATGGCCTATCCTCCATTGTTCTGTTATCACAACACATGGACCAAATCTGTTCCTATTTGTGTAATTTTTTTTTATTATTAATAATAATGTAAATAGAAAAATAATTTAAGAATATATTAAACTTTAAATCACAGCATAGGATTCATCAAATAAACCCATCTATGTCAATTGGACGGAACTATAGACTAGAACTTGAAAAACGTTTACGCACAATTAACAAATCTCGGGAAAATACTTTGAGTATAAAAATATTAGATGAACATAGGCATTTAATAAAATCACCTACTATTCTTAGTAGAAAGAAATGTAAACCTAAAACTAAGCCAAACATGAACATAGGAAACAATAAGTCTGCTGGTGTTGTACCTTTGGCGGTGAAGAATTATTTAATATTTAAAAAATGTTATTATTTTTCTATTTATGATTATTTTTATTTTTAGGATTTGTTGTCAGGAAAATATTACAAAGATAAAGCAGAGATGATGGAACTAAAACGTATATCAATGAAAATTAAAAAAGAAAAATCTTTGGAAAAACCCCCGTTACCTTCAAGGTAATTTTATCAACATGTCTCAAAAATATCTATATTTATATTTCCTTTTACTTTTTAGTTATAGTTCATTTTTACAAGCTTGTACTGCATTGAATCCAGATGATCAATTAACTATACTAAAAAATATACGAAGTCAAGAAAAAAAAAATGAAGTTATGAGTAAAAAAGACGATGAAATAATTAATTATTACCTAAAGGAAGTAAGATTATATTTATTAATTTAGATTAACAAAAAAAATTGCATATTGCATATGTGCATATTTAACTAATTATACTTTTTTTAATTAAGTATTTATTTTTAAAAAAAGTGCTTTATTTTATTAAAATTAGTACCTTAACTATAGTCTATAATATAGATAATAAACATAGACTCTATATTAATAGTACCACAAAATACTTAAATTTTAAATGGAACAAATACTAAATTCCAATATTTCCGTAATAAACACATCTAAATGTGTCAACTACATAAATTATGTAACGTGTTGTATTCTATATATCTTAGTGAAATAGTAATTAATAAAATAATAAAGCAAAAACAAAATTATTAAAATGGTTAATACTTGTAAATAAATATATAAATAAAAAATTGTATATATAAAAATAAAAAATAATAAATAAAAGAATGAATGCGTCGCCTGGAGTATTATAATAAGTGCATTATACGACCGGTTTCTAATTAAAAATTCATCATGAGGTATATTACAGTCAAAATGTAAAACTCGACTAAATATAAAAAACTAAATGAAGGAATATATAGAAAAAAAAAATTATACAAATAGGTTGTTTTATAGTGATGTTTAGAATTGATGTCACACGTGAAATATTTTAATAATACAATAGTTATTTAATAGCTAATAGCTATGTATATTAAACACATAATATTCATATAGGTATTTAATTATTGGGCGGTTCTCAAGTCAGTGCAGTGTTTAAGCCTCTATTCATTGGATATGATAAAAATTAACCAAAACACAAATGCAACATATTATTATATTATTGCCTTGGCAATAGTCTGTAATTGGTGTTGATTGCTATTTTAATATTATAGTACCTATTAGGTAGTAATAATTACTACAGTTAATAATGTACAAAAATGCAATTTATAAGGTTATAATGTTGTAATTTATCAGATTACAATATTCAACAGCATTACTTTTTTTTTTTGCCTTTTATGGTATAATTAATTACATTTTTTACATGCATAAATAATTTATTATACTTTATATTTTAGGGCATATCTAATGAGATGTACAACTCGTTTCCAGAAAAAGTATTGGAAAATATTAGACAAAACCATATCAAACCGATTCTAATAAAAAAGTAGATCAACTTAATTAAATTGTATTTGTTATTTTTATAATAGTTTAATACGTTTATAAATATTTTTATTGGTTAGATTAATGATTTAAATTTTATAAAATATGCTGTCAATATGTGTTTTGTTATATACAAACGTATACAATTTTGATTAACACAAATTTGTAAACAAAATCCAAATAAATTTTGAGTTTTTATACTAGATTAGAACTATTTAAGAATTGTTTAGAGATATTAAATTATTTTATTTAAGTTTCATTTTATAATAGGTACCTACTTAGTTATTATAAATTATAATATTATAACAGGTACAATTTATGTATTTAATTAGGCATCATTTCGTAATGACGGAATTGGAAAATGAAGTACGACAAAACTATGATGTTGCCAATCATAAAATACTATTAGATTATATATTAATGGATCCAGATGAGCTAAAGAGAATTGGAGTATCAAATTACTATAGATCAAATTATACCTCAATGGTTATTCGAGGTCCTGTCCCATGGCATCACATGACTATTATTCAAAAAGAACAGCTAAGGCATAATTTATATATTTGTAGAGAACCTATTTTAATGTTGAATAAAGTATGGAAAAAGTAAGAAAATTTAATGGTTTGAAAATGATATGTATTATATTTGTTAATAACTTTTGAAATTGTTATTTTTAAAGATATTCCAAAGGGTTCATATTTCCTATAAAAGATTTAAAAAAGGTTGGTTTGCCTATAGAGCCAAAATCTTTACAAGATTTTTTGGAAATGTCTTGTGAACAATTTCGACATAAACTAGTAAAAGAGTACGTAATTTAACCAAGTTTCAAAAACTATTTATTAATTATTTGCAAAAAATATAATACAGCAATACTAAAAACTTCTGAAATGCCTACACTTTTAATTTTTTAATATCCTAATACTGTTTATTTCTTTTTGAAAGGGGTGGAGGCTTTTACTAAAAACAATTTGTACCTTTGTCCTACAATGCAAGCAAACAAAAGTTTCTAGTTTGCACAATAATTCATTTTTTTTTTTCAAGTTAATAATAATTTATTATATTTTAGAATGTATCTACAATAATGTTATTGCTTTTTAGAAAAATAAAAAAATAAACAATAGTAACATATAATAAATAATTTATTATCAATAAAATAGATGGATTGAAGAATGCGCTGATTTATTTGTTGAAACAAAAAACAGTTATAGAGATATTTTACCATCATGTGATATAAAAGCATCTAAATATCAAATTCAAAAGTTTTTTGACTGTGTCGCTGCTACTATGGCCAGACAGTTGAGGCAAATCGTATTCAAATCTTTGAACCATTTTATGGATAAAATACTTGAATATAAGGTAAGTGCATAATATTATAGTAAATCAAATAAATTAATAACAAATTTATAAGAATAAAATTAATTTGTAATATTAATTTGTATAAATGCTATCCTAAAAATTGTATTATATGTACAGAATTAACAAATATCTTTCATAGTCTCCAAATTACCACTGCCTCTCTTCTTTGTTTATTTGGAGCCGACCTCTAAATTAAATAAAATTATTCAACTTTCCTCCTTGTTACATACCAAAATTAAAATCGAGGTGCCTTATAAGCCTAAGACAATTAGTTATTGTATTAACTTCCAGAATTTTGGTAATATTAAAACATACTGTGGTTACCCTTCTCGCTGTAATTGATATGTTGTACATTATCAATCTTCTTCATGTCCAAATTCTCACTCAAACCAACTAAAATGTGCTCTTTGCTCTGGAGAGCACCCTGCAAACTATAAAGGTTGCTCTGTCAACAGGAAGCTTCAATATGGCGGAAAATCTACTACCAATAGTTATTTTTTATCTGATAATCTTAAAAATAAATGTCCAACTGTTAGATACCTACCCTTTAAATACCTTTTCAACGAATTATTCCAATTAGGGATGTGTAGTTTATGAGTGAATCGACTCTTTTAAGTGAATTGAATCAGTGTGTCACAAATGACTCACAGTGACTCGGAAATTTAGTACCAACATTGTATTGGGACAACTGAATTAAACCTGTAAATGAGTTGAATCAGTCAGGTTACCACTTCTAAATTTTTGAAATTATCGTCTGAAGTTCAGTTTAAATGTGTAATATTGTTGTTCCTAAATAAATACGTTCAGATATCATCAATATGATTTGAATTTAATTGAATTTATGTTAAAATCATGACTTATTAAGAAATGATTTGACTTATGAATTAAGAATTAATGATTTGATGAGTTGACTTGATAAATTGACTCATTTAAGTGAATTGAATTAAGTGAATTGATTCATCAAAGTGAGTCACAATTCCCATCTCTAATTCCATTTCCCAATAAGTTTTCTTCTACATATTACGCTCTAACCACTTCTGCTCAATCTGACAATCATACTGTTCCTACTTCTTCATCTGACTTGAATAACACAATTACATATTTTCTTGAGGAGTTCAAATCCCTCGTTAACCCTCACATATCTCTACTCAATAAAGTAATCACAAATTTATTTAATAAAATGTAAATGACTAATAATAATATTACAAACAAATCTCTTTTAATCTTATAATTCAGTGCAAATGACTTAAAATAACTTTCAGAAAACGCGTTGACATCTGCGTTCATATCTGAAACTAATTTCACCAAATATTCACTGCTCATGGTGGTGTTCTAATTAAATGCTCGATTATCTTTCAGACTCTCCCAAATTATTGTTAAGCTTATTTGCAATCATATGCTCTTATTACTAAATTAAATAATATTAATATCACCATTGCGGCATTATATTCTCCTCCCAAACACAAGATATCAAATTAAATTCTTACTATTTTAATTCTAAAATTAATTCTACTATTTTATGTAGACGACTTTAACTCGAAACACATTTCCTGGGGCTAATAATCCGCGTGGTGTACTTCAAAATTTGGTTTTTTTAAAATTATAAAATTCCTGTTCCATCTGGTCCCACCTGCTAGTTGACCTGGACACGGAAAAACCCAGACATTTTAGATATTTTTGTTGCTAAGATTCCGAATAACTGTTTTACCAAAAACCTATGTGGAAATTAATTCCGATGACTTCTCAATTCTGTTAACAGTGTTAACGATAAATGCTGCTTCTCCTTGGACATGCCATGGTGTTTCTTAATTATTTAATTCCTCTACGAATAAGTACACATTTCATGACCTTATTGATCAACAAATTTATTTAAATGTTAAGTTAAAAACTGTCAATAAAATTGATCTTACTGTTAATAATTTTATTAAACTTATCCAATCTCCAATTTGGATCACAACATCAGAATCCTAGTTCTTATTTTTCCATTTTTATTCCTCATTATATAGATACTTAGTTTACTACTTTCATAGCTGAAAAACGTAAAGCTAAAGCTATTTACTAACGTATTCGTTTTCTTTTGGGTAGCGATTAAACAAATTTGTAAATATAAAACCTCTAACCTCCAATTAAAAATCATCGGACGCAGACTCGTTCGTTATTTAAAGTATCATGGTTGTAAAAATTAATTAATTCTGTAAAGTTTATTACATTTAAACTTTCGAGTACTTATGGCATTATTTAGCAAAAGTCTTGTTTGTGAATTTCATGTATGTTATAAGCATGACTTGAGCAATACTTATTTTTAAGAATCGACTGTTATGAATAACTAAAATATAATAAAATGATAGTATGATTTTCTAAATTTAAAATAGACGATAACAAAAAGTAAATCCATGAACACTATATATAGTCTTCTAGTCTTTATGAGTAAATCACATATTACGAATTACGAATCAATAAGTAATGGTCGTTTAGTTAATATACAAATAGCATAAAAAACCCAAAACTATATTTTATCGCTGTATGTATTTGTATTCGTTTTGCCGAATATGATTTCTCTAGGGCCCAGATAATAGCAGTTTATTTTTCTATGTATTAAGTTACGTTATAATTATTTTATTATACTCTGTTGTAATTTAACCCCGACCGGACTAAACTTAAAAATTATGGACGGACCGAATTGAAAAAAGACAGACCAACTAACCTAACCAAAACATGGTAAATTTCAAAATAAAAAAGATTGAAATGACCAGACCGCAGTTCTGCGTTACTATTTAGTCTAAATAATATATTATTCCTGTACCCGTCATTATTATCCTAGAATGTTTTTTTAATGTAAATTTGCCGTTCTTTTTGTGGTTTTTTTGGGCCTAATTAATTATTAAAAAAAAACTACAAATAAAATCAAAAAAGAGTTGATACTGGGAATAGGAGCGGCCACTACTGTAGGTGAGAAGATGGGAAGGTAGGATACGTAAGGTTATTTCATATATATTTGTAAGCAACGAATTGTTTGACGAAAGATAATCCCGAGCGCAGTTCGGTAATATATAATTTAAAGTACCATATTTTTTTTTTGCGATTTTCGTTTAAATTTGATTTCAAAACGCTTATTAAAGAAAAAAAGTTGTCCGGTCTTTTTGGAAATTTCACTACGTCTAGGTAATTCCAATATAAGTATTATTACCAAGTTTCAAGTCTCTACGTATAGTTATAACCGAATTACAGTAAAAAACTTCCAAAAATTAAAATTCCTTTAGAGCTCAAAAGTTTTAGCGACGATACAGTAAGAAAGTAAATCAAAAAGGCAACAAAAATTGTGTCTGTGAATTTCGATTCAATAATTTTTTCTGATAAAAAACGTCATCTGTTTTTTTTTTTATAAGATAATGAAATCGTGAAATTGTATATTTTCCTACTTAAGTGCTCTTATTTAAAAAATGATGTCGAATATCAAAAATGACTTTTTTAAAGTACCGTCTAGACAACTTGAGCTTTCAAATAGTTGCCACACGTAAAAATCGGAGCAAGTTTACTAAAAAAAACATGTCCACAGACTAGAAAAAAAAAAACAATAGCTCCGTCACTACGCTCGGAATCTAAAATTACTTACATACTCACTAACTAAATTAAAAATTCAACAAAAAAGGTCTCATTTTGTTTTTTTTATTGGGGCAATATTTCTGATAGAAAATATAAGCCGTACACATTTGAAATAAAGAAACGCTATAAATTTGTCAGTTTTCATTTTTAGTCATTTTCTGGTGTTCCTCAATTGTTATGAAAACTACTAGGAAAATCAAAAAACAAATTACTAACTCGCCAACTAGATTCAAAATGCAATTTATTGATGTGCCAAAATTTTTGAGCCGTAATATCAGAAATGTATTTTGTGGTTTTTCTTAATTATTATGAAAAGTAGGTATTTTAGAGCTCCTTCACACGAAGTCACTCTGCAAGCGTAACTTAGCAGCGCTGCTATCGGAAAAATACAAACGCGGATGGTTTCACACACGACCACAGCTACTGATTGGAAGCGCTACAGACGGTGTGAGTGGCTGGCTTCACCGCAGAACATCGTGTCTAAAAGTCGCGCTTCTCGTAACAGAACGTATTTTTAGATTGGGCGTTCACTGCAATCGCGCGATTATTTTTAGCAGCGCGTCGGTAGTGCGTCGTTAGCGCGTTAGTAGCGCGTCGGTAGCGCGATTACTACGTGTTTGATTAAACGTTGTCAATTATTATTTTTTAATTTATTTTAATTTCAGTCTTTATTTAGTCTGAGTATAGTTTTCTGTTAATATTCTTTTATTATATTTTAAAATAATGGCGTCTGATTGTGCAAATATAAATATTGAAGATTTTACAAGTGAAATAGAATACTGATCCGCTATATGGGACCTGAAGCATGATGACTATAGCAATACAAATGCAAAACGGAATGTGTGGGAAGCAGTCATTAGTAAATTTGTTCCCAATTTCAATGGTTTGTCTGAGGCTGAAAAAAGATTAATTGGTAAATAAAACATCATATATTTTCATATTGAAATAAAATACAATTTATATAATTATTTATATAGATAGCTTATGTAATATATAAGATGAAAATACAAATACAAATACTAGAAATCAGTTGGGTTTATTTGTTTATTTTAATGCTTAAGTTATTATCGCCAATTGACTTTTTTAACAGTTTAATAAAAATACGGTAAAATTAGAAATATTATGTATGTAATGTTCAGTAATGGAAAATAGTAATGAATATAAATAATGATAAAAATAATACAATATAAGTTAATGATAATTGTAAACAGTTTGAATCATTTAAAATACCAATCATGGTAAATAATAATAATATAGAAATTAAAATACTAGAAAACAATAAATTTAAATATTATCCATTTGCCATGGTACTTATCCTTCTTTCAAAAAGAAATCACTAAGTTCTCTTCAAACGCATTTGGTTGCATTTCCTGGTTGAGAGTTGTCCACTGTCATATCATCAATCAATCTACTAACAACGATATTATCCTCAAATCTAAAGCCATCTCTGTCCCTCACAAAATTGTGTAGAGAACTGCATGTTTTAATTATATTTTCTACCAAAGTTTCTTCAACATTAAGTGCACAATGTAAAATCTCCCATTTATTACTAAGTATTCCAAAATTGCATTCAATATATCTTCTGACTTTTGTAAGGCAGTAATAAAACACTTTTTTACTCATAGGTAAATATTTAACCACCAAATGGACATAGAAAAAACTGACAAAGTCCAAATTTCTCATCTCCTATTAAAAATACGGAATTTTTAATGACCTTTTGTCTATAAGAGTTTTAGGCGAATGTTATTTAATTTTGTTAGTTTTTAACATTTTGTAAAGCGTTGAGTTTTTAAAAGTTGTTGAATCATTTGATTTCCTTGGTGCCCCTACGTCAATGTATACAAATTTGTAATTCAAATCACACACCGCTAGTAAAAGAATGGACAAAAAATGTTTATAATTAAAATTCATTGATGCACTGCCCTCTGGTTTGATTACTCGAATGTTTCCCATCAATGGCACCAATAACGTGTGGGAAATTATCTCGTTTTTCAAATTCTGTTGCAACGTTTACTAGTAGTTCTTCCGTGGTTGAAGAGAAGCAACTTTTTTTATATTCGACCCAGAGAGATTCGCACACTTCTCGAACAATGTTTGATATTGTTGATAATCCAATGCAGTAATCAATATGAAGATTGCTCATCATATAACCAGACCCGAGATATCTAAAACAAGTAATATTTTAACCAAAGATTTTTTCATGTTACAGGTAATTCATATCAGCGAAAATGAAAAAGTCTGCGTGATTCATATACACGAGAATTAGGAATGCATAAATATGATTCAAAATCAAGTTCCGCAGCAAAAAACATAAAAAAATATATTTTTTGATCAACTTAGATTTTTAGGTACTACCACAAAAGCTATAGATGATAGTGTACAGTTAAGCTACCACAAAGAAAATTTTAATGAAATTGGAGCAGTTGCCAAAGAAAATATTAATAAAAGGTCCAGCAAAGAGAAGCCTAAGAAATATCATTCTGACGAAGACCACCTCTTGGAAATTCTAAAAAACGAAAATATGAGAAAAATGTTTCATCATCTCCTAAGTCATCAAAAAGTGTATAAAATAATCCTCTATTCTTCCTAAAAACAATTGCTGCACTCAGAATCTTCTTGATGTATTTCTGTGTTTTTTTTTTTTTTTTATTAATAATTTATTATTAACTTCGTGTGAAGGATCCCTTAGATATCAAATAATGACTTTCTCTGTCAGCGACTATTAATATCTTTGTAAAAAACTTTTTTTTTTCATACTATTTTCATTAATTTAATATATTTGTTTAATTTATCTCGTATACAAATATCTAAAATACATCAATTTTGTATTTATTTAAAAATATATGTTCAGCATTTACAGTTCAAAAATTGTTTAGTGCTATTGATCTTGTGTCTATATTTAATTTTGAAATAGAATAATTATAATATGGTATAAAATTTATATTTATTTTTATATTTTAACAAAATTCTTTCAAATTAGCAATTTTGTTTTTAATATTTAGAATGGAAATGCAATAGATACTGAATATAAGGATAACATGTTTATAAGTTTACCATTTTTTATACTAAAAGCAATACCAAAACCAAATTCTACTGAAATATTGTTTGAGCCTACTCCTGAAGATTGTTTAAATCTTCTATTATCAATTCCACGAAGAATAATTAAAACAGTAGAGGATATTCCAAGAGTAGAACAATTATTAAATAAAAGTAATAAAATATAAGTATTATGTATTGATCAAATCTGTATATTATTTAAATGTAAAAAAAAATATTTAATCTGTATATAATTTTTAAGAATTCAAAGGCGATTCTACTATGGTATTAAAAAATGTAAATGATTCAGAAGAAGAAGTACAAAATATGTTAATTGAAATTGGTAAAATCTTAGAAAATAATTTTCCTGGACCAAAAACATATATTACATATTATGAAACATATTCTTATTTGTCAAATGGATCAGAAACTGAAGCTTTAAATTCATTTTTTAAAAATGATCCATTCCCATTGTTAAGTGTGTGTATCATAATACAATATGAACATCATTTTTAAGTTGTGAATAATGAATAAAACATTTTTGTTAGGAATTTAATACTTGGGTAATAAAATACACGGAAATAAACATTGATATTCTTAAACTTAAAAATCGAGTGGAATTAAATTTATTGATGTTAGATGTAACTGAAATTAATCAGAATTTAAAAAATATTATTGCAAATTTAAAGAATAAAATTATTGACTATTTTATGAATTTAACCCAACAAACTATTTATGAGTAAGTATATTTGGTTAAATATAGTAGAAATAATAATTATAATAGTTATATTTATTACAAATTAGTAACTCTATAATATTTTTTAAGAGTAAATAGTGCATTTGAATTAATGTCTGCTAAGTCTTCAGAAATGCCTGACACAACTGAAGAATTAGTTGAGTTAAGTAATTATGTAAATGAATGCCGAGATTCTACTTTATCAAAAATGAAAGGTCAATTGAGAACAGTCGGAGATTACATAATGTTTCTATTTGAATATACAGAATTTAATGGTTAGTAAAGTATTCCGATTTTTTAATGTTGGTCTGTTCTATCCATTATAATATATTTTAAAAATTAATCTCTATAGACACTGATATAAATGTATCATCACGAGTATTTCGATGGCCTCAAGAGATGGATCAAATTTTAGATTCAGCTACAAGAAGAGTTATTCAAAAAAAAGGAGTAGTTGAAGGCCAGTTAAAATCTAAAAAAACTGAATTCGATTTTGAGTATGTAAATTGTTATTTATATTTTTCCCATTTAAATAATACTATTTTTTAGCCTCAAAAACCATTTTAAGTTGTTGGAAAATTTAAAAAAAAAAGATCCTCCTATATTAACAAATGATGAAATTATAGCAGCAACTGAAGAAGTGGAACGTCTTAATGATTTCTTGGAAGAAGATATAGCTGCTGCAAAGGTAACTAAAATGTGTACCTAATAAGAATAATCTTCAATAAAAATAAAAATTTTAAATAAATCAACATTCCTTAAATAATTCATTATAATTTGCATAGTTAAAGTGTTCAAATAATAATATTATTTTAGCAATTAAGTTAAACAATATGTTTAGTTTTTATTATAAATCTGTGATATAATAAAATGTATAAAATTTAGAGCATAAATCACACAGAACAGCTTTTGGATCTGGAAGTTACTCCATATACCCAACTTCACTCAACGGTTGCAGCTAGTGAACCATTTAATCATTTGTGGCACATAGTTCGCGATTTTCATAACTACTATGAAATATGGTTCAATGGTACCTAAATATTGTATACTATAAATTATTGAATATAGATAATTCAGATCAACTTATAAATTATTTTATTTAACCAAGTATAATGTATTTAACACTAGGGCCTTTTCAAAATTTAAACGCCATAGAAATAAAGGAAATTGTTGATAGTATGTGGAATAATCTTTATAAATTAGCTAGGACTCTCCAAGATTATCCTGGATCAAAAAGAGTAGCAGAAATTGTGCGTGGTAAAGTTGATAGTTTTAAAAAGTATTTACCAGTGTTAGAAACTATTTGTAATCCAGGAATTCATGATAGACATTGGACAGAGGTAATTTAATTTATATTTTAGTATTGTGAATTGTAATTAATATAATAATCCAATAAAAAATACTTATGCAAATTAGATTAGCAAAACGGTTGGTGTAGATTTGCAGCCTAATAAGCAATCAACATTGTCAGATATGATTGAAATTGGTTTACCGAATTACATTGAAAAACTTGAAGAAATTAGCATGACTGCATCTAGAGAATATTCTCTTGAACATAGTCTTCAAAAAATGAAAGAAGAATGGTTAACTATTGAGTTTGAATGTAGTCCATACCGAGACAGTGGTGTTAGCATATTAACGTCATTAGATGATATTCAAGTTATGTTAGATGACCACATACTCAAAGCTCAAACAATGCATGGATCAGTTTATATAAAACCTTTTGAAGTGGAAATGGATACATGGGAAAGAAAATTAATTTTAATGCAAGAAATTTTAGATTTATGGATTTCTGTAAGTAATAAAATAATTACCTTAAAATAATTTATACCATTTAATTGGATTTTGAGCAGAGTAATAAATGTATTGATTTTATAGAGCTTAATAAGTAGGAAATCAAACAATTGGTTTTTTTTTTTTTAATAATTTCCAGTATTTATTTTAAACGTATGTACTCGTTTAGTGTTATTATTTTTCTTTGAAAAACGCTTTTAGGCTCAAAAAATATATATATTATTAAAATATATTATATTTAGAGATAATCTGATATTATAATATGAGAATACTTACTCATAGGTGCAAGGGATTTGGATGTATTTAGGTCCAATTTTTAGTTCCGAAGACATTAATCGTCAAATGCCAGAAGAAGCAAGAAATTTTAGAGCCGTAGATACTATTTGGCGTCAAATTATGATCCATACTGTTAATAATCGTAAAGTTCTCGAAGCAACAAATTATCCTAATTTGTTAGAATTACTCAAAAAATGTAGTGTTATGTTTGAACAGATACAAAAAGGCTTGAATGAGTACTTGGAGAAAAAACGTCTTTTTTTTCCGCGGTATTTTTAATTTTTATGTATTACTTCTGTTGAATATGCAGGTTTGGGTAAAATGGGCTAAATACATTTTAAATATATTTATTGGAGATAGATAATATTTTTTCAAATTTTTGAAATGTAATTTTAAATGAATATTTTGTCAATATTTTATATTTTTTATTTTTAGAAACAAAATATGCATATTTATTTAATAAAGTTTTTAGTTTTAACTTATATATGAGTACCATATTATGAACTCCTATATTATATTTTAATCATAAAATAATGTTTTGTATAGGTAATTTATTATTAACTTAATTTTTTTATATTACTAGGTATATATAGAACATAAAAATTATTAGATGGAGATATTTTTTGAAGTTCTGTTATCAGATTAAAATCTAACTGTCAAACACATCTTGTATTTTAAAAATTTTAACTTAATTATTTTGTATTCCAAATATATTTCCAAAATAAAAAAATAAAAATTTTGCATATATTATTTTGAATAATAATGAAACACTTTAAAAATATTATAAAACTATTTTGCTCAATCTTGATTATATGATTAGTAAATAATATTTACAAAGGAAACCATTTAAAACGAGCACATTTAATACAAAAAAATTAACAAGTACCTATTATCGAAAAAGATATTAGTGATTCTTGTGTCATTTAATGTGTAAACAAATATTGATTGCTACATATAAAGAATTATTTATTGATTAATTCAAAGTTTTTATAAATGGTTTCTATTGCACTTTATTGTTTAACCAATTATATATGTATTAGGTTATTTAAAATACGCTAAATGATTTTTATAAATTACAGATTTTTCTTTTTATCTAACGATGAACTTTTGGAAATTCTATCCGAAACTAAAGATCCATTGCGTGTGCAACCACACCTTAAGAAATGTTTTGAAGGTATTACTAAATTGAATTTTACAAAAAGTATAGAAATAGTGGGAATGATATCTGCTGATGGTGAAGTAGTTGCTTTTAATGGAATAATTTATCCTGCCGATGCCAAAGTATGTATTCATTTCAAATCTAAAGTGAACTTATTAATTTTTTTCTTTTCTTAGGGTTTAGTTGAAAAATGGTTAATTCAGGTAGAAACTTTAATGATGCAATCAATTAGTGAAATTATTAATACTGCAGTAAAGGAGTACATTTACTCTCAACGAGTTAAATGGGTACTTAAATGGCCAGGAATGGTAGTTTTATGTGCTGCAACTATAAATTGGACTACAGAAGTAGAAATTTCTATTGAACAAAATGGACTATCTGTAAGAAAAAAATACTTAAGCAAATGAACAGTTTATTGTTGTATACATTTTATTTTTGTTTTTATGTAGGCCTATTCAGACAAAAGTAGTAAACAAATAAATGATTTAGTAAGTTTAGTACGTGGAAAATTAAGCAAAGGGGAAAGAACAACAGTATGTGCTTTAATAGTTATAGATATTCACGGTAATTAATTTAAGAAATATTGTAATATTAATTTTGTATTATGAATTGGGATAATATATACTACTACTTACCTATTTAATGTTAAATTTTATATTTTAAGCCCGTGATGTTGTTAAAACTCTTAATAGTTTGAAAGTAAGCAGTATTCATGATTTTAATTGGCTTAGCCAACTTAGGTACTATAATAGTGATTTGAAAACAACCGTATCAATGATAACTACTACTCTTGATTATGGGAATGAGTACTTAGGTAATACGTCAAGATTGGTAATTACTTCATTAACAGATCGTTGTTACAGGTAAAATTATAAGTATTTAATTACAAATATTCAAGATTTATAACTTTGAGTATAATTATTGATTAGAACACTAATGGGTGCATTAAAATTATATCTTGGTGGAGCTTCAGAAGGTCCAGCTGATACCGGTAAAACCGAAACTACAAAAGATTTAGCTAAAGCAATAGCTAAACAATGTATTGTATTTAATTGTTCTGAAGGACTTGACTTTAAAGCTATGGGCAAATTTTTCATGGTTTGTAATAATACCTACATAATAGTTACCTACCTAGTTTTTAAATTATTATTTTGTTATAATATTTAGATAAGGCTTTCAACTAATCAATACTTAATACAAAAATTATACTATAATATATATTCGTATCAGTAACTATAAGTAATACCATAATATAATATAATATAATATAATATTATATATTATTTATATTTGTTAGCGTCAATGTCAGCAATTAACATGCTGTGTATTATATGGTAATACATATGCTTTACAAATCAGTGTTTTTTTAATTAAAAGTCCGACATGAGCGAACCTCTATAGGTAAAACAATTTTACGGAAATATTCACCGATTAACCATATGACAAATATTGACGTTAACATATTAATCAATACCTACTATTACATATAACTACAGGATTCATAAGTTCATATTAAATGTATTAAAATGTACGCATTTATGCCTTAAAAACTGATAAATATGCACTTCAAATATACGCAAAAAAATGTATAGTTTTTTAGTTAAAAAATTGATTTATCTTGTAAATGATGGAAATTTTCGAGAAATATTACAATTTCGAATTGAGTTTGGCGATAAGAAATCAGAAGATCATTTTAAAAATACAAGTTTCAAAGCTACATACATATAACACTAAAACTACGCAGACTGAAATTAAATGCCTATCTCTAGGAAATTAACTATTGATTAACCCCCTATAATTTCCCTATAATTTTCAACCTATAGTAATAAATTAATAAACAACTGAAAGTTGTAAAATATGGTCATATACCTTTAATTATAAGCGTTTTTTAATTTATTCATGTTATTTTATACATTGTAGGGTCTAGCTCAATCTGGAGCATGGGCATGTTTTGATGAGTTCAATAAAATTGAGCATGACGTATTGTCAGTCATTGCTCAGCAAGTAGCAACTATACAAACGGCGATAAAAGCTAATTTAGAAAAATTTGTTTTTGAAGGCACAGAGTTGACATTAAACCCCACTTGTGCAGTTTTTATAACAATGAATCCTGGGTTTGATTTAATTTAATATATACTAACGTTATAACATTTTATTTATCAGCTACATTTCACTAATTGTAGATATGCTGGACGACATGAACTACCAGATAACTTAAAAGTATTATTCCGTACAGTTGCTATGATGGTACCAGATTATGTTATGATTGCAGAAATATCATTATACTCAATGGGTTTTAGTCATGCTAGAAGGTGACTATTTTTTTGATTGTTGCATATATTTCAGTCACATAATCTAATAAAATAATATTTCAGTTTGGCTGAAAAAATAGTAGATACATATAAGTTATGTTCAGAACAATTATCATCTCAATCACATTATGATTTTGGAATGCGAGCAGTAAAATCTGTATTAATATCTATTGAAAATTTAAAAATTAATTATCCTGATAATAATGAAGCACAGATTGTTTTAAGAGCTTTATACGATGTTAACATACCGAAGTTTTTATCAGAGGTTTATTCTATGAACTAAATGACTGATAATTTTAACATAATATTATTCAACTATTTGTATTAGGATATATCACTTTTTATTGGTATATATGAAGATTTGTTCCCTGGTGTTGAACTTTTAGTGCCAGAAAGAGAAGAACTAATTAATAAAATAAAAATTAACTTGACAAAAAAAAACTTACAAAGTACTCCATGGTTCATAGAAAAAATAATACAAATATACGAGATGGTATTAGTTAGACATGGTCTTATGATTGTTGGCGAACCATTTTCTGGAAAAACGTGTGCATATCAGGTCTGTAAACACTATATTGTAAGTATGTGAACCATATGACTTAAATTATAATATTATAGTTACTCAGAGTAGATACACACATATAGTTTTTAATTGTAATTTAATGAAATTCTAATTCCTTTTAATTTATCAAAATATTTATTAGTTTTTATGTTACACAAGTTTGGATTGTAATATGTATTATTTTTACAGTTGTGCATGTCTTCTAGTAGATTCATTAATATTTTATTAGATATTTGGATAAAAAGAAACTTTCTAGATGGTTTTTAATTATTATACATTTTAATAAAAACAATGGTTACTTTAAATAAACTAGGTATTCTTTGAACATTTTGACTTAACAGTTCGAGAAGATTGGAATAAAAGAACTAACATTTATTCTGAAATATAATTTTGTAGTTATAACTCACTTATAAGTTGTAATTTATAGTAATGAGGTAATCTATACTAATTTTTTAATATATTTTAACATGAATTAAGTTTTCAACATGTTTACTACTTTTAGACCAAATTGTACATTTTTAGTTTTCTTATTAAGTGCAATTTTTATTTGAAAAACTTGAAAATGTAATTATTTAATTAGCTATTCTAGGTAGTAGACATTTTATGTTTTTTTAATATAAATATGTATTATTCATTTTAGATTTTAGCAGAATCCTTAGGCAATGTACAATTTGATCTTAAAGCAGTAATGGAAGAATTTAAAACTACATATAAAATTATTAATCCAAAAGCTATTACTTTAGATCAACTTTATGGATCATTTGATAGAGTCTCACATGAATGGCATCATGGTAAATAATATATTTTTATTTTTAAAATTTATAATATTTTTTCATTTTACATTTTAGGAGTTTTAGCAATTATTTTTCGTGAGTTTGCAAATAACATATCAAATGATCGTAAATGGATTATATTTGATGGGCCAATTGATGCAATATGGATAGAAAATATGAATACAGTGTTGGATGATAACAAAAAACTTTGCTTGATGTCTGGTGAAATTATTCAGGTTTAAATAAATACTATAATGTAACTTTTTAGTTCTTAATTTTATTGTTTATTGTGATATTATACATGAATTTATTATAGATGAATAATAAAATGAATATGATATTCGAACCAGCTAATTTAGACCAAGCTTCACCTGCAACAGTATCTCGCTGTGGTATGGTATATCTTGAACCCAAGCAACTCGGGTGGCGTTCGTTTTGGCTTTCATATAAACAAATCATTTGGTCCAAACTTTCACCTGACCAACAAGTAATGATAGATGAAATGATTGAATGGTTGGTCCCTGCTATATTTAATTTTATATATAGGAATTGCAGTTTATTTTTAACTACGTCTGAAAATCATATGTTTAATGTAAGTAATTTCGTTTTGAGTTCTTTAAATTTAATACACGTAATTTATTAAATTTTTATAGTCTTTCACTAGGTTAATTAATTGTTTGATTAAAAGAGAAACCGGAGTTGGAATCGCAGCTATATGGTTAGGATGTATAACAATTTTTTGTTTGATATGGAGTTTGGGTTCTATAATAAAAGATGATAGCAGAAATAAATTTGACATATTCCTGCGAAAAATTATTCTAGGCCATAACGACCAACATCCAAAACCTCAAACTTTCAAGTTAACCAAAAATCACCTTTTTCCAGACAGTGGTACAGTTTATGACTTCGTGTATGATAAGAAAAATAATGGTTCTTGGATTCAATGGTCAGAAAAATTAGATTTAAAAAGAATTCCACCAGATGCTAAAGTAAATATACTATAATTTTTAAAATGTTTTTTTTTAAAATAAAAAAAATATTATTTAATTAAATACCACTTAGTATAAAAAATGTATTGCTTTGTATTTTTAAAAAAACCATTAATTACCTTTTTTTTTTAAACTTGTTTTTACCTTCTAATTACTGATAATTTAAATATTGTACTTAAAAAAAAAAAATAATAGGAAAGACGAAAACGACCATGAAGCAATATAAATAAAGTTTGAATGTTGTTTAAATACTGAGGTATAGACTATTATTGAAATATTTCAACCATATCATATACCAGAGGTTCCCAACCAGGGTGTTGCGCTATCAAGGGAACTTAAATTTAGGGTGTTGCGAAATTATTTTTTTTAAAAAAACGACTTCTTGAAATGTATAGCTCTGTGATTAATAAAATAGACTAGTAGTAAATTGTTTAATATACAAATTATTGTTTTTAATTAATTATATACAATATAATTTAATATATTAATTATATAATACATATAGTTTGTACATAGTAATACTGCGATGTTCAATCTATTTTAATTTTCATACTGGTTTGTTTGTTATCGATTGCTATAGTTAACGTTCAATTTCATAATTTGTTTTATAATATGTAATATGTGTATATACCAGGTACCTACTATTTTTGTTTATACTAAGGCACTTAGCTTAATAAAATCGAAGTTACAAAATATAAATTTAAATACATGATATATTACAATTGCGTATTCAGTATAGAGCATTGGGTGCCTCCAAAAATCGAAAAACAACCACTTTAAATTACCTCCACACTAATTTCTTTTCAGAAAAGTTGCTACACCTTAAAATCAGAGCGGGTCCTCTGGTAGAAAAGTTGACCACAGAAAAAAAAACATCTTTGTAAAACCATAAGCTTCTTTGCTCCACTCAGAATCTAAAAAAATAAAACAATCTAAAGTATGTGAGAAATGAGAAGGAATTTGTTGATTTAAATATGTATGTATATGTGATGAATTGATGTCGCAAAAAATTGACTCTGATAAAAATGAATAAGCGTGACATCATATATATTTATGTGTTACATTGTTATTTTACTTTTTATAAGTGTTAATTTTTTTGATATTATGCCTTATGTTATATAATAATAGGTATATCCTAACTAAATTATACTACCTATCTATTTTTATATCTACATCATTTCTATTTTTATTTTGTTTAAATTAAATCTAACCTGTAGGTTGGTATTGATTTGCATTAATTTATACTTATTTTTTTAATAATATGCCCTAAAACATCTTGAAAAAAATGGTAATATTGTGGATATTAAAAAAAGTGTAAATTAAAATCTAATTGTTGTTTTGGACTATAAAGTTTTGAAATTATTAAATAATATTTGTATGATTAATAAGAAGCTTGCATCTAGCCATCTAGAGATTGAATTTTTTTTTTTTGTATCAATTATCAGTACCTACCTATAGTACTATTTTTATTACTTATGTATAGATAAATGACTTAATCATTGGAACGGATGAAACTGCAAAACAACAATACTTTCTGCAAATGTTTCTTGAAAATGAAATTCCTTTACTGTTTGTTGGACCAACTGGTACTGGAAAATCAGCTGTAGTGCTTAATTATTTAATGCTCTTGCCTAAAGACAAATTTTTAATTAATGTTTTAAACTTCTCTGCACAAACTTCAGCTAAAACTGTACAAGATATAATAATTTCTAAATTAGACAAGTATATATAAGACGTGTATATATTTTATTGGTAGATATCTATAACTTAGAAATTACATTATTTTACAGGAGAAGAAGAGGTGTATTCGGTCCGTCTGTTGGTAAAAAGTGTTTGTTGTTTATAGATGATTTAAGCATGCCATTACCTGAAAAATATGGTGCTCAACCACCTTTAGAGTTGTTGAGACAGTGGATTGATCATAACCATTGGTATGATCTCCAAATGATGTCTAGAATAGATATGCTAGATATGGTTAGGTTTATTTTTAATTTATTATTACAATAACATATTTGTTTTATTTATTTTAAAATGTTTCATTATTTATTCTCCAGTTATTTATTGGTGTGCTTCAACCTCCTGGCGGTGGTTCAAATAATGTTACAACTCGTTTGACGCGACATATGAATATTATAAGTATAAATTCTTTCAGCCAAGAAACTGTGTTAAAAATATTCACTCAAATCATGGATTGGCATGTTAATAAAGGATTTGCTGAGGCTATAATTTGCCAAGGAAAAGTAAGAATTTATTTGAATTAAAATGGGATACATATTTAATTTGAATTTAATTTAGAACATTGTAGAAGCTATACTATTTGTCTACAAAGAATCAGTTTCCACATTTTTACCAACTCCTGCAAAATCTCATTATACTTTCAATCTTCGAGATTTTTCCAGAGTCATAAAAGGAATATTATTATTGCCCGCATCTCGATGTAAAGTTATTGAAAAATTTTTCCGTTTATGGGTTCATGAGACATGGCATGTATTTGGAGATAGATTAGTCGATGATGATGATCGTATTAAATTATTTAATATTATGAAAATTGCATCTAATAATTGTTTGAGACAACCAATGGATCTTTATCTTAGTGATTTAATGCTTGTTGAAGAGAAGAGTACTCTAAATTCAGGTCATTTACGAAACTTATTTTATGGAAACTACATGGATCCAGGTAGTGACAAAAAAATATATGACGAAGTTCACAGTGAAAAACTATTAACTCAACGTATGGAGTACTATTTGAATGAGTACAATACTATGTCTAAAAGTCCATTGTTAATGGTTATGTTTAAATTTGCTATTGAACACGTATCTCGTATAAGTAGAGTTTTGCAGCAAGATATTGGTAATTTGTTATTAGTGGGAGTAGGCGGTAGTGGAAGACAATCAGCTTCAAAGTTGGCAACATTTATAGCAGATTTTAAAATTTTTCAAGTATGTTTTATATAAAAATGTAAATTTTAGTGTACTTATATAATATTCTGTAAATGTTGTTGTAAGATTGCAGTAGGAAATAACTATAGTAAAAATGAATGGAATGAAGATATGAAAAAAGTATTAAAATATGCTGGATGTGAAGGAAAACCAATTATATTTTATTTATCTGACAGTCAAATTATGGATGAATGTTTTTTAGAAGACATAAATATGCTACTCAATACTGGAGATATACCAAATCTTTTTCAATCTGAAGAACGAGTTGACATTTTAGATAAAGTATCTAATATTGCTCAAAGTTATGTAAGTTTGATTGGATAGTAATATTTTATAATTAAAATTTATAGTTATATTTTAATAGAATTTCTTAAATTAATAAAATATAATTTTTGTTACAGGGGAAAAAAATTGAAACAACGCCTCTTGCTTTATATAATTTTTTTATTGAAAGAATTAAAGATAATCTTCATCTTATCATAGCTATGTCACCAATTGGTGATGCCTTTAGAACCCGTTTAAGAATGTTTCCTTCACTCATTAATTGCTGTACTATTGACTGGTAAACAATTAGTATTTAATTAATCAATCATATTGCAGCATTTTAATATTTTCAAAATATTTAATAAAAGTTTTCTATTATTTTTAACAATATTTTTTATGTAAGTATATTATTGACACCATTTCCAAAATACATTCTTGTTCAAAATATCTGAATATCATTTATTAATAAAATATTTTATTAAGGACCCAATGTCCATCTCTATAGTTTAACTGGCTCCCATTATTAGTTTCCAATGATCAGATTAATTGTATGTATTAAAAATAATAGGTTTACTGCTTGGCCTGAAGACGCTCTTGAAAAAGTTGCAGAATATTATTTACAAGCTATGTCTCTACCACATAATATTGCAACATCATGTGTGACAATTTGTAAAGAATTTCATACAACTGCTAGGGATGCTTCAATTAGGTAAATAGAATACCACTTTACAAGTTACTTGTACTAAACACTATTGAAATTTATTATGTTATTCCAAATTTATGTAGGTTGAACAGTTTGGTTTTTTTTTTTTTCCAAAAATTAAATCAAACAATATTTAGTCTTCGAAAATTCAAAAATATTTAGTATATTCATTTAGATATCTACTTATTGTTGGAAAATAAATAACCATTTAAATTCTATTGACTTTATTAGATGTGTACTTATACTTAAATATTCGACCTATACTGATCCATTAAGAATATTTGGTGCCTATTTAATTTAACATAATTATTAATATTGTATAATTTAGAAATTGTAATTATTTTTGGTGCAAAATGTACCTCAGCACTGCCACTTATATATCCATTTCTATTTTTTTTTCCAATCAAAATGTTTTGTTAATGTACGATTGTGTATTTATGATATTCAAAGCGGTTTAAAAAAAAAAAAAAAAAAAAATAAAATAAAATATCTTAATAACTTTTGAAATTTAATTTTAGGTTTTGTTCAAACTTAAAGAGGTATAATTATGTTACACCGACTTCATATTTAGAGCTTATCAAAACATTTCAAAATTTACATAAGAAAAAGGTAAATGAAATTACAACTTCGCGAAAAAGATATGAAACAGGTCTAGAAAAATTAGATTTTGCTGCTGGTCAAGTATCTGTTATGCAAGATCAACTTACAGCTTTAAAACCAAAATTATTAGATACTTCAAAAGAAACTGAAGATCTAATGGTTAAAATTGAACAGGACACTGTTAAAGTTGAAGCCAAAAAAGAAGTAGGTATATTTAAAATTAAATTATTTTGAACTGATGATTCTTAATTAATAATAATAATACTATTTTAGATAGTGGGCGCAGATGAAGCTCTTGCTAATGAGGCTGCAGCAGCATCTCAGGCTATTAAGGATGATTGTGAAAGTGATTTAGCTGAAGCCATACCAGCCCTAGAATCAGCAGTTTCGGCTTTAAATACTCTTAAACCAGCTGATATTACTGTAGTTAAATCTATGAAAAACCCTCCATATGGTGTAAAGTTAGTACTAGAAGCAGTTTGTGTAATGAAAGGAATTAAATCTGAACGTAAGCCAGATCCAAGTGGCTCTGGCCGAATGATTGAAGATTTTTGGGGACCTTCTCAAAAACTTATTTCAGATACTAAATTTTTGGAAAGTTTAAAAACATATGACAAAGATAATATAGATCCTGCAATCATGAAAGTTATACGTGAAAAGTATAATTTATTTATAATTTGTATTATGATACTATAAATATACATATTTGTAATTTTCAGATATATTAGTGATCCAGATTTTAATCCAGTTAGTATCAAATCAGTTTCTAATGCATGTGAAGGTTTATGTAAATGGATACGAGCACTAGATGTTTATGATAAAGTTATTAAAATTGTTGGGCCTAAAAAAGAAAAACTTCATCAAGCAGAAACGGACTATACCATACAAATGGAAAAACTTAATGAGAAAAGAGCTGAACTATCTGGTGTACTAGGAAAACTTCAAACATTGAGAGATGAACTAGCAGAAAAGACGAAAGAGAAAAAGGAATTAGAAGATAGTATTGATATGTGTGCTCAAAAATTAACTAGAGCTGAAATATTAATTAGTGGACTTAGTGGTGAAAAGTATAAATGGAGCCAAACAGCTAAAGAATTACAATCAACCCTTGATAACTCAGTTGGTGATGTATTACTATCTTCGGGTGTTGTTGCTTATCTTGGAGCGTTTACTGCTGACTATAGAAGTGTTTGTATATATTAATAAAGTTCATGATTATAAATATAAAAGTAATAACAATATTTTTCAGGCACTCATTGAAGATTGGAATAAAAAATGTCTAGAAATGAATATTCCATGTTCAGAACATTTTTCATTAGTACATACATTAGGAAAATCAGTATTAATACGGGAATGGAATATGTTTGGACTTCCAGCTGATAATTTTTCAGTCGAGAATGGGATCATCATATATAGTGCTACAAGATGGCCTTTAATGATTGATCCTCAAGGTCAAGCAAATAAATGGATAAAATCTATGGAAAATAATAACAGGCTTTCTATAATTAAGCTGTCAAATTCAAATCTTATGAATAAATTGCAGTTAGCTATTGAACATGGCTTCCCAGTTCTTCTAGAAAATGTACAAGAAGAACTCGATGCTACATTTGGTATTATTAAAGTATTTGTTTTAAATTTATTATTTTTTAAATTAAAAATTTTAAAAATACAAGCCAAACTTCATACGAATGACCTTAATAAATACATTCCAGCTGTTCGTGAACTATGGGGAAAGCAGGATCAATTCTGAGCAAACAGCTGGAATTATGTTATTCCCTGTAATAACGAACGTTTCGAAGGCGTTTAGAGAACTCACTTACCCTGGCACCTGACTTGAAAATTATGTAATGAATTTGTTAATTGAAATTCGAAATTTGTTAGGTAGGTACTCAATTTTAACCAACAAAAACCATACTTACTTTAATTTCCAGATGCTGAGTTAAACTTACTCCAGCATCCGACACACATAACTCTCAAGGTAAAATGTTTAAGTCAGGTGTCAGGGTAAGTGAGCTTGTCTAGGACACTTCGCCACCGTACCTACCAATTCGCCACCATACAGTTTCACAATTAGCCAACCCAATATGACCAACTCGACGCCATACGTTTTCGCCTGCAGAAACTTCTCCGTGAATATGTTATATAACAAAATGATCGATTTATCATGAACTAGTAGTATTCTCGGAGGATTTTATTTTATGTGATTTTGATTTTTGTTTTTTTCTATTATTATTATTATGGAATCATTTAAGCTTTATCATTTTTATACTATTTTATATTACCTTAAATAAATAAATATAGGTACACACTTCAAATAATAATCATTCATTTTAAATACATATTTAAATAGATAATGTTTTTTTTAAACATTGTTATATGTGTAGTAACACTAACTTTTACACATATCTATATTTTTGTTCACTGTTTACTATTTATGAGTTATAGGTTTATAACAGATTAAAATTCAAACTAGAAAAGTTGGAAAGGGTAATAAAGTTCTAAGAGCAGGTACCTTATGATAATAAAAAATTTAAAAAGAAATTGTATAAAAGTTCAGGAGTTTTTCGATTTTGGTAGAGAGTTGGTCGGGGTCAAAACAGTATGATGGCAAATCAGTTGTGGCGAAATAATCTGTGGCTCCATTTCGAAACGTTATCCAAACTAAATTTTGTTTATGTTCATTAAAAAACTGATCATCAATAGATCCGATACCAGTAGAGCATTTGAGTGTTCATCTGAGGTGGCGGGGTGATTTAATTCTCACACATATATTAAGTATATCACATTGTACCTGAATGGCCTAAGGTTTCCTCGATTATTATGAAAAATCAAAAGAAGATTAGCTTAATGTACCAACTACATATTATAAACAAAATTGTGTATCAAATACCACTCTTGAGTTGGTGATTAAAGTTCTTACTTTAAGATTTCTTGTTAAAAATTAAATTATTATTTATTATTATTCGAATGTACATATTATATTATTATAGTATATTCTACTGATTTAAAGCGGTTTTACTGTAGGTATATTAAATTGTATGTATTTTTCAAGTTAGTATAATATAGTTATATTGATATCACATTGACAGATACTTGTAATGTAATTTTTACTGTTATATTTGTACCTAGTGCCTACATGCAAAATCTATGTAAATTGACAGTGTACCTTCTATGATTTGATATCATTGAACAATTACTGCTACAGCAGCATTAACATAAAATAAAATTTTTCATATAACTGCTATAGCATTAGTGTCCGTAAATATGATATAATATAGGTATTGGCAAACTTTCAACAGTCTCCAAGAAATAATCAATTATGCATAACTTTTATTAACTTTGGACTCTTGGGTCTTGAGACATTAAAAAAGCGTAGTAAAAGTTGATTTTTTTTTATATAAGCTTGCTTAAACTTCATAATTTAATACAAAACGTAAAAATAACGGAATTTCAATTACTATTTTTTAATTTATGTAAATATAATTTTTGGTTTATCTAAAATGCTCTAAGATTTAATATAAGGTTCATCATAAATTATACTTGGTGATAAAACATGAATTAAATGTAATGTACGATAAACATTTTATTTAAACGTTTCAAGTTTAATTTTTGTCAATAATGATCATGGCATATCAAAACGTGTAAACGTGTTTACCCGAACTTCACTCTGAATGGTTTTTCTTAGCAATGATTTATTGCTGTGTATAGATATCTATAATTTAAATAAATTGGTTTCTATTTTAAGTTTCCAACAGTGGCACACACACACCCATCTCTAATATCAGCTCTTTTTTTATTCATTCTTTGTGTATTAACCACTAAAACAATATTTTGATTTTTTTTTTAAATTCATTTAATTGGCTTACACAATTTTTTAATTTTTAAAACGAAATTAAAATTTAACTTATTGTTTGCATAAATGTGAATTTTTTGTAGACCAAATACTGTTTAAAAATATTTTTAAACAAGGAAAAATTGAATATTTGAGATTTGGCGAAAATATGTTGGAATACAATCATTCATTTAGACTTTACATCACAACACGACTTCGAAATCCTCATTATCTACCAGAAATATCAGTTAAAGTAGGTTTATTTATATTATTAAAGTGAATCACTTAAAAGTCAAATTTATATTTTTAATATTTTGTGAAAATTACCTACCAATTTTAGTTGGTTAAAATACATCTAAAAAAATTCTATAAATATTTAATTTTTCATGGAAGTATTATAATATATTGAATATAATGTAGGTACCTACTAATAATGCAGCACTTTTTCTACATAACATTTATCTTTTTTTTTTTTTAATATCTGTTTATTTGTTACTCAATCATTGTCATTTTAAAATTAATTTTTAACCAAAAATAAATGTACTGAATATTTTAATTCAATTCAGGTAACTTTACTAAACTTTACGATCACTCAACAAGGGTTACAAAATCAATTATTAGGAATTGTTGTTGCTCAAGAACAGCCACAATTGGAAGAAAAGAAAAATCAATTAATTATTGAAAGTGCTGAAAACAATAAATTACTTAAAGAAATCGAAGACAAAATACTGTATATTCTTTCATCATCTCGAGGAAATATTTTAGAAGATGAATCGGCAATAAAAGTTTTATCTTCATCTAAAGTATGATATTCGTAAATATTTTAAATATTATATAATATATAATAAGTATAATGTCTTAATATCTATTTAATTAATTTTAGTCATTATCGGCCGAAATTCAATCAAAACAAGAAATTGCAATTGTAACAGAAAAAGAAATTGATGTAGCTCGTGATGTTTATATTCCTATCTCTAAACATTCGTCCGTTTTGTTTTTTTGTATCACGGATTTAAATTATATTGATCCGATGTACCAGTATTCATTATCATGGTTTATAAACCTATATGATCAGGTAAGCTTTAAAATAATTTATTGTTTATAGATCTTTCATTTTTTTCTTTTTTTCTCTTCTATAAGTATATTATAAATTATGTTTAGCATTTTATTACCTACATAAATAAGATAATTTAAAGCAGTGGTTTTTAACCTTTTTTCATTACAGTGCCCTTCATAGATAACTAACTAATAACATCCCCTCACGCATAACTATGCTAGGATTGTTATATTGCCTTATTGGTATTTAGTTTTTGGTTTAGCTTTTTTTTTTTTTTGCTTATCTGTTTTTATACGAATTATAATTATTATGTTATATTACAGGAATCGTTTGCTGATGACATTTATTGTAGGGATCTTGGCCAACTTTAAATCACAAGCCTATATATAATCCGGCCCTGTACATAACTATTCTTATTTCACGTGCAATAATACATGTCACTGGATGCTATTGCTTTTTTATTTTTTCATTATTCCGCATTAAAAAGCTCACCGCTTAAAACACCCTTAAAATCTTCCACCCCCTCGGACGACCGAAATGCCTAGGGGGCGTTACTGCCCACGTTAAGAACCACTGATTTAAAGTCTAAACTTAAACTGACTAAATAAAAAGAGGTGAACATTTTAAATTTATTTAAATTTGTTTACTACATTTTGTTCATATACAATGAAAGTAAATATAATTTTGTAATAGGTTGGAGTCACTACCAATGACCATCTTAAGAATTTTTGTGTATTAATATTTGATTTTATTTATTTATGGTTGTCATTTATTGAACATTTTTTTAACTAAACCATAATAAGTAGGTACCTACATTATAAGTTAACCAATAGATACTTAGTTTGAGTTTAAAAGTTTTAAGAACATTATGGAATGACAATTTTTTATTGGTATTAATATTTAAAATTACATTTTCTGGTTTTATAGTCATTCTACTTTATTTTTACGGGCGTCGGCTTATTCCCTTTAAATATTATAATATTATAATTATTATACTTAGCGCAGCAATAGGGTATTATATAAGTATGGGCCACAACGATATTCGTAATGTAAATTAAACGAGCAATAGTTATCGGTATCAAAGCTACATTCTCCAAACGGGGATGGGTTGTCTAAATCCACCTCAACTGCTGCCAATCTTGGGTGCACCGAATGGGCAGGGCAACTATCTACTAAGGCTCCGGCGCAATACAAACGACAGTGAACAAACTATTTTAGGAATATGTTTATGCGCGTGTTCTCGCACGACCCAGATGCAGGGGTCGATGTATGAGGTTATTACTCGACTAAGCAATAACATGTTGTTGCCAAAAGGTGCGGACTAAGAATCTTTAGCTGGGGGGTCCAAGCAAGGTATATATCAGACGAGTCTGAGCACTATAATCTGTAAGCACGTTCACGCCAGACAGAATTGTACATTTAGAATATTGCCTATTTTTCAACTTAAATAAAAATACTTATAAAATATTGTGTCTACTCATTTGACTTAAACCTGACTCTGAGTTTGAAAATACGCCCGCAACATATAGCTTATCAAATTAAAAAGTTGCACTATTTACAAAATAAAAATGAGTGGCCCCATCCGGGGTACTGGCTATAGGTAGTGGCTTCCACCCTACTATTTTATGCATCTTTTACAGTTGTCATAACACCTATTCATATTTCTTTTTCTTCTCCTTCGCCTTCATTCCAAATATTTGGTGATCCTTGTCCTAAACTTCCACTTAACCCAATCTCCTACATAATCTTTGCACAACCGTCCTTGTATCATTCTTAATTGCATCCAACCACCTCATTTTCAATCTTCCACTTCCTCTTTCCTCCTGCGTTTATTTTCATTAAACTATATTATTTATTTTTTCTATACTTTTATGACAGTCAATTAAACAAAGCAATAAATCTGATAATATTAATGAAAGGATACATATTTTAAATGATTATTTTACATACACTGTCTACCAAAAAGTTTGTAGATCTTTATTTGAAAAAGACAAATTGATTTTTTCATTTATTTTAACAACTAGAATATTTCAATCCAAGGTAATCATATGAATGAAATCATTTCATGTATGTTCTATACAGTACACATTTTTATTAATTTTATACTATAGGGAGAACTCGATGTTGAATTATTTACACTATTTCTTACTGGAGGAACTGGATTAATTAATGTACACCCCAATCCTGCCATTGAATGGCTAACTGATAAATCATGGGATGAGATAGTTCGAGCATCTCAATTTCCAAGGTAAAAATTTAGAACGAAAAACTGTTGTTATTTATTTCTAGTTTTTATTAAATAATTTTTAATAGAATGGATTAAATAAAATATTAAAAATAGCATAGGGAAGAAAGTGTTCAATGTACACTGTACACCTATTTCTATTTTTAAATTCTCTTGTATATCCCTGGAACAAAAGGCATATCTACCTATAACTATATAGATAGTTGTAAACTTGTTATAAATAACTTCATTTAATTAGTAGAAAATAAATCCTTAAGTATTTGATAGTAATTTAATAATTAATTTGTCAGTCGCACAACCAATTGCTCATCAAATCATTTTTTAAATGTAATTTAAAAACAATTAACAATATTATCCACTTAAATAAAAAAGTATTCAAAAAATGTTTATACTGATAATAATGAAGTAAGTTTACATAAATTTTATGTTGTCCACAGAAAAGGTTTAAGGCTCCTAATAGTATATTTGTATATTACTACTTAATTGTTTTTATATCTTATAGTACGTGTAATAAAACTAATAATAATTCAAATCATTTCATTTATTGCATTTTATTGCATGTAAATTATAGTTTGAATCAATTTTATAAATCAATTGTCAATTTCACTGATGAATGGAAAAAATGGTATAACTCCAATAATCCTCAAGACATACCAGTTCCAGAACCGTATCAAAGTATTGATGGCCTTGAAAAACTTATAATTATAAAGTGTATTCGATCAGATAAAGTGATTCCAGCTATTCAGGTATATTTTTGCCATGGGTATAATTTAATTTAATTTTAAATGAAACAAACTTTTTATTGAAAATATACAAATATTTAGCACTACATTATAAGTAATATGGGTAAGAAATATATTGAACCACCATCATTCGACTTGGAAGATTCATACAAAGATTCAAACTGTTGTACTCCTTTAATATTTGTATTGTCACCGGGAACAGATCCAATGTCAAATTTGACTAAATTTGCCGAGTATAAAAATATAAATCGGACAGATTTAATTACTTTATCACTTGGTCAAGGACAAGTAATTTATAAAAAATAAAAATAATTTATTTTAATAATAAAAACACAGAAATATTATGATTAAAGGGTCCAATAGCTGCTAATATGATAAAAACTGGTATAGATTCGGGAAAGTGGGTTGTGTTGCAAAACTGTCATTTAGCTGTAAATTGGATGAAAGAACTTGATCGTATTTGTGATGAAGATATTATACTAAGTCATACTCACGAATCATTTCGTCTTTGGCTAACTAGTTATCCATCTGATAATTTTCCTGTTTCCATATTACAGAATGGTAAAGTAAAGTTTAATTAGTGATACCTATTTATTATTTTAACTTCTTTGAATTGAATAGGAATTAAAATGATAAATGAAGCCCCAAAAGATCTCAGTGCAAATTTATTACGTTCTTATATGACTTATCCTATTAATGATACAGCATTTTATCTCAGTTGTAAGAACAGTTTTGGTCTAAAGATTTTACTCTTTTCATTATGTTTTTTTCACGGTCTTATTCAAGAACGCCGAAAGTTTGGACCACTTGGTTGGAATATTCCTTATGAATTTAACGAATCAGATTTGCAAATTAGTATAATGCAGTTACAAGTACCTATATTCAATTGTTTAATTTTAAAAATGTCAATTACTTAAATTATAATTGCAATAATTTAAAAATCAGATGTTTTTAAATGATTATGAAGAAATCCCATACTCGGAATTACTTTATCTTATTGGTGAATGCAATTATGGTGGTCAAGTAACTGATGACAAAGACAGACGTTTACTATCATCTCTACTTTCAATATTTTTCAATCCAAATGTTATTAATAATGAATTGTAAGTGAAAATAGAATTTTAAAACAATTATTTTTGTTTAATTTATGTATGATATATTATACATTTTTAATATATACTCTATAATTGGTAATATTGGTAATATTTGAATAATATATAATCTATAATAACACAATCATTTAATCTTGATATATTATTTTATTATTTAAGTTAAATATTATTAATTTTTTTAAATTTTGAAAAATATAGAATATATTGTTATTTAATTTTTTAGATTCCGAGTGAAACGATGAATGTATTATTTATACTATAATATGTGCTTACTATTATTTTTATTTGTGTTTACAACTTTTCTGCCGAAAATCTTGTAACAATCGAATAGTGATAGGAAGGAGACTTATTTAGATGCATTTTGTATTTAGTTGGTGCATTGGGCAAGTCATTTTTTGATTTTCCAAGCTTAGACCAAATAGTCCAAATAATAATAAAATGTTTTATAAATTGATAAAATTGTTTGACTGAACAGATATGAATGAACATTTAATACGAGGTTTATTAAAAGTTTATTAAATTGGTAAATAAAAAAAAAAAATTGGAATAATATTGTAATTTTTATTTTATGAGCATTTTAAGTTCAAATTTTGATGAAATTAGTTCCTGTAAGATTTATATTATTTTTTGTTCTATAATAATATAGATTATTTTTCCAGAAATTCGAGGTTCTTGGTCTACTTTTGGTATTAGAATAAAATAATCACACAGTAATTAATTTTGTATCCTGAAATTTCTGGTATAATTTATTATAATCCAATTTGTTTACGGTAATTTATAATATCTATTTTAAAAATAATGTACAATAATAATATAATTTAAAGCCTGAATGATTGTATTTGTATAGTTTATGTATTATTTGTTTATTATATAACCAATGGTAGTGTAATATGTATATTTTATTTCAAAAAGTGAATGGCCAAATGATGAAAACAATTATACCACATCCAATTTTGGTATCCATATTTTAAGTATTTCACTAAGTGGAAAAAAATAATACATTTCTTGAACTAAATAACTTTTTACAAAATGCTCAATTTCATCAAATGTATATATATTAGTTTCCTGCCTTATTATAGTTGACTGTTTTAAGTTCATAACAATAAAAAAATAATTGTTAAAAATTATGCAACCAATAAACTAATTTATTACTTACTTAATTCTGTATTATAAAATGAAAATATAGGGTATATGCCTGTATTATATTTTAGATATACATTTTCTGAAAGCGGAATTTATCATGTACCCCAAAATACTAACTATGATGGATGTTTAGAATACATAAAGTCTTTACCAATGAATCCACAGCCAGAAGTATTCGGATTACATGAAAATGCTGACATAACAAAAAATAATTATGAAACTAATATGGTTTGTTAATTAATCATGAAACATATTATATTAAGTATTTAGTACACATATTTATTTGATCGCTGTACTTAGCTACTAAATGGTACCATTTTAACTCAATCACAAATCATAACAAGTGACAGTGATACAGATGTAGATAAAAGGATAATAGAGCTATCTAGTAATATTGCGAATAATATACCTGATTTGTTTGACATAATATCAACCGTTGAAAAATTTCCAATAAAATATGAACAATCTTTGAATACTGTTCTTCATCAGGTATCAAATTTAATAAATATAAATATTGTTTATTTGTAATGCCTGTCTTTTTAAAATGATTATGTACACATTTATATCTTTTAATTTGAATTTCTTATTATTTAGCTGAAATTATATTTTTATATTCAATTATGTTTCTAATTCTATTTAGGAATTGATACGCTTTAACAAATTACTAGCAGTTATAAAAACATCTTTAGTGGAGGTACAAAAAGCCATTAAAGGTATTGTTGTTATGTCATCTGATTTAGAAGAATTGAATACTAGTTTAGTCATTGGAAGAATACCAGGTAGTTGGATGAATAAATCATACCCTTCGTTAAAACCATTGGGTGGTTATATAACTGATCTATTACAAAGGTATATTTAAACTTATTTGTATATTTTTTTAAAATTTAATTATTTATAAAATTATGATTTTAGACTAAAATTCCTGCAAGACTGGCTTGATAATGGTATACCAGAAGTGTTTTGGCTTTCTGGATTTTATTTTACTCAATCTTTTTTGTCGGGTGTGCTTCAAAACTTTTCACGCAAACATAAAATACCAATAGACCAGCTTGGATTTGAATTTGAAGTAACTATATATGAACCAGATATGAAATTGAAAGAAATTCCTGGATGGGAAGTATACTATCGGGTAATAATGATACATAAAAATACTATTTAAAATTTGATTGTGATGATTACATTGTTTTTAATGTCTTTTTTTTAGCTTTTATTATTATATTTGTTTAAAAATACTTTTAGCAATAGTAATAAATAATAAGATTAAATGTCTTCCTGACTTTTATAGATCAGTAGGTGAACATAGATAAGTAATTTATAAGTTATACTAATATTATAAAATACTGAATTTGCTATTTTAACCTCTCAAAAATATAGAGTCTGTGTTTTACAATGCATCTTCTTCTTCATTATGGTACATAGCGTCCTAAAGGACCACTGTATCATATAATCCAGTCCTCCATTCTCAATCTGATGCTGGTGCTTTTTGACCGTCTTCCTAGTTCATCTAAATTATTCCTGACTCCTATTACTTATAGGATAATGTTGTATGCATCATATTATTGCTTATATATTATATTATGCACATATTATACTTATGTCTATTGTACATATATATATATATAAAGAAGGGTTATAGATAAGCAATTTATTACCCTCCATACTCCTCTAGTCTAACTTAAATGATTATTTAAGGTATATGGAGTAGGGTTAAAAAATTAAAAATGGTTTTAAAATAAAGCTTAAACGATTCTATAATGAACAGAAAAAACACAAATCAAATTGACTTAATAAAACTCTGAGATAATTGCTGGTCCATGATAAAAAAAAATTACCCTGTATATATGTATATATTTATTTATTTTCAGTTAAATTACTGAAGTGTGGTGGTTAATTAATCTGATTTGAGTTAACTTCTTAAATCATATATACCAGGGGCATTCAAATGGTCGTTTACAATTAAACAGTAAATGACAGATATTTTTAATGTCATTCTCCCATTATACAACTTATTTTTATACAATTAGTAGATAAATCACAATTTTCGATTGTTTATACTGATAGTTTGATTTTTGGTATTTTTAATTTATAATATTATATAAGAGTTAATATAAATGTGATGAAAAACATTATTCAATTACACATTTAAGTTTTATTATTTTTACATGTATATTTATTAGTAATACTTATTAAATAATTAATAAATTTACATTTCTTTCTAGTAATCGATCCTCAAAGAAAAAATATATTTTTACTAGATTTCTACTAAAAAAAATTTAACTGCCCCTGATGTGTATATTATAAGTATATTGAATATTGTAGATGTATTTTGTATTTATATTCATACAAATTACTTACTATATACTTGTTTTATTTTTTCATGCTTCCATAAATAAATGTTTGTCTTAATAAAGGACAAATTAGACATTGAAGAATTCAGCGTTTTTGTAAAGGTATACTAATTTATATTTATTTTATTAGTAATAATTTTTTTGTTATGATACATACAATTCTTATAAGCTATGAATAATAAATATAAATTGTATGGTTTTATTAATTTTATATAAAAGATCTATAAAGAGTATGTTAGAACAAACTCGTGTTTTTAATATTATTAATATTTCAAATGGGGAAGTCCAATCGGTGTAGAAGGCGGCTCGTTGTAAAGCTGATAAAGTGCATTTTTAGTTGTCAATATGGTGTGAAGTATGCAACAAATCGTGTTCACAGTACTTCGAAAACGGTATATCTATCGTTCAAACGCAGCAAGATTTTCGAACTCATTTCGACATTCCACGTCCTGGAACGTTCCCAGCAAAATTGTCACTACTGGTCCCCAGTAAACCCGTAACAGTAACATGAGGAACCTTTGCATACCCCAAAAGTAAAAGTTTGGTGTGTAATGGGCCAAACACAAATTATTGGCCCATATTTTTTCAAGGACAACGGATAAATGACCATTGTGAATATAGATCGTTACACCAAATTGCTGACCCGTCCAATTTTTTTTGCTGACCTTAAACGTCGATATGTCCGTGTCAGAAAATTGTGGTTTTAACAAGATGGGGCGACATAACACAGCTCGTGCCTCAATGGAAGTTTTTCGCCGAAAATTCTCTTGGCGTTTTATTTGGCGCTTTGAGGACATTCCGTGACTCCCTCGCTCCCCTGAATCGACAACATGTGATGACTGAAACTATTTTTAGAACCTAAATTTTGTTACGGACAAAAAACTGCCTATGTTTCTGCATTTTTTGATTTAATAAAATTTATTTTTCTGAAATTACGTTTGGCGTAACAAAATTTTGAAAAACATATGTTTGTTTTATACTGACAAATAATATAGGGATATTATTTGTGTAATATTATTAATTTATTTAATTACATTTTTAGATTTAAATAACGAAAATCATATTATTTTTATAATTAATAAAAAATGTTCTTATTTTTTTTATGTTTTACCTTAAAGATGCAACAGTTTTGTCTTTTGTCAAATTATTTAAAAAATTTTTTTTCGAAAATGTATTTTAACTTATATAAAATATTTACAGGGTTTGTTTTTAGAAGGAGCTAGATGGGACAGAGAATTATGTATGTTAAATGAATCTTATTCAAAAATTCTTTTCGATACAATTCCAATAATATGTTTTAAACCCGGAATTAAAGTATATATTTTATCTTAAATATGTATACAAGTAAATTAAATATTATGTTAAACCAATAATTGTGTAACTTTTTTTTTAGTCCCAATTCGAAAATAAATTGTATTATGAAGCTCCCATTTACAAAACAAGTGCTCGTCGTGGTACTCTTTCTACTATCGGACATTCAACTAACTTTGTGATGTATATGAATTTCTTAATTGATCGACCGCCAAATCATTGGATCAACCGAGGCACTGCTTGTTTATGTCAATTAGACAACTAATCAAATAATTTGTGTGTTCTATAAATAAAATTTAATAAATTTAATAATATTTAGGTACACATGTAATTATTGTATGGTTATAATGACAATTAAGATCCATTTCGTCTCCTCTCGAATTTCCTCATCTCGCGCTTTCTACATTATATTATGTTGTAGTCCTGTTCATCTTTAACGTTTACTCTTCATCATTGCTAATATATCTTGGGCATAGATATAGGTAATACTATCTGTAATCTAGGGTTACACAAATATTATTGATATTTTAGTTAGAAAATTTGATATTATCCTATTAATATTTTGGGAATATATCAGACATGTAATGAGATGAAGTATTTTTCAGGGCATATTGATAACATAAATTAATAAAATATTTAAGATAGATTATCAACTATATATCTAGATCGAACATAAAATATTTATTTAATAGCATATTAATTTTTGAAAAACTCTTAATTGTTTCAACTGTTTTGAAAGTATTCACTGAAAAAAATATTTTAATGAAAAATATAGTACAACATATATGTGTATTAAAAAACAGGTAAAAAGACCTATTTAAAAATCAAAATCTTATGGTATATGAAATTGCATACAAGAAATGTTCCATTGATCATTTTTCTTTCTTAAAATCATGAATCTATATTTTTGTTCAATATAATAATTTCCATAGATAACAAAACGTCGTTATGTTAAAATTTAACAGTTGGATTTTGTTGATTTCATCTTCCACAATATCGCTGAAGGGTTAGGGCAGGTACGTTTGGTACTCCCAAACGGGACCCACCTTGACGTGATGGGGGGCTCACAATTAAACGGTCATGCTAAGCGGTCCCATAAAAAAATGATTGTCCTAATTATTGAACCAAATTAATGAATTAATTTTTTACTTGCAGTACCAGTACTTATATCTTATATTTTATACCTACGATTCGGTTACCCAGAAATAACCATTAATAGTTTTTTTTTTATAATATTAGTGTATAGAATTTCGTTTTTTTTTTTTTTTCATAACAACCTACCAATTTTTTCTGTAACCTTTTCAAGAATTAAAGTTGTTTCCGGAGCATCCGTTATGTGTATTTCTTGATATCTGTTATACATTTTAATAAATAGATTTTGTTTTTATATATTAGATAACTTATTTTTAGAGGTAATGCTTATTGTAAACTTTTTTCATGAGTTCTTTTTATATTTATTTTATTAGGAATTTGATTTGAGCGTGAAGTTTTTTTTGGTTGAATGAAGTAAAATAATGTGAATAAACACGTACCTATACATACTATAAATTATCCCGTAATAGTATTTCAAATATTGGAGATTTTAAATTGATGGATATTTGAGCATTATTATTTTACATTATTGTACTATATGAAGTAATAACAATAATAATAATAATAATTAAAAAAAAAAAAAAAAATGTCTTACCTTAATTGCATTTTACCACTATGCTCATACAATTTTCAGTATTATTTGTAGTAGTATTATAAAAGTTAATTTAAATATGTATTAATTGTTATCAATTAAATTATTATTATTATCATTTACCTGTTCGTTTCATGGAGATAGATAAACAATACTGTATTATTTATCTCTCTCTATGGTTATCTCGATGGAGAAATGAGGGAATGAAACCGGTGTAGTTTGTACCATATGCATGTGATGGTGCAGAAAAGTTAAACTGGTGTAGTTAATTTTAACACCGGTTACTCCAAACAATTTTTCAAATTCACACCAGTTTGATTTTCAAAGAGAAATTTACACCGGTTTGTACTAACGAATTTCTTGAATGTTGTGTTCCTGGTTGCTGCGATAGTGCTAAAACTAAATTTGACATTCCCAAAAATGTCCATGGTATTTGGAAAAAACCCACAGGGTTTTTACTAAACAGATATTCCAGTGAATGTGAGAAACATATTGAACCTTCTGAAATTATTTTCGTATAGGTGTCTGGGGAAGACAGCAACAGAATTTCGGTATGTTCCACTAAAATAAAAAAAATGATTCCGAGCGAAGCAGAGCCATGATGCTTATTTTTTTTTTTTTACAGTGGTTCAAGGAAATTAAGATTAAAACTCGGGGCTATATCTGTCACTTTCTTAAATAAAGATAATACAATTATTGAACAGGTTTATTTGTTATTGTTGTACATAAAAGATAATATTATAATATATTTATATATTGTATTAAATTTCATAGTTTTTAATATACTATTAGTATGTACAATTTTTCAGATTGATACAACATTGATAGGTATCAAAAATCGTAGTGTAGTATGAAAGGATGCACTAGAGTAAAAAAAAAATCCTACGGTTTTTATTGATGCCACCAAAAGCTGGAAAATTAGCAGTTAGTAATGCTCATTTAGTTAACAGATAGCGTTGTAAATCGTTGGTCAGCACTGCGAACCCCCGCACTTATCTCTTGTACGCTATTTTGTGGCCACTGATAATTGATAAACTGTTCGTGACCAGTCTATTATATCTATTATCTTAGTCCGTGATTCTGTGTTGAAATTATTATTTGAATGCATATTCATGGGGAAATAGTTGTTTTATATTGTGATTTGTGATATATTTAAATTGTTAATGCAAAATATAACATCGAGTGGAGATATAAGTCGATAATTTTTTTCATTTCTTTGGGAAGTTATCTAAAAATGTTGTCCAAAAACTTTTTAGATGTCGATGAGTCTATTATAGAAAAGAACCTTTTAATTCAAGTAATAATAACAATAACTACCTACTGTTTACTTTCTTTCATATTTATAAATACCAAATTTAATGTTTATTATTTGAGTGATAAATAATGTTTATTTCCAGAGTAACGAGGAACAAGAATTTGAACAGTTTGTAAACGGTTTTCTTAATCCTAACTCTGGCAAATTAGTCAAACCAGCTCCAGGTTAAATAATATTTTTTACCTATTAGTACAGATTTTAAATATTTTCTAAATTATTCAAAATTATAGGAATTTGTATAAAAACTATTAAAATTGATGATAAGTCTAAAGTTTTTATAAACCTTTGTCACCATTCTGATATTCCACCTCCAGAAGATATAACACATGACGAACTTATTGAAGTTTTAAACTCCAAGGATCCTGAAAGATATTGTGTACCACTGAGTATTGGTACAGAACATGAAGAAACTATCAAATGTAAGTTTTATTAATGATATTTAGATATGGTGAATGTAAATTAGAAAAATTAAATTTTAAACCACTGATTAAGTAGGTACCTGTATTTTTGTTTTTGTGAATATGGTTTAAAATTTTAATAAGATGTACCTATTATAATTTAAATGTATAAATACATTTTAAAAAGGTTTATTTATACATAAAATTATATTATAATTAAAAAGTATGTGAAGGAAAACCTACTTATATTATATTTAGAAATTTAATGATATAGATTTTATAACATACAGACTGAGGACTGATAGGATGATTTGGAAACAATTTTTGGATGATGACATTGGTGTATCTTGTTATAAATCAGATGGGCGAGTGGTAAAATTTGCATTAATACTCTATAGATAACTACTTTGCAAAGAATGGTTTATCTGTATATTCTGAAATCAACAGTATTACTTATTGTATATTTTTTTTAAAATTGTACAATTATTTATTATATTAAAATTTAAAGACTATTAAATGTACCTATAAATAAAAACTGAAAAAATCTTAAATTTAAAGTACTATATTTTGGTGCACACAATTGAAAATCTTTAATAATTCTTAAGTGATTATATTATATTATAGCTGGTGTTCAAGTTAAAGCTTATGACGTGGCAGTTAATTCAGAATTTTTTAAAAAATGTCAAAATGATGAATTGTTTAAAACGTTTATTATTTCTGCTACAATAGAAGGCATTGCTGAAAAGTTCAAAATAGAAATAAGCTCTGAAAGTATTTATTATCATAGTATATCATCATAGTAATTATAGTAATCATAGTATTTAAAAGTTAATATTTTATTTTATTTTTTGTCAATGTCATAGATCCGATTTTGTTAAAGAATAAAAAATGCCTTGGGTCTTTACAACAACACAGGATTCAACAGCGACCTCCTAGACCATCCTCTATAAAAAAAAAAACTTTGATTGAAGAACTAAATCCAAAGGGATCATCTTCCCAATTAGAAACACACATTAAACCGGAATACAGAGTTTATGTACAGCCAGAAGATAATCCTGAACAATTGATTGTTGATGTTTGGCTACCAGATGTGGTAATTTAATGAATTATCTACTTTACATTTATGTTCTAGGTAATTCTGATTTTTAATTTTTTTTTATAGAATAACTCACAAGAAATTAGTTTAAAATGTGGGGAAGATTGTATAGTATTAAATACAAAAAAACAAACAAAATACGAGTTAGATATTTTTTTGCCATATACAATTATACAACAAAATACCAATGTAACATTTAATACTGTAACAAAAGTAAGTCATATAAATTAATAAAACTATTTTATATTGTCCTGAAAATCCCTTATTAGACCAATTTAAAAATTAAATTAATTACATGTACCAATTTATATGTAAAAAATCTTTGTTCTAATGATTTTTTTTTGTATGATTCATTATCCACTAACATACATATACACTTCAATGTTCAGTGTTCCGTTATGTTTCAACGTGATTGTACATAATTTTTCGTACTTTTTTAATTGTGATAACTCCAATTGGATATTTCGAACTTTTTTTCTGGTTCTTTCAACTTCGAGTTAACCAAATTTGACTTTATTAATATATTTTATATATTGATATATGTTTTAATATTAATGTTAGTCAACATGTCAATTAAATTTTTTAGTATCTTAGGAGATTTGGAGAGAAATATTTAATATGAGATCTTGTTTATCTACAGTTTACATTTTATAAATATTAGGATTTGAATAGGATCGAGAAACATCATATAAATTGTATAGTATTTTTATCTCTAGGTGTAAGAATCCTAGTTCCGGTTCTGGTTATTGTTTCTATATTAAATAATTATAATAATAATAATAAACTATTGAATACTCAATTTATTATTTTATAAATAAATAAAGTTAGATTATGATTTTAATTAAAAGTATTGATTCTAATAAATATAGTAATTTGAAGATAGTTTTCAAACTTATTATTTTAATTGTTAATGATTATGCATATATTTTTTTTTAGTTTTTATCAGTAACGTCAACCATCGCTGCTGTCAAGTAATTTTATGAAGCTCAATATTTATCTATTTAAAGTAATTACTGATATAATATAGTTATTAAATTTTTATGTATTTATCTTGGACTAACTAATATTATATTACAGTACTTACTGAAGCTGCTTCTCATACAGAAAAATATTTTACCACATAAAAGGAAATGGCAAAATGATAGATAAACACAATATTTTGGTTATTCTAACAAAATTTCTCAAATTTCTAAAATACATGCACCCGAAAGTGTATATATATATACTTAATACATACCTGGTAATTTTATAACATGTAATTTTGTAAAATAATATAAATGTATTTATTTTTAACATTTTAATTTTTACATACCTACATAAATACACATATGTAATACAATGTATAATAAATATATATATATACATATATATATATATATATATATATATATATATATAAATAATGAAGTTATTTACATAATTTTAGTTTTTAAGGAATATTATTTATGTTATTTGTCAATAATGGTTGTGGATCTGATGGTACTTCACTATTACTTCTTGTTAAATGTTCCATTGATGCATTTGAAGCTTTTGTATCTTCCCTTTCATCATTTTCACTTGCACCTTGTAGTGCTCTATATTTCTTTGCAATAGAATCCCAATCCGTTACAGTTTCAATGCGGTTTGATAAACTTGTAAAGCTAATCGTTGACCCAAACGGACTCAAGTGTACAACACTAACTGATATAGATTCTAAACATGTATTACATTTATATTATAATAATGTCATTGTTGGTTATAATATTTTTTCTTACCTCTTGGTACTACTTGAGCTTTTTTAACTTTGGATAACCATTTATTGCCCATTCGAGTCCTGGCACTCACTCGTCCTTTGGTTTTCATATCGACCATTTGTGATAAGCTCGGACGCTTTTTTTGCTGAACTGTATTTAACAGTTTAGAAAAGTTCGTAAGTGTTTCCTGAATATTTGTCTTTTGCGAATTTTTACCTCTTTTCTTGCATATCTCTAGCAAATACATGAACCAAGTTGTAATTAAGTTTAAAGGTGAAGGTGTTGTAGTTGTCCTATGCATATTTCTAATTAACTTTGCTAATCCAAACTTCCATTCTATATCTGATTGTGCCTAATTTAATACAAAGTATAAATTATAGTTATAGTTGAATCCAATAGTTAAAATAATAATTATACCTACTTTCTCAAAAATAATGTTAATATGTAATAAATTTACCTGAATTCTTTGATAAGTATCACTCATCATAGCAATAAGCAAGTTAATTAGTACAACAACTGATACTAACATATAGACACCAAAGACAGCTTTAAATAAATAAACAGTCCATGGAGGTTGATCACTATCAGTAGCTTTTCTTAGTTCGTTATGTGTTGCCATACCAAATACAGCGAAAAAAAGTAACTCAAATGCATCGACCGGACTCATTAAAACTAAAAAAAAGTTAATCCTTTGTTATTTGTTATTTTTATATATTTGTTTAAGTTAATCTACCTTCTGCAAATAAATCTTTGTCCTTTTTTTCCAATTTTGCCCCAATAGGGTGGTTCATAGCTACAATCTGCATTGAAAACCCAAACACAAAAATGCTTAGCACTACCAAGAATCTTGCTAAATCCTTCATCAAATCACCAATTATTATAGCCCAAGGTCCAAACAAATGATGGAATGATAAGAAATCCAATATTTGAACACATGCCATTAAAAATGATATAGCAAACATTTGATTTCGTAGATACATAACTGTAGGAAGATATGGGCTGGAAACAAGTCCAAAGAAACCGACCAAGTGGAATGCCACTCCTATTACACTTAATAAGAGAACAGCTAACTTCACCCATCCTAATCCACTTTTGTCACTTGGATTAGTTAGTTCAAATAGTAACAAACCGCTTAACCAAACCTAAATGAACAAGGTAGTATTATTTTAAATTAATTTAGATTTTTCTTGATGATGCTTACCAGTAGTAACCATTCATACCAATATGGAAATAAATTGTGTCGTGACGCTCTATAATATGGTGTTATAGCAACCATTTGCAATAGAAGCATCAAGTAAACATGAGATGTTAAATATGACATGAATTTTATAATTGGTACTTTACTATAGTTGTGCCATAGAGGTAATGTAAACACTATCCATAATGGAGGACAAGCAATAAATCCTAAGAACATAAGTAGTGTTTTCCAACCAGCCCAGTTCAGTCTTCCTTGCCAAAGTTCCTAAATTTCATCATATAAAATGTAAAGATATTTTAAATAATAGTTGAACATAAATAATGACTAACCTGTAGATACCTTTGAACAACAGTATGTGCTATTACTTCTTTTTGTTCATTTTCAATAAGAACATCTAAAAATTCAGTATTTCTTCGGTCAGAAGCTGTTAGAATGCGACCTGCTGAATCTTGACCAGCAGCTAGTGCTAATAGTTCAGTAGCCATTGTTTCGCATTGTTTTCCTGCAGCTATTAAGTCTTTTGCTCTCTCTTTTTCCTAATTATTAAACAATGTTGATTTAAATTAAGTATTACATCATATTATACCAGTACTCAGTAGTTTATACATAAGTATAATATTTTGTTAAAGTTATAATTTTACTTTATAATAATATATAATTTATAACATTAGTTTTAAATTATTATACATAAATTAGTTTTATAATATTTTAATAATTACCTTATTTGATAAGTTAATATATATACTGGAAAGTTTTGCGGCAGTATCTACAGGTGCAGGTGATACTAAAATAAATTCTTCAATAGGTTTGTTATTATGATTTTTGCTACAAATCATTAAATTATAGACAAACTGAAAAAAAAAATATTCTTTAAATCTAGTATTTAGTGTAATTATTTAACTTTTATCTTTAACAATTTAATATATAGGTACTCGTCTATCATCCATTAAACCGTAAGTATCATGTTCTTTGGTCATTAAGTATTCTAAGACATCATTATGACCTTCTTGAGCTGCAAACCATATAGGCGAAGCACCATAATTGGTTTCTGCTTTAGGAGAAGCACCAGATTCGACTAAGAGTTTTACGACATTTAAATATCCAGCTCGAGCAGCACAGTGCATTGCTGTCCATCCATTCTATTTATTTGCATATTATTATTTATTTGTATTTTAACAGTGAAAATAAAATGAAGTTTTAATATATTTTAAAAAACCTTATCTGTTGCGTTTATTTCGGCACCTTGTCCAAGCAAAACTTCTACCATGGCATAATGACCATAAGTAGCAGCAATGTGTAAACACGTTTTTTCATTAAGATCAGAGCTGTGTAATAGATCTGCTGCCCTTGATAATAGAAGTCCGACTACATTTACATGACCACCGAAACATGCCAAGTGAAGTGCATTGTAGCCCTTAAAATATATTATTAAAAATAGGTAGGTAGTTCATATTTTGTTGTTTTTTTAGTAAAGAAAATTAAAAACGTACAGATTCAACTGTAGTTGCATCAACTTGAACTCCAGCAGAATTGAGCAGTAGTCTGACAACGTTTTCATTACCGCTATAAGCAGCAAAATGCAATGGTGTCATTCCAGATTCATTGCCAAGTACACCCAATACGCTTACTCCAGCTGGAGGATCAGACTTTACCGTTGCTGGTATATGAGATAATAATTCTCGAACAGTATCTAAGCATAGTAACATTGAATAAAAAAATAGGTAAGTATTATAATTACATTAGGTACCTACTAGTGCACTGCACGGGCCTGATTTTTAAATCCCAAGCCCGTCCAATATTTTGTTTACATAGATTTAGCCCGGCCCGGCCCGGTAAATATTAAATATTTCAATAAATTACCTATGATCAGATGAATTTAAGTACTCGAATTTCAAATTCAAGTCGGCACGGGTTGACATTAATATATTGACCTAATATTATTTGTATCCAACTCATATTTTTATGCAAGTACACAAAAGTAAGGTAGGACAAAAAAAAGAAAAAGAAAGACAACTTAGGATAATGGAGACGGGTGCAGTCACTGTTATAGGTAATTTAATGTGTATCTATAAGCAACGATAAACCATTGTTAACGAAAAAACGATTTTGAGCGCAGTTCAGTTGAAAGTGATGCTTTGTCAACAATATATATGTCATATTTAAGTAAAATAATAAAATAGGCATTATATTTTTTCTTTTATAATATTTGTCTAATATTTTACCGATTTTCCTGATTTTCCCATGTTTTTCCCTGGTTTTTCACATTTGCTGGGAAAACTCTTGGGAAAATCGAAAAATGACCTCTTTAAAGTACCTTCCCAGTCCGATTTTCTATTAGAAAAAATGATATGTATAATCGGAAAGAAATTTCTGGAAGAAAAGTTTGCACAACAAATCAAGGGGTATTTTGTGATTAAAATAGTTCGAGCGAGCAATGACTTGGATCTCTAGGTACGCTCAAAAAGCATTTGTGTTTTCTTGTTCAGGTAAAAGGCAAACAAATGCAAAATGTTTTTTTACGAAACACTAGTTTGGACTCGAAACCCCTAGAATGATAATAGGCATAAATAACCATTAGATCACGACAAATATGTTTGAACAAGTCCAACATAGAATTATTTAACATAACATAAAATATCAGAACTTCAAAAAGCTATAATTTTGAAACTTAGTCAATCCGCTTAATTCTAACTTTTCCACCGTTTTTAAATCGACAGTATACATATGTTCAGAAAAAAAAAATTTATAAATTAGATTTATACCACATAATTTTTTACTCAAACGATTTTCGTCAAAATTTAATATTAAAATTCCATTACACAAAAAACATACTACATTAATCTTAATTTGTTTTTTTTTTTTTACTACAAATTTAGACTCCTAACGAACCTCCCGTTAAATTGTCAAGCATTCCTGTTTCAAGTCAAACTATAGAGTACCTAGCGAATAAAAATTACATACAAAATTCACAAAATCAAAATGTCTATAAATAGCTCAAAAATGGCTTAAATTTGTTGAAAATTATACCACTTTTAGAAAAGGCAAATGTAAATTTTTTTGACCTCCCAAAAGTACTATGTGGACAACATTCCTTTTGAGAAATGGTGGCATGCGTATATATCTGAGCAAGATTTCTGGTCGAATTTTTGTACACAGTATAAAAAAAAATAAACATCTTAGAAAACCAATACATTCTTCGCTAAACTCAGAATCTAAAATATTTACCTTCAATATGAGAAACACTCTTATGTTCATATACTAAACTCTTTACATCTGTATAACCTCTGTTTAGAGTTCAGTGTGTTCCTTAGATCATATATTGTATATGATTTAAGATACATGGTATTATACGTGTGATCACAGCAAATCTGACAACGATAACTGGTTATAGTTTGAAAAATATTACTAAATACCTTGTATGTATTTTCAATATAGAAGTCAAATACGTAAATATAGATTTATTAAAAAATATTCTTTTAAATCAACTTCTCACCCAATGTTCTAATTTTCTACAAACTTGGTAAACTTCCCCTAAGAAGTGTATTAATAAAAGAATTTTAAAAATCATTTTTTTGTCTTTCGTGGATTTAATTCGGTAGTGAAAAGAATAATTTACCATTTTAGATTATATATACCTGTTTGACCACAATATGCTGCCATATGAAGCGCTGTCATACCAAGTCTCTTACTAGATATTTTTAGGGATTGAGATGAACGTAATACTTCTAGTACAGATAAATGGCCATTTTGTGCTGCCAAGTGAACAGCGGTGAATCCTGCCTGGAACGTAAAATTGTTGAATTGTATTAATAATTAAAATAGAAATGTTTAATTTGTGTATTATGTACATACCTTATTTTCATCTGAGCAAGATGCGCCTGCTCTAACTAAAACTTTAACCACTTGAGCATGACCGCCTTCAGCAGCTAACTGTAGCGGTGTGGCCTCAGTAATACGATTTCTAGCAGAAATTACACCATTTTTATCAAATTTCATTAATTCTATGATAACAGTTACAGATCCTTGCATTGCTGCTATATGAGCACATGTATTTCCATCCTAAAATAAATTTGTCGATTATTAAAAAGTAGTTTTAAATTAAATTTACGTGAAAATATTTACTTTAGTGTTAGCCAAAACCAATTGCGGATGTTGTTGCAAAAATAGCTGTACAACTTCTGGAAAATTATTCTGTGCAGCAATATGAATTGGTTTTTGCCCTTGATCGTCAGTCGCATCTATATTTGCACCCAAATCTAAAAGCAACCGACACACTTCCAGTTGACCCGCAGATGCAGCTAAATGTAGAGGTGTTTGTTTTCTCAGAGTAAGTATATCGATTACAGCATTATGATCATGGATCAAAAACCTTTTGAATAAAAAATCCATTTTAACTTGGCAAGTAAATAGTTTAGTATTAAAAATGATAATATTAACCGGCAAAGGTCTGCAAAACCGTTCATAGCTGCTAAATGTAATGCTGTCCAGCCAACTCTCGATTTACTGTTTATGAAAGCTTTGTGTGTCAATAGGGCATCGCATACCTAATACGATATTTATTTTTAAATTTAATACTTATATTTTTGGTATTTTAATAATTGTGTTACTTTCAGGTATCCTCTTTCAGCTGCTAAATGAAGTGCTGACCGGCCTTCGTTATCGAATACATCTACTCTTGCATGGTTATTTAACATGGTGTTTACTAAACTCATATGACCTCTATGACAAGCAATCAACAAAGGAGTCCAACCAACGTTTGATTGACGATTCATTGCTTGTTGTACTTCGGATGGAGACATACCATCCAGCATTGCTGTAAGTACATCGTTATTGCCTGCTACAGCACAAAAATGTAAAGCGGTTTCATGGTGCTATAGAAAAAAACCATAAATAAAAATTAGATTTTCTTTTTAAATGTAATTTTTTATTTGAAAGAATTCAATATCGTTAATGTATTTTAAACTCTAGGTATTATTAATCTAATTTAAATAATAATTATAATTTTATTAGTTTGAGTAGTATAACCATCTAAATTAGAAATATTACAGGATAGGTACCTACAAGTATTATGTTAATATTATCAAAATTGATATTCATTAAATAGTATACATAGTAACTGTTATTAGAACCTCTAGTTATACTTATACATATGTACACATTTGTATACAAACTATGTATAAAGTAATAAAGGTTAATAGGTATTATTAATGTACGTAGGTATCTACCTACTAAAATTAGGTACATGTATAGGATATATATTACCTGTTTTGTCCTTAAATTAATGTCGGCTCCACCATCGAAAAGTAATTTTATAACTTTAGAATCATGATTTGTTTTGGATACATTGACTTCAGATTTATTTATATTAGCAGCATAATGTAAGGCAGATGCACCTTCTTCATTAACACTATTTACATATGAATTTGCTATTTCGTCTCCTTGTTTTTTTTTAACAAAATCAATAAGTTGTCCGACAATATCAGCTTGACAACTTCTGCAGGCTAAATGCAATGGAGTTTCACCAACCTGTTTCATTAATATATTTTGACAATAATAATAACAAAAAAAAAAAATAATAAGTTAAATATTATTTTAAATTTTACTTTGTTCTTAAAAAGTGGATCACCACCATCGTCTAATAAGAGCTGAAGTGTTATAAGGTTTCCATACTGGGCGGCTACGTGCACTGGAGTTTGTCCATCATCCATTGCCAAATTAGGACCCGCTCCAGACTTTAGTAGCATAAGTGCACAGCGATCGCCATCCTTTACTCTAGCAGCTATATGTAGTGGAGTTTCTCGAAGCTTTCCACCTATAAATTGGAATGGTAAGTAAATGGAAATGAGAGATCATATCCAAACTAACCTCTTACGTGAACATCGGCTCCATATCCCAGTAAGGTTTCTATTACTGCTGGCTTTACAGATTCCACTGCTATATGTAACGGAGTATAATTATCCTAAAAATTTAAAAATAAATTTATAAAGTATATTTTAAATTAAATCAACAAGTACGATTTATTTACATTTGTTGTAACGTCAACTTTTTCTCCTTTTTGCAATAATGTGTTAATAATTCCAACGTGCCCATATCTTGCGGCTGTATGTATACTTCTTGCTCCGCTTTTATTTGGCATGTGCAGATATACACCCTTTTTAAATAACATCATTGCACAGTCTGCATGTCCATTTAATGAAGCTATATGCATAAGAGTACTTCCATCTTTAGTTCGTTCATATATGGAAGCTTTAAACTTATCAACTAATAATTCAATGATATTTGCATGTCCATTTTCCGCAGCCAAATGCATTGGGGTTCGGTCTAAATAATAAAATAATGTAAAATTAGAATTAATATATCTGAACAGTGAATAAAGGTATCAAAATACTAATAACTAATCGAAATGTCAGAAGGTACGAAATATCGAAACGTTAAATGTCGGCAAGTTCGAAAAATATCGATAGAAAAGCGTTATCAGCAAATTTAAATGTATTTAAATAATACATTTAAAATAAATAAATATAAAATTCTTAATTTTAAATTTATTTTATAATAATTATTATAATACCATGTTATACGGTATTGTAAATCTGGTAAAAATTCTTGTAAAAGCTCCAAAATATCCATATGATGTTTTTTTTAATTATTTTTTTTTTGGAAATAACTTTTTATATAGGTAGTATATTTTATTTAAATAAGAATTTTAATATCAAATTTTGATGAAAATTGTAAATATTACGGCCTTTTAAAACATGTATAACCGAACTTTCGCTGCGAATCGTTTTTCGTTAGCAAATATTAATCGTTGCATGCGGATATACATTAAATTTCCCTCTATATCCTTCCTTCCCAACTTCTCATCTACAACAGAGGCCCACCCATCGTGTGAAATATGTCTGTATATTTTCTTGTTTAGAGTTTGGGCGAAGTTCTCCACGAAGTAAAGCCTACCCATGTGATTTCCATTTGATTTTGTTACCTACTGACGAAGTCGAAATAACCCATAACGTGAAGCACTAACTAAGTACTCCCGACGTTTATGCCAAACTTCAAATTTATTTTGGGTTTTTGTGATTATATTATTAATGACAACAGGCCATGGTTGTGGAGAAAATAATGGTAAAATAATATTGGCGTTTCGTTATTAACGTTTTTCATTCATGGCCATGCATTCAATTCTATATATGTAAACCCCCTCATATGAGTTTTTCTGTTCCTGATTCCATATAATAAAACACTGTAACATCATATTAATTTTATATATTTTTTTTTTTTTATTATTTAAATTGATATTTTGATATTTTAGCCGTTGACATTGTCATTGGTCGATATTTTAATCTATCGATGTTTAAATCTTTCGGCATTTTAACTGTTGGCGTTTCGTATCAAGCTTGTATTAATTACCTACAGTTTAAAATTTTAATTTATTGATTAAATATTCTATTGTGAGTGTTTTATAGAACTTTATTCTTATGAAATACTAAATAATTAAATGTCAATTCAATGGTTTATTATTACTAATTATTATTTTTGGTCTTTGTGTTTGTAGATAATATTTTTAATTCAAGCTATTTATCAAATTAATTAAACATAAAAATGTTGCTTAATTTACCTTGATTATCTGTTATAGAAGCACTTGCTCTAGCAGTATAAAAATATTTAACTAAAGCTTCATCTCCATCTGCTGAAGCAATGTGGAGTGCTGTTTGTCCTTGGCCCTTTTATTGAATAATTAAGTTAAGTAATATAAATTAACACGGTTAAACTTTAAACAATTAATATATCCATTATTGATACCTACGTTTTGACTATCCACACTAGCACCATAGTCAATTAATATTTTTATCATATCAATGTCTTTTCTTTTAGCGGCTAAATGAATAGCCATATCACCGGATTTAGTTTTGTACTTAAGCTGTTCTACCGCTTGGGTTGATAGTAGTTCACGGCACATAGACTGGTTACCAGTTTCAACGGCTAACAAAAGTGGAATTTTTCCATCCTATATACAATTAAAATTTTTTTTATCTTTGTCACAGCTAACTAAAAATATAATTAAAAAATACCCCATCGGCAATGGTCCGAATATCCTTTCCACAAGAACCTAGAAGTACTCGAAGTATGCTTGTTGCTGTTCCAGTCTGCCTACTTGCTACCATGTGTATGGCTGTTTGTTGTTTTGGCTTATAATTTCAAATTAATGATAAATTAAAATTCTTAAATAAGAAGTACCTATATTAAATAAAATAAAATATAACATACTCCCCCTGGAGAGTAAACGTCTGCTCCTTTTTTTGGCAGTAACACTTTTATTACGTCTTCTCTGGAGTAGGTCGCAGCTAAATGCAATGCATTAAAATTATCCTAAAAATCATTTTTACATATTTTTATTATTTATCCAAATGATTAATGAATTGGGCGTAGTTACATTAGCACAAGTCGTTATATTATAGAAAAACGGAAGACAAACGATCAAATAATTTCGCGTGACCGGAATGCATATTAAGAAAAAAAAAACTATCTTTACTATAGCCTTAATAAATTTGCAACCTGATGATAAATTAGTTCTTGGTATAATAAAGGTTTTTCATGAGTTGCCTGTTTAGTTTTAGTAAGTCGTATTAAATTAAATATAGTTTTCAACATTTATGTACTTAGGCGTAATAATATCATATCATATTTTAGGGTATTGTATCAATGTATTATTGTAGTAAAATTATTTAGTACTTACCACATTTCTAACTGTAACATCAGATCCGAGGTCTATCAAACGTTCAAGGAATGTTGTTTTGCTTTCTTTGACTGCATACATTAAAGGTGTCATTCCATTGCTCTACATAAAATACATATTATGTATAGATATAATTTTTTTTTTTTTACTTAAAAACCGCGTGTATGCTCTGTTCATAACGTGACAAATCTAGCATATTTTATATAATTTGTATTTGTATATAATGATCATTTGTTTCCCACCGATTTATCAAATGTCTTAATTAAAACATTAGATGAACAATAAAAACACATTCCTCGTTCCGCTCAGAGTTTATTATACTTCGTGGATCATCATATATTTACAAGTTCATCATTCGTACATACAAATTGTTGTATAACATCTTCAAGAGCGGACCTAGTTTTTTTTTTTTACTATGATTTTATGTATATCATCATATATCATTATTTTATGTCAAGACACAGTTGAAATACATAAAGAAATATTAGATAAAGACGTTTTTAGTAGCTGACAACATAAAATATAAATAGAAACAAAATGCAGTTTGATACTAATTGGATTTTTTTTTTTTTGACGTTGAAGTATATTAGTTTTAAAAATGTGTCCTTAATTTTTAATTTTGTCAACAAACTTTAAATTTTAAACGAAGCGAGGACTGTATTGGTTTTAATATAATAAGTTTTATTTTCTGCCTACCCCAATATTTCTCCAATCATAAAATGACAAGATATTGTTTTTGCTGGATCTAGTTGGTGCATTGGAAAAGTTTTTTTTTGATTTTTCAAGAAAGTTTTCATAATAATTGGAAAAAACCAGAAATGTACGGTGTTAACAATTATATTATTTTAAATGATTTCCAATTTTCTTTTCAACCAGAAATATTGCTTCAAATTTAGTCTAGTGTATGAGTAAATAAGCTGTTTTATGATATTATATTTTTCTTAAAAATTGGCCAAAAACGGGAACATAACTTATAGGAAAAATAGGAAAATTTATGGAAATAACGGTATTTTTTAAACTCTGGTTTTTAGTTGTTATTTAACAGAATACTTATATTGGACTTTTATAGATATGGTAAAATGTTTAAAATATTCTGGCAATTTTTGAACTAAACATAGATATAGAGGTTTTTGTTTGGTTAGTAAATGGATACAAATGTTTGAACTATCAGAAATGCTTGAAAATGTAACATATTATTTGTAGTAAGTTGTGGTTAAAACAAAAAATTGACCGTAATGTAGTAGTTTTTTTTATAACCATTTTAAAAATTTAATTCCCTTCCACGAGGCTTCCATTTATTAATATTAATTTTGAATTCCATGATTTACTATCAGGAATTGTCTACATTTCCTTTATTCAATTCTAGAATTCAATCGTTATTTTAAAGTTTTATTATCGATGACCATTGACTATACTTATCTTCTCAATGTACCTGTTGAGTTTTATATTTTAAAATACCTATCTAAATTTCAATTTATTAAATTATGCAATAAAGAAAAAATGTATATAATGCTAATGGACCATCTTATGTCCCTATTACTCAATGAAAAACAAAATTTTGTAGTTTATTAACGTCTATAAAGTGCTGCCATAATTGTTATAAATTGTATACACCTTATAATACAAGTTGTATTACACACATTGGATTTTTATTATACACACAAATATGTAAGTATAATGAATTGATATTTTACACATGAGTAAGTATAGTTTATCTCTTTAAATAAAAATCTTTAAATCTGATTAAATTAAACTTCAAACGATTTTTAAACAGGTTTTATAAGGAATTTTAAATCAGAAAAATAACTAGTAATTTATTTTAGAAAAAAATCGATTTTTTTCTAAACTCTTTCAGTTTAAAGATTAAATTTAAAAAAAAAATACTTTTATTTTCCTACAATAGTCCACTAAGAAATTAATTCAGTATTGCAATTAATATCAGTTCGTCTTGTTGAGGTCAAATAAATGTTCCTTATTAATTTTCTTAGCCCAATTTAGACAATTTACTTCAATCATGTAATGTATGTGTTAAGTTCAAGTTGTGGCCTTTAGGGTAGGTAAATCGCGTGTCAACGGACCATGACGCTTTTCCGGTTGTGCTAGTTTTCCAACGTCCACGCGTATTTTATAATGGACATCAACCCCTGGTTTTTTTCAACCATAAAAAAATATTTGCGCATCATGGGTACAATTAAAATGTTGATAATTCACTAAATTGTAAATAATAAAAATTACCTGGTCTACTACACCAGCTAACGGTGTTGACGTCACATCTTCGCCCCCAGCCGCTATTAGTTTTTCGACTACCTTAAGTGCCTGATCTAATGGTGGCCATTCTGACTTTAAGCATAGTTGTAAAATTCGCTGAGCTCCGTCTCTTATGGACGAGCCCGGACTTGGTAAATTTGTTGGTACAACTCCATCTAAAAAATATTTATGTATAAAATGTTATTTGCACTTATAATAATATTGATATGTATAATATATATATTGATAAAAAAATATTAATGTTGGAAAGATCGCCGCACTCAACTGCAGTACCATAATCATTTCAGTCATTGTAAAAAATCATATTATCGGTGTATTCGAATTGATCCCGAAACGTCTGAATTGGTTCTCGGGTTGTTACGAAGGGTATATCCGAATTGGTTCCCAGATTATTTTAAAAGCAATTTTGATTTTTTATCTCATTTTTTACAGAATTAAGACTGCCTACATATTACCAATACATAAATAATATGTTATTGTATATTTGTTAGTTTGAATTTCGCTTTTTCCGGAAGTCTTTATCGGGAATTATTTAGGATGTGTGCCACCTAGAATATCGGGAACCAACTCGGATTTTAATGTTTAGGTGTGGGAACCAATTTGGATGCAGCACATATTATAATGATGTCGGATTTATTATATGGTATTTTAAATGGTGATTTTATTTAGTACAATTCGGTAGGTAGGTAACGCTTAAAAGTTCAATTTCAAAAAATCTATTATTTCATAGTAAGGAAATCGATATAAATGCAGAATAATAAGTGTAAAAATATTTCGGAATTAATTTTAGAAAAATAAAAATAAGTAGGTATATAGTACTATACAATATTACACACAAATAAAACTAAAATATAGGAACAGTTTTGGAGATAATCACGTCGGTACTTTGATAAAAATGTACTGTGATTTAAAATGTTATCACCTATAACTAAGATTAATCAATAAGATATAATATTATGATAATTAGCTACTTTTATTAGAAAAGTGTAAAATACTAATGCGATCGTATTTAAAATATTTTTATTCTATTAATTAATTTATACTTTTTGGAATAATTAAATTGACCGGTCGTCACTAAGTACATATATTCAGTATAGCAACAGTAATTTAAAATTGTTATTTTTAAACGGGAATGACATTTTGGGTACCTACGTACAATATATAATATATAATATGGGTACCGTATAATAAATAATGTTTTAGAATTTTTGTTTTCTAATTTTTTACAGATTATCATTACAATACTTATTTTTTAAAAATAAACTTACCTACTGATATAGAATATACATAAGGGATTATTTTTAAAGCACCTGTAAAAATCTCTTCAATTTTTATCATTTTCAAAATTTTATTTATGAAAATAATATAAAGATAAAACAAATTTATTTGTAGATCCTGGATTTTATTTTTTTGAATGATCTATTATTAAGTGTTACTGCGTCGTGTTAACGTGTAAATCCATTTTAATATTTAATTAGACATGGGTAGTTAAACGGTTAATAGGAATTCGGTAATATTATCGGAAATAGATCCTACATTCCTACCTGTTTTGTGGTTTATTTGTTATGGCAATGTTTTAATAATATGTGTGACTTGTTTTTATAATACATATGATTTATTAATGCACTACTGAACACAGAGGCAGATTAAGCAGTTTGCCTAAAAACTGAAAGAAATTCGCTGCCCTTTCATTAAAGGGAATAAGGGATCCGGTTTAAACTATAATTTATTTATATTGTTAGGTACCTTAGAAAGACACAATTTGGAAGTGGTAAACATATTAACATACACTAAGTAAAACATGTATTCATTTTTATATGTTATTATTTATTTCTATAAATAATTTTAAAAAACCTCAAAATATGCAAAATTCAATTTCGTAATTATAACGATTTAAGATTGTAGTTGACCTAAACATTTGTTGGTAATTTAAAGTACTTATCTACGTATAATATTTTGTGTGTTAACTCAAAGTTTTTTTTCAACAACATGAAAGATTAATAAGCCGCCATGATCTTTGGTTAAATGTTGGTGTTTCAAAAAAAAAAAAAAAAACATTTTAAATCATCGGCTGAAAATATCGAAAACAAATTTTCTGAGAGAGCTGATGGTCGTAATAAATTTGACATCACTACAATTTTTGCCGCTTCAACCACCTGCTTATAGGTAAACCCGACGCTGCTGTCGTACTTATCGGTTATGGATTTTATCACATTTTATTTTTGTTGTTAATGTGACGACGGATATCAAAATGTTTCTATATGAATTATTGTTTGGCATTTGCACTATGCGTAACCACTGCGAACATTATAATATACAATAATAAAGTTACCTTTAGTCTCGTCTTTTTTTTCGTCACCCTTGGACACTCCGCTGGCCGTGGACGCCTTGTCGTCGGCCGCCGCTGCCGCGGTAGCCGTGGACGAAGGCGGTTTATTGCTTCCTCCGGGCGCCGCCGGACCTCTTTTACCAGCACCTCCGATCATGTCGCGGTGTCGCCGGGGCTTACCTCTCTTGACCGGTCTACATCATGCGGCGCTGTGTTATTAACGGCAGAACGAGAAATCGACGCGGAATTGTTTCACAAACAAACGCGTACCGACGGACCGGGCGGGTATTACCGTACGTCGGAGAAACATGACGATTATTATTATTATTATTGTTATTGTTATTTACTGTGATTATATTGTTGCCGATGCGGTCATTACCCGTACGGTCGAATATCGTAAAATGCCGTAATCACATTGTGATCGTTACGGGGACCGCGCGCTATTATTAGACGTGTGTATAACGCGTTCAGTGCGCACTGGAACGTTGCTGGCAGGGTCGCGACGAAAACAGTGGGGCCGGCGGAATGAGAAAAATATCGCAGAACCGAGAAAAACACGTCCGTGGATCCGCCGCGTTTTATTCGGTGTCGCATCGGCGGTCGTCCGGAGTTGTTCCGTGACTGGCACTCTGCCGGGCGAATTGCAAACCGAATCGCTTACGTACAATATTGTCGTACGGACGTGCCGGTGGCAGCGGGGCGCGACGGCGGTCTCGGGATTTGCATGTCTTTCGCGTCGTAGACCAATGAAAGAGCGGACTTTCAGCCGTAACGGAAGGCGGCGGCGTAACCTGTGTACAAGTTCGCATGCTTACGTGCTCCTTTATACCGCGCACCCTCCGCCCGCCGGTCGCACGCCCCTGCCCTCCGCCGCCGCCCCTCAACCGCCACCCTACCGCCCCCTCCCCCCCCGAGACGCCCGCCCGCCCGCCCGCCCGCCCGCCACCGTTCCGCCGCGCCCGAAACGCCTCTTTCGTGCTCAGGTGACTGTGCACACTCTGCTTACACGTACTGCACAGGTATATAAAAACACACGACCCGCCCGCGGGTCTTTCCGCCGCGCCGTGCGCGTTCGCACATAACCCCGCTACTTATAATTTCGGTTAGGAGCGAACGGTATATGATACACGGCTATAATATTCCCCGGGTTTTTTTTTTCTTCCCCTCCCTCCACCACCCTCCCACCCGGGTTATTTTTCGCATAGCGTTTTCGCCAATTCGCCTCGTGTGTAACTCGAGCCGGCGTTAGATTAATATGAATTCTCACGGGCAGTCACCCTGCGTTTTGTTGTTGTTATTATTATTATTATTTTTTTTTCCCACCCCGAGTCCACAGCCTTTACTATAACACAGTATACCTACTATCGCGTGCACGCGATTGGTGTCGATTGAGAATTAATGAACAAACAATAATACGTCCAGTACCCGTTAATGCGCCTGCAAAGACGGTCAAATTGACGTTATTGAGAAATGCCTCGATTTGTGTACGAGTATGTACCTACGCCAATAACACACACGCACAGTGATACTCGTGATGTTATAATAATATTGGCGATTGATTTAGAATTTTAAAACACTCATCTCGAACACGTTGTATCGGGTAGTTTTTAATTTGAATGTCTAATTTATCATGTTTAATGTAAGACACTATGTACATGACAATTGTAACAGGACCTATATTATGCTTGTATATGTGTTTCAAAGTTTTAATAAAATCTGAATCGAAATTGTTATATTTCTATAAATTGGTCAATTTGGCTGTGAGACGGTCTTATTGGTTCGTTAATATTGTTTCGTTATTAGGCTGAATTTAATGTTAAATTACCGTGTTGCAACGTTGTACAGTGCGTAAATATTGTATTATTATTATTGAAATAATGTTTTTTATTTACATCGTTGCAAAATATTATATTAAATAAATGCACGTGAATTTAAAACGATTCAGTAAAGTCTAAATTATATTTTTAGGAATTTTGACTTAGTTAGGTTAGGTAACCTTGGTGACAATGAAATTAAGATTTCTGTCTCACACCCTACGGATCTCCGGTAATTGTACATCACAATAAGAAAATTTTACGGGGAACCCTTCATTATCATTTCGAGAGTTCATCCGGGGCCAAAAGGATTGTGTTAGCAAAAAAAAAATCAACTCAATAGGTAATTTAAAATAACTCTAAATAAGTCAATAACTGCAGTATATTTTTAAAATTTTACCAAATCTGGAAAATCATAAATATTTCAGTATTCAGTGAAAATGTCAGGTAGGTTTCTACGATTATTTTTCATTGAAGTATAAAACGTCAACAGATACAAAATCGAAATTAATAAAATAAAAACAGTTGTTGCGTAAATGTTCCAATTTTCCGACTTTTAGATTCGGAGCGTAGCAAGTTTATATTTTAAATTTTCCTCTATTATAAGAAAAAGAAGTACAAGGAAAATCAAAAGCTGAATATTTTTAATGCACTACTAAATATATACAATACAAAATTTGCTACCGGAAATCACCTCTGAAGTTGATGATTTCAGAGCCAGATTTCGGGCCGCAATCATTATTACAGACAAAAAAAAATATCTCACCGCCCCCCCCCTCCCATTTAGAAATTTTCATTTTTTTTCATTCTTATATATCAAATACCTATGCAATTAATATGAATTTTTATGGCATTTTTTATTGCAATAAATCAAGACAACTCTCGCCAGCTCCCTCTTCAAATACAAATGTATATAAAATATTAATCATTTCGCTAGTCTCTCCCCCTCCCCAATAAATTAAAAATAGGTTTTATTACGTTGGAGGACTTATGTCGTATTTTATATTTTGACTAAATTAGGATTATTTGACTAGTTTCTATCGAGTTTCTTGTTATGATAAGTACGAATAATAAATTATACACCATTTATTTAAACATTCTTGTATTAAAAAATATTTACTTTAGATAATCATTTCCCTACAAAATATAAAAACAAAACAGTTTATAATCAGAAAATTTCTATTATTACGTACTATTTTTTAGAATGATAAAATTCACCGATATAACCTAAATGACTATAGTTTACGTGCCTTCGAATTGCATAGTAACCATATTAACAAAAGTATTTGAAAATAATCGTAGATTAGACTTATGAACGTCGTGCAGAATGCAATTTATATATAACCATTTTTATTGGGGGGAGAAGGTTATTGATAAATAATAATAGAAGAATATTTCTGTAACTATGTTAATATTTCAATTATTTCGATAAATGTGTTTTTTATTTCTATAATTTCTATGATATATTTGGCATGCTAATATATATAGGTATTATTTACCAGGTGACAAAACTATTTTACTACGTGACATTTGTGTCGTCCAGTACACTAGTTAAATATTCACTGGACGGTTTAGTAATTAATAAACTTTATTATTATAGGTAACTAATTCCCTGCGGGGGAAAACATTTAGAGTTTGGTGAGTTCAAGAACCCAAGCTTCTTTTATAAAATTGGAGGTGGGTAGTTATTTAAAATAATTATTATAAAATGAACTATAAGTACAATAATTGTTATTAATAATATTATATGTCTGTATAAGTTCTCCAAATTTTATGTTACAATCATATTTTTCATGAAATGCTTATTTTTTCAAAAACTGACTTGTATAAAAACTTTTTGGAATTAAATATTCTAAAATATTACATTGTCCTTATTTTTTGGGGTTATAATTGTTACCTATTTTTGGTTTTCAAACAACAATAATCTATATTTAAAATTCCGTAAATATATGGTGAATTAGTTTAAATATATTTTGGTGTTAACAATTTTGATTTCCATTAACGCATTGACGAGATATTCCACTTTAAAGTTTATGTAAGGGGAGAGTAGTGGAGCATAATTTATATGGCGAAACAGCGCGCGGCGTTTATAGTGTCCCGCTATTCTCCTCCTACCTAAACTTAAAAAGAGAATATTTCGTCATCGGATTGATAGAAATCAATTATTTCCACACCAAAATGTATTTGAATTAATACTCCGTCTATGTATGGATTTTTTTAATATAGGATACTATTTTAAAATCAAAAATAGGTAACTGATTAACTCTTAAAAATAAAGATAATGTAAAATATGAATGAAAAAAAAAATTGTAAAAATAAGTAATTTGTCCAAAAAACATTTGAAAGACCCTTTATATTCTAACGGCAGATATATTTTGTTTAATATAAGTATTGATTCTAATTATGTGTACTTAAAATTACTATAATTTAGGATTGAAAAAATGAAATAGATATTTATTAAAAACGTTTTACATAGAATTAAAATTTGATAATTTCTTGTTGGTATAGTGAAATGAAACGTGACACGTGTTACGCGTGTACCTACTACGTTAAGTTATTGATGATTTCAGTTTCAAACGAAAAACAAAAAATAAAAAAGACGACATAGTATAATGGAGACTAGTGCAGCCACTGTAATAGGTAATTTAATGTATATCTGTGAGCAACGATAAACTATTGCTTTCGAAAAAACGATTCTGAGTGCAGTTAAGTTGGTAGTGATGCTTTGTCAACAATATATGTCATATTGTAGTAAAATAATTAAATAGTCATTATATATTTTCTTTAATAATATTTATTTAATATTTTACTAATTTTCCCGTTTTTTCTGGTTTTCCCATGTTTTTTCCCGGTTTTTCACATTTGCTGAGAAAACTCTTGGGAAAATTGAAAAATGACCTCTTTAAAGTACCTTCCCAGTCAGCTTTCCTATTGGAAAAAATGCTATAATTTAAAATCGGAAAGAAATTGCTGGTAGAAAAGTTTACAAATATGCTTGAACAAGTACAATATAGAGTTATTTAACATAACATATAATATCAGAACTTCAAAAAGCTATAATTTTGAAACTTAGTCAGTTCGCTTACTTCTAATTTTTCCACCATTTTTAAATCGACAGTACACATATGTTCAGAAAAAAAAAATGATAAATTAGATTTATTCCACATAATTTTTTACTCAAACAATTTTCGTTAAAATTTAATATTAAAATTCCATTACATAAAAAACATACTACATTAATCTTAATTTTTTTTTTTTACTACAAATTTAGACTCCTAATGAACGTCCTGCTAAATTGTCAAGCATTCTTGTTTCAAGTCTAACAATTTACCATAGAGTACCTATCGAATAAAAATTACGTACAAAACTCACAAAATCAAAATGTCTATAAATAGCTCAAAAATGGCTTAAATTTGTTGAAAATTATACCACGTCTAGAAAAGGCAAATTTTAATTTGTTCAAATTTAAAGTTTCTACAAATATTTCAAACTGAGTTACAACAAATAACAAAATTGATAAAATAATAGAAGCATTATTTTCGTACATTTCCCGTTTTTCCTTCGTTTTATTCTGTTTTTTCCCAGATATTATGAAAACCGCTTGGAAAATCAAAAAATGACCTCTTAAAAATACCATCTGGACAAAATTTCCTTTGAGAAATGGTGCCGCGCGTATATATCTGAGCAAGATTTCTGGTCGAATTTTTGTACACAGTATATAAAAAAAAAATAAAATAAATATCTTAGTAAAACCAATGCATTCTTCTCTACACTCAGAATCTAAAATTATTGACGGTTTATAAAATGTGGACGCAAGTACCTAGTGGTTAAAGTATAATATGATCAATATTTGGGAGATGTCAAAAAAACTGGAAATCCATCCAGAAGTACAAAAACATTTAAAACGAACGTGTTGTTTTGTCAATAAGTTTTGTTTCGAAGGCCTAATAACATGCAATTTCTGGAAACTATCCCTCGATACGCATGCAATGTTTGACAGCTACAAGTATAATCCGGGCTTTAATATCATTCCGTTGTTTGTATCCAATGCACCCAAACATCGACTATAATATAGGCAGTGCATAAGGAAATATGTAACTATAACTATATACGATAATCCCCTCGCGTTTCGTGTGTTTAAACAAACGATTACGTCAAAATATTATATCAGACGATATTCGTGTATGCTCAGTTTTTGGTATATTATTTACTATTATAACTATATTGGTTCATTATTATGTTTTAATGCTCTAAGGGTACGGTAAAGTACATATACCCAGTGGCGTGCACAGGAATTTGCAATGCGAGGGGATTTAATGGTAAATAATAATCATGAATAGAATAGTAGAATTTTCTTCCATTTTCATTTTCATTATAATTTGAAAATGGTATTTTAGAAGATGAATTTAAAAAAAAAGCCGATTTCTATTCAATAAATTTAGATTTTTCTTGTAACTTGCTCGACATATTATATACGTTTAAGGATTATATTTCCTACTAAATAAATACAAATAAATATGTCGCGATAAATTTGGGCATGTAAACCGCACGCAATTTTAATAGTGGAAAAAAAGTGCACAGAATCGTAATCTAACCATAGTAAACAATTTCGAAATGTTTATTTCGCCTATGATATTGTTTAATTGGAATATTAATAATCGTCTGTGCATTAGCAATTGTCTATATTTTTTTTTCTTGAAATATCTGTAGTATATTATCCTCAAATATTGTATATATTTGCGAATTTGTATATATTACGTTTAACGTGCTGCGCAATTGTTATTGTATTAGTTTTTGTTTTTGAATTTGCAGTGATATTACCATTCTATCATGTACGACCTTGTGCAAGCACACAACAGTAAAATGTAAAATACACGGCAGTGCATAATAGTACGAGATACTGCACAATGCAAATACTATAATTATTTTTGCTATATGTAGTTAGTTGATTTTTAAGGGTAATTTTAATTTGAATTATGTATTTATCCCTGGGCGATGAAATTTCGCTCTACTATTGTTTTATTAACTTTTACTTAGGAAAATTGTTTTGTAGTTTGTATGCAGTAGCCATATTGTCACGTTCAATATGAAGGACATAAGGGAACTCGATTGTGTTGTTTTGTGCATTGTTTTTTATTGTTAATGGCCTATTTTATTTCACTTATTATTCAGGTTACTTACCTACCTACTCATACCTGCTATCTACTCTTTAATTACTCTATTAATTCTAAAATTAAACAAACAAAATAAACAGGTAAGTATTAAAAATTTGAATTGGTTATTTTGATAAAGGTAAATGTATTTATTTTAATTGTTTAATACATTTATGGGTAACAAGCGAATGTAGCTTTTAGTACCCGTTTACTTGCAATTGATAAGCGTGAACCATGGACGTATACAAAGAATGGGGGGGGGGGGATAGGGACGATAGAGACATTGTAGCTATCATCAACATATACAACTACTGTTTGTTATAATAATTATATTGTGATTATACGATTATTGTCTGCACCTTGCAACCTTGGTCCGTGTTATTAACTTATTTTGTTTTCGGGGAAGGAGACCATAGAGCCCTGATAACAATAACCGATATGAATAAATTGACTACAAATATACTAACATTTTTATTTAAAAACCCTGAGTCCAAATATACAATATAACATATATTTGATCTATACCTATTACTACTACTATTCTATATAGGGTTTTTCAAACAATAAATTAGAAAAATAAGAAAAATGTATATAAATTAATAGATTTCGAAGAAAAGTAGGCAATAAGCAATAATATACGTAAATCATATTATTGAATAACTACCTAATTATTTTTGCATTTTTTTTTGTTTTTTCAAATGTATTGATTTACAACGGAGCTTTTTTCTAAGTCTTCTTTTCAATATCTATAATAATTTTTTCTTAAGATGCCAATAACAGTATTTATCCCCTGGGATTGTTTTTTTCCTTTTTTGGTTTTTGGTCAAGGGTTTTTTTTCCTGTCAATCATTCAAGTTTTAAGCAAGCGAAATGGTTGGAAAATTTTGAACTGCCGATATTTTTGTAATCTGTAACACTGATAGACACCGTTCATAGACACATACTTTTATAACTAATAATTTATAATTATGATTAAAGTTCAAATTTCGACCCTCTCCCCTGGAAGATGAGGTGAATACGCCCTTGGCATGAACATAACAGTTAAGAAGTAAAGCTTGTTAATAATTTTTTGTTTATAAATATTTCATTTTTTTAATCATTATATTATGAATAGGTACATACACATGCCAATCAGTTGTACAAATTAACATCGTTATATATAATAGATATACTATCTTTTTGTTTAGAGTTCATACAATTTTGTCTTACAAACTATTATGATTGATGATTAATATTATATTATCAGTTTATTTGTAACAAACATGATAAATATTTAATAGTTCTTAGGTTATTGAAATGAAACTAAGAGTTTTTAATGTACTTTGAAATATTAATATTTTTATTTAAGATCAGTAAATATTATTGATTTGTTTTATGTAGGTATTGAATTTTATGAAATAAGTATTAAAACACTCGTTGGAATGTTTGAAATAGGCACTTATATGTACAATAATGTATTATGATTTGTGATTTTTTGTTTAATATACCTATGTAAATTAGAGATTAAAATTAAGAGAAAATGAATTATTTGTTTAAAACGAGAAAGCTTTATGGATTACATATTTTTAGCAGCCAATTTCAAGTGTAAGTCTTTACATTACTTTTCATATTGTCTCTGATGAAATTTTTTATTCATATATAATAATTGAACATTTTGGAAATACCATTATTTAATGATTTTAGTTAATGGTATCATTTTTTATGCAACGATTAATTATTTATCTGCTATACTTGTATTTATTAGATATAGCCATTGGTCGAAACACAGTTATTTATATGGTGCTTCAAGCGATCCGCTTAGACCTCACACTGTAGGAAAAATATTCAATGACTCCGTGCAGCAAAATCCTGACCGAGATTTCTTGATCAGCAGACACGAGAACATAAGGTGTACATACGCTACCATGGAGTCCGAGGTCAATGAAAATAATGTCTTATACAATTTATTATTATTACAAAGTGACTTTGTCCTATAAATACCAACATATAAGCACGTATAATAGACAATAGTAATTTACGGTGTTATATTTTGTAACTTATTATTTATGAATTTTAGTATATACTATACGGTTTTTAAAAATTAAATACTGAATTACATATTTCGCACCATGGATAGGCCACTGTTGTATGTGAATAATTTGAAAATTAGGATATATAAGGTAAATTATTTGAAACGAAAATCAACAAAAAAAAAAACCTAAAGAGTGAGTTGTTGAACATTTTGATAGATTGTTTTAAAGAAAATATTACAATTTCGTGTAGTTTAAGTCACTTAAGATACTGCGTGAAAAATCAGAGCATTTTAATAACCGAAAATGTCATTTTTTTTAAAAGAACCTAAAAAAAATGTTTGATAAAAGTGTTATGAATTATTAAATATTTTCAAATAAATACTATCAGACGATTAGTCAGCATCATTTGAGGTATGGCATCATAATATTTTTACTAAACGTAAAAGTGTTTTTTGATAAAAAAAAAACAATACATATTTATAAAACTAATAGTTGCTTCGTTATACTCAGAATATGAAATGAATTACGTGATAATAATATGATTCAAAACATTTTAATACGTTTTAAATACTTTTACGATTTTGAAAAAAAAAATGTCACTGTTAAAATTTTAAAAAGACAAACATGCTTTTATATTGAAAAAATTTTAATATTGCTTTGATATGTCGATGTATTAATCAATATTCAATAGTTTAGTAAGACCTAACGAAAAAATGTTCACACAATGAACACGGTGAATATGAAATAAAACTATTTTTTATTTATTTACCCATGTAATAGGTATCAGTATTATTACCTAACTTTAAAAATAAAATCAGCTACAATAAAAATAACCAGAAATAATATACAAAGTTAAAAAAATATATAACTCAGTAAGTATACATTTACAGAATATACAACTGACATGGGAAATGTCACACGCAATATAGTAATAAAATACTAATGCTAATACATATGTGTGTTCAATTACATGAGTATATTTTTTTACAGGTGGACAAGGTGTGTAAGAGTTTTAATGCCATCGAGCTTAAACGAGGGGATCGACTTGGAATTTGGCTACCCAACTGCGCGCTTTACTTTTCATTGATGTACGCAGCTGCTCGTCTGGGAATAATTTCGGTAGGTATACGATTTTGGTTATTGATAAATTATAAGTATAATTATTATCAGGGTTCGGATTTTATAGCACTAAAAATAACCGAAAATCCGTTATAATATGACCTACAAATAATTAAAATAAGAGCTATAAAATGCCATAAAAACATAAAAAAATAGCAAGAAAGAAAATGTTTTTATATATTGTTTTTAATTTTTTTTCTGTTAATCATTTTTTAAAAAAAACTTGAATTACATACGAAATAATATTCTAGGGGAAAAATATAAGTATATCAATATGAAGTTATAAATGCATACTGTTTAATGGGCTAGTATGCCGGGTTAATAAAAAATAGACTATTATATGAAACGAACATGTGCAGGGTATTTTTCTAATGGATTCACATAGGTAAATGACAAATTATTCAAACGGGATTTATGAAAAAACAAAATAAATCATTATATTATGTATATTAGCAATTTATAGCACTAAAAATCTAAAATACTTCAAACACCCAAAAAATATCAATATAAAATTGCATATTTGGAGTGCCTAGTGCATAAAACAAATGTATTTTATTGTCTTTATGATAGACTTGTTTAATATTGACTTGCGGTCTGCATACTATTATCATTTCAGGTTACTATTAATCCTGCGTATCAAAGTGACGAGTTAAAACACAGTTTAACACTTTCAGGAGTTAAGTGCTTGGTGACCATGGAGACGTTTAAAACTCAAAATTATCCTGCAATAATAGAAAAAATCGATCCAGAAATTTTGAAACGATCGCCTAATACTTCAATTAAGTCCAAAGTATTACCACTGTTGAAAACTGTCGTTTTTTATTCTGAGAATCGTATAAAGTTAGTAACGGTTATATTTACTATAGCTTTCGTAGTTATTTTGACAGCATAAACTTTTTAATTTGAATGATAAATTTAATTCAATCTGATCGATATTCGTTACGCTGACAATAATATTATTTGTATTAATTTTACTCGTATACAATTTGGTAATAAAGTGATTTTTGTTACAGCGGTGCTTATAATTTGAAATCATTCTTGGATCTAGGTTCAAATAAAAGTTATGTTGTTCCTGATGTCCAACCTGACGATGGATGCAATATTCAATTCACTTCGGTAAGTGAAATAACTTGCTTAGGTGTGTTTTTTTACATATCAATGCGTTTTATCGCGCATACAGTAATAATCAACAAATTAATGTTGATAACTTATAAGTAGGGCTGTGCATTTGTAGGAAAGTGCATATTTTTTTTGGCAGATTGTGAAACGTAGTTTTTTAAGTACATATATTGAATTATGTATAACAAAAAATTAATTTATAAAACTTTTATTTTAAATTTGTTTACGTTTTTACTTTTGAAGGTAATTTTTTGGGCTTTTTAAGTCATATTTTTCTGTTTAGTTCATTTTTTGGAATTTTTCAGGATTCCGTCAATTAACATTTATTATTCTATAAAAAAAAATATTTAAAATATCTAAATTATATTAAATTATAATAGCGTTAAAAAATATTCTTTAATTTCATTTTCTTTTTTCATGTTCTATTCTATATTGTATTTTTTATTAAATAGTATTTAATTGAATATTTTTATGTTAAAATGTTGTACTGAACTTGCTGCACCCACCACAAGCTACGCTTTTGGGGTAGCGTCAAAAAGTTCAAATTTGTTTTTGGTATCAGTTGTATCTGATTATTATTTTTGACAATAAAAACATATATTAATGTTATTAAACACATTTTTATACACATAGTTTTCGTTTTATATAGGCTATATTATACGACAAATTAATATTTTATAAAACAATATTTTACACAAGCTGTATACAGGTTAGGTGAAGATGGCAGTGAAATTAAATCCACAGCCCTTCTTATAAGTAATCTAAATAAATCATTCAATGTATATAATAGTAATATACATTATACCTGATATAGGTACTTAATAAAAAGTAAGACTTGTATAATTTTTATTCTATATCACGTGACAATAATATTACGATGATTAATGATTTTTTCAATAAATTATATCTGATAAATTTACAAATTTCTGCAACGTGTTATTCCCGTTCGTCGTTCATATTACAACACAGAAGTCATTAAAAGTGAAATTTAAATCCTCATGCTATAATAATATACTCAATGACAGAAAAAATCCATTTTTGGAGGATTGTCATGTTACTGTCTCTATACCCCATATTAAAATAGTTATCGGTCAAACATATTGATTTTACAGGGTACTACTGGTAAGCCTAAAGCAGTTTTATTGAGCCACTTTAATTTGGTTAATAACATCTATTTCATCGTGAAACGTCTCGAGTTGTTCGATAGTGTAAGTATATTAAGAGAAAAAAAAATCATGATTTTCAAAATATTTTATTCGCCATTATTTTTAGAACCCACCTAGTTAATGTAAAAATATATGAATAATTAGGATGTTTTACATACAATTTGCTGTCCAACGCCGTTATTTCACATTTTTGGAATAAGCGCCGGCATGCTTGCATCTATACTCACAAAGTCAACAATATATTTACCATCAGCACATTATGATCCGAAAACCACGGCTGATGTCATTACTAAAGAAAAGTAAATACTAAATTAAAAAATAGTAAATTTGAGTTTATTATTTACTTTGTAGACAGGTAGGACTAATTGTTTTTAAATTAGCCAAATCAGGTATTTGGTTTTGGTATTTTGGTATAAATTAATAAAACAGAATTTTTTTTTTTTGTTTTTTTTTTTTTTTAATGTTAAATAATAAGTGTTGCAGCTATAATGAATTGCCATTCGATACTATATTTAATTTGGTCATTTTTATAAAACTAAAACAATATCTTAACGATTTTATAAACAATTTAGAAATAAATTAACTAGGCAGTCTTCTAATTTATTCCAACAATAAATATTGTAGGTGTACATTTTTCTTTGGTACTCCGACGATGTATGTGGACATATTATCTATTTTTGAAAAACTCCAGCCAGAACAACGAAAAGATGACATGAGGCTAACAATAGTCGGCGGTGCTCCTTGTTCACCCAAGTTGATACACAATTTTAAGAAAATATTTCCAGGCGCTAAACTCATGGTTAATTAAATAATACATTTATTTAATAGTTTGAAAAGTAAAATATTTTTAAATGCGGATAATTTTAGTCAGTGTTTGGGATGACAGAAACCAGTCCATGTACGTTTCAAAACATGCCCAATGACACAGATGAACAAATTATGTCGACGGTTGGCCGTATACATGATCACGTGGAGGTTAGAATAACTTATAAAATATACTTCGAAACCTCGGAGAATGTAGCTCAATGATTCTTTTGTGTATTTTTTTTTAAATTTAACTTTATTCTGTATTTCTGTATGCATAAAGTACATTAAATAAAAATTAACTTCTCACATGAAAATTGGCTGAAAATAATTTTAATTGTGAATTCGAATCCAGCTATTTTTATCGATTAAAATTATTCCTCTAATATTGTAGATACCCTATGTATTATGCCATTTTCCAACAGAACTTTATTCAATTTTAAAATTAAAATTCTTAAAAATATATTCTGACGTTTAAGTCGGTTTTCGGGATGACGGAAACTAGTCCAATTACTTTTCAAAACTACCACGATGACACGGATGAACAAATTATGTCGACAGTAGGTCAAATACACGATCATGTGGAGGTCAGTAAATTAATAAAACTTAAATAATTTATCGTATAAACGATAGTAATCCTCTTGTATTTTAACTAAGTTGGAACTTTTTTACATTAAAACTGATGCTCATTTATTCAGACTACTGAAATAGTGAGAATCTATATGTTCCTTATCCATTTCTGATCACACTGATTTAATAGCTGGATTAATAGTGTTTTTAGTTTAAGCGATATTCGATAACTAGTTTCAATGATNGAAAACAGTATGAATTGTATTGACATCATCACGAGAAATATTATTAATACATAAAGTGTTTTTATAGGCGAAAGTGGTTGATTTAAACGGCGAAATGGTACCCTTCGGTACTCCGGGGGAATTGCTCATTCGCGGATATGTGAACATGATTGGGTATTACAACGACGAAGAAAAAACAAAGGAAACGATCGACTCTACTAAATGGCTTAAGACGGGGTAAATAATAATTGATGATAACTTTAAATAATATTATTGTGTTTATTGTTTTCTTGTTGTAGAGACCAATTCATGTTGTATGAAAATGGTTACGGCAATGTCGTTGGTAGAACAAAAGATATGATTATTCGAGGTGGCGAAAATATATTTCCTGTAGAGATTGAACTGTTTTTGGAATCGCATCCATTAATTTCAAATGTTTAAGTAATTATAGATAATTTTGTAACAATTATATAATAGGCAAATTGTCAACAAAATGTATAATTTAAAATAAATCAAAACATTCAAATATGATAATTGATAATACAGAAATTAAAGAGTAGGTATGAGATGTGTATCATATTATACATACATTTTCATAAAACAAATATTTGTTATACAACTTGTATAATGTACTACGTTCCCTAGTGTACAACAATATAATTTATTATGTTATTTTTTTGCTATTTTAAGTAATACAGTCTAATCGTGGATTTTTAGGTTTATGGTATTCCCGATGAAAGAATGGGCGAAGAAGTGTGTGCTAGTGTTATCTTGAAAGAAGGTGCGATGTTTACAGAAGATGAAATAAGGAAGTACAGTAAAGGAAAGGTTAGTTAGCACGATGCCGGTTAATTTATGTCATAATAAATACACAGGTATCTGTTAGCTTGCTAACCGTTTTTTATTTGTTTTTAAGATCGCCCACTTCAAGATACCTAAGTACATATTTATTGAACAAAGCGAATTTCCTAAAACAGCGTCCGGTAAAGTACAGAAAATAAAACTAAAAGAGTTAGCGGTGCAACGGCTAGTAAAGAATGAAAATATGAATTAAACGTTGTATTTAATGCAATTGTCTATGTTTAATGTTTTTGAATAAGAAAACTAAGAACACAGAATGCTGCAGCAGTTATTTGTTAGCAACCTTTCTTCCTCGTTTCGAACAGATTATAATCATTGAGTTCGATAGGTAAGTACCCACTGGTCTGTCGATACTGGTCCATCGAGACATCGGTAGTATTCCCGGTACGCCCCATGATTAATTACGGCACCTCTGCCTTTTATTTTCATATCATTATAATGCATATTTACTGTATATTATGTATGCACCTATTTTATAATACGCGTGTATTACGTCATACAAATTATATGCTTTGCAATTATTACAGGTATTAGCAGGTATTATTTGCAGGTATTAGTGATGATTATAAATAGCGTTTATAATCAATATAAATATAATATATTTCTTTATTGAGACACGGTGTTAGGTAGGTACATTTATGTAAATAATCGTTTCGTTATCATTTATGATAATAACTGTAGAGCCATAGAGGCGACTTGTGAAACCCGAACACCGTAATCGATGCAAAGGTACGGCTATAGGGAGCACATAGGGGTGCGTCTGGCCGCAACGACTGAACGCAACGACTAGTCGTAATGAGTCGTAATTTAAGAAGCTGCTTACCGGCTGGTTTTCTATGTGCGATTGCACTTTGCGACTGGTGTATAATAATAGTCCAATTTAACCTAGGATTCGGTAGTGTGCAGACATGTTTATGATTTTTTTTTTTATTTCAATAATATTACTGTAACGTAATTACCAAACGAACTACGACGGAGAAAATTATTGTTTATAATAACGACATAATTAGTCTTCTAACAGAGGAAGAAAAAGAAGAAGACTACTTCCCTCGGCTAAAGTTTCGTCATCGTTTGGCGAAAATATCGATCGAATGGTTTTTGACATGATTATTATTTATTACTATCGTTTATTGTTTAATATGTAAACTAATTAATTTTGATAATAAATCGCCGATGAAAAAATTAAAAAAAAACAACCCACAAATCAAATATGCCATGCTATTTTGGATCGAAAATATGAACAGACGCACACGGATCGTAAACAACACTGCTATCGGATCAGTGCTGACGCGAGCCGCAACGGTTGTTTTCGACACGCACGCGTCGGTCGCACATTGGAAACCACGTTCGCAGATTAAACGTATTTCATCAGTCATTTGCGACTGGCCGTTGCGTTCAGTCGTTGCGGCCAGACGCACGTAGGGAGCCGTACGTGCGGGACGTGTGCACGCTGATTAATGTTTCGGTTTTTCAACGGGACGCCCGTTTATAAAAATTAGTTGGGTATATAAATAGAACTACGAAGTACGTCGTAGACGGGTGCACGCGAACATGTAGATCATAGACATTATAGTCTATAATAGGTATGCACATTATTGTTTTGACAGTACCATTTTATCATAATGAAATCGTCTCCTTTCTTCGTGAACAATCGACTATTGCATACGACTCGTACAAATATTGTACGGATTCACTGCATGTAAGACGTGAGTAAATTTAAAATTATTTAAAAGGTCGTCCTAAGTGCATTACACACTAGACGATTCGAACTCTTTTGCGGTTTTATTCACACTGGGCGGCGTGCAAACGTCGTTTTTATTTTATAACAGTCTTATGATGGCGACTGTTTTTTTTAAAAACTCCGGATCGCTCAGTGAGTAGTGTGTAATGCACTGTAATAAAATGTTATTTTGCCGTGTACTAATGCGAAATATATGAAAAACTGATTACCTACCTGAACGTCCTAATCGTATTTCTAGGACCGGTGTTAGGTTTTGCGAGGCCCTAGGCAAAATATTCTAGAGGCCCCTGAAAACGGCTTTTACAAACCAACAGTAAAAACCTATACATTTTACTCACCCCCATAATCGGGCATCGGCGGCTTAAGGAACTCAACCCCCTAGAAATTTTAAAAGCTCCCGCAATTTTAATAAGACTCCGAAATTAAAATAATAAATTACATCGTTGCAATAACCGTATAATAACCGTACAATACCCTAAACCTAGACACGCTTACTTAGTTCGTCTATTTTTAAACATCGATTGATGAAATTTTCATATAATATAATTTGCAATTATTGCAAATTTTTTCAATTTGTACATCATGCATCCAATTATTGATTAATAACGTTACGATTTTATGAATATCATTGTATTATAAATTATAATTATTGATTCATTTGGATTATATTATAATCTAATTATAATTATTTGTAGTCATCGGAACGTGTACTAAGATATCCTGATTGTACAGATTTTTGTTTAAAATGCACCATCATTACTCTTGACAAAAAAAAAAACCAACTTACTCCAATAACGAAAAGTTCAATTACAGTCGATAGTCATCTATATCCTTGATTTTCCCCCCACGTACAATTATATAATTGTATTGTACTGAAAAACTGTAAAAGTTAAAAATTTAATTCTGATCTTTACTTTATTCTAAATCAGTGATAATTTGTGTTTAATTTGTACCGGCCACTCACTCAAAACTGTGATCTATGATCTATTCCGGTTGTTTAGTATATCTATTATATTATAACCATTATATAATTAAAACTATCCATTGTATTTACTATTCGAAATATTCGAATGTTTTCATTTATTTTTTATTATATGGCTACAATAACTTTGACCATGTACAACCTTATACGTTTAGGATAATATGTATAAACAGAGTTAAAAAAAAATATGGAGTACCGACTAAATGGGTTTTTGAAATTCGTACGTTGAAATATCGTAAAACACATAGGAACACCTTTATTATTTATGTTATAAATAATAAAGGTGTTCCTTTATTGTTCCTTTAACGAGCCAAATATTTTTCTGGTAGAGATAGAGTAAAATCATGATAACAAATAATATTCAAATGTAAAATGGCGGCAAACCGTACAATACACTAATAATTCGTTTGTTTTGAACAGCCTATACAACGATTTGTAATATTTTCTGTTTCGAAATGCATTATTGTATAATAATTCTAAGTCGAATAATAAATTGTAAACAACTTCACTAACTATTATAATATACCTATGCCTCTCTCTTATATACACTAGTTTTTCTATAACATTATAATATTATGTTAATTTCATTGTAATACAGGTAGTACCAATAATACTAAATAAAATACAATATACAGTTTTTCAATATTATCAGAACGATGATGCTTATAATATTTAATGTACTTTGAAACGTTTAATCTACATGGGCACGAGATTATAATATGATTGGTACTTATAATGAGAGAGAATGATGCGAGTTTTTACTGTTTACATTAATTACCGGTTTAAAGTCATATATTAAGTGACTGCGAATAACGGAATGAGTTCTTTGTTTAAAAATGGCAAGTTTAAAGGACTCGTTAATTTCAATCTACGTCAAATGTAAGTATATTGATTTGATTTATAATTGTTCTTAAAAAAATTTAGAATTTAGAAATATTAGTGTTATTGTTTTAATTTTACATGTTTGTTCACCTACATTATGATTCCAATTTAATTGGGTAGTTATTATTGAAAATGTAAGATTCCATAATAACTAGGTTTCAACTATTATTACCTGTATATATTTTTCAATAAAATTATTAGGTATATTAAATACCTTGTCATTGTTGGTGTCATCGTGGTAGGAAAGCCTAATTATTGCATGTGTGTTTTCGATAAATTAATTGTTACACTCAATTATGGTTGGTGACACTAAAATAGAATAATCAAATCGAATTTATTTGTAATATCATCATTTACTTTTAAATTTGTAAAATACACGCATGTGCAATATTACTTTTTTAATGTAAGCAGTTTATTTTTCGTATTTATGAAATATTTGTTATGTCTCTTTCACATTTTATTTTCGGGTGCAGCATTTACGAAATAATATTTGTCTCGCTCCTGTAAATCATAATACAAATCGATCAGTTTTTAATTGTATTTTGCAATGATCGAACTGCAGATGTTCAAATAAATATAAATTTGATAACCATATCGGGTAATAATAATATTGTTAGGTACTTTAAACGTTATTTTTCGTTTTATTTGTTTGAATAAGTATATAATTCGTAAATTCGTTAAATTTGTATCAATGAATTTATTAAAAAATTGTTTGAAAAAACCCGATTTAAAATGTATTCTGTAGAATGAATCTGTTTTGATTTTATCAATCCCATAGTATTAAAATCACTTTATTCTTTTATTCGGTCAGTACTCGATCACAATTCAATTGTTTGGTTCCCACACACATCGCGTCTGGCTAGTGCTATTGAAAAAATCCAGAATCGCTTTTTAAAGTTTTCCGCTTTTAAATATGGTGTTCAAAGATAACAACATTCATCATATTTAACTTTACTTTTAATAACTAGATTAGAAACTTCAGCGCTCAGAAGAGTACGATCTGACCTTTATTTTGTTTTTAAATTACTTAATGGTTTTATACATTATTCTAAATAATTAATAGCTAATAGCACAATTTGACGTTTTAGTCCCGGTTTGTCATACTAGACAATCAAATACGTTTTATGTGCCATTCCGTCGTCGTGTTAATTACTCTCAAAACGCTGCGGTAGTAAAACTAATGAGCTTTGTAAATAAATTTGATGTCAATTTATTCTGTAATAATAATATGTTATGTTTGTTTAATGTATACGTTAATAACTTTTTGTTCAGTTTATGATATATTCTTAACGATTATTGTATTTCATAACTAATTACCATGTGTTACTAAATTTGATATCAGATATTAAATGCAACATTGTATTATATTTTTCATTAGGCTTTACTCGTTTAAATAAATAAATAAATAATCTAAAAATAATAAAATATAACTAATAAAAAAATTGATAGACACGAAAAATATCGACTTACTATTTGGTACGCGTAAATTAAACAACGATATTTTACTTCTTACTTTTTACCTATGTACTTACTCGAATAAAATAATTAAATTCGTTTTCGAAATAATTACTTACACATAATCATATGCATTTATTTAGTATTTATATATTTTCGAGAAAACGTCATTGGTCGAAGTGTAGTTATTTACATGGTGTTTCAAAAAGTTCACTTAAATCGAGTACAATCGGAGGAATATTCGATGACGCGGTGCGAAAAAATCCTGATCGAGAATACTTGGTCAGTCGACACGAAAACAAAAGGTACACGTACGCCGCTATGGATTCTGAGGTCAGTATGAACACTTTAAACAAATTTAATTTTTGATTTTATTGGGCCATATGGACTTTAGATAAAATAATTTTATTTTTATGCGGTCTTCCGTGTGATGTAAAAATACTAACGTACCTTCTGTGAAATTCTCTTATAAATATAACAGTTTTAATTATGATTTATTTCACACCCGCACACCCGCAGTAAACCTAATATAGCGTGGCCAGGATTAACTTCTTTAAATCAGTGAATACGATATCGACTTGAAGATTTGATCCAATCATCGTCATAAAGATGGTTTCAAATATCATGTTGTACATCAATTATCTATATAATAATTGTCGAGATATTAAAATTCCCTTGTTAAAATCTCACTAAAATTAAAAAAACAAAACAAATTATCCATATCTATATTTCAAGTTGTCATTTAAGAATAAAAAAGACGTCTTAGGATAATGAAGACGGGTGTAGCCATTGTTTTAGGTAATTGAATATATATGTGTTAGCAACGATAAACCATTGTTAACGAAAAAACCATTCTGAGTGCAGTTCAGTTGATAGTGATGCTTTGTGAACAATATACATATGTCATATTATGGTAAAATAATTAAATATGCATTATATTATTTTCTTTAATAATATTTGTTTAATATTGTATCGATTTTCCAGGTTTTCCTATGTTTTATCTTGGTTTTTCACATTTGCTGGGAAAACTCTAGGGAAAATCGAAAAATGACATCTCTAAAGTACCTTCCCAGTCGAATTTCCTTTCAGAAAAGAAAAGTTGTACACAGAAAAAAAAAGGCCATAATATTTTTTTTACTAATACCTACATTTTGTACATTTTTCGTTTTTCCGACATTTTATTCTGGTTTTTCCCAGTTATTATAAAAATCGATCGAAAGATCACAAAAATAACCTCCCTAAAATACGGAGATAAAACTTACTTTCCGAAAATAAGCTATACTTGATATATGGGAGCAATATTTCTGGTAGAAAAGTTTGCACAACCAATCGAGGGGGATTTTTCGATTTAAATCGTTCGAGCGAGCAATAGCTAGGTCTCTAGGTACACCCAAAATGTATTTGTTTTTCCCTATTTAAGTAAAAGGGGAAAAAAAGTGCATACAACTTCGTTTCAAACTCCGGGTTTGAACCTGCCACTTCTAGTAAGACAATATGTATTCATGACCATTTAACTACAACAAACATATAGTAACGAAGACAATATGGTTATTTAACATAAAAATGTAAAATCTGTATAATATCTGAACCTCAAAAAGTTATAATTTCAAAACTTATTCAGTCCGCTCAGTTCCAACTTTACCATTCTTCTTAAATTGACAATAAATATAAGTTCGAAAAAAAAAAATTGAAAAATTAGATTTGTTTCTCATAATTTTTTACTCAAACAATTTTCGTTAAAATGTAGTATCAAGATTCCTTTATAAAAAAAAAATACTACATTAAACTCATTTTTTTTTTTGTACCATAAAGAAAGATTTAATGAATCTCCTATTAAATTTTCAAGCATATCTGTTAAGTCTAAAAATGTTACCACAACTCTGTAGATACTCCCTTACAATATACAAATTACGTACAAAACTCACAAAATTAAAATGTCTATAAATAGCTCAAAAATGGCTTACAATTTTTTGAAAATATTTCCACTTTTAGAAAAGGCAAATATAAATTTTTGTCTAAATTTCAAGTCTCTACGAATATTTTAAACTGAGTTACAACAAATAACACAATTGATAAAATAATAAAAGCATTAATTTCGTACATTTCCCGTTTTTCTTAAGTTTTATCTCGGTTTTTCCCAGATATTATAAAAACTGCTTGGAAAATTAAAAAATGACCTCATAAAAGTACCATCTGGACAACATTCTCTTTCAGAAACGGTGCTGCGCGTATATATCTGAGTAAGATTTATGGTCGAGCTTTTGTACACAGGATAAAAAAAATAAAAAATTTAAGAATTTAAAATGATTATTATAGTTACACATATAACTAACTTCAAAAATTAAATTATTTATAATTATTGTTACACATTACACACCAACACGCCCTGAAATAATAAAATGTTAAGTAAAAAAAAATCTTCCCACCTATACGGCGCATACATTTTCATTTTTATTTTTAACATGTACAATTGACACGAATTATGTCAACACGCAACAATAATGAACAAACGTGATATATATTATACCTTTTAATATTTTATTTGCGAACTTTCGTTTTTACAGGTGAACAAGCTATGCAGGAGTTTCAATGCCGTCGGACTTAGACGAGGTGATCGGCTTGGAGTATGGTTGCCTAATTGCGCGCTTTTCTATTCTGCATTAATAGCAGCAGCTCGTCTAGGAATAATTTCGGTAAAACGCGTAGACAAATTTAAATTCATTATTTTTCTGACTTTACCTTCATTTTATTTATTATGGAACTTGTTGAATGTTGGCTTACGATCCGTATAACCTATCAGCCATCATCATTTCAGGTTACTATTAATCCTGCGTATCAAAGCGACGAGTTAAAACACAGTTTAACACTAGCAGGAGTTAAGTGCTTAGTGACCATGGAGACATTTAAAACTCAAAATTATCCCGCAATAATAGAACAAATCGATCCGGAAATTTGGAAACGATCGCCAAACACGCCGGTCGAGTCCAAAACATTACCACTGTTGGAAACTGTTGTTTTTAATACCGAGAATCTTATAAAGTTAGAAACAGTGATATTATTTTCACACGAACAATAAATTATTTATATTACTTATGCAGTTTGGTAATAACATAATGGTGTTTTTTACAGCGGTGCTTATAATTTAGAATCATTCTATGATTTAGGTTCAAGTAAAAATTATGTTATTCCTAATGTTCAGACCGACGAGGGATGTAATATTCAATTTACTTCAGTAAGTAAAACAGTTTAAGTACTTGTTGTTATTCGTTTTATTAAGATTTAAATATCTTTAACTTTTAAGCAGGTAGGTGTATAATAATACTATTAGTTAGTATCTTTTTTAGCTTTAAAGACTGTTAATATCTATCATTACTTTCAACCACTTCATATAACACAATATTTTAAAATTTTTTAAAATGTTTTCATTTTATTGTAGAAATGATAAATGATTGTTTAAATTATGTACAAAAATTAGTATGTATATAATTGTAATTATGTATATTGTATATTTCGCAAAAGAATAATTTGTCGAATTTTATGAAAAACTAATCATATATTGTCTGAATTAATCTAAAACTATGTACAAAAAAAAATGTATGCTTTCAGGGTACTACTGGCGGCAAGCCAAAAGCGGCCTTACTAAACCACTTTAGTATGATAAACAATATGTACTTCACCATGAAACGGCTCGGAATTTACGAATATGTCAGTATAGAGTAATATTATAAACAACTTGAATAGTTATACGATTATCATATTTATTACACTAATTGTATTTTCAAAATAAATCCATAGGATGTGCTACATAAATTTTGTTGTCCAATGCCGTTGTTTCATATTTTTGGTTTATCAGCCGCAATCCTTGGGTCCATGCTTACAAAGTCAACAGTATACTTGCCGTCAGCACATTTTGAACCGAAAGCCACGGTCGATGTTATAACTAAAGAAAAGTAAATTATTTTAATACCTACTCATATTCTAGTCTAGGCGACATGTTTAAAATCTATATTTTTATTTTGATAAATCAATAATACTTTTGAGTTAGTTTAGATTATGATAGGATAGAAAATATCGAATCATCGACTGAATATCGCATGGAATAAATATCGCCAGTATGAAATATAGCAGTAATTAAATTATAAATAAATAATATTGATTACTAATTGATATTTTATAATAATTATAAACAATTTTGTATACTTTAAAGTGCATAATATTTTTACATTAATATATAGTAGAATTGATGAAAATGATAAAAATACGTATAATATAATAAAATTGATAAAAGTATTAAAAAAAAAAAAAAAAATATATATATATGTATATTAAGTAATGGAAGTATATATTAAATGAAATACCTCGAAGATAATCTTTAAACTCTCTATTATGATAATCTGCTACTACTTTCTTTACTCGTTCAGTCCAACTGACTGCCTTGTTCTTTTTATTTGGCGTATTTGGATTTCCCACTAAACTTTGACCTATTTTTAATTTCTGTTAGATTTTGTTGACATCTCAAACCATTTATACATTTATATTTTGAAGTAATTGTATTTGTATTTTGTACGATATCTTATAAAAATACCGGGACACAATATGATATAATAAAATAATATTTAATAATTAAATATAAATATGTAATTGAAACAATATTTATACAAAGCTCAAATAAAAATGGACTAAAAACAAAAACATAGAATGTTTTAAATAGTAATATTATTTATTTTACCTTGAAATCAGCACCATCTTTTTCTTTTGTAAAAGTTATGAACTAATACATTTTTACTTTTTGCAGTTTTTAAAAAATTAAATTCTATTTAAAATTTTAAAAAAAAAAACAATAAACTTTAAAACTTTAACTGTATTAAAGTATAAAATTGTAAAAGCGTTAGTCACAGTGACAGTACAAAGTATTTCTATTTATAAATTATGAAATGAAAGACTAGTATACTTGAATGCATTGTTAGGTAAAAGGAATAAGATAAGATAAGATAAAGTTAAATAGAGTATCCAGACGCGATAATAATGTATGGCGGTATTATTTTTTTACGATATTTTATACTTTAGGCGATATTTTGTCGGGGTACCGAAGACATCCACTGCATAACAAGAAAATTCACCACTATTAATATTATTTAATAAATATTTAATATTATATAGATGCACATTTTTCTTTGGTACTCCGACAATGTATGTGGATATAATATCTATTTTTGAAAAACTCTCTTCAGAACAACGAGAAAATGACGTAAGATTGGCAATAACCGGCGGTGCTCCATGTTCGCCAAATTTGATGAACAAGTTTAAGAAATTATTTCCAGGCGTTACACTTACGGTTAAACATTAAACAATAATATTTTACACTTAATAGTCTATTCAATTTTCTGACATCTCAAATGCGAATAATTTTAGTCGGTGTTCGGGATGACAGAAACTAGTCCAAGCACATTTCAAAACTTACCGAACGACACGGATGAACGAATACTGTCGACAGTTGGTCGTATACACGATCATGTGGAGGTAAAATAAAACTATGTATTTCAAGCATTCTGATTTTGTTAAAATTATATTAAAACGAAAATAAATGATACACAAATAAGGGCTAAGGGTTTAGGCCTGTAAGGGCATACCATTATAGATAATTGCCCACGTGACCTACATCTGTATTAGTATATTGGAATAATGATATGTGTTATTAAAAAAAAAAAAAAATCAAAGGCCGAAGTTCTTTTTAGGCGAAAGTAGTCGACTCAAACGGTGATATGGTACCGTTCGGAACTCCCGGGGAATTGCTTATACGCGGATATGTTACTATGATTGGTTATTTTAACGACGCGGAAAAAACAAAGGAAACGATCGACTCAACAAGATGGCTGCGTACGGGGTAAATAATTGTTCATCCCGTAGTATTACATTTTCATTAACCATAGTATTTACAATTATTGTTCACCTAATATTAATAACTATAGTGACCAGTTCGTTTTGCATGAAGATGGATATGGTATGGCCGTTGGCAGAATAAAAGAAATCATTATTCGTGGTGGTGAAAATATATTTCCAGTAGAAATTGAACATTTCTTGGAGGTGCATCCATTAATTTTACAAGCTCAAGTAACCATACAGTTATAAATACGTATATATAATAAATTTCATAAATAATTAATTCAATAAATTGAAACAAAATTCAAAAATATTAATTTTATGTTGCGTTAAATATAATGATTTTTGTTGAAAAAACAATCACGAAGTAATAAGAGTAATGCAAATAAATATTTATAAAGCACTATTTTTCTTTTTATAATAGTAAATGAGTGTGGGTATGTATTGTATTGTAAATTCTAAAATATTCTATTTATGGCTTTTCAGGTTTATGGTGTACCAGATGACAGAATGGGTGAAGAAGTGTGTGCCAGTGTCATAGTAAAAGAAGGCGCAACATTCACGGAAGCTGACATAAGAGCATACAGCAAAGGAAAGGTTAGTTTTTACTTCATTGCTTTGTGGGTAATTTACGTCACAATAAATATAACGTAGTTAGTAAACATTTTATTATTTTAGATAGCCCATTTCAAGATACCCAAATACATATTTATTGAAAAAAATGAATTTCCCAAAACAGCATCTGGAAAAGTACAAAAATCAAAATTAAAAGAATTAGCTTTGCGACGGATTTCTACTTGAGAGTTTCGAATTATAAGAAACATGGTAATGGTTTATGCATTCATTGTGATTGAGTATTCAAAAAATTGAAAATATAATTATATTCATTAGCAACCCTAATTTATAAATATATATAATTAAAATCATAGTGTATAATAAAACGATTGTTGAAGTAAATAACATCTTTGAAGAATTGAATAATAAAAAACTTACTTTGAATGTAAGAAAATGTGTTTACACATTAATTGTTGTATTCTCTATTTATAATATGTTCATGCTGTTTGATGATATTGTTACCTATTTCTGTGATACTCGAGATTTAAATTTAAATTTATGTGATTGCCAAAAGAAAAAATTAGGGTAACGAGGGTTAAATATTTAAGTCTAATTATTGATTGGGAATCTTAGGTGGAAAGTATATATTGGAAATCTGGTTATGAGATTAAGATCTATTATCTTTAAACTTTTTTCAGATTTTCAATAAAGTAAATGAAAATAAGTATACGTCTAATAAAAAAGCTATTGAAAACTGGTTTTTTTCTAAACTATAATTTGTGTATAACTTGGAGATTAAGTATTTTTAATTTTTGTTACATATTATTATTAAGTTACTAACAACTCAATTACTAGATCAGTTTAATGGCGTGGTTAAAAAAATATTACATTGTAATTTAATTTTTTGTTTGGATTTTAATCTCAGAAGTTTAGTACTCATATTTTAATGTTTTTTTTTTTAAATTGTTTTTATTGACAAACAAAACCGCAGGTAAATTATATATTACCAGAATAATTATGAACCAAATTTATATTATTCCCATAGCAACCTACTAGAGTCTAGAAACCATTTTTCACATCGTTTTCATGATACATATGTTATTATTATTTATGCGTAATATGCACGATGGCCATTGTGCATTAAGCAGTGTTGAGAAGGAACGTGTTCCTTTTCAAATATAAGAACGAGAAAGAGTTCCTATTTACGTGAAACGTAAATTTCCGTTCATTTTATTAGGAAAAAAAACAACAAACGCATATTATTTTAGTGATAATATTGTTTAGAAATTGTTTAGTGTTGGTATCACTTTGTCAGTTACTAATTATTTAGTTACATAAAACTGCGATAAAAAAGGTATTACGGTGATAATGGCTTAAAATGGTTTCAAACAATATAAATTATTTGATAATGATAAACGTCAAATTTACTAATGATAATTGATATCATTAACTTTTAGTGTAATTAATTTTTTTTTTTTTGTATAATTAATAAAATATTATATTTTGAATTTTGAGTAAATTTATGATGAATTTTTTTTCAAGGAATATGTTTTTTTCATTTTTTTTTTTGGGTGAGAATTAGAAAATTAATTGGTTGGAAAATTGTAACTATATACTATATGAACAAGTAACATTCACTATATTAAAAAGTGCTCGTAATGGCCAATGTCTGTCATGATCACCCCAAAGACACGTGTGGTTATTTATACAAAAAAGTCTGAATGAATCTCCCCCCTCCTAAAAAAAACCCTTTTGTTGTTAGTAATTTTTCCTACTTTGATGGTTCAATCTGGAATTTCAGTAAATAATTTATGTAATTAATACCTAAACTTAACTATTTATCAATACGGTTATAAATTAATTAAATAATTAGATTTGAAAGTTTTTAACTGAAGTGATACAATTAATATTCTACTTTTGTTTTCGTCCATTAATATAATATTATAAATACGTTTTAAAAGTGTGTATAACATTTTTTTTTACAGTTGTTTTATTTGTCGATAAAATCTCAAACGTACTACGTCAACACAAAGAGTAAAACTCGGTCAAACCTCTAACATTTATGTAGGTGAGGTATATTTTATTCGTCCGTTTATAATATTTCGCTTGAGCCGAATAACTTAAAACAGAACTTGAAATAACCGGTGTCTGGTTTTATGAAATACGTAATTTTATGATCCAAGAAATCTACAACGACTCCAATTTTTATAATAGCATTCTTTTCTGGTTGATATTGTATAATTTGTAATGCAAACAAGTCAATCGTTCAGTATCTAAATTATGTCTGACTGTGAAATTAACAGGTAGGTTAAACCTACCTAAGTACACAGTCAATTCCACTGCAAGACGATGTACCTGCACGTTATTCGGCGATCGATATAATAGGTACAGGTACAATAAAACTTCCATGTAACGGTCACCGAAGGGACCGGAAATAATGACCGACCGTTACATAGAGGTGACCGTTAGCCAAAGTTTTACTGTATAAAAAATGTGTAATGTACCTACTCGCTCGAAAACGTTTAATATGTACAATTTTTGATCGTAATTGTTCGAATAATGTAATGGTGTCTTTATTGTATTGGCATATAGTTTTGGTGAGAAGTAATGTTTATGTTTTTATTGTTTAAACCGAATACTATATTATTTAAGATATTATACCTGTCGTCAGCTATAATAAACGTAAAATGACTTATAATTCGTTGTTTAAATTCACGAAGTCTAAAGGATTCCGTGACGTTTTTAACAGATGTCAAACGTAAGTGTTGTATTTGTTTCGTTTACTTATTTTTTGTTTTTCTATTAGCATTATATAAAATATATTGGCATAGGTTCTGATCGTATATAATACACGTGCACCTCGTACCTAAACTAAATATTATAATATGCAAAAGCAAAATGTGTAACTATATTATAGGTACCTATATACACATGGAACGAATTGTGTAATACTCTCATACACTTAGAAAAAAATAAATTTTCTAAAACTTTATACTTAAAAAATATTTGTTTTGAGACGTTTCGGGATAGGGGAGGGTATAACTCCTTTACCCCTCCTGGCTACGGCACAGTTATATCGTGTTTATCGCGTTTTTAATTGCGTGTAAATTGTGCAAATATATTATTATTCAGTCACATTATACCCGCAAGAGGGTGGGTCACTTGCCACGTGTTCACCCGCCAGTTTTCCGCCCTTTATTTTATTCACTCCCTTGTCGAAAAAAATCAAATATCAAACGAAATTAGGTCGTTTTTGCACGAACGGCCATGACCTCCAAAATATCCAAATTTATACACAGCATAGAAATGAATGAAAATGATTTCGGTTTTTAAAAATAAACTGTTACATTATTATGTAACTGCGATTGTTGTTAGTTGCATTCTTATAATGTATTACGTATTTGTGACTCATCGACTCATCGATTACTGATTAGTTATCGATAGTTTATATAGGTATTAGTATAGCCATTTAAAAAATAAAAAAGTTTAATACAAGTCAGAATATTTGTCGATAAATTACAAAAAAACAAACCAAGAACTATAATTAAATTTAACGATTATGTCTCTACGGCAAATTCTTGAATGTTTTTAATAATCGAATATTCACCACTAAGAATTTTATGTAGTGTCTGGTGTGAAAAACCTATTGCAATTAATTCGTCATAAACATTGTACGTATTATTATTATTACAATTGTTTTAAATTCTGAGTGGAACGAAGAAGCTTATAAAATGTTTATTTTTTTTTATTATCTGCGCGAAATTTTTCTAACAGAATTCTTGCTCCGATTTTAGATTCTGAATGGAGCGAAGAAACTTATGGTTTTACAAAGATGTTTTTTTAATCTGTGAACTTTTATACCAGAAGACTTGCTCGGATTTTATAGCATCTTTTCTGAAAGGAAACCGTTTGGAAGGGTATTCATTTTTCGATTTTCTCAGAAGTTTTCTCATTAAATTTGAAAAATCGAAAAAAACGGGAAAATATAAGAAATTTAGGTATTAGTTAAAATATATCACGGCCTTCTTTTTTCTTGTGCACAACTTTTCAACCAGAAATTTTGTTTCAATTTATATTAAAAGTCAAAATTGGCTGGGAAGGAGGTTCCTAAGGAGATCATTTTTTGGTTTTCCCAAAAGTTTTCCACGTAAATGTGTAAAACCAGGAAAACCGTAAACCTGGCAAAATTGGTATTAAATTGGCATTAAACAAATATTATTAATAAAAGTATATTGAAAGTTATATAGTTTTTATAGAAAGCTTATTTAAATATTTTACTATAATATGGCATATATATTGTTGACAAAGCATCACAATCAACTGAACTCTACTCAGAATCGTTTTTTTTCGAAACATAAAAAATGTTGAAAATTATATGTATACATATATTCCAGGAAATAGTTTATTATAGCTCCACGGTTTTAAACCCATTTATGGCTTTTAAAAATATGATTAACTTAAAAATTATATTATTATATATTATAAAACAGAACTTAAAGCATAAAATATCTTATTGATGTGAACGATTAATATAATATTACAAAATAATAATACATTGTATGCAATTATAAAACCACCCTATACATTGCTGTCATGCTTTTTTACTTTAAATTGTGTAAATTTACACAATTTACATGGCCAATGTCAACACGCAACATAGTTAAAATATCCGATACTTATTATGCTTTAAGTACGTTCGTTTAAACTTTTTTTTTTGCAGTTGGACAAGCTGTGTAGGAGTCTCAATACCGTAGGATAAGGGAATCGACTTGGAGTATAAGTGCCTAAATGTACACTTTATTTTTTATTATTATGTTGGTTATTGCAACAAATCGGGCGTATAGAAATAATTTTGATACCTATACCTTATACCCGTACTATGCCTTGGTACTTATGCCTGTCTACCAATTTAAATTTATGAAATTTAAACGATTATTTAAACGTTTAAACACATTGTGGTGTTTAAAAAAAAAAAAAAAAAAAAAACATTACACGTTCATCACAGATACTATAAAATTTATGATTTTAGGTAAATATCAATCTTGCGTATCGAAGCGACGAGTTAAAACACAATTTGACGCTGTCAGGAATTAGAGACTTAAGAGATGTATAAAACTTAAAATTACCCCGACATAGAACAATTTAATCCAGAAATTTGGAAGTGATCGCCCAACATGCCGATTAAGTCCAAAGCATAATCCATGTTGGAAACCGTTATTTTTAATTCCGACAACCGTATAAAGTGA